AGCAGCAGCTGCTGCTGCACCAACTGCTCCACTACCAGTGCGGTCTGTTGGGGGAAGCGCAGCAGCGGTGACTGCCTCCTTCCAGACGGAGGGGTCGTTCACAAGGGCCAAAGACAGGAAGGCCACCACAGACTCCATGAGTGCAGGGGATCGCTGCGCGGAGGATATCGCAGAGAAGCGAGAGAGAAAGAGAAGGATTCTGCAGCAGCGGCACTGCATGCACCATCAGCGGCCCCTAATAAGGAGGCGTGTGCGCGACGCAAGGTCGTCGACGGATGCAGCCTTCAGACAGGCCTTGCGCCTCCCTAAACCTCACAGCACCAGCCAGCCTGCAAAGGGGTGAGACAGCCTTGTCTCCCTTGAAGGGGTCCTCATCTATGTACGGCGTTGCATGCACGGACAGCTGTGACAGCGCTTCGACCCCGTGAGATCCATTCAAAAATCTTTTCCGCAAAAACACAAGGCCCCTGCAGAAGCCCCGTCCACACTGCCTTCCGATTGATTCTACTGCGCACTAGGCCCTCACTTGCATGCGCTGCAGTAACACCCCCATCGTTAAGGGGGGATCTAACAGCTGGCGCTGTAGTTGCCCAGGCAGCAGTCCTCCCCACGCGTCGGCAGCATCGAGGAACTCCGAGGCCTCTTGTTGCGCTGGAGGCTGCTGCTGTGACTGCTGCTGCTGCTTGGCAGCCGCTGCACGCCGAGAGTTGCATACTGCAATCAGCAACAAAGTCGGTGCGTCCTCGACAGAGGCAGCCAGAGCGGCTGTCAGCGGGGTGGAAGACACTGCGCAAGCGGAAAAAACGCACCAACAATTCAACGTCATCCTGAGTGCAACCGCGATTCCTCTAAGCGCCTCCAGGTACTGCCGCCTCCCTTGCGTCTTTTTAATGCCTCGCATGCATTGCCTAGGATCGTTGATTCGGCCTTTCCCCCTCTCCCCGCATTCCACCCTTCTTGCTTCCACTCTTGATAAGGACGCCTCCGCACACACAGCCCCCTCCCCCCCAATCCGCCCCCTCCTTTGCCTCACAGGAGGCCCCCTCCCGCTCCCCCGCTTTGCTCTCACTCACTTGCAACCTTAGGGCAGCCACCACTCTTTAAAAAGGCAGCAGTGTCCTCCACAATTCGCGCTCTGCAAAGCACTCGCGCCTGCGCATCCTGCTGCAGCAGCAGCACACGCTGCAGAGCCTTCTGCTGCGCTGGCTTCAACACCTGCCCTACAGCTGCTATTGCTGCCACACCAGTCGATGGAAAGGCCTCGACCTGTCGAGCAGTCACAAGCCGCAGCAAGGACGGGGACGGTCGGAGCAGCGCGCAGAAGCGGATTACCGCCTCGCAAGCACGAAAGGCAGCGCAGAGGCACTCCTGAAGCAGCCGCAACAAGAAAAAGACAGACAAGGATACACCCAAGTCGCTCAGGCCTTGATGCTCTCAAAGGCACACACGGTCTCCCTCTGTCAGAGTAGCCGCCTTGACATTCCGAGCATCTAACGAGCTCTCTGAGTCGCCGTTATTTCCAGCTACCAAAAGCATCTCCGATCGCCCCTTCCCTGCCTTCCTCAAGCAAAGCCAAGGCCTACTAGCTGCAGCCTCTCTTTGCGGCTGTCGAGGTGCTTCCCCTTCATGGCCTCCTGCGTCTGCTGCTGCAGCAAAGGGAAGGCTGGGAGTGCTGCTGCTGCTGCTGCTGCTGCGAGCTGGCGCTGCAGCACTGCCACCAGGCCGTCGCACGCAGCGCAGCAGACTGCGGCAGCACGCAGCTCTAGGCTGTCTGCAGCAGTACACCATGTATGAACACACACCACAGCAGCAGCAGCTAACAAGCAGCGCGGCTGCATAACACGTCGGCGGCAGCCACCAACCACGACACTTTTGCCGTATAGCGCTAGTGACTCTAAAAGCTTTCCTTCTACGACAGGACGAGCAGCACCAAAAAAACGTAATTACCGGAGCCATCTTCTCGCACGGCCTTTACACCCAAGGGACAGTCCTCCGAGGGTTGCAGCAAAAGCCGAACAAAGGCATCTGCGTCTGTGCACTCTCCGAGACTGTTTTTGTTGCTGCCCGCGATGCGGGGTAGCAACAGCGCCATGGAGGCATCTAAAAGGCAGCTGAGTGCCTGTCGCCAAGCGTAGCATTCCTCTATCTCCGCAAGATCCCCCCGTGGCTCGTCGTCATGCGCATGCGGGAACTCCTGCTGAGACTGCTGCGTGTGCTCAGACAGCAGGCCTGCTGCTCTGTGCAGACAGTCCACCAAGGAAAGAGTCCCTTCGGGTTGCTGCAGCACTGCAGCAACAAGCGAGCCGAAAGGCAGCAGAAGCAGCGCTTCCCAATTGCTGTCGGTGCTGCTGCATCGCTCTTCGCGCATTTGCTGCAGCCTGAGCAGCAGTGCGCATCGCCACAGCAGGCGCGTGGAAAGCTGCTGCTTGGTGGTGTCGGTACAGCACAGAGTTCGGTTGCTGCTGTGCAGGGCCTCCATTTTCCTGCTGCCGCTATCGCCGCAGCCCTTGCTGCTGCTGCCTCTCGCCCTCTTCTGTTGCTGCTGCTGCGTCGCGAGCAGCAGCAGCTCCTGCTCCTTCTCCTTCAGCTGGGCGCTGCGCTGCGTGCATGCGCGCAGCGGCGGCAACACTGCATGCAGCTGCAGCCGGAGCTCCTCCACGTGGACGACCACGTCCTGCCTGCAGCAGCAGAAGCCTTGTTCGCAGCGCACACCACACGGCTCTTGTGCAGCGCAGACACACACAAACACACCGGCAGGAGCAGCAGCAGGATCTCAAGAATCGGCAAAAAGCCGCTGCAAGAACCAGCGCAAGGGTCCCCAACCGAGAGGGGAGCAACCAGCAGTTTCCGCGCAGAAAGATCTCGAGACTCACCGCAACTCGGCAGGCATCGACTGGAGGATTCGCTGCTGCTGCAAGAACTGAAGGATCAAGGTCATGACAGCGCGTCGGCCCTTCAGAGCAGCAGCAATGCTGCAGAGGCAGCAGCACGTGCAACAGCTGGTGCATCCCGAGGCTTCTAGCTGAAGTTTGGCCTCATGCTGCAATAGCTGCTGTACCAGCCGCGGCTGCCCCCCCAACTGCAGAAGGCCGCAATCTCGAAGGCTTCTGTCTCGCGTCTCGGCAAAGCGATCAAACTCCAATGCTGCAGCTTGGTGCTTGTTCACTTTGCTGTCGTCGCTGCTGCAATAAGCGGTGCAAATGTGGAGGCGTGCGGCTTCGGTGAGCAGTTGGTGTGCCGCTGCCGAGATAAGGTAAGCGCTCCAGGCGCTGAAGAGCCACGCAGGAAGAAGCCTTGAGCCCCCGTCATGTCGAGCAGACTGCACTGGGATGAGAAAAAGCAACGCTCGGGAATCTCAAACAGGCGGAACGCCTGCTTTTGAATCGCTAAAGACAGCCAAAGGGGTGCAGGGGGAGACCAGCAGCTGGAAGCACACGGAGCGACCTCACCTGCGCTGGAGCTTCCGCACTTGCTGCATCTGGCTAAGCACTTTGTGGGGCCGTTCCTCCACAAAGTGCTGCAACGCGGTCTCGAGCAGTCGGTACACCTCCGCCAGCTCAACGGAAGCGCCCTTCGGCGCTGCTGCTGCTGCTGCTGCTGCAGCGGAGCAGCTGGGAAGGCGCTGAAAACATGGAAGCAAAGAAAAACCTGTAGGATACTGCATGCAGCGATGGAGTGACAGCCCGCAACGGCAGCCGTCGGGGATCCTGCTAGGACAGTTGCAGGCGCTGCTGCTGCCGACATCGAGGCTACGAGCCATCGTGTCGTCGCTCGATGCTGCAGCACTTTCCGCTGCCGCTTCTTCAGCATTTTGCGGTGGCATTGTTGCCCAACGTGCACCTGGCCTTGCGTCTGCTGCGCCAGCGGAGGCTGCCCCTTCAGCCGTTGTAACACGCAAGTCTGGCGCGAGTGATCCCTCGAAAAAAGCAGGCATCAGCTCCTCTGGACGCAGCGGTTCTGAGGGGTCACCCGCCGCTGCAGCCTCCATTACATGCCCTTTGATCTGCCGAAAACAACAGATCTCCCCCTGGAGTAAATGTAGCCGCGCCAGCAGCTAAGGCTGCTCTTTCTGGAGGAGCGGCCTTAGCTGCTGGTGCTCCTTCTGAATAAGTCAGTGCAAGGGGTACAGACGCGAGAACGCCTTTGCCTGGGAGCAGTCGGCGGTAAGGGCATGGGGTCTAGGCCCTCGCACCAATTGCTCCGTGGTTCTGACCGGATGTCTTGAATTTCTGCAGAGTTAATTCGAAGACAGCCGAAGGAAATCAGGGATTCCAGCTAAACACATCGCCATACGTGCGCGGAATCCTGCATGCATGCAGCCCCAACACTGCCTCGATCAACAACATAGCTCCGGCTGTATACGCAACACAGACGCGCTAATACTGTTAGGGTTTGGCAGAACCACTAGTGGAAGGAGCGGACTTTGTTTTTCGGCAGGTGTGGTATAACTCTGCTGGCTGCCTCAGGTCATTGCGTGTAAGCTGCCGCTTACATGCACCTCAACCTCAAATGCAGCTACACACAAAAATATCAAAATTAAAAGCTTTCTTCCATCGGGAACCATCTTTGTAGGCTTCTCTCTAGAAGCTAACTTTTCTTGGATAGAGAACTCCCAAGGACTCTATCGGTCCAGCCAGCAACTACTTGTTCGTCGGTTTTCCGTGCTGTAACTATTCGCGCGTTCGCTCACGACAGAAGGGTACGCCCGCCGTATATACTCCCCACGTGCAGCTCTATAAATATATCAGAACTCTTCGAGGGGCGTAAGGCGCAAGCTGCATCTCCACTGCGCACCACAGGCAGTCGTTGCTAGGCAAATTTTGGGTTTAGGCATTAACTTTGAAGCCCCTTTTGGCGGGGTTACTTGGCAGGATTCAGAAGCGTCTGCCAGAGCAATCTTTTTAATAGCGGCAATTGGATGTGGTAGCAAAATGCCTCCAAGAAATTTAGGCCGTTGTTTATTGTCGAAGTGCAATGGAAGCTCACAACTCATGCAGCATCTAGACTTCCCGAAGATACGAAATAAAAACAAGAGCAGCTTGACACCCAGTTCGAGCCGACACCTGCAGTTCGGGCCCGCACTTTTGTGCGGCTGCTGCGTCTGCACTCTGGCATTGACGGGTGCGCATGTAGCGAACTTTTATAAAGGGTCTCCACAAAGACACATGTTTAGCCCCCAAACCAACACAAAACAAAATTATGGAGTGTCTTTCCATGGGAGCTCTCTCTCCCCGCTTCTTTTTGCTGCCCTTATCCCTTGGGGTTCCGGCATAAGAAGGCAGGGAGAGTCTGCTAGACGGCACGTGCGCTGCCAGACCGTCACTACAACCGTCCGAACGTTCGCACCCAGGTGCGTATACACCGACCACACAGGCGCACGATATTGTCCCTTATCGTGTTGAGATAACTGTGGCATGGAGCGAACAAGATACCTGAACAGCTTACCTCAGCGTCTACTGATTTTTGGTGAAATACAATTAGTGTAGTAGAGTGCGATAAGACGCAGCTCAGCTTGCTACAGCATACGCCGCATTTAGTGTTTCTGCCTAAGGAAGAAAACTGGGGACGGAGGGCTCATCCCCACGCCAAGGCGCTTATTGAAAACCGCTTGCCCAAAGGGCAGCGGCTGCCCTTTGCCAGGAGGCCCCTCTAGGGGCCCTCCTGCAATGGCGTACCGAGGCATTCATTCATCACTTTCGTGGAGACCCCGCCGACAGCAACCCCTGAAGTTTGTTTCAACCCCTTGCAATCGCCCCCAGAAGGCCATAAAAGCGGCGAGCCGAGAGGAATCCTCATGTATCGTGTTGAATGCACCAATGCGACTATACACCATCGGAAGCGTGCACCCGTATTATATCCAAGGGCTCTGCTGTGTATGCAACCCTGCGGTGCTGGCTGCCTCCGCTAGCTGAATGAAGAGACTTTGGACATGATATGCGTTAGGAACGCAGGTGCGGGCCCTGGAAAGGTTGAGGCCCACGCTGAGATGCACAAGGTCAGAGACACTGAAACAAACGCCTGGGAGCCGAAAAGACTGATGGGCGTATTCGATGCACTGCATCTGCCTAGGGTGCTTCCGGAGAGAGGAGCTGTTAGAAAATCGTTGGGCCTCTCAGATGTAAACTCTTATAATAATACTAATTGTGCAAGTTTCCATACACATATATATATGCAGATATATATATATCTATGTATGTACAACACGGGCACTCATCGATGAATGGTGTGTACATACACCTTAGAGGTAACTTGGGCACATTGCATGCAAACGATCCGAACTTTCTTAGGGCATGCGATGATGTCTGGAGTAAATATGCAGCGCACTTGCATCTCGCGTCAAGCGAAACTACTGCACGTCTCATAGAAGGCACGAAGACATAAGGGACGTAGAAGAGGGCATTGCTGCATGCATTCGGATGAATCCCCATCCCAATACGGATGCGTCTATTCAAATCCACACGCGTGTAGACAAAACTAGTCCCATTGCATGCATGCATGCACGCATACTTGCCCCCTACGCGTCAGACAGGTACCTTATAGAGAAACACGTTCTTCCGGTCCAACTCCAGTCGCTCTTGCGGCTTGAAGAGCTCGGGTTGCTGTTGCTGCTGATGTTGCTGTTGTTGCTGGGTGTGCGGTTGAAAGCTGGACGAGACTGCGAAAGACGGTGCTGCGGGCCAGCGGCGTTGTCTGTCCATACAGCAGCGGCATATTGTAGCACCCATAGCATTCAACACCCTGCAGGAGCCTAAAGGGAGGACAGCTGTGCATGGCGTATGCATTGGGACTGCAGCAACACCAACGTTCTCGAGAAAAAAGCCACGCCCACACACGCTTGACCTCCACAAGCTCCCACACACACAAACGCACACACACTAATACACAAAAACACACATACACATACAAATACAAATACACAAAAAAAACACACACACACACACATACAAATACAAATACAAATACACACACACATACAAATACAAATACACAAACACATACATACATACATACATATACAAATACACAAACACACACACATACATACAAATACACAAACACATACATACATACATATACAAATACACAAACACATACATACACACATGCAAATACACAAACACATACATGCACACATACATATGCACACATACATACATACATACACGTCCTATTATCGCAGCAGCTCTGTATGCGTGAGAGCTTCCCCATTAGAACCCTCACCTCGAACCCCACCATGCACAGCTAGACAAAAAAGCATCCCCTTCACAAGGGGAACGCATGCAGGCGAGGACCCCGCAAATCAAAGCTTTGCATACATTTTCTGGAGGGATTAAGGTCTACTTGGCCTGAATTATTCTTGAGGGGCGTGACAGCAGGAGCGGCCAAAGCAGCTCCTTCTGGTGCCAGCTGAAGAAGCCTCGAGTTCGTCTGCGTCAATCCCGCAATGTTTCCTTCCTTTCTAGTCTGTCTCGCATCCTCTTCCTCTGTGTCCACCTCGCCTTCCTCTGGCGCCCCCGAAAAAGAAGCAGAGACACCCGGCTCGACACGCGCAGGCAGGGTGTCTTGTAAGTCTGCGGAGTCCGATAGCGTGTCTACTTCATCATCGAAAAGCTCGTAAAGGTCTTCCTCCCTCCAAGCAAAGCTACCCACACATAAGTAGAAGCCGACAGAGCGCAGGAACGCGGAACCGAACTCCTTCTCCACTACACGCAGCTGCATGCAGGCCACATAGACACACACGATAGCGCACAGCAAAGCGACATGTCTGGCGGGCAAGTAAGCAAGCAACACTACTAGGGAGAGAACAGTGCGGAGGAGGCCTTCCCCCCTGCTGCCACCAGCGTGTGTGTGTGTGTGTGTGTATGTGTGTGTGTGCGCCTTCTAGCGACGCAAAATGCATGCTTCAAATACACCGAGAAGCAGCCGAGACAGGAGGCCTTTAAGAAGGTCACAGCCCTCTTTGCCGCCGTCGGCAGCGTGTCTCTTGCGCTTCCCGTCCACGGGCAGAAGGCAGTGGAACGCATGTGCAAAGACAAGCTTTGGGAGCTTGAAATTCGCAGCCTCGGTTTATTTGAAACGGGGGAAAAGAGAGGCAGCAGTACGCTGATTTTCTTAAGGTCGCATACACAACGTTAGGAGGTTCTTGCACTAAGGGGATCCCATCACTTCCTACATCCTGCTTCGAGTTCGGTGTTAGGACAGCAAGCAGAGAGAACTGTGAAGGCAGGCGGGTGTGGCGGGGGCAATTGCGGCGGGAAATAGCGCAGACTGAAAGCGACGCAAGGCCCTTGAAGCACCGTACGAGGGAAAAGCAGCGGCAGAGAATACGCAGGAAAAAGGGCAGGAGCAGCAGAAAAGCAGCTAGAACATATAAGCAACCAACCAGAAGCTGCTTCCTGCTGCAGGCCACATCCCGCACTTCCACTGAACGAGGCCCCAAGACAACTTCTACGCGGCAGTTGCAGGGATGCTGCTGCGACTGCGACTGCTGGGTGTTGGAGCTGAGAGTATTGTCTTCGTGTAGCGCGCCACTGCTGCTGCGGTTGCTGCCGTGCGCGCTGACATTTTGGGGGGGAGGAGGGGGGTTGTTGTTGCTGGTGAAACTGCTGCTGCTGCTGCTGTCGAAGGTGCCAGTGTCGCCGTGCGTCTCGTGTTGCGCTTCTTCCTGTTGCTGCTGTTGCTGCTGCTGTTGCTGCTGTTGCTGCTGCTGCTGCTGCTGTTCCTCGTGATGCCTGTGGATGGAGGCTCTGAGATAGGCCAGGAGGTCTGTGGCTTGCTGCCTGCCAAAGGCCTGTTGCAGTTCATCCCAGTGCCAATTGAGGGTTCCCACTGTAGACTCCACGAACGATCCGGGAGTTCTCTCCTGCAAAGATCAGCGAGAGCGTCCTGAAGACTCAGCCTTGAATGCACCGTGTAAAGAATTCCAGCCTACCTACTCCCTGCTCGCCCTGGCAGGCTCTGAAAATGGACCGCGAGCAGCGTATAACAAGCACACCTGAGGTCCTCTTCATACATGCAACGGAAACAGCCGCCATCTAAAGGCCCCCCCCACCAGCCTGCATGCTAAACCCCAGATCCTAGGCCTTACTTGGTAGTAATCCATGACAGTGCGAGTACTCGGCATCCAGTCATCCAGGCCCTGCAGCGTGGACTCCTCTAAAAGAGTAATCCATTCGCCGCCTCGCGTGCTGCAAAGACACACATTCGGCGCCGGTGTTGGCTGTGCGATCCAAAATACCTCAAAGCGTTTCTCCCCCAAGCTCTGTGGAGATGCACTTTGCACTCAAGATACATACACATACATGTATGCGCTCATTGAAATATTGGCTTTTAGGGATCCCGATAGGGGCTATGTATATGGATCCATGCTTTTTTGTGTGCGTCGAGCATGGTCGTATATATATGTATATATACATATATATATATATGTATGTATATATACATATATATATATATATATGTATGTATATGTATGCGGCTCTCGCGGAGAGGCCCTGATGGATGGGAGTGTTTTTGCCTTTTATCCGTGTGCGTGTCTCCTTGCTGCAAGCTGACCGGTATTTGGCCCCCTTTTCTACAGCGACGCAGACGGGAATATCTGCGAAAAGCTGCTCAACTGCCGTCCGTGGATGCTCCGTAAGCACCACCACTGCGGTTTGAGGAAGGCCAGCAAGGGCAGTAAGGGCAGCAGCGACGGAAGGAGGCAGGGGATCGGGGGTACGCTCGGGGAGTGGGAGGCTTGTGCGACTGCGAACGGGCAAGAGGCCTCCCCAAATGCTGACAACTACCAGGCGAGGACGACGGCATCTCAAAAAGGCAGGCAGCAGCGATGTGGGTTGGAGCAGAGGAGGCACTGACGCGCGTACCTGAGGGATGCAGTGGCAGCAACGCATGAAACAGACGGCGAAGACATGCGCGTATTTCGAAAAAAACCGACAAACTACACAGGGCCCACCAGAGCACCCTTCCACGGGCAGAGCAGATATGCATGCATGAATGCACAGGCAAAGGAAGGATGTATGTACAACGTTCCGCCTTCGGGGACCTCACCTTCCCCCCTCCCTCCTTTTCTCCCCCCTCCTCCCTTCTCCCCCCGCTTCCCTCTGCCCTCATTCTCTGTCATGAATGGCGCTGCGTGCTCTTGTCCAAGCACTGCACAGATACAAGAGCTCTCGATAAAATGAAGTAGCTGGCAGGAGGGAGGCAACACGCAGACTGGGCCCTTCACGCATGCCTCTGAGCACTGGCAAGAATAGAGAGGCACACGATACGCAAGAGAGAGAGAGCGCGAGAAGACCTCTACAACACACAAGCCGGACAGAAAATGAAAAAAGATCTCGCCACATTCAGCCTTTCTTTTTCAAACGGACTCCCTCGGATTCATCTGAGGCTTCTTTGAGGGCAGTGATGAATTTCTGAGCCCAAACTGTGCTGGTGTTGGAGATCACAACCTGGATCAGCTTCCTGCACAGAGAGACAGGCAGGGAAAAAAAGCCTTCAAAAGCCTTAGAAAACAGCGGTAAAGGGTTGGCAATATGTTTGTCACTTTCTTTCGACCCTCCTCCTCTGCTTTAGCGTCTTCTCCATCTTCGCTCAAAGAGGCTGGCTGAGCTGCTAGCTCTGCAATGCTCCCACGCTAGGAGAAGAGATGCATGCAGCACAGAGCTACGAAGATACAGAAGGCGCACTCAAACCAGCGGCGGCAATTAGTTGCAAGACGCGTTAAGAGGCCAGACCCCGCCACCCCCTACAGCCAGGCCTTGCACTAAATTATCTCCTCATGCGCATAATGGGTGACAAAAATCGGATTTTGAAGGCAGTTTTAGACTCCCTCTTGGAGCCAACCCTTCCCTGAGAGGTGCCCCAGGCCCGTTTGAAAGTCTATATAATATATTTTACATATATATTATGCATATATTACATATATATCATATATATATGTGTGTGCATGCACATAGGATGTTAGTGGGGGCCCCGTGAATGCTTTTATCACCTGTGTCGCTCCTCTCTCTCTGCCCTGGGCATAGTAAGGGCCGAATACAGCGCTTGAGCACTCTGCTGCTCGTTCCATGGATTGATGATGAGAGATCCGTCTTGGAGAAACTCCGCGGCTCCAGCAAACTCCGAAAGAATCAAAACTCCAGGTCCCCTGTTCATGATGATCTCATCCTTCGACTGCCTCCTCTGCAGAAGCGACAGTCGCCGGTTGAGGTGCGAGAAGGGCTTGTATCTGATTGCCTCCCCTTTGAATGCCAAAAGTGGGGTGTCTGGGTCGTTAGGGAGGCCTTCTGCCTCTTCGAGTTCATAGAGCAACGGCGGCTCCTCAGGAAGCTCGAGAGAGAGGCCCCCAGGCATCCGCTGCATCAGTTCAAACTGCTCTGCCTGCTCCTCTGCAACGCAAGCCTTCGCCTGCTGCGAAGCCACGAATTCTAAGGCTACGAGGTTCATGCCGTCCCTCAGCGAAGTGATCAGCAGGCAGTCCGCCACCAAATATAAGGCGCACAAATCCACGGGACTAACGGAGCGATCTAACGACTGAAGAGGCACGCGCGAAAGACTCCCCCTCGATCCGTTGATGCGCCCCACCAGCTCGTGAACCTGCATGCGCTCGAAAGAAAAACAAACTCCGAAACGCCTAGACGCCACGCTGCACAGAGATAGCGCTTGCCGCCTAGGGCCAAAAAGGCCGTAAAAGACTGGCTGCATGCCCTCAGAACGTCAGCCAAAGCCCCATTCGGATGCAGCAGCAGTACTGCGAGCCGTGGGATCGCTTCCTGCCTTCAAGCACAGAGGCGGAGAGGCAGGCGCATCGCAGGGTTTAAAGGCGATGCTGCGCATTTCTTGTTCAGCTGCTCACTTTGGTCTTGAGCTTCTGGTATTCGTGCACGCCCGTTCGTGTGGGGACTGCGACTTGCAGCAACAAGACGGAATCTCTCATCTCTGGGTGCTGTTGCAGGAAGCTGTCGAAGGCGTTCAGCTTATGCGGTAGACCCTTCATGTAGTCCAAGCGATCTACACCGAGTACCACCTGCACGTTATCGCAGCGACAAGGCACCCGCCCCCCGAACACAACGCAAAAGCCAGCATTCCGATCTGCCTGCAAAGGTCCGTCGACCTCGTCGCAAGTATCTACCCCACACGCCGCTGGCAGGGAAGGGCGATGCGCTACTATGTCTAGCAGGCTTGAGGATGAGGTGGGCAGCAGCAGTGCAGGCAGGCAGGCAGGCAGCTGCTCCTGCTGCGCACGCTAAGCCTGCTAGCTAGCAGCGAAGGCGTGCCTTCCGTTGCAACGTTCGCGGCAACGTGGTCAACCGGAGCTTGTGCAATGTGTGCATGCATGACAAGAAGTGCCCTCTGCGAAAATCTCGGAAGGAGATCTCCTAGAAAGCGTTTCCTGCATGTATGTAAGCAGCAGTTACTTGTCTGTTTCCCATTTCTCTGCGCAGCTCCGCCGCTGCTTTTTGGACTTGAGGCGAAGAGGCCTGAGCAATGAAGTTGTCGCTGTCAATGCCGATGGGGATAGCAGCACACCGCGCATACACCCCTCCTACAGGAGCCGCGAGAACTCCCCGGTCGGTGACTTCCAGCCCCAAAGTTTGGACACACGCAGAAAAAAAATGGCGCATGTACGAGTCTACGTGGAAGCCTAGGAGATTCGCGCTCAGCAAGCCCGTCAGGAGCTCTGCTCGATAAGGAAGCAGACGGAAGAGCTCGCTGGACGGGAAAGGCGTGTGCAAAAACCAGCCGATTCGCAACTCCGCTTCGTCTTCTCGACATCGCCCTCGCAACAACTTAGGCAACAACATCAGGTGATAGTCGTGCACCCATACCATATCTCCAGGCCGCATGACCTGTGCAAACGCATGCACATTCAAAGCCTTGCATGCTTCTTCTCCCCCTAACAAGTCATTAAGAGGAAAGACAGACACACACATACACGCATACACGCATACATGCATACATGCACAGACACACAGATGCGCATACATTCAAAGCCTTGCATGCTTCTTCTCCCCCTAACAAGTCATTAAGAGGAAAGACACATACACACACATACACACATACACACGTACATGCACAGACACACAGATGCGCAAACATTCAAAGGCTTGCATGCTTCTTCTCCCCCTAACAAGTCATTAAGAGGAAAGAAACATACACACACATACACACATACACACGTACATGCACAGACACACAGATGCGCAAACATTCAAAGCCTTGCATGCTTCCCCTCCCCCTAACAAGTCATTAAGAGGAAAGACAGACACACACATACACGCATACACGCATACATGCACAGACACACAGATGCGCAAACATTCAAAGCCTTGCATGCTTCCCCTCCCCTACCAAGTCATTAAGAGGAAGGACACACACACACACATACACACATACACACGTACATGCACAGACACACAGATGCGGAAACATTCAAAGCCTTGCATGCTTCTTCTCCCCCTAACAAGTCATTAAGAGGAAAGACACATACACACACATACACACATACACACGTACATGCACAGACACACAGATGCGCAAACATTCAAAGCCTTGCGTGCTTCCCCTCCCCCTAACAAGTCATTAAGAGGAAAGACACACATACACACATACACGCATACACACGTACATGCACAGACACACAGATGCGCATACATTCAAAGCCTTGCATGCTTCCCCTCCCCCTAACAAGTCATTAAGAGGAAAGAAACATACACACACATACACACATACACACGTACATGCACAGACACACAAATGCGCATACATTCGAAGCCTTCTGACGGCGCAACACAGAATCCCCTCTCTCTCCCCCCGTCTCTCTCCTCTCTCCCCCCCTCTCTCTCCGCTCTCCCCCCCTCTCTCTCCGCTCTCCTCTCTGCCCTCTCTGCCTTCTCCCTTCAGTTGTAAGCTGGCCCCTAAGTGCGTGGCTGGCGAGTCTGCTGACCTCACAGACAGTTTCGCAGAAAAGTTCGTTCGCGTGAACATACGCCCTCCACTGGAGCAGACTTTGTTCCTCCCCCGAGTCGAGATCTAGGGGGGGCGGCAGGTAATGCAGCAAAGGCCACAGGACGTTGTTGCAGAATCCGTTGTAGTATGCGTCGATGGTTTGCTGGTCTAAGAAAACTGGAGCGCATCCGTGTCTCCTGTACTCAGCAATCAGACGAGGCCGTAAAACGGGGGGAGCCTCAGAGCCTGGCCAGCCAACCCAAAGGCAATCCAAGCCTTTGATGCCTTGCAATCCGGAGACAAGGCCTCCCCCGCTTTTGGTGTACTTGAATGATCCGTCTCCTTGCAGCTCCACGCTGAGCGGCAAGCGATTCGCCACGATGATCAGACGGCCAATGCTCCCCGAGCCGCAGCTGCCGCTGCTGCCCACTGCGCCGTTCTCTGAGGCGCCGTGGATCTTGCTTTCTCCTTCGCTCCCCTCGCTGCCGCCAGACTCCACGCTTCCACACACGCTGGCGCTGCTGCCGGTGCTCGAACTGCGGCACTGCTCGTCTGTCAACTGCCTCCACTCAGGCCGTTCCTCCAGAGACAAGCTCGGATGCTTGCTGACGTTCCACGCAGCGCTGCTACTGCTGCTCCTGTTGTTGCTGCTGCTGCTACTGCTACTACTGTCCCCCCAGCACGAGCCAAAGGTGCTCGACCGGCCTTCGCTCTCCGCCACTTCGCTACTGGCAAACTGCAAGCCACCAGACAACCCCGTCTGGCGCGCAGCGCAAGCAGCGTTAGCCGCCGTCGCGTTCTCCGACACAGCAGAAATCCCACTTACAAGCGACAAGGCTCCTGCTCCTGCTGTCTCCACACCCAACCCTCCAGGCCCCTTACAGGCAACCCCTCCAGTGGCCTCCTTCTGTAAATACACGTCAAACGGCTCTTGAGAACCCTTCAGCCTCTCTCTGAGCCATCCGTCCGCCATCAGCTGCAGCTGCGATAGCTGCAGCTGCGATAGCTGCAGCTGCAACAGCTGCTCCTGCTGGGAGGCCTCATCAACGCTCGGCTGTTGCAGGTCGTCGGCTGGGCTGCCTATCTGCACGAACTGCTGCCGCTGCTGAAATGCATGCAAGCAGCCTTCCTCGGAGCGTGATAACAACGTGTCTAGAGCTGCTTGCTGCTGCACAAGAGACTCCCTCCCAGATTGCATCTGGCGCTGCTGCTCTTGCTGCGCGGCGGTGTGTGCCTGCTGCACAGCCACCTGCCGCTGCAGCTGCGTTGCTGCAGCAAGGCCTTGTTGCTGCTGCCACACAAGTTGTTGAGGCTGCATCTGAAGCTGCATCGGCGGCTGGAAGCCTTGCTGGTAGCCTGCAGTGTCCACTTGCTGCAGCAACTGCTGTCCGTGCAGCTCGAACTGCCGCTGCACGCGATCCTGCCGCATTTTTTGTCTCTCTTCTAGCTGCTGCTGCAGCAGCTGCTGCCCGTACGTCTGCCGTTGCTGAAGCTGCTGCTGAGGATCCTGAAGAACCTGCAGCTGCTGCAGCTGCACGACTGCTCCCTGATGCGGCTGCTGCACGTCTCGCTGTTGTTGCCAGCTCTGCTGACTCTTCTGCTGCTGCTGCTGATGCTGCTGCACCAAGAGCACTTGCTCTGGCTGCTGCTGCTGCTGAGGCTGCTGCACTAAGAGCACTTGCTCTGGCTGCTGCTGATGCTGCTGCTGATGCTGCTGCACCAAAAGCACTTGCTCTGGCTGCTGCTGATGCTGCTGATGCTGCTGCACCAAGAGCACTTGCTCTGGCTGCTGCTGCTGCTGATGCTGCTGCACCAAGAGCACTTGCTCTGGCTGCTGCTGCTGCTGCACCAAGAGCACTTGCTCTGGCTGCTGCTGATGCTGCTGCTGCTGCTGCACTAAGAGCACTTGCTCTGGCTGCTGATGCTGCTGCACCAAGAGCACTTGCTCTGGCTGCTGCTGATGCTGCTGCTGCTGCACTAAGAGCACTTGCTCTGGCTGCTGCTGATGCTGCTGCTGCTGCTGCACTAAGAGCACTTGCTCTGGCTGCTGCTGCTGGACTAGCAGATGCTGTTGAGGCTGCTGCATTAAGAGCACCGGCAGACTTGATAGCGAGGCATCAAGGTCCTGCTGCTGCTGCAGCATGCTCTGCTGCTGCTGGTGCTGCTGCTGCTGCTGCTGCTGCTGCCACAAGGCCATTTCTGGTAGTTGCGTATTGAGATCCTCAATGTGGAGGACTGCCGCAGCGTTTGATTCTGCGGCTGGAACTGTTGCGGCAATAGAAAAGGGCAGCTGACTGCCTGGCGTGCTTGTGTGGGGACGAAGGGGGGCTTCAAAGGCTTCCTGCTGCATGGACGCCGAAGGCACAGAAGCAATAAAGGGCTGCTCCTGTTGCTGCACTGCGGGTGTCACTGCAAGAGGCGGCTGGAGCTGCTGTTGCTGCACTGCGGGTGTCACTGCAAGAGGCGGCTGGAGCTGCTGCTGCTGCAAGCTCGACTGATCGTGTTCTAAGTGCTGCACTTGAGTCTGGACAGAAGGCTGGCTTGGCTGCTGCACGAGCTCCAATCCCAGTTGCTTCCACTGAGCGCCCTTACTCTGAGCAACAACAACTGCTGCTGCTGGCACTGCTCCTGCTGCTGGCACTGATCCCGCTGCTGGCACTGCTCCTGCTGCTGGCACTGATCCTGCTGCTGGCACTGCTGCTGCTGAAAACGCCAGAGAGGAGCTGGTAGTGCCATGATCTCCGAGAGGCTCTTGTTGCAGCTGCTTTTCTTTCTGCAGCTGAGGTTGCTCCTGAAGCAGCTGTCGAAGCTGCTGCAGCTGCTGCATTCGCTGCTGGTGCTGCTGCTGCTGCATTCGCTGCTGGAGGCTTGGCTTGGAGAAGCTCATAGTCTCGGCAGTGCCCACGCCGCTCCAAGAGGGCGTCGCTCCACGAGGAGGCCTTGCCGTAGACGCAGCTGCTGCTGCCGCTGCCGCTGGAGCTGTTTGCAGCATCATTCCACGGACGGAGTTGCTGAGAGCTTGATGCCCGTTACTCATGAGGGCTGTTGCAGTGTCTCCGCAGGCGCTGGTGTGGCTGTTGTCTGCTGCTCCCAAGACAGCTCCTTCCATGATCCCCGCTTCTGCCGACGCTAGCAATGCAGCACTGCCTAGGCCTGTAGGAATTTCCAGCGATCCTCGGCTGCCCAGTTCGCTAGGACCGCTGCTGCTGCTGCAGCTGCTGCTGAGGCTAGTCGCTTTGCTGATGAGCGCGTTTGTCACCTGATCAGGGAGCTCACAGCAAGGCACAGAGCTCGAGGAGCTTTCGAAAAGGCCTCCAGCCGTGGATTCCGGGAGGCTTCGTGTTTTGAGCGGCAGAGGCGCCCTTTGCCCGTCGAATTTCACACTTGTAGCTGATGCCAGAACGGTGTTAGGCCCTTGGTACATGGGCTGCTTCTCCAGCTGCCGCTGGACTGGTAAAGTGAGAGGCTTCTGTTGTTGCACTGCAAAGCCTTGAGAATACACCGTAGGCAGGCATGTTTCCGCGTGGAATGCGACCGCCTCCTCCTGCAAACGGTTCAGCCCCCCGGATTCCTGAGCGGCGTGTTGCAGAGGCAAGTGCGTCTGCTGTTGCGACGCTTGATGCTCGAGAGCCTCAAGGTCGACTTGGTGCTGCTGCACAGGCTGCAAAGGCTGCTGCACAGGCTGCAAAGGCTGCTGCACAGGCTGCAAAGGCTGCTGCACAGGCTGCAAAGGCTGCTGCTGCAAAAGGCCGCCCGGTTGGGGGGGGGATGCCTGCTGCGCACCAAGTGCTTGCAGCTGCAAGTGCTCCTCCAGAAGAGTCTTCTTCTGCTGCTGCTGCTGCTGAAGCGCCACCAACGCAGCTTCTTCCGAGGAAATCTGCTGTTGTGAAAGCTGCGGCTGCAGCTGCTGCTGCGCAGGGTGTGCCTGCATGTGCAGATCCGGAAATAACGGTTGCTGTTGTTGCTGCTGCTGGTGCTGGTGCAAAAGAGGAGAAACAACCATCCCTTCCCTCCACTCCTTGGCGTCGGAGGAGACACCTCTAGTTGGCTGCTGGCTAGCGCTGCTTTCGGGGGTTGGGTTGCTCTCACCGAGACGCAGGCTTTCAAAGCCTACTCCGCTGCTGCTCGTGCTGCTCTTGCTGCGCCAGCCAGCCGCAGGACCGTACGAGGTGCGTCTACATCTGGGAGGGGCAGAAGCAAACACATCCGTGCCTGCTTCGGCTACACCAGGAGCTTGCCGCTGCTGCTGCAGCCGCATGCGCGCATCTTGGTGCTGTATCAGCAGCAGTTGCTGCTGCCGCAGATGCTGCTGCCGCTGCTGCTCTTGTTCCTGCCTGTCCAGCAGCGCAGAGCGAACTCCTCCGCGTTGGTCTTGCTGTGGCGGCTGTTGCAGAGCCACTTGCCGAACTACAAAATCATCGGGATGCTGCTCTTGCAAAGGGGCTGCTACCTGCTGCAGCAGCTGCAGCGGCTGCTGCAAGTCTTGCTCGGTGGCATCCGTTGCAACCGTGCTTCCCGCTGCAGTATTTTGAAGGAGCTGCTGCTGCTGAAGCAGTTGCTGCTGCTGCAGGAGCTGCTGCTGTTGCTGCTGCTGCTGCTGCCGCAGCTGCTGCTGCTGCTGCTGCTGCTGTTGCAGCAAAAGCTGTTGCTGCTGCTGCTGCGCTGTCTCAGCACCTGCCCAGTTGACAGCCTGAAGGGACCGTAAAAGCCCCTCTTGGCGGAAGGGGGAAGCCTGCGCCAGCTGTGACGCCTCCTCCTGCTGCTGGAGTGCATACAGCTGAAGCTCTGCGGGCTTTAAGAAGGGCAGATCTCTGGGAGTTCCTGCAACATGCGGCTGTGAGACTTGCGACATCGGAAGGTCTTGCTGCTGCTGTTGCTGCTGCTGCTGCTGCTGCTGCTGCTTTTGGAACCCTGTTCCCCCTGCCCCTTGCCGCCAACTAGCTGAAAACCCCCCATCGACGATTTGCTCCATCGGGGTTGCCGCAAGCGATATTTAGCTGTGTCGTTTTGTAGTGAGTCAGTCAATGCATCCCCGACAGCCGCATTGGGGTGTCTCGTTTAGGCCCAAGTCAAAGCAGGAAACTTGCAGCCAGAGCAGCAGGGGCCGCAAGAGGGCAAAAAGGAGCAGTGCAGTACCAGCAGCAGCGGCGGCAGCAGGAACAGGTGCTGCTGAAAGCATGTGCATGTCGCGTTCGAAGGCGCGCCGAAAGCGTCAAACGCGTTGTGTGTGAAGGTCTTTCAGCCCCTGTAAGAGTCTTGAGGGGCCTGTAAGACTGTTGGTTGGGTGTCGAAATGGCTGCTGCTGCAAGGCCTCTGAATGTGGAGCAATGAGTCCACTGCCTCACGGTTCGAAGGAGAGAGTGAGCCTTGTTGGTGCGCGGCTTCCCGGCAGCTCACCCCGTGCTCAAAGAGCACCAGCCTTTACTCCACCCGCCAAGGGGCCACACTGCAAAGGGATCTCCTACGCAGCGCGCAAGTAGCCGGTGTGCCTTCTATGAAACGATCTTGCTCGGTCGGCTAAGGCGGTAAAAGACCTTGGGGCAATTGTAAATAGGCGCTGGGAGGGTGCCTGGAGCAGCAGCAGCAGCATGTACAACTGCCAGCAGCAGACGACTCTAAATCGATCACAGTCCAGTACAAAGAGTCCGACAGGCATAGTGCCTAAGTCCCACGGGGGGTAACTTCTATTTCCGGTGCTTCGCCCGCCCCTGCGCTGTAGTGACCCCGGTGACCTTCTCGCCGTAATGCTGCTAATACGGACCATTAGAAAGTTCGGAAGACATTCAAGTTGATTCAAGTAGGAAATGGGCCCAAGCGAAAAGCCAAGACACCGCCGAAAGCAGCGTTTTGGTCGTTGCTTACGAGCAGCCTCTCATGCCGCATGCGTGGCAGGGCCACTGGCTGACTTCGCTCGCCGTGCTCAACACTTCCTAAAAACAAAAAATGCCCACATATGGCGCTTTGCTCGCAAAAATGCCTTTTAATTAGGGTCATCAGGCGTTTAAAGTGGCGCACACCGCCAAGAATACGCCTCGCACCGCAACGGTACTTACCAAACAGACCACCGGCAACAAGCCCTCCGAGCACGCTTGATTCCAGATCTCCGCCCTCTCCCAGCCATTGTATGCTATTTCTCCGAGGGGATCTAATAAAGAGTGCGGGCTGCATGCCCCTCCAGGTACAGGACCAATGGCGAAGCCGTTCGCAGATAGGCCGCAAATAGCCCTAGTTAGGTGCACACGGTGTCAGGGGTTCTCAGTGGGAATACCAGGGCAGCCTTCTCTGGCTTTTTTAGCAGAAGCTCCTGGGACTGTCTGGAGTGGCAGAAACACTATCTGTTTAATGCGTGGGGCGGCCCAGCCGGGAGGAACGCAGCGATGGGCGGTATTTTCAAGAAAGGGGTAGATCTCTTTTTCACGCAAGCTTGACGGTTTCGTTACGGCTTGGATTTGTGTTTCAGCACGAGAAGAAGGCGTGGGTTGCATAAAGAGATAGGGAACTGATAGAGAGGGCGGGGCAGTGAAGAGCCCCTGTCCGAAGGACGCCTTCCGCTATGGGCATGGAAAATCGCATTCTACTAAGGGCATCTGCGCACGCAGCTAGATAGAATGCTTAGGCAAACGTAGTATATCCATCGTGTGGGTGCCCTTTCCATCTATTCCCTTGCAGACATCAATTACTTCCACCCTACGCAACAGAAAAGACAGCGGGTGTATTGCTGCATACACAGTGCATCGAGATGAACCTTCGACGAATAATGTAACTATAACTAACATCGCCTTTTGGGCGGAAATGTGGATTGTTAGGCAGAGGCCACAATTAATCTTGTGACCTAAACCACGGCATCACTGAGGACTGCTACGCGGTAGGTAAAATGCCCCATCTGTGTTATTCCCATAGGAAAACACTTAGCTCCAGACTCATCCATACAAATAGTAAAAAGTGATTGAGTGCTGTTCAGAAAAATTCCCTTCTTTTCGCTGCATCTGTTGCACCTCCCTATACACAAGAAGAAGAGGTAGCTAGGGTGCACGCAGCTGAATCTTCTAAACACTACGAACATTCACAAGTAGCTGCACAGCCTCTGATACGCATACACCACACACCCACACACATACACACACTGTTGCTACATCTTCTGCTGAGCGAGTAGCACGCTGCAATAAATAAGATCCAGGGACAGAAATGCCAGTGTCAATTCACTACCAGTTCTTTATTACGTGAAATGAATGTAGTTAAAAACATCTTTGCGCATCTTATTTGTTGTTGTAGGGATACATGTATTGCAGGCATTAGGAGACTTTATCACCCCATGACAGAGTCTCACTGTAAAATAAATCTGCAAGGCATTACCTGGAGGCCATTTCTCTCACGTTCAATTCGGCAACGCTAGTTGCTTTTTCAAACCAGAGTCTATACTGTTTTCTTTGGTGGACAGGCAGTCCAAACGCATTACTGTCTCCTTGCTACTGGGGATAAGTATATATACTCTGTTGGTGTGGCCCCAAGAAAAGCCCTCCAACTGGTTTTTCTGTTCCTAGATGTTGTTGATTGCAGTGTACTACTAGCTGGGTACAAGAAGGCGTAGTGTTATATGCGTACCAGCGGACAGGGTCAACAGGCACAAAGGAAAAAATAGGAGGTAAGTGCGACTTTGTGGGCTAATGGGGACGTCAGCATCACTCCACTGTTCACCTGTGTATATCCAAGCACGTGCTGTTTGTAAACAGAGCGGCCTGCATGCACATGGAGTTTCTATGACGTGAATACGAATGCCTGTACAGAAGGCTGTGAGTAAAACAATTGACCACTTCTGTGGTATGTCGTACTGTACAACAGACGCGGGGCGAAAGAAAGCACATCAAGAAGACGTAGCTCCATGGATTGTCGCAACAATAAAAGAATTTCCTCGACGTCTTGCCTTTTCCCCATCCCCTAGGGCTTTCCCCCAAGAGCTGCTCCTTGTTCGCTCAATACATGAATGCATATAACGAGCTGAGACAGAAGCGATAAGATTCGCGAAGAAGATGCATAAGTATGTGTTCGTATATCTTGAGCGGCCCCTGCAATTGAAACCCCTTGCATCTGCCAGTCCCCTAAACCAGCCCGATGGCCTAACTAAAGCATGTAACTGCCTCGAAATAACAAATAGTGCAGCGCCTGCTGCCCCCGCCGTTTCCTCGGTAAAGGCCACACGCGTAGATACGACAGCTTGTCGGAAGCCTGACGTTCAAACTACGGCAGGAGTTATCGTGGAGCCTTGGGAGCTCCGAGTTATTGAAGGCCTCCTCATCTTGCTTGCTACCCACGGCGACAATTTCGTACCAGCAAGAGCTATACGAGGAAATAGCCTCAGGCAAAACAAGTTCACGAAATGACTCAATGCAGCAGCAGACGCAGCAGCACCAAAGCAGTCGCAACAAAAGCAGCCAAGTGCTTCCAGAGGTGTTGAGCCTCCAGCACGCCAGGGGCGACCACGTGCTGTAGTTCCCGTAAGCACCACAGTCTTGCAGCAGCGACAGCCGCAGCCACCGCAGAAACTGCAGCAACATAAAAATGTATTTGAACTGCAGCTGGCTATTCCTACAAATCCCGCCCTTCGATTGAAACCTTTGCTGCTTTTGTAGGACGGCGGGGAGCCCGAGAAGCGATCCGCAGAGATCTGTTGAGTTGCTGCGGCACACAGGAGCAGGAGCGTCGGCACCAATAGGGCTATTCATTAGAAAGCACCGACAATCGCCGTCCTTGCACATGAGGAAGCGCACATAATGTGGTACTGCTCCCCCCGTCGCTCCTGTGGCTGCTCCTAGTCTGGCCCGAACAGTTGCTTGTACCGAAGAAGCTGTGCCAGAAGCAACAGCAACGAAACGCAGAAGTGTGTACCTACCTGAGAAACCTGTTGCTGCTTGCCTTCCTCCTCGTTGAATTCGACCTGAGATCTCGGCTGAATCTGCAAATCGACGAAGACGCAGTCAGCGCAGTCAGCAATTCATAGCAACAGTCTGGCTTATGCGTGCCCGCAAGACGCCATTACGGCGCAGCACCAGCAACGGCAGCAGCTGAAGCACCAGCTACACCGGAAAGGATGGCCAACAGGAGAAAAGCATCGACACAGTTGGTGTGTATTTATTTTCGAGGAAATTCCGCTTCTTCAACCTATGTCCAGGAAGTCAGAGAGCCTCCCATGCGCTTACAATAAAGTTGTGACCTCTATTTACAGGCACTCTGGCTGTGCGCCGCCTCTTCTCTGCCGTTTGCTCAGTCGCTCTTTCCGCTGAAAACAGGCATTTATAAGTAAAGCGACTGCGAGGTGCTGCTGCTGCCGACAGGAAACCCCCAGAGAGGCCCTGAAAAGGGGCCCCCAGAACAGGGAATACGAAAGACTATGGACTTATCGGATGAGGTCACACCATCCATGTCTTTTGCGCTTGCATGCGTATACGCCAAGAGAGAAACTAGACGCATGCATACACGGATATATATATATATATATATATACAAACCAAGGCTGCAGAGAGAGCTCAATACAAGGCACAGAGAAGGCGTTAGAGGGAAAGCAGGTCGGTCAGGTGCGAAGACACGCAGACGAATACCTTCTGCCTTTTCTGACAACTGCCGAGCCGCCTGGGCCGCCTGCATCACAGGCAATAACAAAAACGCGCAGTTAAATAAGGCACCCCACGCACAGACCCCGCTTCGTATACACGCCTACATGTACGCATATATATGAAAATATAGCTTATAGAGCACAGAAACAATCTTGTCAGCAGAAACAACCCCGTTGTTTCCGAACGATGTTCACACACACACACATCGATATACCGATTTCACGTACGACATGCGCTCAATAGACAGATTTTTAAAGCGGGAACGCAAAAGCCCCACAAACAGCCACAAGACAGCACAGTGCAGAGGGACTATGAGTGCCTTTCAGAAGAGCCGCGTCGAGCCGGCTGAGGCGGCAGTAGCAAGCAGCGGTAGCAGGTAGAACACGAGGCAATGGGGGCTAGGCGAGGCTAGTGGATACAAGGACACTTCGCAAAAGCGCACTTAATGGAGCCTCGGGTAAGGCCCTCGTCGTGTCAAAGAAGACGCCCAAGAAAATCCCCCACAGTAAAGCCGCATTCTCCCCCCCTCCGCAATGAGAGTATGTCTTTCTGGGGTGCTTGTTGCCCACCTTTACGAGCTTCTGCTGCAAATCCGAGTCGTTCGCCTCGAAGGCCCTCTCCCGCTCAAACAAGAGCTGCCGATGGCTGTGTATGACAGAGGCAACAGCAAAGAGGCGCAAGAAGCAAAAAAAGAGAAATAGCAGTGCGTTCAAGGGCAGGAGGGAGGCCAGCAGCAGGAAGAAGGCTACAGCTGCTTGCACACCTCGAGCCAAGCCCTAAGACCGGTCGCATCCATTTCTGGATAAGGCCCCTAATAAGTTGTCGGTTGGATTCCGTCTCATCTGTAGCACAGCCAACGCCCATACACACATATACATGTATACACATACACACGCATATACACACATGGACACACATATACATATATACACATACACACGCATATACACACATAGACACGCATATACACATATACACACATAGACACGCATAGACACATATATACATATATAGACACATATAGACAGATATACACATATATGGACACATATAGACACATATACATATATACACACGTACACACGCATATACACACCTATAGACACCTATAGACACCTATATACACGTATACACACATATACACATATATAGACACATATACATAAAGAGCTACATGCACCCGCCGCAAAGCCTTTTTTGGAAGACGTCTGCAGATGTTGAGAAGGCTGGGAGGCCTGCTCCTTTGCACAAGGCGTGAGCGCTTGAGGAAGGAGGCAACCGTGTGGATCTGCCTGACCATCGTGCTGCCACAAAAGGACCAGTACTTTGCCAAGATCGTTGCTTGCAAGATCCTGAGCTGTGATTGGCAAGTGCCCCAAGACTTCTAGCAGACGCCTCCGCAGGGAGAAGTTGGGGAGTGTGTCATCCCTGAAGGGAGCCAGCCAGCCTGCGAGCACCTGTAAAAGGCGAGCAAACACGAAGGCTCCAACTTATGAATGGACGAATTGAGCGGCGCACTGGCGAGCTTCGCAGAAAGGCATTTATGGCATCGAGGCAAGCGAGCCGGAACAAAAGGACACGTGTTCCCCACATCACAGGTGCAGACGCAGACACACACATGTGTAGGGGCGGAGGTGATGATGACACGCGATATGCCTAGGAAGAGATGCGAAGTCAGAGGGTAGAAGAGCAGGTGCGCTGTGAAAGCTCTGAAGAGGCCTCTCTCACCCCCCTCCCGCCACAGAAAACACAGGTGTGCACGCGGAAAAGCAGGAGACAAAGGGGCACCCCAGGCGAGCCTCGTGGAGAACTCCTGGGATGTGAAGGGCCATGAGAAGCCGCAGCAGCAAGCCAGCTTGCGCAGAGGGCACTGCTCTGGTGGTATGGGGGAAGGAAAAGGCAGGGGTAACCGCACGGGAGCAGTGTTAAGAACACGAAGGGCAAGACCGCGCTCACCTGACAACATCCTTCGGAAACGAACCAGTGCCTCCACTTTGGCTGAGTACAGGAAGCCTCACAAACAGCAGCAGCAGCAGCAGCATCATCGGCTACTGCTGCATCTGTTGCTAGGGGCATAGGCCTTGGGGTTGGCAGCCGCTGCTGCCTGCTCCCCCTCCGTCCAACTACACCCCAGTGCAAGTTCGAGCAAACCCTACCCTTGCCTCTTCTCCCCTCGTGCATGCAGAAGTGACCCCCTCTACCCATGTGGCAGCCGCAGAGCGGCCTTCCCCAGAACGCTCTAGCACGCTTCAGCGATTTTACCTTGACGAGCTCTGTGCACACCGAGTCCAGCATCTGCAATTTGGCAGTAGCCGGCTCTCCTGCCTCAAGACTTCGCTCGTCTGTGCAGCGTCAGAAACGAAACACAAACGGGAAGAGGCTTCCACGGAGCAAGTCCACAGAGGGAGGCATGCACCCATGGAGAGACGCACGCCTTCTCCCGTCCAGAGCTGCCTGTACAGGCGAAAGCCGTGACTCCGGGCAAGTACATGCGCAGCGGCCACTCGGAAGTTGTGCAAAAGCCCCACACACCCGCCGCACATATATATTTATATATACGCATGCAGCTTTTTTGCGGCCTTCCTGTTTACCTTGCTGCGAGGCCTCAGACATTTTTTGCAGCATTTGGTTGCAAAAGAGCTGGAGATCCGAGTCCAGAGGCTTGGGCCGCCTTTTGCGCCTCTGTCTCAGACGATCAAGCGCTCCTTCGAAGCTTGTTGGGTCGGCTGAAGGGGCTGGATCTGTCCAGTCAACCTCCCGCTGATTGCAAAAAGCACACATGGCAAGGCTTCCCCATGCGACACCGGCTGCAAACCTCATCGACCGTAGTGCTCAGCAGGTTACAAGGAGCGACGCGTTCGATTCTGCAGCCCTTCCTTCCTAGGGGGGAAACAGACAGTCACAAAGAGTAAAGTGCGATTGGGAAGCCGAAGACTGGTCGGCAGGATACGCAGTCGCGAAAAAACGCACATCACTTTCTATTCCTCCCTCTACTGGCACAATGTCGTCGGGGTCTTCGTGAATGGCGGCTTCTTCATCCCTCTCTATGAAGCCTCCGAGAGTTTCATCTTCTGCATCGCCTCCATCTCCTCCGCCGCTGTTGCTGCCCCCTCCTTTGCGTTGCTCTCTGTGCTTATGCTTATGCTTGTGCTTGTGCTTGTGCTTGTGCTTATTCTCGCTCTTGTCCTTCTTCTTCTTCTCTCGACGCGCAGACAGCTCACTGTGAGGTGCTGCTTCCTCGGCCACTTGCCGCTGCCGCTGCTGCTGCTGCAACAACTCCTCTTCTGCTGGCAGGGGTCGCTGCTCCTCCTCCACGACATTCTGTTCTTGCGAAAGCCGAAAGCGCTCATCTCTTGAATCCAGCGCCTCCTCCTCATGGATCTTGTCATCATTCACGCCCTCCTCCACGCCAAAGAGTCCGCCCGCCTCAGGTATCGCCATTGTGCCTGGTGGCTGCAGAGTGAGCTGCTTGATGGGGTGCTCTTGCCGTTGCTCCCGCTGCTGCCAAAATTACTGCTGCGGAAAGAAGAGAGTCAAGGCCCTATTTCCGCCGCTGCTGCCGCGGGCAGCGCGCTTCCTCACGCAGATCTTCGCTGCCGTTCAGAAGACTCTCCGGATGATCGACTGACTGCTGCTGACGCAGTTTCGGCTGCTGCCCTGAGAATCCGTTTTTTCGCGATTACCAGGACTCTCTTGGGATTAGAATCCCCCTATCATGCTTTTGGAAGGAGAGAAAACGCAATACCACCTCGCATGCCGAGGAGGATCCCATGCATGCGAATGGAGGTCGATCAGAAGAGAGCACCCATGGAAGCCTGTCCTGTGCTTACATTCACCGTATTCTGATTTCACTTATCATTAGAGTGCATGATATTCCCCTGGAGGTGGGGCAGCCGACGCGCCTTCGCCTTCATGCACGTCCTTCCAGCCCCCACGCATTCGGTTGGACTCGTAGCGAACTCGGAAGGAAAGCAGCTCGGCTTCCATTTCGTGTCTTACCTTTCTTTTGCGATTTCCCTTTTGCTTTAGTCTTTTTTGTAGTAGAAGGACGGACACATGAGACGGCTCTTGCCCAGAGGTTCCCGAGACTCGAAGGCTGCTCAAGTAATTACTACCACCTAGAGCAGCCAGCACCCTCTACTTGTCCCAACTAACCCCACACCGAGCAGTTTCTTGGAGGGTCATCCGACAAAGCGCACAAAACACCGTCTGCCGACAGCTCTCTTCACACATTTGAGGCCGTGGCATTCCCAGTGCTGACTGCTGGGGTCGTCCCTTCGCCTTTCCACCGAGCATTCGCGCATGGACGCCGATGCCGCCGCAGCAACCGCGCCGTAGAATTTTTGCTGTCCAATCCACATCGTACTGACACGCTCTGTAGCCCTTACTTCCCCTGTTCCCGCAAGGGCCTTCTAGGTGCCCGATTTTCTACCCCTCCGCCTTAGCCCCTTCGCAGCGGTATCGTCTTCAACGACGATCCACACACGCCACGCTCTCCAGGCAGACTCTAGGGCATCCGAACTAGGATCAGAGCCTCCAAGAGAGAGCCTTTTTGAACCATCACAATGAAGCGAGGCCATGGTGCCGCGATCGGTGCGGGTGCCTTGGGAACTCTGGCTGCCTTTGTGGCCCCCCTACAGCAGGGGCTTCTGTGGGTATACTTCTTTCTGCTTGGCTCTCTTGTGTACGGCATTTGGTTCTGGGGAAGAGTTTTCAAGCACAATGCGGCTCCCCAGGTGACTGCCAAGCGGAAAAGGAGGGCCCCCCGCAGCAGCAGCAGCGGGCGAGGCAAGCTGCCATGCAAAGGCACCTCCACAGACGCTGCTGGGTATCCAGCTGTGGATCCCAATGCAAAGCCAGCAAGTCCCCGCGTGGCAGCACTTCATTGCAGGACGGAAAGTCACAGCAGAGGCAGTTCTGTTGCACGGGAGAGCGAGAATTCGGAGAGCTACCGCAGCGGCTCTGACGTTTCTGGGGTTTCTGAGGCGCATGCAACCTTGGGGCTTCCGCCTCCTACCACGCGGGAGGGAGAACTATGGGATGAGGGATCTTTCGATTCCGCGGATGAGGCGGACTCTGAGGCAGAGCAGGACTGCCTTTTGCCGGGGGCCGAACACCGCCGGCGCTTGCCGCGTCGTATGAGTTTTTCTTCACTGAATTTGGCTGTTGGGTGCTTTCCTCCGAGATCCAATGTGAAGCATCACGTGGTCTCCGCCTGCTTGTATGCCCAAAGCCTCCCGAGTACTCAAGCGGTGCAAAGGCTCGTCGAGACGCGGCTCCTGAAATTTCATAGATTCAGGCAAGATGCTGTTGGTGTTGGCGCAGTTTTGGCTTATGCGCTGTACGAGTGGTGATATCCTCGGTTACGAAATGCGGCTAAGGCCACCTGAGAGGCTTCTGCGGCTGCTCTTCTTGCTGCTGAGCTCGAGCGCCAGCGGAGCTATAGCGTGGCGTTAGAACGGCGATTGCTTCTGCTGCGTGTCAGTGGTACTAGAAGGGAAGGGGCGAATGGAGGGGAATAGAGGTGGGCATGGGAGCTTTTGCCGCTAAGACGTGGAAGGGCGTAGGGTCAGGAAGACTCTGAGTTTTGCCGATTGGGTGTGTGGTGCTCTGCGCTGTGGCCGCAGCAGCGTTCCCGTCGTCAGCTTTCTGTACCCTCGGTGGCGCGAGGTGTCTGTACACCCGGGGGCGCACGTGCGGCGGCTCCGGGTTCGCGGCATTGCGGAGCTCCACCTGTGCACCGAATGGATAATGTGCCAGCCGTGCGATCCGGAGCGTCCCAGGTGGCAGATTTGGCTCATAGAGAATACGGCCGTCCAGGCACAGCAGCGGGGGAATGATGACGAGGAGCAGTCGAGGGAGCTCGTTGAGGACTGGAATTCGGAGGATTATCGGACTCCAGAAGAGCGAGCAGGCGCTGAAAGCCGTGTCGGACTGAGGGGGGCTCCGAGGCACTGCATCATGATCCGGGCAGAGCACTGCATAGGGGACGGCATTTCGCTTATTGAGGTTAGCGCCCACCCAGCTGTTGTCGCTGGACGTGCTGGGGAAGCCGGCCCTCAAACCGGTGCAGTGTATCTGCAAAACTGTTCAGCCACTGCCCTTGCAGCCCTCCTGGCGCCTCCTCCCACGCTGTTCCATGAACGCCTCCTGCCAGTTCTGCTGTCTGTACACCTGCAGCTAGGCCTGCGGCTGCTGACGGACGCGCAAGGTTTGCCTCTCAATGAGTGGACAGAGCCACCGATCCTCAAGGGTCCTGCGACTGCGGCGGCGGAGCACCTTTGTCATCTTCCAAGTCCTACCGCTCATCTGCTGCGCTGGGTATGTTGGTTTCTGCCGATTTGCGATGAGTTTCCGAGAGTTGCCTCTCTCCACTGCAGCGTTGGTGGCAGCCACAGGATGTCTGTCGGGGAACGAGTGTCGGGTGTACGTGAGCGGCCCTAAGGGGAGGCCTTGGTGGTCGTACGTACATCCGCACGCGAGAAACCTGCAATACGCTACAATGGATGCTCGTGTGCAGAAAGTCTTATTTCCAGAAAAAAGCCCCAGTGTTACTCGGCCTCGCGAATGGTGTCTAGCGCCGCTTTTGCTGCCGCTGTTGTGTAGCCCCTGTTTTTCTTTGCCTAGTGCATGCAGCTTCCTACAGTCCGCGATGTGGCTTTGCGTCTCACGTGGACCGCCGCTGCTGTAGCACTCACCCCTGCACCTCTAGCTCCGATCCTTCTCGTGCTCGCTTCTGCCGTCTCAGACAAAAGTCCTCCTAAAGGCCCCTCGGCGTCTCGCAGAAGCTCTCTGGGTAGGCGCCTTGCTGTTTCGGGGGGCGCTGAGGACGATTGTTGCAGCCATCGTCAACAAACGCGATGCATGCACACCCATGACAGGATCCGCGGAGCACAGGAACAGGCTGCTATGGTGTGAGCGGGCTCAGGTATGCACTACGCCTTGCATGGGGCTGCTTTGTCTGTCGAAAGGCTTGCTTTTGTGTACTGCATGTAAGTAGTGCAAGTGCGCTTGGCTTGCTGACGCCTCGGAAGCGGTGTCTACGAACTTTCTGATGGCCGTTACTGCTGCCTGCACAAAGGGGCTGCTGCTGCGCTGCAGGTGGCCTCAGCGTCCCCCCTCAGTTTGCAGTTCGTGCGGGCTATCAAGAAAGAAGCGAACGCGACTCTCAATGATGTCTTTGTTGCCGCTTTTACTGGAGCTATGAAACGGTTAGGAGCTTTAGGCTGTTGCTGCCACCACTGCCACTGCTTCTCTCGCGCTGCTGGCTCCTTGTTGAGCCCTCTGTGTTGTCTACTTCATGGAGTCGTCTCCTTTTGTCTTTCTGCAGGTACTGTGAGCTGCAAGGCGATGAACAGTTCTCGCACGGCGCAGGCGTCACGCTGCCGAAGATGCTGGTGGCATGCGCCTTTTTCAGGTGAGGCTGGGCAGCATCGAGTTCTGTGTGTGTCGTGCTTTCGTGCCAAGGTCGGAGAATTCCTTCCTTCTAGAAATAATATATCCAGCCCGCCTGGCGTGTGCACCCTTTCGACTGATTTCGCATTACTTTTTAATCTGCTCTGTCTGCAGAGACACTTCTTTTGCGCTGCAGGCGGACGAAAGAGCTGCCAGATTCCTCTCAGCTGTTATTGCGTAACCGTTTTACCCTCACATCGCTGACACTGCCAGCTGACGCTGCAGATGCGCGGGAGAGGCTTAGCCGCGTTCAACAGGTCGGTGCCTTCCCCCCAGCACACCTCCCACAGGCATTAGCAGCAGCAAGGAAAAGCGAGTCGAGAGCACATAGCACGCGTGTGGGTCCCAGCGGATCTGCCGCGCGGCGTGCTTTGTCGTGTGTCTGTACGCTTGAAAAGGCGGCAGCCTTTCCTCATCTCTGTGTCCGGAAGACTTTTTGAGAAAGATGGCATGCGCTGCTCTCCCTGCAAGGGGCTACTGCAGTCAAGAGGGCCGCCTTCTTCGGCCATGTGTGTGTGTCTCTGTGTGTGTGTGTATGTCTGTGTATTACCCGTGTCTGTAGGCTACGACTTCCCTCAAGCGATCCCGACAACCAGCAGCAGACTTCCTCTGCCAGAAGGTTCTAGGGCAGTTGTTGCCGACGCCGCTGACTCGTCAAGCCGCGGAGGGCCTCTTTAGCACCCACAGTGTCGTGTTCTCTAACCTACCTGCCTACACTGTACGACATCTATCCCCTTGAGCCGCAGCACGCATCGTGTGGGAGGAGGGCAGCAAAGCAACACGAGGAACCGCAGAAATGCTCGCCAATAGCCTGACAACAACACACTTATTACGAGAAGCTTGTCCTTCATTTATTACGCTCGCTGGGCTCCAGGGCACGTGTCTTGGTGTTTCTCGTCTGTGCATCAACCGAAGCAGCCGCGCGAGATTTGAGCGCTGCGCGCTTTTTTCGATTGCGGCTGCTGCAGGCGCCCGTCCACTTTTGCGGCTGTAAGATTACTGAAGTCCAGGTGCTCTACCCCAATCTCATTCCACAAGTAAGGCCCCGCAGTAGTTGGGTGTATCCTTGCCCTGCTCGTGAAACTCGTCAAAGTTCTCGGTGGGAGAATTAAAAGATAAGACCTAGCCGACTTCTTTTTCTTGGTGCTGCGGCCCCTGCCATGGTGCTGTTTCGAGGTGTGCCCCTGCCTTCACAATATCCTTTGTCAGAAGACGCCGCTGCTTCTTTGAGCTCCCGTTGGTTGCTTATTGCGTTCCTGGCGCGTAGCCATAGGTCCCTTAATTTCGTTCTTCTTGACGGCTTGTGCTGCTTGGGGATCAGCAGTCCCGCCTTTGTTCAAGCAAACAAACGGTTTCATTCCTCTGGATAGCTGCGTTCGCCTTCCAGCCCACTGTCCCTCCGTATTTTTCAGCTGTCTCTGGGCTTTTTAGGTAGAAGTGGTGTCGTACGCTGGACGCATCTTCTTGTCTTTCGTGTACGATCCCTCGGTTGTAACGGAGGGGCACAAGATCCCTCATTTGTTTGCGGAGGTGGGCTTATTCGGCTTTCACGAACCCGCTTCCTCCCTCGTGTTGTCGCTGCCAATGAGGCTTTCTGCCGATCCATGAGGCCGCAGGGGCGCTATTTCTTCTACTCGTGGGTGTGGCTGCTCGCCTCAGGAGTTGCTTCGTCTGGCAGACGCTTATGGCGTCCGCAGACCTGAAGACGAGCACCAGCAAGAGGGGCAGGAAGACTTAATGAAAACAGCACAACAGGCTGCTAACGGATCCAGTAGCCCAAGCACAACCAATGGATCTTCAAATTCCAGCATCTAATGCAGCAACACGTCTAACGTTTTGGCGACCATTGTTTTGGGGCCCACGTGGATTTTAACCTAGCGTAGACTTCGACTGGAGAAAAGCTGTCTTTATACGGCATAGACTGCAATGTCCAGAGGGATCACACGCCTTTTCTCCAGAGCAGGATGCTGCTGCAGGAAGGATGTATTGGGAATTTTTCGCACTCTTTGTCTCTGGGCAAGGTCCAGGAAAACAGATGAGGCTTCTCCATACGGTAGCTGCTTACTGGCGGTGCCAGTGTCGGTGTCTCCGTGGCGCTGCTGTTTGCTCCCCTGCAAGCTGTACAGGCCCGCAAAAATCATGACTAAATCGCGTTCGGAGTGCCCTGCCGCTACCTATGAACTGTTGGCGGGTACTGCTGCCTCTGGTTCACCAGCTAAACGAGCTCGTGGATCTGGGGCGATGTCTCGTTGGATCTGCATTGACAACAGTTAGATTGTCTTTTGCGCCCCTCCATCTTCCCAATGCGATCCGTTAAGAGGCTCCAGCCAGCTCATAGCCCATGGGATCTGACTGCATGGTAAGCAACGAGCTGCCGTGAAGAGAGGTCACTTGAGTTCCCGCTGTCTCATCTGAGGGCTTGTAAGGACATGTACATGTAGTAAGGTGGCTCGATGCATCACAATAGGGCTCTTGTTTAGGAGGCATTTACCTGCAGTAAGAGTACATCAGCAGCTCTGTGCTGCTCTTTGTATTTTGCGTGTGCAGGGGTGCAATAGCCCACAGCTCACTCCCCGATGTATTTAAAGTGCCTCTCCAATTCCCCTTTAGGTCATAGGAGATAACGGGCGAAACAGGGAATATATTCTAATATCCTAGGAAATTTCTGGCCGAAGTGCTGGTGCCACATGCATGCTAGCATTTCGTGCTCAGCCTTTTGATTCACGTTGTTTGTACTGCTTGAGATTACACCAGACTTGCTGTAATAATGCCAAGAGCAGGAAAGCTAGAGCCGGAATCTTGGTAGGGGTAGTTCATTCCATACTGCGCATTGATTCTTTACAGCAAGGTACGCTCACGTTTTCTGGAGTGGTAGTTTACCTTGCAAGAAGGCTGACACTCTAGACATTGAGGGGAAGGTGGCGAGTACAGAGCAGATCGGGACAGCAACAACGGGGCGCAACAGACTGATGGTGTGCATGATCGAGGCGCTAAGCATAAGGACAAGTGCCAGCCATTCTTGGACATGGTAGAATGCGCGGCAGTCCTTAGTATAGAATGCTCTCACGCCACAAACCAAAACCTTTCGAAGGGTATGGCGAGCGCAGTGTTAAGAAGGAAGAAGCGTCTCAGGCTACCCCACTGGGGTTAACCGTGTTACACAGCGTGACTTGCAGTGGGGACATAAAAGGACGAATCGATACATGGTGAAAATGGCCGTTGAACAGATATTCAGCCAGTCAATGAGCTGAGCAGCTAGCGAGTTTAATGTCGATACTCTAGGCTCTACTGCCTGGCTAAGCGCTTGCGAAGATACACCCGTTTTATGGAGTTCCAAAACGGCTGAGTCACCTCTATGGAGCTATAAGATCACTTCTGGATCCTTTCAAGCAACAATAACTCCATAACTTCCGTCTATTAAAGTAATCTCTGGCTTTCTTGTCTCTTGTAGGGGATGTCGAGATCCTTTGGCGGGCGACCACACACGGGGGGTTGCTTAGCCCAACCAAAGCTATAATCCCATCATAATTATTCTTGATTGGTTATCGTCCCCGAATACGGTAGCAGGAAGATAGACGGCGCTGAGCGTAAGGGCTGTGTATGTTGTTGGCATTCATTCATTGTAACACACAGCCCCTGCTGGCCTTTCTTAAACCGGCATGTACTAGCTGCCACAGGGAGTGTCAAAGTCTAAACCGCCATGGCGTCGGTATCAACTAGGCATGCTGCTTCTATATTATTTAAGCAACAAAATGGCAACTTTCTCACTGGCCGGCAATAAATGTACACAATCATCCATTGCTGCATGCTATATGATCTACTGTAGTTTGAGTATTAGGCGAAAGTGGTATGTCATATTAGTGACAAGACCAATAACCGTCTCACTGAACACCCCTGATACATTACATCAATGATATTAACCCCATAATTTAACATTTTTCAAGGAATACAAGAGTGCACAACACGAAGAGTGGGTGCAGGGGTGGCTGCCGACTCACAAATTTCGCCTATTTCCAAGACTAAAATAGTAGAAGCTACAATAATGTTTATTTTCAATGCACTCGGTGTCTTCAACCTATGACCGGCCTGTCAGCAGAACTTATGGAATGTGTGCTTGCAGTGATACACGAATGCTACTGTGGCATTTTTACGTTTCGCCAAGACGGTTGCTACTGGGCAGGTGAAAACAAGGTGCTTGCTCCCCTTTATAGGCCCATTTGACTCGTTCCGTGAGTTCAACCTGGTGCTTTGTACGTATCGTGCTAGGATTGCTCTGTATGGATCTTATAGTAGAGGAGTCACCCTTTCTGTGCACATTGTGGTCTTTATTCTATTAATGTCTGTATCTGCCATTTGTAGAGTATTGTACTTGAGCAAGCATATCCCTAGCTAAATGAGGCTTAAAAACAAAAGTAAAATATTTTGCAAACAGGCGAATTCCCTCTAAATGCTGGCTTTCAGGATTGAATATCCAGTAGCTTCTTAGTGTATTTTGCAGCAGCTGTGCACATACATGCCTTCAAACGTATGACCAGCTTCGTGCTACAGAAGTAAAAGTTAGGTATTGCCCGACAGATATTATGACCTGACAATTTGCGGTCTACAAGCAAGGGTAGCGATACTCCGCGGTTGCCAGAGCACCATTTGCAGGCTCTGCTAAGGTTAGCAGGAAGGCTGTAGATGGTGGAAATTCCAGGGAACGTGAAGAGCTCAGTTAGGTATTTGAAAAGTACAAACAGCTCCAGCTCAAGCTAAGTGGTCATAGCCAAATCTGTTTTTACTCCTCGAAAACTTGAAGCGGCTCATCGCACTATTTCACTTTGTAAGAGAGCAGCCATATACAATACTGCCCAAGTCTTCAACTTTAGTACTTTAGGAGGCAAACACCGGATTCAAGGCACCTCTTTGAAAGATTTAATGACGATGCTACTGATAGCTAATATGCTTAATTTAACAACAGCCAGATGTCTCCAGTAATACAGATGTACACCCACAAAATGAGGTGCTAAGCCTTGCGAGATGTTAGAAGGGGACAAGTTACGCTGGCTAAGCTACACTGGAACATAATTATCTTTAACCTACTTGCTCTGTCTGTTGGCATATCTTGTTTGTTGCAAAGTACTTTCACCTTAATGCAAGGAGGCGCAATGTTGCATGCCTGTGCTCTTTTTACTCTGTGAAATTAGCTCTGAGTGCTCACAATGCCGAGCGGCTCCATTAGCGCGCACCGTGGCTGTCCCTCTCCCCTTACGTCGGGATCTAAGAGGTGTGGGGAATAAGAGGTGTGGGGAGGGGAAGGCGAGAGTTGTCCAGGACTACACTCCATAACTTTGCATTGTGGGGGGCAAATTTCTCTTGACGCAAACCTTGGATGTGGAGTTACAACAAACGTTTTAGCGACCCCACACCAAGCAAAGGATTCTGACTTGCCTTAAATAGTTGAGCACAATTCAGGGTGGCTTTCAAATGACCAGGGCGTGGAAAAGAGATAACGACGTAGGGCAACCGCATGTTTGCTGATCCCCGCTTGCCATATCTCCCGATCTTCATGCACGCATTGTCTGCCTTCTTCCCTTCCTATTGGCGCAGCTAGGTCAAACTCATGAGCAGAATCACAACAACTACAGTGGATATGCTGAGCAGAGCAAACAAGAAATTTTACTATCGTGGGTTCTCATTCTGGACGTAGTTCCCTCAAAAAAACCCTACTTTCAACGCACAGTCAACCACAAGGTGGGTCCTATACCACTATGCATCCATCCAAGCCATAATAAGTATGAAGAATAAAGCCATTGATGAGCAGAAGTATTGGCTAGGACGTGAACTTAGCGCAGAAAGAACGTATAAACGAGCATAACAGGATACGGCGCTGCCCTTGCATCCCCCATGCGGGGCTCAGCGTCTCTGATGTCTCAGTCCCCCTATGCCTCTACCAACTCAATTAATCCTTGCGGGTAGCCTTGTATAGCATAGCTGTTCTTGGGTCAGTTATATAAGCAACAATATCCACGAGGGAACTTGGTGTAGTGCAAAGTCGAGGGCGTTCTGGGGTAAGCCTAACGCCCAGCACACCTCCGGGCGATTATCATGTGGGGTACAATGGTCTCAGGAAAACGCCTACAAAGCTAAACTTTACGTGTCTAGGTAGAATTAATCATAATCACTACAAAATCAAAGCAATTGGAAAGTAGATAGCCGCCAGCAGCAGCCCCTCGTTGCCTTTATGCGGGTAGAGCAGAAAAGCCGCGCCGTCTCACCTGCCCGTCGGCGTTCCCCCGATACGTGTCTGAGCTCTGTTGTTGCCCTGAGCTGCTGTTCTGGGGTTTTTTTCGGCTTTTGCGCAGTTAATTTTCAGCGCATTTGTTCGTTCACTATTCATTTAGGAAGTGCAATTTCTTTGCATATTGCCAGTTGGGTCCGGGCGAGGCGCCGTGAGCTCACTTACTGATGCTGCTCCCCAAGATGGTGAAGTTTCGCGTGGCGCCATTTTTGCCAATCAGCTTCTTGGCTCTGGCTCTGTTTTTCGTGGCTTTCGGGGTATCTGGACATGAGGACCCAGAAGCAGACGAAAAAGGTAAGCCCTTGGATATGCCTTTTCCCCAACCCCCCCCGAGGCGTCTCGTGCTTACTCTGCCGGTTTGTTTGATTCAAAGTCGCATAATTGGTTGCCCAAATTAAGGCATTCGAGGGGTTTTAAAGGATATCTGGGGTAGTTATAGTGGAGTTGTCATGGCGTTGGATCCTGTACAACGATGGGAGCTTTCCTGCTCCCCGCGGCTTTCAGCGAGATCGCGATGTCTACAGTGTCTTTTCTGTTTTTACGAATGCAATACACGAGTTTGAAGCATAGGAAGTGGAAATAACATACGTCACAACTCTTCTTGGTGACTAGCCATCGGCGTTCTTTCGTTAAGTGATACCCCTGCTGGTCTGGTTGCCTTCTGCCCCACTCTCCGGAAAGGATCTCATGTGGCACCCTTCACCAATGTGGGATTTTTGAATTTTTCTCGCTTACCTGTCTGCAGTGAAGGATGTTGTCATTGGCATTGATCTCGGTACCACTTACTCGTGTGTGGGGGTGTACCGCCACGGAAGAGTTGATATTATTCCGAATGACCAAGGAAACCGCATTACTCCTAGCTACGTGTCTTTTTCCGATGATGAAAGGAAAATCGGGGAGGCTGCCAAGAACGACGCAGCCGATAACCCGTCAAATACCATTTTCGACGTGAAGCGCCTCATGGGGCGCCGTTTCAACGAGCCACAAGTGCAATCCGACATGAAACTGCTGCCTTATGAGATCATTAATAAAGATGGAAAGCCCTACATTAGAGTCAATGTTCAGGGCCAACAGAAGGAGCTTGCTCCAGAGGAGGTGTCTGCCATGGTGTTGGGCAAGATGAAGCAAGTGGCCGAGAACTATTTGGGAAGAGAAGTAAAAAATGCGGTTGTTACTGTTCCTGCATATTTCAATGATGCACAACGCCAAGCAACAAAGGACGCAGGCGCAATCGCGGGGCTTAATGTAATCCGTATCCTCAATGAGCCCACTGCGGCTGCTATTGCATATGGATTGGACAAGAAGGACGAGAAGACCATTTTGGTCTACGATCTTGGTGGTGGTACCTTCGATGTCTCTGTCTTGGTCATCGACAACGGCGTGTTCGAGGTCCACGCCACAGAAGGTAGCTCGTGACTAATTTTTCTCTTCCGTTAGGGAGTGTGGTTTGTGGACACCTGTATCCGTCATCAAGTGGCTGTACGCTTCGGTTTGCTATGTTCGTTTTAATGTATTCGTCTTCGTTTTATGTTTTCTAAACGCGCTCTTTATTCAGAGGGCTGTATGAAATCTCTAATAGAGTTGTGTTTTGTGGTCTAGGTGACACTCATCTTGGTGGTGAGGACTTTGACCAGCGTGTGATGGATTATTTCCTCAAGATAATTCAGAAGAAGTATAAGACGGATCTTAAGCAAAACAAGGGCGCCCTTCAGCAACTCAGAGGAGCAGTTGAACGGGCAAAGCGTGCCTTGTCGTCCTCTCACCAGGTTTGTTATCGCCCTAGAATGGCATAATTGCACGGATACAGACATACGACCCATGGATGTTACAGTGGCGCGACTTGGATTGCTCTCGCGTTGCGGTGTGCAATGAGTGTGGTGAGTGTGGCTTAGCGCCTCGGCAGTTGGTTTCGCTGTGTACTTAGGTCAACGTGGAAGTTGAGGGCCTCATCGACGGCCAGGACTTTTCCGAGACTCTGACTCGTGCAAAATTCGAGGAGCTCAATGCCGATTTGTTTCAGAATACTCTCAAGCCCGTCAAAAAGGTGCTTGAAGACGCTGATCTCAAAAAATCCCAGATTGACGAAATTGTCCTGGTTGGAGGTTCGACGCGTATCCCCAAGATTCAGCAGCTCATCAAGGACTTCTTTAACGGCAAAGAGCCCAACCGTGGCGTGAATCCGGATGAAGCTGTAGCCTATGGGGCCGCTGTACAGGCTGGTATTCTCTCCGGCGAGGGAACACAGGACATGGTCCTCCTTGACGTTACCCCTCTTACTTTGGGCATCGAGACTGCTGGCGGTGTCATGGCTAAGGTCATCAACAAGAACACAGTCATACCCACCAAAAAGACGCAGACATTCTCGACGTACTCTGACAACCAACCCGCGGTTCTTATACAGGTGAAAAGGGGTCTCGGTCTTGCAGCGGGCAAAGTGTCTCCCTTGCCTTGACGGGCTTTGGAGTCATCAAATCTGCATTTGGACTTGAGGGTTTGCTTCAATGTTTGTTTGATGCTGAAAAGCTCCCGGTGCTTGCAGTTGTGGCTGCTCTTCTTCCTGGGAACCGTTTTGTGTATGTGGCTATTTTTTGTTCAGGTTTACGAGGGTGAGCGCCCAATGACTAAGAATAACCACCTTCTTGGCAGATTTGAGCTTACCGGAATTCCCCCTGCTCCCCGGGGCGTTCCCCAGATCGACGTTACCTTTGACGTTGACAGGAATGGCATTTTGAATGTTAGTGCCGTCGATAAGGGTACTGGCAAGAAGGAGCACATCACCATCACAAATGACAAGGGCAGGTTAACACCAGAGGAGATAGAGCGGATGATTCACGATGCAGAGAAATTTGCAGACGAGGACAGGAAAGTCAAGGAGAGAGTTGACGGCCGCAACGCTCTAGAGGGTTATCTACACTCCATGAAATCTACTGTCGAAGACAAGGACAAGCTCGCCGATAAGATCGAAGACGACGACAAGAAGACGATCATGGACAAAATTACCGAGGCCAACGAATGGCTCGTTGCAAATCCCGAGGCTGACGGTGAGGAACTCCGCGACAAGCTCAAGGAAGTGGAAGGCGTGTGCAACCCTATCATTTCAAAGGTGTATGGTCAGACAGGTGGAGAATCCGATTCAGGGTATTCATCCTCCGATGATGACTATAGCAGCCATGATGAGCTATAAGTTATATAGGAGCACCAGAGACCCACGTTTTCTTTGACGGCACCGGCCCCTGCAATGCCATGTTCACATCTCTCTAGTGAGTGCGGATGTATCATCTATTTGGGGTTTATGGTTACAGAGGCCACGTGCCTGGTCTTTGTTCAATAGTTGCATGGCTCTGGCGGGTCCGTCCCCCACACGTCCACCTGGCGGCTCCATTTTTGACCCGTTGACGTCCGGAGTGCGCACGCATTTGGGCCTTTGGGACGCCGGCACTGGTGTGCGGTATAAACGTGGCAGTCTTTATGTCGGCTCTCAACATTTATTTCGACACCGTTGATCGAGGACCAGAGGGAGAAAGACGCCAGACAGCGACGCAAACACCAGTGGAGTACTATTTAGTAGTTACAATGGGTAGGGAGAGTGGCATATTCTGACAATTCTTTTGGTTGAGTCGCCTCAGATAGTTGGAGTGGCTCAACTGTTGTCGCGCGTTAGTGGCTGATTCGGCACTTGCTGCATGTGAAGATGGAAGGCACTCAATGGCACAGTGCAGTTGCAGGCGTAGAGCCACTTAATCATTAAATGCAACGCCTTCAGTCTGAACGAATGCAACTGATAAATGCAAAACAGGCTGTTCAATTTATTTTCAGCTGCTTACTTACGCGTGCATGCAACGTTTGATCCTCCCCTTATGTGGGAGTTAGGGCCGCGGCAGGCAAGGGTATCTTTTGAACGGCGAGGCGGGCAACGCGATAAAAGGAAGGCAGTGGAAGCGCTTCCTGTACAAATTTGTGATTTGTGCTTGGGGACCCCGTCTGCTTTGATGGGTGTCCATTGGATTTCGTAAAGCAGTTCCGCCCCTGGACACAACTCTGCGTCCTCGCCTGCTGGGATCACAGTCCAGTAGTTTCGGTTTTGCCCTCAATGCCAACCCAAGTTCTTGGAGAGTTGCAAACCCGTGTTGGCGGCATGTACACGGCCGGACCGTGGTATTACGTGAACAGCGGTCACACCGTTGGATGCACAACGCACTAAGCGAAGAGCTTTTGTAGCAGGCTACGTCTGGCACAAGTCACAGGACGCAGTATTCACATAAACGTAGCACCGTTCCGACCCTCAAATTCTGCACACATCGAATTGTTCCCGTCTGTATGGTACCTTCTCTGATGGTTACCACCAAGTCTTTGCTCAAAGATGGGTCCAGCCTATTGCTGCATTTCCTTGGCAGTTGCTTCACAAGGCTCTACGACACGGTACGCTGCGAGATGTCATGGCCTGAACCTGGTTTAACCCAAAGTGCCTTTGCGCAATATGATCTTGGTACAATGGATCTCGGACACCAGAGATTGCGGCCGTCTTCACTCTGCGCGCGTGTTCACCTGCGAAGCCGCACTTCGCCTTCTCCTTCTCTGGTTCCCCGACAAATTTGATGACGTTTTAGCTGGGATTGACGCACCAGGTGAAGCAGATGTAGAACTGTCCTCGTTTGAGTCCATTTCCTGTGAGATGATTGGTCATTCTCCACTTGCGCTGGTTGCATCTTTGAGGGCGCAGATTGCAAATGCAACCGTGCTGTGTCTAAGGACTTTTGCAGTTTTACCCCAGAGGTTCTCAATCGCGACTGGCGGTGGAACGACGAACTTCTTAAGAGCGCAGTAACGGGATCCAACTTTACAGCTGTTGAAGGCGTCGCGTACCAAGGGCATAAATGTATGCAACTCCATCGCGAAACCTGCAGTATAATTATGCTCACTCTCACAACCCCCGTTTAGTCAATTCGTGTCAATATAGCTAAGGGAAACGTTGGGGCTAGTCAGCGGTCAGCCAGCACGCTGCCTTTGTAGTGCATCGTATATCCGTGTAAAGTAATTACCGTGGTGTGCGCGGAAACGCACTTCCAGGGTACCCACGCTTAAATTCCACACAAAAAGCGCAAATAATACGAAATTTCGGTGCTAAAGTAGCAAGGTGGAACGTTTTCATCACCGCCTCAGGGAATAGCGACCGACCTGTAACGTGAGATGCGTTTGCTCCACAGTCTGTGGCGGCAGTTGTCGCCGTGTTGACAGATTGCGAAGTACCCACACGACCGACGCTTGAAGCCGTGAACAAATTGTGTAGATCTAAAAGGGCAAGAACACACAATCGATGCCCCCTTTTATATATCACTAATCCTGCTCTGGCTGGGCCTTCGCTGCTTGATACTTGCAGTGAAGGGAAAACGAGCCATAGAAGGAATGCCTCTTGAGTCGGTGTCAGAAAAGATGAGTGACCGAAAATTTGTGCTGCCGCATCCCTGACACAACAATTTGGTGCAGTCCACGTACCTGGCAGATCGCCATTCGCGCAGGCTGCAAAAAAAAGATGATGAGCTCTTATTTGGTCTGCAGTGGCGGTGTCCTCGAAGCGACACTCCTTAGCTCCTGCGAGAGCAACCAGCCGTCGAGCAGCCTATACTGCGTTCACATATTAGTCTTCTTGATGGGAAAGAAAGTGAAAAGATAACCAATTAAATAGAACAAGAGCTTGGAATGTCGAGCTCTGCTTCAAATAGTCAACCTGATTTAGTACTGTGTAACGCGAGAAACTGCACTGGAAAACTAACCTGAGGAGCAGTGAGAGACAAAAATGGTTGACAAGCCGTTTCTGTTGTACAAGAAGCTCATTTGCATTCCGAACAGAATCTCCTTACCCTGACTGCACCCAACCGTTGTATCTGGCTGCAGCAGCACAAAGTCCCGGCAGCCCATCTTTGAAGAGACTGATTCAAGAGATATTCCCCATGCGTGTTTCTGTCTTTCCACCAACCAGGCAGTGCACCAATGTTGACATCCAGGTGTAAGGCAAAATATTTTACAGACTTGCCTTAGGGTCCACTGAGCTGAAAGTCTCCAAGGAATCGATTGCTTTCTCCCCGCAAACAGCCCAGATCCGCATGTCACTCTGGGCTGTGTGCTTCGCATTAGGTCCCTCGCAGCGGTGACTGCAAACAGCCGCAGCCAAACATGCAAAAAGTACCGTCAAAGTCTGAGATGGCTCTGTTTGAAGGCGGGATACACATGCTCAGGCGGTCGCACAAGTTTGAACCCTATCTTATTCTGGCGATAGTGAGTATCGCTATCAAGGGTTGTACATTAGCTTTACATGCTCCAAATAATGCCTTCTGTCTATCTCTGCCAACGTTTTATGGTCCTGATTCCCTCCCGCCATGCTGTGCATAGACCTCACGATTTCCCTCTAAAGGTCGCTGCTTGCATTAAGCGAGGCAGCATCTTTGTATACAAATAGCTTTAGCAGTGCACCAAATATGCTCACTTGCCGATCTGACAAGCCTTTATATCAAAGGCAGCACCAGCGTTGTCCATGTTCAAAAGTGCTGCAAAGCCGAATAGAATTTGCTTCCCCCGTGGGCAATCTACAAAACCTGGTGCTGGACCCGCCCAAGTTACTGTTGTACTTTCACGCAGCTGAGAAGAAGGCATAGCGAGACACATAAGCAACGCACAAGTTGCAGATTCTGCCTAGTCACAATCCATTATTTTCATGCGCACTTCAATGAGGGACCAAGCCTACACCTTTAGCTGTCATAATAACAAGAGAGCCTTCTACTGAATACAACCTTGGAAAGAGCAACCAAATTTGATCACATACACTAGGCAAAATCCACTGACACTGCAAATCTATCAGCCTGGATTTCAGCAAGATTCAATGGATACAGCAGCCTCACAACCGACTTGAAAAGGTGTGGAGGGTGAAGACTAATTGGCTCACTGTTTCTTTTATAGAACGTTGTGAACCTGCCAACACTTGAAGCTCTTCCTTGCTGATCCCAAACACTCTTGAGTAAAAGAAGACAGCGTTAGAATAGGCAGGATGGAGGTGCTCCGGCAGAACACGTGTCAGCGGCTGCAATTGGTATTGTACCTGATAATGAAAAACCCGCAAAGTCGCCAGATTCTACTGCGTCTCCGAAAGGGAGCACACACAGGACTCTTAGCTTCAACGCAAGAATAAACTAATGCATCTTAGGGCAATTATGCTATACTGGTGTTTCTATATGGTTGGACACAGTAGCAGATGTTGCTTACTGGCATGGGCAAGACAGCCACAGACTTCGCCCAGTCCGAAAGTTCCTGAGGGTTTGTTGGATCTTTAGGTGGGCGCCCACCAACAGCGTGTGTCATAGAAGAGGTGACAAGTGATGTATTGGTATCCTTATTCGAAGAATCTCGGTACGCGGAAGCGTCTGCCCTGCAAAGTCGCAGCCCCAAAGCGCCACATCAGTTCTCGCGAGTAAAATTCCATTATTTCGATGCGGTGAGTATTGCATTTGGGTAAACTTAGCCTCGACTTTCAGTGCAAAAGCATTAATTAGCAAGCCCAACAAATTGTTTGAAGAGAGAGAGCAAAATGGGAATGCTATACTACATCACGAACATCTGAATAACCATCAGCCATGGTTAGCTTGCGTACACAAGTAGCACCTAACCAGTATTTGAATGGGCTTTAATTATACTCGAGATGTTTTGCTAACAGAATAAAGCTTAAATAGGTATGCATTTCACCAAGGTTGAAGCATCACAGATCGACGCACGGGGGAACTCGCTGGCTGTCTGAATCGGTCTCATGCCGGTAGCAATTAACTGTGCGCGTCAACTAGTTGAAGCTAACATACGTAAGAATGGTTTTAAGAGCCGTTTCAGCCGATCCGCTACCCTTCAGGGCCCGATTGTTAAGAGCTTCAGCTTGCTCCTTTGAAACGCGCAGCTGCTTGGTGACCTTTCCCCCTGCACACATCGCACACTCCACCGTAGTAGTTGTTAAGATCAGCAGGCGCTGGACAGTTTGCATAAGGAACTTGTCAAACGTTTCCACCGTTTGAATAGTCAACGCATAGCTAAAAGTGTAACTCTCTGAAAAAAAGTACACTTTTTGTAAACTCTCTTTACATAGAGGCCAGAAGAATGACGGGCTGTCTTACCAAGTTTTATATTTGTGGTAACATGCGTGCCAAAGTCATTAAAGAACTCCATCCATCGCATGATAGAATGGTCCGCACACGCTGGAGACTGGCGGTTCTTCTTAAATACATCTGGAGTGCAGTTGCTGCCCTCCGCAGTGCTGGGGAAAGCGGATGGCAGGTTTTCGATTGCCTTTCGGAACGGGTCAGTTAGCGTGCTGCAGACCGAAAGCCAGTATCCAAGAAACAATGATACATTGTGTACCGGCTTGGCGTGAGGCCCAAGAAGTAATACTTCCAGGCTGCATTTTTTGAGCATGACTCGGGCCTTGATAGTCCATATAATTATGGTACTTCTGTGCTTCAAAGTCCCCAACTCTGCACCCCTAGATCGGATAGTCAGCCAAGCAGACCACTCACCTGCTGGAATCGCTGACGAGAGCAAGTCCAGCTTCGTATCTAAAACAATACGCCCTCATCATAAAGGTTTTTGTTTGCTTGCGCTGCGACTCGTCTGCCAGCAGGCGGAAGTTGAAACTGCCGCTAAAAGGCAAAAATGGGACGGACACGTCTGTTGAAGCGTCGGCAGCCAAATCTGTCACGTAGTCCTTGAGGCTTTCTATCTCTTCCACCTGAACAGCACCCCGTGATGGCAGAAACAAAAGCAAAAAACAACCCCAAACAGTGAAACCCAAAGGGTGGCGGCACACAGTCGGATAAGATATCGTCAATCAGTTTGATTTGGCGAGGAAGTTCATTTTTTCCGTTAAATCAAAGCTACACAAGGTGGAGAGAAACAGAATAGTACAAAAAATATTGCTATTCTATAAGCCAGGTTCAGCGTGAGATGAGAAATCCATGTACAGGATGAAACTATGCAAACGAAATACTTTCAGTCACATCATGTGCCAACGGTTTCCGCTCACATTTTCGGCTTTTTGACAGGAGACATATGGCCTGATAAATGCACCTTTGGGCTGCAGTGTTGTTAGATCCGAAGAAACTCCTTCCCTGTCATGACCCCAGTCAAATGCAATAACGGGTGCTCTGAATCCTGGGTCACCGGGTGAGTGCTCATCCCCCAGTGGATTTCCCATCACCATATCGTAGCCGGAGCCAAGGAAGCCTGCACGTTGTCCAGCGGCACCAAGAATATATATAATTTGGAGAACAGAAACGTGGATCTACAGAACTGCTCCTTAGAAGGAGCCACAGTTCCGCGATAGCACACGGATGCATCTATTTCGCGGGACTACGTTGATCATTGTTGCGGCTAACGACCTCAGTAGAAGGCATGGTGGTCGGGGTGTACAAAGAAGAGCTGGCATTCTGGCAAGGATAGGCATACCGATTCCTGGGATGGTGTCTACCGCCTGCTGATAGATATCGTCGTCACTTTGTATGGACAGCCCCTGGCGTTCAATAGGATCTTCAATGTTGCCGTCCCTTTTCTCCCCAATCCATGCTAAAAAAATGCAGACAATCCACCAAGTAAAACAAGAAGCAGAATCACGCAGGCCTTTTCTCCCCATGACCCCAACAGCTTCTTTCAGGAGAGACAGACAAGGGCAAGAAGTAGCTTGAAGGCAGGGGTTATGATGACCCACTTCTATCTTTGCCGAAGCTCTCGAAGCCCGTGGAATTGTTTGCCAACTTGCGACGATCGCCGGCATTCTGCAGAGAGGAATTGCACAAAAAACCTCTTACGACAAGCGCTAGCACCAGAACACGGCAGAAATCCCAGCAAATCGTCTCCCCTCCATACCCACTCAGACTCTTTCAGCACACCATTTAGCCTGAATTGTCCTCCAAGTCTTTTCGCTGGAAAGTTTTGTTAGGAGCTGCAATTCCGCAGATCTTCCTTGTTCAACAGAGGCACTTTGTTCGCAAAGAACTACAGCACTGGATGACGCTGGATCCCGAGTTATCAGTAGTTGCTGCGTTTTAGCTGAGTTCCACACCCCGCTCGGGCTGCGAACGGCCCCCCTGTCCCTACCTTGTCAAGGCGCTTTCCTGTATTCCCTGCTCTTTCTGCAAGTCGCTTGATCTTGCTAGAGCTAGCCGTTTTTCTATCTTGGCCACCGTAGTCCTCATCGCTCCTCTCGTCGTCGTCGTTCTCATCTTCACTCCTTCTGTAGTGCTCAAAGTCCGTTTCCGACTCGAAGTCCGACTCGGAGTCTGAATCCGAGTCCCAGTCATCTTTTGCTGGCTGTCTACTACTTGGAAAGTCATCTTCTTCATCCGCGCTATCATACATTTTAAAGAAAGCCGTTTGTTCGCTGGGACCAACCTCCAAGGGCCCTGGTGCCGTTGCCTCTTCCCTTCCCTCTACCCCGATCGCGGTCTCAGCAGTGCTGGTGCCTTTGGTTCGTTCCAGAGAAGACGCTTCTAAAGAACTGATCGGTAGTAATTTACCCTGATTTTCTCCGAGAGTTAAGGGCTGAGCTGCTTTGCTGCTGCCAGGGGCCAGAGGTGCACTTGCCACGGATTCTTCAGTTGACCTGCTTGGCTGTTCGTGCTCGGGGGCCAAGGACGTAGGCACATACGTCGTGTCAGAAAGCCTTAGGCCAAGAGCTGGGAATATCCAGCTCATGCATAATACAGAAAGGGTTATCCCCAGCAGGACAAGACGAAAATGACATCGCATTTTCTTGAGAGGGTCCTAGTGGTCAACTACAGATGGACGGGGAGAAGTGGGGTGCCCCTAGAACCCGCTATGATGATACTCACTAGATAATTTGTTTTTTAGATGCTAGGTACCCCTCAACCGAGAAGACAGAACGACTGTTCGTAGAGCCACCGCGGCGGTAGCTGACCAGTACTCTTGAGGCAACGAGCGGGAACGCTGGCCAAAACGTGCCTAATTGCTCTTTCCGTACCCTCCAAAAAGCACCCACGGATAAGTATAATACTTTGGAGGATCTTATCCTGCTCGGAGTCGCCGCCAGGGAGTGTAGGGAGAACCTGTGATGTTGAGGAACTCGATGCGCGACCGGCCCCACACACGCTCACGGTACAGCTGTCCCCCAGGGCCTTCTAACCATTCCTCCAGTGACCCTGCAAAAAACATGAAATTTCATGTTTGCATTAAGTTGTGGGCAGCAATGTAGATTTGCAGTGCAGAAGATACTAAGAAGTTAAGTAGACGCAGCCCATCATCTAGCCCACTGGACTTGTAGAGCAAAGGGGTCCATTCCACTTCGAATGGCAATTCGATGATTTTCAAGTTCTTTGCAAAGTAGGAAATAATCTTCTATCAATAATATGCTTGCATCCAGGCTTCGTCCTATGCTGTACATCGTGCGCAGTACGATGGTGATCAGGACTCAAAGGGATGATGCAGCGTAAAGCCCGCAGGGTCTTCCCCGCATCAGCAAAATAGCCGACAGAGCTATTGTTCTGCTGGATGTAAGCACATTTCTAGCTGTAGCCTTCATATGTACAGCTTCAATGGTACTGTACGGAAGCGGCTTAAGACCTGAGGAATTCGTTCCATCATCTCCAGCGGCACGGTCTTGTTGTCCTGTTTCCAGCAAGACATTTGATCTTAACACGAATGCTTGACAATTTTGGGCAAGGAACAGTCAAAAATATGCTTTACTGACGCGCTGCTTGTCAATAGCTATAGGCTGTCGGAAGCGCTTGCTGCAGTGCAAGGAACGCACGTCCCCACAATGCTGCACTCCTCTCAAGTGTTCAAAGGATTAAGCTCATAGTCGATCTTACCAAACACATACGAATTATTGTGGGGATTCTAGTATGCCCTACGCACTTAAAGCGCTACGCGCATTTGGGGAAGCTAAGCAGGAGTGTGGCTAATCGTATACTGTAGCGCTCCATATAAGCTATCATCAGTGCGACACTAAATTTCAGGATAAGAACACGCTTAAAATGAAGCTATTTTCTTATAGGAATTGCATCCTTATCCTGCCGGCGTCTCCGACGGTTCCCGACATGACGGGAGAGAAAGCTGAGGTATGTGTAGTTTCTCCTAGGCACCCGGATCATGGAAAGCTAGTTGCACGTAGCATCTTGGGCACAGACACACAAACGCTTGTTCTACTGGCTTTTAAAGCCTAGCATGCCACTAGCCGGAGCCTCCCCGTCTATTATCACCAGCACACCAAGCCATGCCGCCAAACGATGTGGCGCCAGCGGCCAGTTTTTTATTGAGCTAATAGACTTCGCAATAAGAGTTGCGAACAAAACCAATAAGTCAAGTTTTGGTCCAATAAAACTAGTGTACTAGAATCTGCCGAAGCGTAGCCTAGCCAGCTCAATATACGGTCTCATGCGGGGAAGGCACAGCCACTCATATGGGTAAATGCTGGCTGCATGTCGCCCTACCAATCGTTTGAAGGCATTCCGCCAGCACCGACAGCTTCATATTGCATGATCACGATTGTGGGACGAAACAAGGAGAGGCCTACATGGTGGAACAATGGACGATTGGAAAGGGATGACCTCAGAAGAGGCCAGCTCCAAACTTTTCCTAAGTGTAGCGAGCACCGCTGGCCTGCTGCTATAAGAACGAATAACAGCCTTGCAGAAAGACTATTACGCTAAAATTTACAGTGAGGAGTGTGTAAACCTCAGGATGTACCTTACGCGTCAAAGGCGTAGACTGCATCAAACGCAGCTTCCCCCAGACTTCATGAGGGATTCTTGAAGAGATGCAGATTATGGAACCCACAGAGAAGGCAACTGCACACTCTGCTGACCGTACGCTTGCAGCGATGCCCCTAGATGCGGGAGTCCACTATTTTGGATGTTTTTTCTCGGTAAGCTTCAGAGTGTTGGCTCTATCAGGAGGCATACCCCACATGTCGGTCCTATCCGTGAGAAGCCTACGAATTGCAATCACTATCGAGCGAAGAAAGCTACAAAGAGCAAGGATTCTAACCGCCATGCTCAGACTCTCTAAATGTCTGACGCTTCCGAATCTCGCGCCGGGTGTCTTCCTCCTTCTTTGTGTTTACTCGGGCTGCAGGGGCCTTCGGCTGGATCTGCAAATCCGACGCGCCATAAAAAATCACATAATACAGTGCTATAATGCAACCAGCTACCCTCAAAATCAACGTACTTCAATAAGCCGTCCAGAAAAAGGGAACGTCGAATTTGTCTGTTCGTGTGTGTAAGTGTAAGCGTGTATTTTAGATGCGATGCTTACTTGAAAGGTAACTCTTGCCCTAGCAGACCCAGCCTGATTCCTACACACAATAACATAAGTCCTTCTCGGAACTCGCAGGGGACGCGCCACATCGCTGGCATCTTCTCCAACGTAGACGCTGCTGCGTTCAGCAACGGGGCGTAGAACTTCTGGTCGCACAAGACACAAGGCATCCTTTGACACTGGGGGGCCGAGAAATTTGCAACACACAGCATCTCACGCCGTACGATAGCCTCGGTGTACACATGTAAAAAATGTGCTTCGGGGAAGGTTTCTAATTTGGTGTTGGCCTCCGCTTAACGAAACAAGCAGTGAAGCTAGCTGTGCACTGCACTGCCTCAAATTGGCCTCAGCAGCAGCAGCGTCGCGGGTGTTCAGACTAAAATAAAAGCCCAATTACGATGGGTGAGCGGCGTGCGCACTGATTGTGGGGTCCTGGGCCTTTGTGAAATCGGATATTAGCTGCGAGCTTGAATCGCCCTCGTCCTTCATGGGAATGATGCCTTCAATGATTCCTGCGGTGATTTCGAGCAGCACTGTGCGAGGCGGCTATGAGGCATCCCCACCTAAGCGGTGTATTTATTTAGTCAGCGAGAATGACACTGCGCGCGGAGAAGATACCGCCCCTTCCCGCGTGCGTTTTCTGGGCTAAACTCCGCAGACTACGGATGCAACGAGCAGCAAGCCAGCAGTAGGGAGGCGGCTGCGGGGCCACACTTGACACAAAGGGCGAATCCCTTGCAGCACGCTGACGCACCTGTGTGCCTATTAAAGACCATTCCAGTTTGATGGGGGAGTCTGGGAGTAATAGACCAGCGCAATTGAGCTCTGTCCACGCGACCTGACACAGCTGGCTCCAGGCGAACGTAAGAACCAGGGGTAAAGGTAACACACGGACGCGGATCTTCAAGGTCAGGCCGATATCGACGAGGGACGATGTAGCGTAGCTGCATCCAGCGAGGCACGACACAAAACGGCCAACGCACACAGAGAGAAAGCCAGATGTGCAGGTTGTGCTACAGCAATATCTGTGGTGTCAACAAGAGACCAGATAAGCTGCGACATGCAACGCAGCATGCTGCCTTCCAAGCAATCAATAAAGGCGCACGCCACACCCAGACTCAAGTGCCTCGATGTCAGTATGCTTCATATACTCCATGGGCATGCTGCGCGCAACAACACGGGCCCACACCTTTAGAGGCTTCCCTTCCTTTGTTGAGGGCTCCGGCTTATAGGCTTCCTGCAATTCCTCAACTTGTTCTTTTGCCCGGGACAGCTTATCTCCCATGATAGACTCAATATGCTGTTTCATGCGCTGCTCAACTTCTTCAGCCTCTTGAGAAGCGCCAGACTGCAACCCTACTGCACCAAGCACCGCCAGCATGGACTGCACTGCAGTGCTGACACCACTCTTGAGACTCTGAGAAAAATACACATAGAAACTGCGTAGAACTCTCAGGGTAGCCTAGATCTGATACCCCAAAGCGCCATTAAGAAGGCATGATCTATGTGCAGCTGCGAGGAGTGCAGACGTTGGAAGGCCTCGGTGCAACCGCCCATTGTAGCATATGCAAGGACCTGCGGCTTGCGACACTAGCAGTCCTCCATCATGAACCAGCGACAAATAACTTTATTTAGCAGAATGACCTCAAGGCGTCAATCAGTCCAAAGAGATTGAGCCTTTATCTACCGCAGGCCTACCTCGAAGCTCGAAAAGGCCAAGCCAAGGAATCCGAAGAACGCCAAAAGACCCACTGTGGTGAGGCAAAGAACGAGCAGCATTCTGTCCAGAGAGAGGCCTACTTCTTGCAGTACGAGCAGCGGCATGAATCTGCCGAAAAGCACTTCAAATCCGCTGAGCAGTTCCCCTAGGGAGAGGTTCAAGTCATGGTTGATATCCATGAGGTCAAACATGCGCTTGATGTCTTGCTCGGGCATCTGGATCCTCATTTTTTGAATTACATCCCTAAGCATTCCAAAGGTCATGCCCTCAACTGAGAGCGAGCTAAGAATCGAGCCAACGTCCTCTGGCCGTATCAATCCGAATCGGTTCGTTCGGCGCTCCAAGGCCTTCAGCACTCGCTCCAGCCGTGATTCAGGCACTTCAAGTTGTAGCGAAAGCGTCAGCAGCACGCGAATAGCCTCTGGCCATAATCCAGTCATCAAGAGCCTGAAGCGTAAGTACATAGGAGAGCAAAGATCTCGCTTTAAATTTACTCGGAAGCCCAAGGGTGAGGCAGACACACACACATACATACATATACACACACACATACATACATATACACACACACATACACACACATACATACACATACACACACACACTTTGCTGTGGCCTGCGAACACCACCACTTGGCTAGCTGCAGCAATGCAGGAAGCGCGTTGCGGCGACAATCATTACCGCGGCAGTTTCTTGCGGAGGCAGTCGATGCTGACAACTCTGCCTTTCGTGGGGTCCATTCCGAGAGTATCCATTTCCAATCGGAGGTACTTGGTGCGAATGCTTCCCTCTAACAGTCCAGCTGGCAAAAAGTCTGTCACATCCATGGGGTCTTTGGGAAGTTCGTCCCATAGAGCCCTTGCTGCCTGCGGCATTGCAGAATGTGAAAACACCGCTATCCGTCTGCCTTTTTTGTCCTGCTGCTCACTACTACCTGCCACTCGCCTGTACATCCCTTCCCTTCGCCAGGACCAGAAGCGAGCCAGAAGTTTCGTACCAAGTGAAGGAGACGCAGCTTACCCGATCAGGTATGGCAATGTCCAGCTGTCGCAGAATTCTTCTGAAAATGACAAACGTTACCAGGCCCTTAAACCCCACAATACTTGACACAGGATCTCGATTGAGGAACGGCTTTCCGAGCGCAGTGAAGGGCTGCAAGTAGACCCTGGTGATGCCCAGCTTGACGTCTCTCTCGGGCAAGAACTGCTGAATCTCGTCGTAAGTGTCAAAGGAAATCATGATCCACAGCATGCGCGAGTGTCTGTGCCCGACGCTCAGACCCAGCTTCATGGCCACACGGTGAAACATTTCAAAGGACACCATGCGCATGCCCTGAATCAGAAACACCTTCTCGCAATGCACTGCACTCTAAAGCACGTTTCGGGGGGCAGGCGCCCCTACCGAGGGAAAAGCACAACAGCTAGTCTTCGTGCTGATATTTCACGCAAAAAGCAGCTTAACGGCACCCAATTCCAGCGGGCTGCATGCATGCATGGATGCATGCATGTCGCACCTCTTCCATGGCGTCGAGGGCTAGGTCCCCGGGAACTGCCTGTAAATCCTCGCCTTCGACTCCCCTCAGCGCACTCTCTCTGGAGACTGTGCTCAGCTGCGTGATGCCTTCCTTAGGCCCCGCCTTACGGCCTCTAAGACGATCCCTGCCCCTTCGCAACTCGGAAATCTGCGGCTGGAACAGCTTGTGGATTTCTTTGACGAACTCAACCATCTGACTTTTCCCCATATACCCCGGGCAGGAAGCAGTCAGCCTGTCGAAAGCCTTAAACATCTCAGGAGTCCAGCCAGGGTCGTGCCGGAAAGACGTCCAGTCGATAAATTCGCTGACTGTCTCACCTGCAAAAACGCAGTAGCGGCAGCGACCACGAGCGCCCCAGGGTGCCATATCATCCACACTTCTGGCGACACATGCTGCGGCCTCTAAGCATGCAAAGGAGGGTATTTGTATATTCGCGGTAAACACGAAGCTGCTGCATGTCGTGTGTATGCATCTTGCGTAAGTCAACAAGGGCGAGGCGACTCGTGTAAGGTGCTTCCAGTGCCCCTCTAACAGAGTCCACGACAGTCGAGGCAGTGTGTGTGTGGACTGCGTGCGACAGCTGGGTATTTGTGTCTCACTGGAGGCTTGAATGTCGCAAACGGCAGAATCCTTTCGGATGCCCAGCTTCTCTAAAGCGCCAACCGCGTGCCCTCGTTCATGGACATAGACGGACCCTATTTTCAGCTGCTGAAGGCAGCCAACGACTCCGGAGAAGTTCAGGCGGTTGTCTGTAAGGAGCTGGATAGCCTCATCGACCAAGTCTAGTGGCAAAAAACCAGAATGATTCCCCAACTGGTGAAACACGCTGCGAGTCCGTTCCAGGTTGCTTTCCAGCCGCCGCTTTTGACGATCTTCTGCCCCCTGAACTCCTGTGGCAAAAGGCACATACACACACACACACACACATACACACATACACCCACACACACAGGTCCATCACCTTGCGCGTTGACACCCCTCCATGAACCGAAGGGCTAAAAACAGGACGATCCCGCAGCCGAGAACTTCCGCCTGCCCGCTAGAGCCAGCGTTTCCATTTCCCTACCTAGAGAACTTCGATCTTCGTGCCGCAAGTCAAACTCGTGGTCTCGCATGCCGTCCACATCCACAGCACCCCCAGGAAGGTCGTCAATAGAAAGGTTGTTGCCTAGCAGCTGAACTAGGAACTGGAAGCCTGCGAGCCGACACGCATGCGTTTTGGGGGAACTTGCTAGTAGGTTCAATCTATGTCACCTAGAACGGATAGCTGAAACGCCGCAATCTAAGAAGGCAGTGCACAGCAGTGCGTTCCTGCTGCTGCATTCGGGCGGCGTTGGGGGATGTAGGGTTGATACGGCAGCAGTCTTCGACGACAATGGCCATAAAACTTCTTTAACTAAAAGGGAAGGGTCTCCACACGCACACGGCAGCCAAAGGTATCTCTCCGCAATGTACTTGAGGACCTGGACTACGTGTGTGGTCGAATTCATCCGCTGCAGACGGCCACCGAGCTGTTTGTCGATTGCATCAACAACAAGCTTGAGACATGCAAGTTCCTTCGGCTGGATAATCTTCATCTGCGCGCACGAAAGGATGCGAAGTGACCCGGCAGTCCCGCAAGGGGCGGCGTTCAAGTTTCATGCTCATCAGAAATTCACGCATTGGCACTTGGAAAATATCCGGAGGGGGGGGAAGGGCAGAAAGATGTCGCACCTCGCGAATCGCTGCCCCTTCTACAATGAGTTCTAGGTCTTCTTCTTGCACTTGGCCTCTCTCAAGAACCTGGATGTCTACAAGCGTCTTCATGATAAGGTGAACTTGCAGTTGCTGCTGCTGGGATCCCTGTGCCTTGGCTATCAGCGCCAAAGTTTCCCTTATTTCGAAGTCGTTTTCAATCCTGTAGCGCTGCAGTGATCGCATGAGCTGGTTTGCCGTCTTCGGGGGTAGGTTGGTTAGGGCTTCTTGGTTCGAAGGGTGCACCTCGGACCGTGAAAGCTCCAAGCTGCTGTTCAAGAGGCGAGAGGCCTTCATCGACACCTTCTGCGGCATAATGTTATCAAAGTAGTCTTGAATTCCGCTACGGACATTGAGCGTGTCGAACATTTGAGCATGCACCAAGCGAAATTGTCTGGTGAGTTCTTGGTAAAACTCCACTTGAATGACCTTCAACAGAGTCACGAAGCGGTCTTCCTGTGGGCAGAAAGCAGTGCCAAGCATGCACGCAGCTTCGATTGGGGCTGAGGTGGCTGTCTTTATTTAGAAGCAGGGGAAAAGCAAGGAGGTTGCGCAGGAGTGCCTTGCCCTATGCGCGGCTGACACGCTGCAGTAGCGTCAAAAAAAATCGCCATGTGCCATGTCCACTCGGAGTGAGCGCCTCTTCCGCAGACATGAAGATAAAGGCTCGCTCCCTCCAACATACCTTCTTCGCACCGAAAGGATCCTCTGCCGCAAGGCCACCAGCAGCAGAGCAAAAGACAGAGCCACCTCGCGACAGTCTCATGCCTGGAATGGATATCCCAAGGACTGCTTCCTTGCCAAAGACTGGCGAGAGCAGGAGAAGATGCGTCTCGAGCGTCTTGGCCGCTAAGTAGGGAACCGAGGAAATAAGCTCGTCAATTGCTCTGCATCAAATTGGAGAAGAAAGAACGCATGCTTACATACATACGATTCGCACGAAGGTGTGTGAGGTCTTTCTTCAAGTACAAAGGGGGGTTGAAGGCGGGGGTAGGTAGGTGTGCAACGGCAAGAAACACTCGAACCCTCCTCCTCTCTGACAGCCCTAGATTACATCCCCTCGCAACGCACTGTCCGCGATTTTCTTGCGTGACGAAGTTATAAATGAAGCGGAGCTTGCGCGCATTGATCTTGGACTTGAGTTCAAATTCGATGCGCTCTTCCTCGGTGTTTATTTCGGCCTTTGTTTCTCCACCTTCGTCATCAACTTCCTGCATGAAATAAGGCCCCGCAGTCGTAGAAGTCTCTCGCTTGCGTTGTTGCATCAAAGTGAGGCGTGCTGCGCCGCAGTATGTAAAGCCTCAGGAGAGACGACCCTACATTGGGTATGTCGTCGTCCTCTTCATCTGTAGTCTCCTCAACGTCTGAGGGTTCGCTAGCAGAGAGTTCGAGACTCTCATCACTTAGCCGATCGAGATCTTCCATATCCATTTCGTCACCCTCTCCAGGCCGCAGCGTAGGGAAAAGCAGCTCAAAATCACGGTCCAAGTCGCCTGACGTCAGGACAGAATAACGCGGCAGACATGGAAAGGTGGGTTCGCTTCACCTGGATTATTGCGAAACGCGATGCTAAGGGTGCAAGCGTTTTGTAAAGGCCTGGAATGCGGCGAAGTGGAACCGAAAAGGCGCGACTGCGGATTCAAGAGGAATATCGCTTGCCAACATATACCGGATTGGAGGGTGTATATCTTGACGAGGTCATGGAGTGAAATTCCAACGGCGGGATCGATGCTCGTGTTGACGGCATCATTGAAGTACTCGCACAACTGCTCCCACTGACTCTGCGTGTGCAAGCAAGCAGGAGGCCCTTTGCTGCTCTTTGTGCTGTGAAACAAATACGTGCCCCGTATGCAGATGATGCCGACCCCCTTTTGGCTGCAAAAACGTTTTCGCCCGTACCAAGTCTGCATCGCTTCCCTTAACGCGTTGGAGCAAGGAAAAATAGTTCTTCGCCGACAAGTGATCCTTGTGGGCCTCCACAAACTTGTCAAAGATCAGCTGAACCTTGAGCAGCTCATCGAGCTCTTCGGCCGGAGGATACTTAGGCACTGCAATAATCGCTTGATTGTATGTCGTGTTGGGAGGCGGCGACGTATCCACCTTGTACCTACAGTCGCACCGTTCATGCCAATTTTAAGGCCACCTTTCTTGCCTTCAGACAGCACGTGGAGCTGGCGAGAAAGCCGCCTTCGCGGATTTGAGGCCCAACGGGGTGCACAGCAAAACGGCTACCTACCGCTTTGCGGTGTGACTGCGAGAACACCCCCAGGGAATGACCTCTGCAAGGCGTGTGGAGCTTGGCTTACCCATAGCGCGGTCCATACTTCACGCCATCCTTTAAAAGCGCAGTATCCCATCCCGTCAGCATGTCATCCACCCGTTCACTATGGCGTTCGACTTCCGCGCAGGTGGCAAAGCGTGCTGCAAAGGCAGTCCTCATCGCAGAACGCTGCTAATCTACGCTTCCTGCTGTAGTGCTGTATACATAGACGCGTTTAGATACAGTGCGATCGAGCATCAAACGCGCTTTCGGCCGATACGCTTTGCGCTACACAGGTTTTTCGGCGGCAGGAGCGAAGGGGGACAGACACGTCTGCAGGGTTGCTGCAGCTGGCTCATTACTAGCGCAAAAACTCCTTTGAACTACCTCCTTCGGGAAGATTCAGTATTGTTTGAAGGCCGCAGGCAGCGCCGTTCGCGTCTATGGAGAAGGCGTTGTCGAAGGGCGCCATCACCTTCTCGTAGACGTAGGTAGCCAGCTGTATATACACACATTCGCAGAGCAGGAGGAAACTTACGCGCTTTTTAGAGTCGCCTGTTTACCCGGCTGTGGATCGTGAGTTTGGGCACGAAGAAGAAAAGTGTGCTTGGAGTGTAGGTGGCCTTGTGTGCTAATATTGAGACCTTAGCATTTCAAAGATTCTGTACTAGAGGAGCCTGTGCCTGTCTAGATTCGCTTTTGCACGAATACCATGAGCCAACGTGCTGCCCTTTTACCTTTTCTTTCTTTCGCTTCATGCCAGCTGAACCAAAATGCTTGAAAGAATCACCGGAGCGACTCGAAAAGGAGTCGGACTCCTCGTGCATGTACCCCAGCTGATACTCTCTGCGCATGCGCATGCGCGCCTCCTGATAAACCAGCAGCCGCCCGCACACTGGGCCAGTGCTGTGCAGCACGAGCCTAGACCATCACCTTGCATACAGTGCTAAGAAACCTAGCACGTGCTCGATCGATAGAACAACGCTTACTCGGAGCTCGTCCCTTATCTTGTCTCTGTAGGAAATGAGGGTCTCGTCCGCCACGAGCTGCTCTTTCCCCGTGTATGTTATGTTTGTGTGTGCAAACCAGTGGTCGAGAGCCAGTGACAAAAGCAACTGCATGTTTTCCTCTATGTATCTGATAACTGACTCCTGAAGATGCATACACATTGTTACAAGAGGAAATACGAAAGTAACGAGACGTGTGCTCCAATTCTCTGCCTTCCCCCGTGGTGCTGCATTCTACTGCCTCGCTGGCGTGGCTGCAAAACAGCCAGATGCGGCCCCCGACAAGAAAAATCTGAAGAAACGTCAGAAGGAACGCCCTGAAAGCTCACCCTCGACGAAACAAAGTTGCTCCACAGGAAGAAAATTACAAACGTCACCGATCCGAACATTGCAGCATAAGGCAAGAACGAATCGGAGTTCACCAAGGCCCCTAGAAGGAACCACAGAATAAAGGAAGATGCTGCTAGCGTCACAGAGAATAAGGCCATGGTGAGGAATGCCCGACCCAGCAAGTCGACTTTCAGCATCAAGCGCGGTTGTTCATCCCTCAGGAAGGCACTGGAAACGCATCACAAGACAAAGCCTCAGTCAACCGATCCACAGCGCTCCTTGGTCATGCAGCACACAGCAAGCGACATGCATCGAACCAACACACGGCCATGGTGCGGAGTCTAATGGCTGCTATATGATCGTTGCTTACTTGAAGAAGATGGCAACAGTCATCACCAAAACATGCAGAGAAGCCAAACTAACGATTGCGATCCCCCACGGCTCAAGCTTAAAAATGGAGTTCCACGAAGGGTCGAAGATGATATCTGGAAGAAACCACGTGCCTCCTGTAGAAGACCTATCGGTCTCTACTTCCTGTGCGACACAGAGAATCCCAATGTGGAGGGGAAGGAAATATACGCGTGCTGCAGACCAAGCCAGCATGCGGCTTTGCATTATGCAATGAGCAAAACGTTCACGACTGCTGGGAAAGGCAAAGTACACAGTTTCCAAGCAACCCGAATGGCCCAAAACTCCTGAAGAAGAGAAGAGGCTGTCTGAAGACTTTGCATGCGATAGGGTGTCCCTTACCGCCAAGGAATGACAGTCATACAAATACACCCAGACAAGCAAAAGTGGAAATCCGTATCCCGCTGCCAACTGCAGGCAGACGAGAAAAAAGTTGAGAATGTTGGGAAGCACGATAAATTCCGCAGTGCGACTGCTCATAAGCCTAGGAAGCTCCTTCAGTATCGACCCCCATCCCTTTTTGTTCAGCCTGCCGACACCGCGCGCTCGGGTGATGGCAGCCCCCATGAGCTGAATGGCCTTTTGCATGATGACATTGTTGTAGCAGAGGCCAGTGTTCAGCAAAGATATATCGGGAGACCGAGTCCACCAATTCACGTCTTGTGTGATTTCAACATTTTCGATGATCCGAACAAGGCGAGAGACAGACCTGTAGAATCCCACAGAAGAACGAGAGAAGTGTTCGGTACACTTCTGTGGCTGGAGGCTAGGACGCCTTTCCCAAGTGCCTTACCCACTTCACAAGAGTGCCGTACATATTAATGATCTGCAAGCGACACTGCTCACGTACTTGTATACGACCACTTGTTTTTCTTGCATGTTGGAAGCCTGCACGCCCTTTTCTTCATCCGTCTTCGCCAGCATGACCAACTTGGACTGCGTGCTCACCACGCACTGGCCAGGGCAGTGCACGGCTTCTGCGTAGGGCTCAGTCGCGAAGGGAGGCCTCAAGTCAGGACATATTTTTAGCATTATCTCTTGAACAGAAAAGCCGGCCTCCACCAGCTTGGCTTCGGAAACATGCTGAAGCAGGGAGGGCATTGAACAGACAACGCGTGGCGGCAAAATGCAGCTCACACCACGTGTCATGAAAGAATGTTTTGCCGTAAACCCTAAGCCCGTGCAGAATCGTCGCGCTCCCCTGACAGCAGCCCCCTTCCTCCCCGTTCTGCCCCCACGCTGCCCTCCACTGGTGAGAAGCTGCTTTGCTTGTCTGACACCTCGCCACTGAAAGTTCATGAAAGCCCCAGTACAGAAGCCGTACCTCCATCTCGAGTCCATGGGATCTGCAGAAGCAGGCGTACAGAAGCTCCAGCTCGCAGAGTGGCGTGGGCTTCACAACGTAGAAAGCATTTGACTGGCAAACTGCTTCCTCAAGCGTTGTTAAGGACCCTATCTCCGTCTCAAACATGGCGATGTACACCAGTTGGCATGTTTCTTTGTGCTGAAGGAAGGCACACGAGATGCGAACGGCCGGTATAACACAAAGCGCTCGGGAGGCCCGTATAAGGCTCATGAGCACACTAGAATAGCATGCGGCTTCGCAATTTCGGGAGTTTCAGTGCTTTTTTGGCAAGTTGCAAGTTTTCGCTGCGTCTGCTCCCTAAGCTAGAAAGCCGGGAAAATTGCATGAAGAAGCAAAGAATGCACTGCTGGCCGGCATGAGAGCAAAAATGTGACATTCAACAATTCCTCTGCCAGAGAACCTGCATATTCAAGAAACTTTTTTGACTGAAAATGGCCACATATTTGCTAATCAGTTATTGCAGCAATCAAAGAGAGATGCCCTCCGACCAAACGCACCCGGAACTGTGTATCAACGTGCCAAGCGTAGCTGCCGGTGTTGGGAATAGCGCGTCCCCAGTGTAGAGGATATACAAAAGCATCTGTAGTGTGATCGAAAAGCCCCAAAAATACATGATCTGGTCGCAAAGGCGAGTCTGCCCACTGCCACTGGACAAACAGGTCTGCGCCTTGAAGCACAGGACGCCCTGGCAAGTCTCGAACGAAATGCGGAGACACTTCCTTCATGGTGATTCCTCCAATTCGGCTCTTTCGGCCTTCGGAAAAAGCGACGGAGCTTCTGGGGGCCCTGCTGGCAGCTGATAGGAGTGTGAGATCACCGGGAGACGACTGCGGTGGAAGAAGTGGTGCTGCATGCGCACACGAACATGCATATCAGTGTTTGTTTTTGTTTTGTTAGGTCAGAGAAAGGGTTCACATGCTGCCCTCTGTGTCTTCGCACGCCGCGTGTTATACCCACAACGTGTATCTAGAGCCTCCCGTAGCCAGTGCAGTAGCCAATGCAACTCTTGCATCAGACTGCCTACCGCGCAAAGAGTCGGTGTCGAGGGGCACCACAACGCTGCGTCTGGATCTTCCCAGAACGGTTCTGCTACTTTGTGACAATTGCGAAGGGTCTACACCGACAGCAGGCTCTGCGTAGGATTGGGAATGCTCCTCCATAAGGCCGAGTTGTGTCAGTATATCTTCGGTGTTGCCTTCTACTTTGCCAAAACGCGCACGTCGAGAGGGTGCCGCCTCTGTAGATACGAGACAGCACAGAGCACATAGGGGCGAACATGCCGCTGCGCAATGGCTTGAAGGCTAAAGCTGCCCAATGAGACATTTGTCCCTGCTTTTTTGAATCGCGTGGTGCCAAAGGAGTGCCACAAGGGAAGCAGAAATTTCAAACAGACACTTTTCCCGTTGCAATGATCCAGCGTGCCTCGACAAATAGAGTGCAAGCGGGGCTGCTGCTGTACATCCAAGGGCCGTCCCTGCTTCGAAATCGTACCGTGCATTGGTTCTTCTTGTATTCGAGCCGTGGTTCTCGCCGCCAGAGCTGCACCCATTGGCTGAAAGTCGGTCTTTTTACGAGCACGCCGCCTCTGGTAACCGGGGGCCTCTTGCTCTTCTTCCTTGTCCTCATGCCTGCATCCCAGCACAGCCATGTTTTGGTGCCTTCTTAGCCCCCGCCGCAGAGGACGCGGGATGTAAGGGCTCACGCATGCAGATCCTGCGAGGCGTACCTGATGTAAGAACGGATGTTTTTAATGTCGAGACTGCATTCCAAACGCCCCCAGGGGCCTCTTCCGTCAACATGCTCTAGGCCAACACGGAAACGACTGTGTCGCCCAGAGCACTGCGCGTCGGGGGAGCTTCCTGATTGCGGGAGGACACACACGATGCTTCCTGCCGGCGGACTTAATTATACACGGGAAAGCGACGGGCAGCCCCCATAACTGCACCCTGGAGGGGCTGGGTAGGCACGCGGAAAGAGCACAATGCATGTCTTCGCGTCAGGAGCAAGTACCGCTGGAGGCAGCCGCCAGCCACGCTTCTCTCGCTAATTGCGATCATGGAGGCCACAGCAAAGACGAGCACATACCGCTCAGCACATGGTCCCGCATGGCGTCCTTCACGATATGATAGAGGTCTTCGAAGCGGATTACGCCATACGCGAGCACCTGGCCCGTTCCTTCATCCGACACTTCAAATCCAATCACGTGCTGTGCTATGCGATCGCGATTCAGGCGAAACGATTGGCCTGGACACGTGAGGAAGGCATAAGCCTGTGCAAATGGCAAGGCAACACAGCAATCGACTGAAAGATCCTTTTGCACCCGCCCCCAAGCCCCGGAACTGCTGATGGCAGGAGTGTCTAAATGTATGCATCCACTTGCATGCATGCCCAGGAGACTCGTCTGGTAGCCCGACCTGTCTGTCCGCTTCGTGGAGCTGCGAAGGGTTGACGAGCGTCGGCTTTCCTCGAAACGAGACATCCGCATACACCTTGCGTCCTGTGCGCATTGCAACCTCGCGGGCCTGATGCCACAGCAGGTCCCCGGATACACATGCAGACACCGCGTTAAAAAGCGAAGATGCCGAGGCATGCATTCGCTTTTAGAAATTTCTTCTCCAGAAATACAGAGGTGCGCATGCCGTGTCTCAAAAGCCCTCCTTGTAAGTAGCGGGGGTCCAAAGCGAAGGTGTCGAAGGCCGCTGCGCAGGTGCAACTGTGATTGCGGGGTATGTGTCTGCAGAAAAAACTATTTATATATGTATACGTTTATGGATTGCCATGTCCTGGACTGCAACAAAGCGCTTACAGAGTGTGACTTGTGCCCAAAGTGTGCAGCCACTACAAACTGGCACTCGGCTTGCAGCAGTGAGTCCGTGAGGCTTGTGAAGAGTCGCGACTGAGTGCCGTGGAATGGATCTGAGCGGTGTCTGTGCGCAAAATATACACACACACATACACACACGTAGGGCCGAGGCATACTTTGCGACAAGGGGCAAGTGCTTCAACTCAGTCTGTCTGGCGTCCCGCATGCAGCCATGTCAAGGAGGACTGCTAGGCAGGGAGGGTCAGAGTCTGTGGGAGGAGATGCAGCGCGTGCAGGGGCTGTTCAGAGCGGCACATTATGGGTAAACTAACCTTCCTATCGAGTAGCTCGTTTGCTCTGGACGAGGCACGGCGAACATGTGAAGCTGGAGATCTTCTAGGGCAACTGGAATCGAAAAGTGGCTGGCCGTTCTCGCGAACTTTCTCAGGAAGATGTCTAGGGAGGAAACCCGAGTAGGGATACACTTGCTGAGGGCTAGCAAGGGGTAATCTGTAAAGGAAAGATGCGGCCCTAGCATGAACTCCGCTGACCAGCGACTCTGATCAATGAGGCGTCCCTGGGCATTAAAGAAGATCAGCCGAACGCGATACTTCCTGTGCATCTTCAGCTCATAATGTTGAGCCGTTTCGAGATGAACGGATCCTGGGTGGCGGGACGGAAGAAAGAACTCTTTTTGATTGAGACCAAACTGGTGCACGGTTTCAATCCGTGTCGTGTTCAGATACACATATATTTCTGCCTTGCTGCACTCGACGGCCTTTGCGCGGTCGTTAGCTGCCTCAGCCCACGCTGCGGCAGAAGGTTTTAGGTGTACTCCCATCCACGCCGCAGGCTGAGAGCAGTCCCCCGTAGACCATCTTAGCAAAACGCCGTGCGCTGGATAGGCTACAGGCACAGCCATCAAGTTCCAGCCTCCATCTTGAGCAGCATGAAGGGCCGCTGTGTATGCAACCACCAGGCACACACACACATACACACGCACACATACACATGCACACATACACACGCACATATACACACGCACACATACACACACATACGCCTCTTTGCGTGAAAAGAAGACTCCATAGACCCTATAAGGCGTCCTCCTCCTTGCAGAGCTGCCCACCCGAAAGGAGCTTCTTTATATTCCGCATATTTTTAGCAGTAAGGCGACAGGGCTTTGTGCAGACCTCACACGGAAAAAATCGCGCGGACTTAGTGATAACAGGAACGAGAAAGCCAAGGCCAAAGAAACGGGAGCAGTGTGTGTGGCTCACATGGCAACTCATGGTCAAGGCGGTGACTCGCAGCCTTCAGCACGATCGCCTCCGTATGCGCTTTCCGCAATCGTGGCATCAGCGTGCGAAACCACACGTATACAGAGCCACAGGCCAGCGCTAAGGCAGCCACGATGCTAATGGTGATGGCGACCACAAAGGACCAGGTGTCTCGTAGCCTGCATGCCACGCACAGCAAGCAACACCCGCGAATGCCTTCCTGCAAGCCTGACTGGATCTCTCCAGCGCAAAAATACGCTACTATGGCCCCTGCAAGTACGCCAGAATAGCCTCAAACGTCGAACGCCTTCTCCGCATGCGCGCTTTGCAAGTGCCGCATGTGCAGGGTGCTGCAACACCAGCATGCGGAACTGCCCCTCATGAAGTAGGGCGTCTCATATAGCACACGAATGCGCACGGCAGGCACCAGCGAATGCACGGGCTGTTTGAGGGCCTCCTGTGTAAGAGAGGCACTTTGTAGCGGGACCGGCATATGGGGCAGCACTTACGAGACATTGACCTTGAGGAGAGCATCGTTCTGAACAGAGAAGCGCACTTGCTGCGCAGCGGTGTGTCGGCTCCACACAAATAAGGTGCTTTGTGTACGGGCTTCGGCCAGCACTTCCCACAACACCAGAAAGGCGTCTTCCACAATATCCTCCTTACACTGCCCTGGACCCTTGACTAGCCCAACGTATTCGCCAGCAGAAGAGGGAAGGTCTGTAGAGTTTGCCTCGGAGAGGCGGCGAAGCTGCGCTCCACAAAGGACAAGCAGCGCACAATCCAGCGTCCCTCAGCCTCCAACGTAGATTGAAGCATTACCGTGCTTTACAGCTCTACCTGCAAGCCACGCAACCTTGCAGAGTGTTCAGTGACTCAAGCGCTCACTTCCAGCGTCGAGGATCCCCCAGGACCAGCTCCGCCTCCTGCTACAGTTGGTGGAGTTATAGCTGCTGCGCTCAGATTACTAGCGGCCTTCAAAACACCTGTAAGGAGACCGTTGTCAGGTTCGCCTTCACCCCTTTGTGGTTGACTTGCTTTGTGGTCTTGGCCTCCTGGAGCCTCCTCACTCGTCTCAGAGGTTTCACCCCCCTCATCGCTAATAGTCCTCTCCAGAAATCTGTCCTGACGCTTGCTTATGGAGGTAGAGGTCTCCTTCGGCACGAAAAAGTTCACGAGCGACTGCAGCAGCGACTCCTCAGAAGATGTGACGATGTCTGGGAGTGTGTCGTCTTCCTCGTCAATGTGCACGCGGCAGAAAAGGCCGCGCGTCTGGAGTGGCAGGTGCAGAATACGGGGTTGCAACATGCCCCCCGACAAGACTACAAACCAATACACAGACCTTAGGTAGGCGTTGCTGCTGAGGACTCGCCAGTTTCCCGGGTGGGAGATCCCTGCATGGTCGACAAGTATGATCCACGGCGCGGCAGGGTCTTCCTTAAGCCATTGGAGCGCACTTTGCACGCGGAGAAGGGAGTAAGGATCGAGGTGCGGCTTGCTCTGCTGATATCGGCCTGCCCACGTGTGCATTGGCCACTCAGTGTCTTCCTTGGATCCTCTGGAAGTCGCGTAAACCGATGCCTGCTCCGCGTCGACGTCGATCTTAATGCTCATGAGCCCCGCAAAGAGGGAGGACACATCCGCCGGCTGGAGCAAGGCTTTAGCAGAGCTCAATCCCCTGTTGCTTTCTGAGACGGCGACACTGACGCTCCCTGTAGCCCTGAAGAGGCTGGCGGCGGCCGTGTCGGCTCCCATGGAAAGGCTCAGCGGGTAGAGTGAAACGATGTGTACCTCGGCGGTACGGGAGACGATGGAGATAGGGGCGTTACTATAGGCTGAAGCTGGACCATCAAGCTCTAAATAGAGGTGTCCTGCGCCAAGCACAAACTTGGCTGCCCTAGACTCGACTGAACTGAGTCGCATATACGCGTGGAAGGCGTCCACTGAGATGGAAGCGGCTCGTACAGGCACACTGGCGTCCACTCGAACATAGCGGTCTGCTGGCGCGAAAATCATGTTGAGGCTGCCGAAAGAGAAGTCCTTTGCCAAGTAAAACTCGGTCGAGCATTTATACCAAGGGTCGAAGTTCGTCATGTGCAGCAGAACATGCAGGTGGCCCTCCGGCCCTGTGCGGAACACTGGCACGCCCGCCTGGCTTGGAATCCTGTAGTGCATCCACGACCGAATTCGAATGAAGCTTTTGGCTCCTTCTGCTTGCAGGAAGGTTACTCCGCAGTTTTTGAGGTTCAGCACGACGTCCGCATGCGGCTGCAGCGGCATTTCTCCAACGTAGACTGCCTTGCGCCACCAGTGGAATGCAGCGCTGCATGTCACAGCCAGAAGCGCCAACAAGCCCAGCAAGCTAAACATGGTGCTTCCACCTTTGACGCAATTTTGGGGGATCCCCGGAACCTGTGGCACGTTGCGCATGAAGTCTGTGCCCAGCTGGCCGTGCGAGGGCGTTGGACTGTCCGGAGAGCCGTCAAGAAACGTCTGTTGGCCCTCTTCAGCCCCTGAAACTCTCGTGATATCGGGATTCTCTTCAGTTCTGCCTGTCAAAGGGGGAGAAGCAGAGGTCCGTCTACGGCTGGCTGGGGCCCCTACTATTCCTGAGCCGACAAAGGCACGGAGTTCGCTCGAGTCTTTACATGCGGAGTAGCGGGACTCTGCAGGCGTATCCACTTCTAGCAAGGAGACTGCGTGATCCTTGCTTTCTCCGCGGGAGGTTGTTTCGCGGATGGCTGCCTCAGCTGCGTCCCTTGAGGGTGGACATCGGGGGTCAGCCGCGGCATGCGGGAAGTCTCTCGAAATGATGTCGATGTCTTCATCGTCTTCAGCGTATACTTGGCGCAGCGGAGTGTATGCGCGTCCCCTCGTGACGCGATCGGCCCGAAGGCCAGTCAGATCGTCTTGCATTGGCCTAGCACTGCTGGCGGTGGTACGAAGCAGTGGGGCCGTACTGGTGGCTAGCGGGCGCTGATCATTGAAACCAAAAAAACAAAAGTCGCATTACAGCTGAAGAAGCGATTGTTGATTCTGCTGTCGGAGCTAATGCTGCTGGGACCGCGCCTTGGGAGGCCGGGAAATCCCAAAGCTAGTGCTCCCCCTGAACCGCAGCCGGAAGGAGGAGCTGGAAAATCCGTACGAAGCTATGACTACGTCTTTCTCCAAGATGGCGTTAAAGGGAGCCCACAAGGGAAGCTGCTAAGGGCGTTAAGAGAGTTTTCCGCTAGAATTTCAAGGGAAATCGCCTCATGTGCAAAGTAGCTGGTCAGGTCGCCGTGCAGAGGCAAAAACACAAACGGAGCAGGAAAGGAGGGCGTCCGTATAGCTTCAAAGCGGGCATAGTGAGGCCAACTTCCAGCTTGGGGCTTAGATTCTACTTTTTAGGCTCCTGGAGAAAAAGAGAGACGATCGCCGCACTGGTATATAGCGCGCTGCCGACACGTCTTAACAACCGTCAATGCGAGAGCGCTCTAAAGGGGGCCACACCCACTCTGTAACTTGAGGCGTAAGCACGCCAACCTCGGAGTCTTAAAAGAATTATAGGCTAGTTGTTCCCCCAGAGAGGCACATGCTGCTCGTACCCAATGGTTGTGGCTTCTAAGGGAAAGACCCGCAGACTGAGACAGGGAGTCCCATGGCGAGGCCCTAGGCCTTAGGCAGCACCCCCGTGGCTGCTGTGCATCAGGAGAGTACGCAGCAACTTAAGGTCTGAACACCACAGAAAGCTTTTAAAAGGAATTAACATCGTAGAAGAAAGTATGAAAAGCCTTGCGAGTACCTTCACGGTCGTAGTGCCCACTCCGGCTCCCTGCTGCTAGACCTCGTCTTGCCTGTCTTCTGCCCTTACCAGCACACACCCGCCTGCACTCATCTCATCCCACTCGCATCCAGTTGAATTATCTAGACACTCCAAAAATTAACAAATGAGCGCATTTTATTCAACGTACTGATACTGCAATTCAGAGCTGGGGCTTTGGTATAACACCCCTTGCAGTGGTCGGCAGCAGTAAAAGGTGTGTCAGGGCTCGACTGTTGGTCACAATTTTCTCCAGACCCCAAATACGCCTTTTTGTACTCCTTGACTCTCTAGTGTGTGCTTCAGACTAGCAGTGATCACCTTTAACAAATGAAAACAAATTGAAGCGTCTTTGAGTGCATTGGAGTAGTACGCATGTATCCCATCGTCAGAATACGGCTCTAGGGCTCAACAAAACAAAGTGTCTTAGAGTACCTTTGTAACTCGTTACCTCAAAGATATACTGACATGATGGAGGACTCAATAGGGCTCGAGGCAAACCTGCAGCGAGGTGCCTGCTCCCACATATACCGCAGCACAATGCCTTGCTGGCTTACTAGAACCGTTAGGACATCTGCCTTTCTTAGCAGATCCTAATGCTCCTGATAGCAGCTGAGATTAGTGGCTGTGTTGAATACTTGGTGGTATCTTGCCCAGTCTCCAAAGCTCGTCACACTTTTGTAATGCTTCCTCCTTTCCTGCTTGCTACTTGTTCTGGGCTAAGCAGCACTTAGGCACCTAGTACACAAAGCATATTTACTTAAATTACCAGAGAATGCGATTATTGGTTTGTCTGCTTCTATATCTGTTTACTGTAGACTACTGTTAGCTGGATACAAAAAGACGCAGTCTGCTGTGCGTTTGAGCTAGATGCGGTGTGCAACTGGCTGTGAATGCTCGTAGTGCTTATAGGAGAAGCTACGCGCATCCCAGGTCTCTCTATCTTTCAATATTGAAAACTTTGAGAAGAATGGGCAGAGGTAAGAGGGAGCCCTTCGAGGGAAAAACACCTAATGGCTGTTTACAAGGGCTGTACTGAGTCGGAAGCTGACTTAATACTTGCGGACACCTTAAATGGAGCATTACATTCCTTTTCGGATTCTTACCAATCGGCTTCACGAACCTTGGGAACGGCCCGGCCAAGGACATCAAGATTGCCTGATGAGGGGACGAAAGGCGCGAGACAAGAAAAAGCTGGCCGGAGAGGTTGTCTTATCCCTGTCCTTACAGGGACACATTTTGCCTGAAACCCAACAACAGAGAAAAAAGAAAGTTGTTTGATACGCCCAAAAAAGGCAACCCCTTCTCGGCCTCTTAGTCACAAGGCTCTTCTAACGCTTCACCTAAAATCTTTGTTGCCAGACAACACCAGGCTTCTTACAAGCTGGATAGAAGTTACAAATATCCAAGTAAAAGTGTTTACTCCTTTTCCATCCCCGCACTCCTCAAAGTTCTCGATATAAGGGGAAAGGGACAAGTAAGCGCACATTGGTGTATTACGCAAGCACTTTAAGCATCCATCTAGAGCACAAGCACACAACCTTGCCTCTTCTTTTATCGAGCTAACAGCAATAAACCAGTTATGGAAACACAACCCGATTAAATAATTGCTTATCTGAAATAGAAGATATGTGTTTGGTGTATTAGAAAGTGACGACGCGTAACTTAACCTGCTGCATCTCCCTCTTACATCTCAAGACCTCTTCCATCATGGTCCGTACCTGTCCGTCTAGCCCACTTGCATGCAGGACAGCGGAAGGGGTCTTGCCATATCGCCACCGCCATTCATGCAGAAAACTAGTGCAAGTGGGAGTAAAAGTGTACACTAGCCAGTATAGAAAAAGAGAGGGGAATACAAACACACACACTAGACAACAACGAAAAGGGGACACTTAAAACAAAACCAGTGCAGCAGACCAAACGCGTCGAGGCACTGATTTCTGTCAGCCTCCTGCTACGAGAAAAGAGGAAAGAAGTAGAATTTTTGAAGGAAAATGAAGTGCACACTAGTTTGCCAGTGGCTCCGCGCCGATGAGTATGCAAACACAGTCGGCACATGCAGCATGCTCTATTTCAAAGCTCTATAGGCCAGTATACAATCAGGAAGTACAGATCATATCTAAGAAAGCCTAGATATAGATTTTGATGTACTCAACAGAATATCAGTCAAAACAGGAAATTTTAAAGCAAGGCCTGCAGATAGCAGAAGCCACTTAAGGCATAATATGCGCTCGGGAAGGACAATTCGTAAAGAACGTAAGGCATACCACCCATGCCAACTAGCTGTTAAACAAGCAGGCCCATGCATTCTCCCGCAAGCAACGAGCCCTGCAACGGCACCTCGATCAAACACTGAGGCTGGCGTTCCCCAACCCAAACAACCGTCTATTTAGTCCGCGGCTTAGCAGCCCTAAAATCTAGCGCTTCTACGGCTCCCTGTGAATCCTGCACTACCCTGCTGTTTCTAAGCCCTTTTGCTACTAATGGAAGCTGACGACTGCTAACTACCTGTTACAGGCCCAGATGGTAACGGACCTTCCCCGTGCAGACTAGGGATGTGGGGGAACAATGTATAAACAACTATCTTGTTGCAAAGGACCTGAAACGTAGCAAATGGATTTATGAGATTGTAGACTTGCACTTAGTGCATAAATGTGTGGTTGGTTCGCTTGGGCTATCCATCTGCCTAAGAGTTATTCGGGGTGTTCAAAAAATGGTCTTCGTGGAGGTGGGTCAAGAAAGCTTGCCAGAACGCTCTACAGAACGTCGAGTTCGTATCTGCAACAATATTTTTAGGCAGTAAGCGAGACTTCCAAATTCACTCTACAAAATAACGACTTTTAAAGCTGTAACAATGCTGAAGCAAGGAATACAAGCTGCCTTTTTGATTTGAAAAATCCACGATCTCGGCAAATCGCGTGGATTGAGCGGCTGAAAATCTATATGACAGTCCACGCTCTGCTGCCGCCAGTCGCATACTAGGCTACCAAAAGAAGCATTATAGCCTCTCTACTGTAGTGTGGAGCTCACATTGGCCTGAATAAACGTGATCGTGTGCTTTGCACAAAATGACACTGCCGAGCTAAGTCGGAATGCACGGAGACGGAACCCCGACTTTGTCTTGAACCACAGCACGCCATTTTTGCAGCATGGTGGTGCGCAACCTTTTCGATGTTCTGAGCTCAGCCGTAGTAGCGGATGCGCGTGTGTCAACGTATAGAACTAACGCGAGTTTAATAGAATCCCTATCCCATTACAGACAATCGTTGTTGCGCTGTGCAGCAGTAAATTGTTGGGGCGCTGCGAGAGCGCGTCGGACATCACGGTGGTGATGCTCTTTACATCGATGCAAAGTCGTACTACAGGAGCCACCCAAGCCAGCGAACAACTGTAGGATTATCACGACCCTGAAGTTCTTCGTGTGGTACATTAAACAGTTACGGTAGGACTGGTGGTTAGAATGACGCCTACGTTAGTAACACCGGCAATTTTTCACTCACCATCACTCGGCATAGAGGCTTCTTTTCCCGCATTATGTATCGTTGCTCGGTTTGGGTGAAGTGATGGGAGTGACAAACAATAACATCGTGTTTTGGAGAGCCCGTAGCCTGGTTGAAGAGCAGCACCCACATCTATATCACTAGCTCCGCCTTTACTTAGGAATGACACTCATAATTGAGCAGCGCAGACACTGGAAGAGCTGTGAGGCGGCCGATAACACTTTACGCTGTACCACCAGCCTGCTCTGTCCTAGTCGCACCCTGCGTTTGTTAAAGTAGATCAGTCAGTGGAGCAGCGAGCCGAGCAATTCAAGAAATCAAAATTTTTAGTAGTCATAGGACACAAGCCAAGCGCTCTTTGCAGCGTTCCTGTGGTATTCGTATAGGTCATGCATTGAATACTTCACTTTTTGCCAAATCTGGCCCAATTTCTTCAGGCGACACACGGAACTGCAGAAGCACAACTGTTGCAAATACTGAGCCTTTGCTTGCTTTGCATACAATTGCGTGTCCTGCAACAGCTGAATTGTATGCCGTCGGTAATGTAGGTGCCTCATAACGTTTTGGCTCATACAAAGGCATCATTCATGCAGATAGCCATCCGCCATCCTTGATATGCTCACTAACTTCTTACTACTTTAATTTTGCAGTTCAGCTGGGACATTGACAACTTCGAACGGCATGCAGATGCACTCGAGTCTGCGAAAGCGAAAGGCTTTTTGTGGCCATCACCACCGTAGTTGGGTATTTGTACGACAGCGGCTCAAGTAGTTATCTAAACCTCCTTCAGCAGTAACTCTTACTGTAATTTTGAAAATACTCGGCTAATTACACCGTTAGGTGCGCTTGTTTGCTCCTGAAGCCCCAAGTAGTACATCATTTGTGGACGCCCCACCAATAGGGTGCTTCATCGCTGACTCTTTGCCCAATCTGAGACCACCTGACGTGATGCTTCGGGTAGACCTGACATTAGCCACTAAAACAGCAGCAGTTTGCCTAATTTGTAGCGTTTGTAAGCCAAAGTTCCATATATCCTGATATACCAGTCAATAGGTAAAATCCCCTGCACTAGCTTTCTCAATTTTCCCCAAGTGTGTTGTTGAGCTGATTTCGGCAGAACCCGATGAATCAGAGCCTGTGCAAGGGCTTGGACTGTAGTGATCAGATTGACGAGTGCCTCTGAACGAATAGTGACACCGTTTAGGGGCTCCTCCCTCCAGTAAAATAAGGAGCACTTGTTTCTTTCATCTGGAGGGTACAAAGCGAGATACCTCTCCAACCAGCTGATACAATTCTCGGGCAGCTGCCCGTGAGTGCGGTCGTTGAAGGTTTTTGGTCAGCATAACCTCATCAAAGCATCTCCAAGAAATTTGTCAGCTGATAGCCTGCCTTCCCACCAGCCATGGAGCTGCTACGTTTACATCTGAGTGCATGCTGGTCTCTCCGGCTCAAAAGGCGTGGTGCCACTGTCTACATCCTTTGCCAGAAGACTTTTTCCCCTAGCGTTTTTTGCCAAAGGAAATCAAGTATTGGATCAGCTTTCAGCTCTATCAACACCTGGCAACTGTTGTAGTTGAAAGCTGAGATTCCATCGCCTTTACTGCCGGTGGATGAGTGGGGAACAACCGCACGAAATGATATAATGGTACCCAGTGATGCGCTGCATCTGTCTCCGGAGTAGGACACTCCAACCCCACGTTCAGTACAAATTTAATATGCAATTATCGAGTGTTTTATTTGAACACCTTCCGTTTCCGCCTGCCCGCGCTCCTGAGAGTTCTCCATATGACTGGAGAGACAGCTGGCGTGTGCGTAGCTTTACCTTCTGAGGACTTCGAGCTTTTACAATTAGTTGCACAAAGTATCTAGCGCACAGGCACGCAACATTGGATCTGCTTGTATCCAGCTCAGTAATCTGCACTCAATAGGACATATAAATGGACGAATTGATTCGCAGCTCTCGACCAGTTCTACATCAAATATAACTTCTATGGTTGAAAGTGGTGCATTGCAACTAAGCGCGATCATATGTCCCTCGCTCCGGCAGTCTGGAAGCACATGAATCGGTGTCATACGCTCTGTCAGTTGGTAAACGGGTAAGAAAACAGGATACTGAAGAATAAGCCCAGCTTCGACATTCGAAGTGGAGTTTTTAGTCCACTTGTGTACCACACACGTAATGAGTGTATGGATGCACATGTATCCCAAAGTAAAAGTTGATTGAGTTTTCATATCATGTAGACCGTGCGTCCTCACTCCACACTCTTGGGACACCTTGGGTTACAAGCGCGCACTCAGCACCTGCCGCCATATTCCAATATGTGGCATACGGTGTACGACCATATATTTCTTTCAGCACTACAGCGAACCGCAATACTGCATGCTTTTACCAAGCGCTTAGCTCACTACGCATGGATTGCAAGGCATGAACTCTATTTTTTTGTTCTACGCGCTGCCTCGACATGCTTCATCTTCACTTTACCCGTATGGCTCATTCTACAGAGGCCACTACGCAAAAAGGGGGATGTAATGTTATAAGGCAGTAAGTTGAGTCCGTCATTAATAAGAAACTGCTGTCGTCTGCCCTACTGCCATAGAAACAGAGTTGGCAGTAGCAGAGAAGCAGGAGGCCAAAGCCAAGGAAAGCACTTTTTTCTATGCGTGTTTCTGATAAAAGGAGCTGCTTGCATTACCTTTGATCCTCGGGCTTTAGATAAGGGCCTGAGCAGTGTGCGCTTATGAAAAAGAATACGATTTTCGCATGCGCATGCATCGTAAAGCCCCAAAAGCTGCCAAAGGCAAAGGTAGCAGCCACCACTGTTTATCCCTGTGTGTGTATTCTTCTTCCGACGTATTCCTCATAAATATTGGAAGGAAAGTGGGCGGGATCAGGGATTGCTCGACTTCCTTCGTTCTGGTTATAGTCCTCTAGCCTTTGCCCCCTGATTGCGGGCTGTCCTGACACCTCTGCAGCGGTTTCTTTCAGGCCAGATGGCGTCGGGTGGAGGGCTACTGGAGCAGCGGCATACCTTCGAACAGTTCGTGACAGGCTCTTGCGGCACCATTCCCCGGCTTCAGCGTCTCGGGGGGGTGTTCTTCACGTGTTTGAAGGAGCGGCAAGATGGAGGGAGGCGCAGCGGGGGGCCCAGGGCACTGTGCCTTTCAACTCTGGGTGGGCAATGTGCCATTCGACGCGTCGGAGGTGGAGCTAAAGAATGTGCTCTCAGTCGCTGGCAGGGTCCTTGGAGTTCGCGTTAAGTACGATGCCGAATCAGGTACGACGGGTGGGCCCTGGGCGCCCCTTTATTGAAGCTTCTCCATTTTTTTCGCAGTCGCTCAGTGGATATTTCGCTAAATGCTGAGCCGTTACCGTGTGCCGTATAAAATATTGTCGCAGCTGCCAAACGTATATGGGAAAAGCAAGCCCGAAGGAGGCCATGCACGTGGCTCCGGTTGTTACCATATTTTTCGCAGGCCAGTCCAAGGGATTCGGCTTTGTAGACTTCCCGGATCTGGAGAGCTGCTTGCTGCTGCTGCAGCAGCAGCAGCAGCAGCCCATTGAGCTGAGGGGACGCAAGCTGAAGCTGGACTGGGCAACGGCAGAGTTGAGGGAGGCATACGGCAGCGGAACAAATGCCATCGGCGTTGCGGGAGGCCGTCAGACCAAGGAAGCAAAGTGTAGGACCATTTGTCGTTTTTCGACGTTGTTCATATGTAGCACTCCATGCGTTTCTGCTGCTGCCGTTGCTAGGAGGGCGCTGTTGCTGGCTTGCAGGGATCAGCGGTGACACTGTGTTCTCGTCCTGTGTGTAGGGAGCCGTGCAGCCTCAAGGCCAGAGATCAGCGGAGGGAAAACAAGAGTGATCGGGCTGTCTGGAGCAGCTACTGCTGGACTTTCTGGGAGTCGAGCAGCCAGTGGCGGTGCTGCTGCCGCGGCTGCTGCCTCCCTTATGGGATACTCACCTTCGGACCCTTTCGCAGCTGCTCCGGGGGTCCTGCCTTCGTTCGTTTGCGAGTTTATGCAGTGTCTGTCCACCTCCCACCTTTTGCAGCTGCTGCATCATATGCAGCAGCTGGCGCAACAGCATCCCCACGGCTGCCGCCGCTTCCTTACAGATAACCCCTCCCTCACATATGCCCTCCTCTTTGCCATGTATCTGGTAGGTGCTGTCAGCAGCAAGGATCTCACGACAGCGGAGTCAGAGATGCAGCAGCACACGCAGCAACAGCAGCCGCAGCAGCAACTGCAAATGGCTGTTACCTTTGATGCACTCAAGAGGCTCCCCGAGTTCGAGAGGAAGCAGCTGCAACGCAATAGGGAAGAGAGGCAACAGCAACTCAAAGCAGCAAGCGTGCTCCCCACTCGCGTCGAACCGGGCAGCAGCAGCAGCAGCATCAACATGCCTGCACCTACAGTACAACCAACACAACCACAGCAGCAGCAGCAACAAGCTCCGTTGCAGCAGCAGCAGCAGCAGCAGCAGCCACTGCTACAGCAGCAACAAGCCCCGCTACAGCAGCAGCAGCCACTGCTACAGCAGCAACAGCCACTGCTGCAACCGCAACCTCTATTGCAGCAGCAGCAGCCACTGCTACAGCAGCAGCAAGCGATGATGCAGCAGCAGCAGCCACTGCTGCAGCAGCAACCAACTCAGATGCAGCAGCAACAGCCACTGCTACAATACCAGCCACTGCTGCAGCAGCAACAATCCCTGTTACAGCAACAGCAGGCCCCGCCGCCGCAGCAGCAGCCACTGCTACAGCAGCAGCAAGCGATGATGCAGCAGCAGCAGCCACTGCTGCAGCAGCAACCAACTCAGATGCAGCAGCAACAGCCTCTTCTTCTGCAGCAGCAGCAACAACAACCCACTGCGCTGCAGCAGCAACAGCCACTGCTACAGCAGCAGCAGCCACAGGCGAAGCCTTCTTTGTTGAGTCAAATCCCCGTATCCACTCCTGCCGCCAGTGGGTCAGTCGCTACAGACCTCACACACGGAGCATCAGCAGCAACTGCAGGAAATATAAATGCTCAAGCACAGAAGCGATGGCCTTTGGTTTCCCCTGCCGGCAGTTTGGCGCAGCCAGGAGTGCTAGGAGCTCCTGCCGCTGCCAAAGGTGCAGGTGGGGCCCCTGAGGGGGCCCTCTTAGCCCAGTCCGCCTCCGCTGCTGCTGCCCCCCCTTCTGCGCGTCCTCCTCCAGCGGCTTTGCGGACAGAATCCGCTTCTGGAGGGTTGCCTTCCACTGCAGCAGCGGCAGCAGCACCGGCACATGAGGCGGCTTCGGCTGATGTATCACCCGCTGGAGGGCAGGGGATCTCTCAAGGGGCCTCCATGCGTCAGTGGGCTGCAGCACCGAAGGCGTCAACGCCGCCAGTGTCTCTGCTTCCGACTGCAAGAGCTGGGGCGTCTTCAGTGCAGGGGGCCTCTTCTTCTCCCTCAGGGGGTTTGCCTGGTGAGCTGCGAATGGAGTGAATGTATATCTGTGTGGTTTCGATGCATCTTTGGAGCAGCGCCGCATGCGGGCTCGTGGCGTCCTTGAGCGTATCCTCGCATCTGGGCGGAGCCATACTACCCTCTCTACTTGCCCTCTGCGCTTGATGTCTTTTGCATCCCTTTGAGGCTTGCTCGTTGTTTCGTTCCGCGCCGCTTTGACAGTTTGTCTTTCTTGCTTTCTTCCCTCGCCAAAAGATGGCGTTTTCTGTCACTTGCTACGCTCTGTGCAGCAAATCGCCCTCAGCCGAATCATCCGGCGTGGGAAGTACCCCCTGCGGCGGCCAACTTAGTGGGTACGTTGAGCGTGGAAAACCTTGCTTGTCACGGAGCTTATTGGCTCCCACCGCTTCTTCCTCTAATACTTTGTGACTCGACTTCATCCTGATGCTGGTGATGCTGCTGCACAAGCTGTCTTTGCTGGCGCCTTGCTGTGGTGGCTTTTCAGACGAAGTCGTAAAGGCACCGACCATGTTGAACAAGTGCGATATTCCTGCTCGACCCCTATGTCCTCCAGACACGTGACGGTTAGAGGGGTTTATAGCCACACGGGTTTGTCTTTAGACTTGGGTCTTCTTCGGGGATGCAGGTAGCGGGGGGAGGTGTTTTTTTTGCGGTCGTGCTGCAGCGTCTTGAGTTCAACTTCCAGCCGGATGGCCTCGTGGACCCCGGAACAGCGACGGCAGGTGCTGTCTCTACAGTCGGTATGTCACATGGTGCTCCTTCTTTTCCAAAGTGTATTCTAAGTGTGTATGCCCCTTGCTGTTTTTAGTACCCGTAGCAGCTTAGATCGATCTTCACTGAGCGGTACAGCTCCCTTTTGTTGGCACAGCCCCGTAGGTGATGAGTGGTGTTGCTGCTGCAGTGCAGCTTGCGGCCCTGTAGTGTCGGTGTTGCGCTGGGCGCAGCCAGGAAGATGCTGGGGTGCTCGCCTGCATCAGCGTGTTGTTGAGTGCTGTTATTTTGGCGCAGGCTCTACTACGGCGGGGGTACCAAGTGGCCATGTAGCTCGAAGGAACACGTCTGAAGCCACTCTTTATATTGAAGGTATTAAAGGACTCTTATTCTATTCGGTGCTGCGGGCAGAGGCAGGCACGCGAGTCGCTGCAGTTTTACTGCAGGATATGCAGAACGCAACCGATGTAAAGCCCAATGCACTGTGCGTGTAACCTTGTCACTTTAGTTTTGCCATTTTTGCCGCTGTGGGGACAAAAATTCTGCCGAATTGAATGGCAGCTAGGAGCTTCGTAGCAGCGATGTAGCAACCCCTAAAGTGCGCGGCGGGAGTTTCAGGTGACTGCGGTGGCTACAGTCATAAAATATGTGTTTTCGGGGTCTACGCTTTAGAACCAAGGGTTGATTCCTTCCTATGGCAACTGGTGAGGCCACGGTTTGGTAGCTGAGATTTAGGATATTGAGAGTCTGTACTGGTTACAACTTAATGTGATTATCTCACAAGCAGCATAGGCTACTTCGTGATGAGGGAAGTAGGCCTTTGTGATTAGTGAATAGAAGATAGGAGGCGATTCGTTGACTATTCGGGCTAATCCATGACCCATACTCGTTTACCACGCCCTTTTGAGCATAACAAAATCGCCCTAGCTAGGATCAGGTTCAGTAGAAGGAAGGCTGATGCCTAAAGAGGTTATGAGACTCTTAAGTCTTCGTAAGTACCCATGCCACACTCAGGTCATTCCGCCTCAGCGGCGGCAGATGTTTTCATCTGCTAGTGTAACCAATTCTCCACATTTTCCTGCTGCTACAGTGGCAGACCTCATGTGACGGGCTCAAATGTACTCTTGCCCCTTGACCTATTTGGATTAAATACAGATTCCTATGATATGGCACCCCATCTGAGGTTCCCGTTGGGCGACTCTCAAATGTAACCTTGATACCAACTTAATCAAAAATTGTTTCACCAAGCAATGCCTTTCCATCGTCTGCCAGCACCACCCCTTTCCAATCCTGACGAGGGAAAAGGGACAGTTCAGGTGCGAGTGGTTACGTTCTCTAGTACTGCGAGCACTCACAGCTAACTGCACAGTATACCTATCGCACCAGCACACCTGGGTTTGATTGTTGGAAATCTTGTATATCGCTGAGCACTGTTGGCGCACAAATGGAGTTATCGGCTGGTCAATTTTTCGCTAATATTTGGTCAACTATGACTCCAGTAGTTGACAATGTTGGAGTTCAGCTCAGCCTGCCAGATAGCGAGGCGGGCAGTACACGGCCTGGGAGGTCTACAACTTCATATTTTTGTATGGCACATCTCTCGGTTCGCGAACGGGACCTGTGTTCGTTGCCTGCTTGCTGAGTTGACTTTGGAGGCATAATGCCTTGGACTCACTTGAGGTCAGCCAGCTACACCCCTACAGCCCTTCCCCTGACTCCAGGCCCGAGACCTAAAGAAAAAGTGGGAAAATAAATCCTTTTAGACCACACACAGGAGCAGCTCCTCCCCAAATCGATCTTTAATTCATGTTGTAGGCTAACCTACGCAGACTTGACAAGAAACTTTTAGACTCTTCCTGGTACTGTCTGTGGGGGCAGCTAAGCTGCTTCGCTTTAAATGAGAACATCTAGGATACTTTGCTCTGAGTAATGTCATTTTGGGGGCCCCACAGCAGGCCATTATTTTTCTTTTGATACTGAGTGCCTCCCGGTTCCTGGTAAAGGCAGTAGACATGGAAACTTCGAAGTGTTGCCATGGGCAGCGCTGCGACAAGGGGGCCTGCAATTAAAGCCTCTTTTCTCATGGAGCTGCGTCAGTGCTGCCAGACAAAATATAATGACCTTTATCGTCTATTTTTGGTAGGTTGTGCTTACTGAAATTGAACAGACAGGTAGGACGAAACGTCAGGAAACGCCGTGTGATGAGTGAGTGTCCTGCTGCTGCTGTTGCCAGCCCCAGCCACATCAGGCTGCAGGAGTATGAGGTAGAGCAACAGGGCATCAGGTCTGACTATTATGCTTCCTTCCCTTCGTTCCTTTCAGTACACCATATGAAGAGTTTTCTTTGTTGGGTATACAACTGATATTGACCTTTTGATTGTCGTTTTCTTCGCTGTTCTTTCCGGACAGCCCTCTGTTCCCTTACCTGATCAAGCCACTGGCCCAGACAGTTGTTTGCGTCCCCTCCATGGGGTCTTCTGTTTATTTGTCCCCACCCTGTAGCTCTTTGCTTCCTTACTACACCCGCGTTCACTCCGAAGCCCCTAGAGGCTGAGCCTCAGGGTAGGGCGTCGGAACGCTTGCCCTGGAGACCACGCAGGTAACCCGACAGCTGCAACTCAGTGGACGGCTGCCTACCTCGTACGGACGCACGAAGATGGGCGCTTCCCCTCCTTGTGTGGGGTGTACAGACACCTCGTTTTTGCACCGCCTGATTCTCATATACCAATTGATCTCCAAGGACGAGGCCCTCCAGACTCGCATCCGAACCCACGGTGGGCCCTCGCTGGACCAACCCTGTGAGGGTGCTTGGGGCCCATGTGGCTCCTGCAGCCTCTGCGATGCTCAGCTGCACGCCAAAGCTGCGGCGGACGTCGCCGCACTGAGGGCTCTCTTCGAACCCGACTCGCCGCCTACAGCAGAAACAGTTGCAGCCACGAGTCCAGGCGGAAGTGTTGCTGAGCACGGACCCTGTCAGGATTGCAAGGAGAACGAACCGAATGAAGAAAAACAGCAGAAGAGGGAGCCTTACGGCACTGGGGCCCCCAAGACCGCAGGTGCAGCAGACGACGCTTCGAAAGAGAAAGGGCAGTGTTCCGTAGGATGCACCGTCCCTGTGGCTGCTGACTCTTCTGCTGCAGAGCCTCTGGTGTTTGCATATGATCCGAATACTGGGGGAGCTGTGCCGTACTCTCTTTCTGGAATCTCTACTCTCTCTCTACCCCCTGCCGCAGTGCGGCCAGGGATCTCTGTGGGGCTTCCAGTTGGGCCCCCCCCCCACTGCCGGGCAGGCCGTATCTTCGTCGATGGGGTCTTTGATCTCTTGCACTCTGGGCACTTCAATGCTCTGCGCCAGGCACGGCTGCTGGGGAAGCGGCTGATTGTTGGCGTTAATAGCGACAGGGGGACATACGCTGCCAAGGGCTGCTGGCCCCTCTACACCGAGGAGGAACGCGCCGAGATCGTGGCAAGCTGCAAGTGGGTGGATGAAGTAGTCATTGGCACGCCGTACGAAGTCTCGACAGACCTCTTGGATGCCCTAAACTGCGAGGCAGCGGCTCACGGAGATGACTGGGCTGCCGGAGCTGATGGACGGGACGCTTACGCACAGCCCAGAGCGGCTGGAAGAATGCTGGTGTTCAAGAGGACTGAGGGGATCAGCTCGACTTCCATCACCCGCAGGCTTCTGGAGGCCACCGCGCACATGTGCGAGGAACGAGTAGCTGTAGACAGGCCTCAACTTGTGGGGCACTTCGCGAGGAAAGCCCTGGAGAATTCAGAAGTAGAAGAAGCCATGAGCGAGGGGGGGAATAACGGACTTCCTGGAGCTCGCGTGGGGCCCTCCAGTACGCCTTACGGGCAGGAGAGGAGCGAGAAAGAGGCTTTTAGAGACTCCTTAAATAGGGAAGAACGCAAGGCCTCCCAAGGCGCTGGGGTGGTGGCTCCCGACAAGGCATATGACAGGGGCCCCGGTAAGATGGGGAAGCGCCGAGGGGACTTGAGCGTCTTCATGTCTTCAAAGAGGCTTCTTCAGTTCATTGGCGAAGCGAAAAAGCCGAAACCAGGAGACAGAGTGGTTTACGTTGACGGATCCTTCGATGTGCTGCACGGTTAGTTTCCCTCGCCGTGCTGTGAATCGCAGAGAAAAGAATCCCTGGCTATGACTCACCTTGCTTGTTATCTTGGGCGTGACCCTTTAAGCTCCTAGGCTCTGGTGACATGGTTCAAGAGTAGCACGGCTTTACGGGTAGCTGCATGCGTGTAGAGGGCCACACACAGGCGCATGCATGTGCGCGTATGACGAGCTGTGTATGCCTGCTACGGTGCGCAGTGGGGCATGTTCGGATCCTCAAGATCGCGAAGGAGATGGGGGACTACCTTATCGTTGGCATCCATGGTAAGGACTGTCACCTAAAGCGTACTACAGACAGCCTAGTTGGAACTATGGAGAGTCCAGAGCATCAGGCGAAACTGAAGGGGGAAGAGGAGCGGTCAGTGGTGACTGCGCTGCTCCGAACCACAGGCGCAGCACACTCCCTCATTTGTATCTATTTCGTGTAATTTCTGCTATTCTTGCTCCTGCCGCTTCAGATGATGCTACAGTGTCTGCTGTGAAGGGCCTAGGATTCCCAGTCATGAATGTCAACGAACGCGCGTTGAATGTACTCGGTGAGTCTTTAATCCTCTGCCTGCTTCCCATTGCGTCCATGACTGGCGGTTTTCGAGTACTACGTGTGACTTCGCTTTGTTCGTGTAGACGGGCGGGCAAACGCCTCTGCATTGGATGCATCAGTGCGCTATGTTCGGTCTGGTGCAGCAATGCGCATGGTTGACGAGGTAATAATTGGGGCTCCATGGACGATTCCTAAGTACCTGTTGGAGATGCTTGGCATTCACATTGTAGTACGAGGCACGCGGATAGACTGCACTGCAGATTCCCTAGGCGGCATCCTTGGGAGTGACAAAGAAAGGCTCTCGAGCGCCCGTATAGGTGCAGAGGGCCACGCAATTGGACCTGTTGATGCTACCTCTGAACTGCTCCTGGAGGAGGATGAAGATCCGTACCGTGTTCCTAAGGAGCTGGGTATCTACAGAGAAGTTGAGAGTTTCTCCTCGTGGACTACCAGGGAGCTCGTCTCCAGGCTTCTTCGGAACCGGAAGGCCCTAAGCGATTCCTTGCGCCACAGGTATTCATGCTAGATGGTGGCCAAGCAGATACATGGATTTTTTTATTGTTAGACGGTTTACTGTTTTGGAACGAGTAAATTAGGCCAGTTCGAAGGTGTCAGGTGCTGCGTTGATGTCACTGTAATATCTCACAGAGCACTTTTTAGGGCGCTCAGAGCCTTTTAGCCCTTTTCACATTATTTAGTGATCAGTTCCTTTTACATGCTTGTAGAAGCAAAGAGGTTCACAGCCTCTCCCGACGTGCCCATAGACATGTGGTGTGGTGCGACTCGTTTCTTTTTTAGGGAGATGAAGGAGACTCATTTCTGGCAGTCCTTGAAAGGGCAGACGGCGCGTCTGGCAGCTGAACTGTAGCTTCGCTTCGAGGCTTCAGTGGAATCCCCAGGCGGTCACTCTTGAGGGATTTATGGGAGCCACGAGGCCCCGGCTACGAGCAACAGCCCGTGGGATGCCTATGCATGTGGACAGCTAATGCATAAGCAATCTCAAACACCACTCCATCATGGCCTATCCGGACTGAGCCCCTTATTTTCTTCCAAGCGAGCAGGAGGGCTGCTTCCATGTCTGCTATTTTGGCCAGTAATAACTCAGTTTCTGCTCACGAACAGGGGCATGCTGCTTCGCCCTGTGGCTATCCCTTTCGGTGTATTAGTTTTTTTGTTTAGATGGCGTCTCTGGCGGCTCGAAACGGTATCTAGCTCCCTGATTCCCCAACTAGGGTGCAGAAACCACAAGCGCTGAGGCACTGCAGTGGGTGCGCGAAAGCCCGTCCCCTTAAGGATAGAACGCTTCACCGAGGCGGCTGTGAGGGCAGGCTGCACGCGCAAATAGATAGCAGTGACTTTTTACATTCTTTTACTTGAGGCTGGGTGGAGTTTAGGTGCCTCCACCTGAATGCGGCAAGGAAGCATACTCTCGTCCACCATTTTCTGGCCCTTTAAATAGATAAGAGCCAGCTTCGTGTCCTTGAAAGCTATATTTCCCTCTTTAAGGGGTTTTATTGTTCCCTTTAAGCTTTAGCACAGGACAATAACGCAATCTGTTCATTCGCAGATCTGGCCTTTTTACACTCCGTTTGCACCCGACACTTAAAGCTGACAAGGGGAATAGAGGCTGCAGAGGAGTCCCGTGTCATCTTCTGGCCCACAGGTGCAGTAAAAAGAGGGCTAACATATTCGCGTGATTTTAAGGCTCTTTTGCCCAGGAATCTGTGTAAGAGGGGGCCTGCCACAAGTGATACAGAAGCAGTGTTTTTATGCTGTTTCGTGTAGTATGTGCATTTGGCGAGTCAAAGAAAGTAGTAGGCTAGGGAGAAGGCGGGACAGAACTGCATGTGGCTGTCCGTAGTTGGCCCTCTGCGGTCAAGTAAAGGTGCCACGTCCGCGTGCCGCCAGGCTTTTAAGCAAGTCAGCAGGTATAAACTACATTGACACCAGAAAAGGTTTGCCCACTAATCCTTCATAACGCCGTATGCGTACGTCTCTTGCTCTATATTAGAAAAGCCTTCCGCATATTATACAACTATTCACTGCTGCAACTTACGAAATCAAGCCTAGTTCTAGCGGTGATACATTTTGTCCAATACATCGGGAAAGCCTGAATGCGGCAAGCAGTGAATGCACAGGACAGCTGGCACTTCAGTACATTCCACAGTGTTTATTGCGGCTTCAACTATCAAATCAGGGCACCTCCTCCTATGTTACAGCTACCGCTAGGCACAACTAAGGACAATGCTTATTATTTAGCACCTCTAAGTCCAGCCGAGTGACAGGACCTGTAGTGGAATAACCCCCTGAGGAGCCCATCAGAAGCTTAGAAAAAGGAAGACAAAACTCGAGCAGAGACAAGCTTGCAGTTGAAGCCCCCTGCATTAATTGTAGTCAAGAAATCGCTACCCTCTTTCAGCACATCACTGCCTCGCAGCAGTGTACAGCTGCCGATGCTTCACGCCAACCGCTCACGCCCAGCCCTCGCAACTTGTTATTTGCAGTGCGTTTGGTATCTGGCTGCTTGTCGCTAAAGGCTTCGTGAGCCTTACTTCTGAGCAACTTTTAAGCTTTTTGATCAAAAATATGCACGAGTACCGCACTTCAAAATCGATTTTGATAATCAGTGCGCTGCTCATTATGTGACGCTTTCAGGTGACTCCTTCACACCTTCCTGTGCTTCCATAGTAGAGCTCAGGCCTAGAATTTGCTATCCCATTGCCCCACTGCAGAGCCCCCTATTTAATGACCAATGGGAAAGACACCCCTAATTCATGGGCCGTGGGTAACCGCACAGCATGCAGTTAATGGCGTGGTTGTAGTGACTGTTCCACGATAGAGTACGGCCCCATCGGCGCTCCCCATGGAAACGGAAAGCAGCTATGGTGCTCTAATCCTTAGAGTACAAATCGCGACTTTGAAAACGCCATACTGTGGATGAGTGGCTTCTCGATCAACATACCACCACAGTGATGTCTAGCTCCAATGAGCCTTCACGCTTTCTGTTGACTTTGTAGACGAAGCCGGTTCTGTGGTGGTTCATGCAGGTAACAGACTAATTGTGCAGAGAAACGCATAAATTGTCGTGTCAATATCCCCAGTACGCATGACGCCAGGAACACGTGTACCATTAGTTTCTTCGCAGTATCGATAGAATACTCTAAGAGTGTTCGTATACGCAGCCGGACCAATCTGGTTTTCATGACCCTCACACTATTAAATTCTTCATGGCCATATACGCTTAGCTCGTAATATATTATAGCAATAGGAAATACTGTTCTTTGAGGGGCTGTAGAGGGAGCGCTTTCAACTTGGCCTGCAGGAAGGCTTCTACCTAGGCAGGAATTTTTCCGTCCATCCAAGGCTTTCGTATTGAAGTGCTTAGCGCCAGGCTAAATACAAACCTAGTGAAGAGTCAATGAGTATTTCCTAAAGCAAGCTCCTTCTCTCCTCTCCCAGCACCCCTGACTTCATTGAGGAGAGGGGCAGCAAAGGTGCGGGTATAGCCGCACCTTCTAAGCTCCAGGCATGCAGAGCTAGTTGCACTCGGCAGTTATCACACGTAGAGGGCACTGCGCCTTTTTGTATCAGGCTAGCAGTATTCTGCGGTGAATAAGAACTACAAGCAGACAAAACAGTTAGTCAACAAATACTCAGTTAGATATAACTAGTGCAGGAGAAACTTCTATAGTCTGGCTCAGCCCGCTACGACAACTCATAAAGGTGGCAGGGACAGCTGCAACGGACGGGGGGGTCCATATCCTCTGCAGAGGTGAGACTCATAGATTCTACAGCCAAGGTTTTGGGAGGACTTGGGTTGAGGAGAATCATAATGGAAGGTCTTGCCATCAACTGCCAGAACGTCCGTAAACTGAGGGGGAGCCCTAAGTAATTTGTAGCAGCAAAAAACAACATACAAAACATCCTGTCCAATTGAAAACGATGAGTAGTTATTTTTGCGCTAAAGCACTCATTCCTATGCTACATATCTCTTTACTGTCAGCCTCAGGGAGACAAATAAAAAGTACTCGGAAGGTACGTTTGATCGGTACCGCCTCCAGACCTGAGAAAGTACACAACACACCCTTAGTTCTCAAGTGATATATAGTTGTCTTGCCAGCATGCAGCAATTAAAAGGGGCTAAGCAACACTAGAACGCTTGCTGCTGTAGTTCGGCCTCTACTGTACAGTCATGAGAGCGGCAGGAGTACGTGGCCTTGGCATCGGCATCTCTTTCTGCTAGTGAGCCTCCCAGCTTCGAATGCAATGACTGCTGTGCTATTTCTTGCGTGCTTTCATAAAATCCATCAACTTTAGTTGTTTCCGTCCACGAAGAAAGTCGGGGAGAGCCCCTGCTCCCTGGCAGCCCCAGGAAGCGAGGGCTAGCAGGCCCCTGCCTTTCGATTTTCTTCTCCAGGAGCCCAGCTGAAGGGCAGATCAAGCATTTTTACATCTTTTGGTTGTTACTTGAGGAATTACAGAAAGGGGAAAGTGTCCGATCCCCAGGCTTGCCCGCCTTCATGACTAACTCTCAGGGAGCGACGCCCTCCACAAGGGAGCCCCTTGCAACTAATAACAAGCTAAGCTGCCACTCACCCAACAGCAAAGTCTAAGAGGTTTCGCTCCTTGTTATAACTGTGATAGCGAAGGGGGGTTCTTTGAGCGTCTTAGGGGAAAGGGGCCCCTGCCCGGTCTCCCTCCCGAGCGGAGGGGTGTTCCGGAGCAGAACTTATCTTATGGTATTTTTCCCTCTGAACCCGCCTCGGTGGGCTTCTCTTCTCTTCGCGTTTCTTACGGGTCGTCTCACGTTACAGCAACTACCCGAGAAGGAGGCCGCGCCCACGCGTGCCCTCCATTGGTCCTTACGGTCATGGGGGCCACTCGGGAGGCTCTCTGGCCGTTGGCTGTCGGGGCGTTGCTATTAGGAACAGCTATTTCCGTGTGGGTGTACCTGCCTTTCTCGTGGCAAGGGCCTTCAGGGGCCTTCGAGATGCATCAGACCCCTCCGCTGCAGGCCCTCTCGCCGCCGCATGATGAGGACAAGATTGGAGAGACCGCGTGGAGCACCCTAGGCAAGCTAGAGCCCGATCAGCTCGAACGCATCACCTCGTTGCTGGATTTGTCGCTCAAGGCCAGAGTCACGGCAGCCGCCTCGGGCGAGGAGGATTCGATGGCTCCCGTGTTCGCCCCCTTCGCAGGGGGGGCCCTGCAGAGTCTAGAGGACTTCTTTGAGGCCACGAATCCAATGCGACGGGGCACCGCTAACACAGAGGAGGAGGAAGAATCCTATGTTCCGGGGTTTCTCGAGGAGGAAACCAAGCCTTTTGAGGCTTTTTTGCCAGCTTCTTCTTGGATTTCACACGACTACGTCGAGCCTTCTGAGAAGAGGGAGGAAGAGTTGCGAGGGGATACACGCTGGGCGGAAGAGGGGCTCACGACTCAAGATATGGGGTCCGCTGAAAGGCGTCTTTCCGAAGAACCAGTATCGGAGTTGGGGGCTGTGGAGAACCCCCTTGGATACATGAAATCACCCACCAAGTTGGTCCACGCTAAGGGTGTGAATGCCCCCGCTCGCCAGCCAGCCCCCGAGGCGAATGTTTCTCCACATGCGAAGCGAGGCTGGAATTCACAAGAGCAAGCACATGGGATGGCTGCGAAGGTAAAACCGGCTCCTAGAGGAGGCAACGCATCTGGGCCTTTTTCTTGTGTCCTCCCCCCACGCAAGAGCTTTTCAAGGGTCCTTGTCTTCTCTTTCGCCATTTCCTAGTTCTAGATCTTTAGCTTCGTGCACTTGTGCCTACCGCAAGGAGCGCTGCACATATTCCTCCGCATAGGAGGAACTTCCTGAATATCGGGTCAGAAGCAACGCGCTTGGGGAGTGGGCAGTCAAGGAGGGTGCACGACGATAGACGCGGCCTTTGTGAGTCTTGCTGTCTGCCTGCCTGTTCTTCAGGGCAGCTGGGATGATCGCATGAGGGGCCCTCAGGGGGCCTCTACTTTGGGGACAAACACTGCGTATCACGGAGTGCCTGCTAGAGCTCCCAATGAGTATTACACAGCGAGCAAGGGTGCACCCCCGATCACGGGTCTGCGGTGGATGCCTGACCCCCGTGTGCTTCGTCCAGAGCTTTTGAGGGACCTCGTCCAGGAGACAAGCTCTAACGACCTCGTGAAAGAACGAGTAAAATCACACGCAAAGGAGGGGATGGCGTGAAGGAAGTGGTGTATGCAATAGGGGGGGAACGCTGACTGGGCAGCCAGCCCACGGGGGCGTAGGGGTTCGCCTACTTATCTCCTCTTTGTCTGTAGGAGAGAGAAACCAGGGTTTGAGAGGGGGCCTTTCATACAAGTGCATACGTGCGCACCTAGGCATCTACTGGGTGGATGGGGGTGGCGGCTTGGGAGCTTGGGGATGCCATTCGTAATTGTAGTGCCCGGCTCTGTCCCTTTGCACATACGCAGGCCTTGTGGGAGAAGAGCTACGGATTTAACAGGGAGATTATCGTCTCCAGCAGTGCGCGCCGCGGCGTAACTTACAGGCTTATCTTCACAGACGTCTTGGGTGTTGGCGGCATCGGCATCGTGCTAGCCGTAAGCTTAAACAGACAGACCTGGCAGAGTCGAGTCCGTACCTACTTGACGGTCTGTTTTTATTCCTCCTTCCTCCAGCAGCCGTGTCCTGCTCTCGATCGCGATTCTCATCGTCGATTCTGTTTGGTGGCGTTTTGGTGTAAATACATATGTGCGCTCATGTCATCTGCTGCCCCCTTCTCCGTTTGTCCCCTTACCTTTTTTTCTGCCTCGATTCGTTCCGTATGGCTTGCGTGTTGCCTCATCGGGCTTCGTTTGCGTTAACAGTAAAGTAGACCCCTCTGCAACCCACCCGTAGGCTTCGTCTCTATTTAGTGAGGTCTGTGTTCGCCTGCGTGTCGCTAGCGGCCTCTGACGTGTGTTTACTGCGCGTTGCCTCACTGGCCTTGCGTGGTGCCGCTTATGGGTCCTCCGCCTCTGCGACATCGCCTCTCCTGGCTCCTTAACTCTGTCATTCCCGTCTCGTGTCCCTACGCCTCTGCCCCCGTGACCTCAGTCGGCTTCCCTCCATCTTGTCTTTGCCTGCCAGATAGTAGTGTGTGTATGCCCTTCTCGCCACCGTCTCGCTCTCACAAACTTCTCGCCGTCTCTCAGTTTTCCTACGCTTGAACCTCCTCAGGCTGTCGACGTGACGAACGGCAGACGGCTGGCCGTGAAGGTCTGCCGCCTTAAAGGCCGCAGCAGAAGAGGCCTCCACTACGATATGGACCTTCTGAGACGCAGAGTTCAACAGGAAGTGTCTCTCTGGAAATATGTGCCTCCTGAGTTTGAGGTCCAACAGTGGTAAGACAATACACAAGCTTGCTGGTCTTCGTCTGGGAGCTATCGCCTTCTCTCCGCCCCCTCCAACCCCCACGGGGTCTACAAAATCACACCCGTGTTTTACGCTCAACTCTGTAGTGCCCGAAGACTTTTTCAGGGATCATTGGGTTTCAAAGCTCCTCCCAATTTGTATGCATGGCTAGATGAGGGGTGCACTGTCCTGGCCCTGTCAGTCCGTTTGTTTGCTTAGGTCCCGTATATCACAGGTAGTGATTCCAGTGGACATGGTAGGGCCAGCAGAGACGGTGCATTCTGAAGGAGACAATATGCTATACTCCGAACAGTGGGCCATTTTTGAAGTCTTCGCTGGTAAGTTCGTGTCGCGCGCTTGTTTTATGTCTTTTCGAATTTCCCTTGTGGCGCTCCATCTTCTATATATCTTCCTCAAGCTTCGCACTTATTCCCGTTGTATCTGTGTTGATGTGCTGACTCGGCGGTAGGGGGACCTCGCGGGCTGCACAGCCGCAAGTGTTCTGAATGGCTGCATTTGCGCCTGCAACCAGTAGAATTAGGGGCATGAATGCAGAACTGCGGTCTTCTGTATGTGGCTCTATCCGCATGCCACATCGTGGCCTCTCTGTTCGGTTTACTGTACTGCGAACCTCAGGCGATTTGCTAAGCATCAAACAGATCTGGAAGGGCAGCATGATAATCAAAATTGAAACAACCAAGCAATTAATGTAGTAAGGACGCTTGGTGTAACCTTCAATACTGGTCTCTAGGTCTTTAAAGACCACTTGGCATTGTAGTTTTTTGTAAGAGGAAATAAGCGTTAATAGCATTCGGTTTGTCTTACAAACTTCGAGGGACCGTCCTTTCGTTTGGTCTGTTCTTACTCTTCTTTTCACATTGTACATTTCATTCCCGCTCGTCGCCCTCGTGTGCCTTACTCGTGTCAGCTACTGTGCCCCTCTCCTTTCTGCATCCCAGTATTGTGCTTTCTACTCCCCACAGCATCTCTTTCTTCGTTGCTTCAGTGCCACGATGAGTCTGCACGCGATGGGCCTCGTCCACTCGGATATTAAGCCTCCGAACTTCTTTGTCCACCACGATGGACGCATTTACCTAGGGGACAATGGCCTTTGCTTGGTCAGTCCCCTCCTTAACCTCAACAGGCATAGAACCTTGAGGCGTTTCCGAACCTGCCCTTACACTTCGGAAACCCTGGTTCTGCCCACCCTGCATATGTTCATAACCGATGCTATTTTTGCTGGACAGCGACGACCTGTAGTGTTCCTTACGGACAGCCTTGTGGCGAATTGATTTCTGCTGTGCGTGCGATTCAAAACGTCTCTGTGCTTGATTTATGTATTTCAGCCCATGAATCAGAATTCAGAATGCATAAATGGGACCCGGAGGTATATGCCCCCCGAGAATATGCGATGCCAGTTGTACGAGAAGAGGCGCATTTTCACGTCTGAAAGGAAGGACTCATGGGCCCTTGGCGTTCTTTTGTTCCAGCTCTTCTGCTCTGATTTACCATTTGACTTCGGAAACTCTGATCTCATTTGTAAGACAGCTGGTGTTGCTGTGCTAGCATGTCGCCTTTTCTTCTTGCTGCTGTCTGACTTGCATGCTTTCTGCATGCTTTCCTCCGCGTCGACTTTTCTCTCGCTGTTGCTTTTTCAATCTCTTCCCTATTACTCTCTGTCTGTTTTCCCCAGGACGTTTACCTGCTTACCTTTTATCTCTTACGTAGCCACAAGCAGCACTTAAGTGCCTCTGTTTGAGTGTTTTGCTTTTACTTGTTACTGCGTGTTATCAGCGGCTGTAGGGGAAGTTACACACAAAGACTTGAACTTCACTGGCTGTCACCCCGACACCCCACTTCTCATACTGGTGTGCTGGCCCCCTGGCAATTGCCATAATGACTGCATTAAGTGCTTCGGGCGTAGATGACAAAAGACTACGCCTCCAGGTCGATAGGCAATCTGAAAGCATATTATTAGAGTCTCGGGAGGGGATACCTATTATTGATTCGAGGATATCGGGTTTGGTGTGCTCACTAACGGTGCGTGGCTGGTTTTTCAGGGACTGATTCGGTTGCTGTTGACGCCAGCGGTGACACTGCGACCGACTCTGCGGGAGCTCTATCTGAACTACCCACTGTTTGGATTAAGCAACGAAGAGATCGCCGGAGGTCCTAAATTGCGGGAAGTGCAGGAAACTGTGCTGAAAGCCCAGCCCTCTTTAGCCAAGTACCTTCCCCGGCATCGACCGGGGCCACCCTAACAATCGAAATTACCCACAGCGAACGGTTTGCAGTATGTTTTTCGAGCCGGGACTTCAGTTTATCACCACTATTGGTAAGCAACAAATGGTAGTTTCGCTTCTGGATGGAGTGGGTACACAGTGTGTTTCCTGGGAGGCCGCAGAAGAAGTTGTGGAACCTGGGGCCCAGGCCCCCCGTTGAAGTTAGTGGGCGCTGGGGGCCGCCATCGGACCAGCGAAGCACAAGTGTCTGCTGCGCATGGCTGCCTCCTTCCTTGTGGGCCGTAGACCTTTTCCTGCATCTATGGAGTCTACGGGGTTGTACGTTTATTCGACAGGGAGGGCACGCGAGAGATCGTGGGCAGTCAGTCTTCCCCAGTTCCGAGTCCTGCTTCAGCTAAGGAGTGACTCTGGTCCAGGGTTCCTTTAAAAAAACCATTTGTTGGGTAGCTGTCCCTCATCGAATTGGCGCTTTATATGATACAGGTCGCTTCTATACAGGAGCAGACAGGGAAGTAGGCCCTACTTTGCTTACACACAAGTACCTTTCTTTTGGGCGCAACGCTGTTCCTCACTAACGGAGGGTCAGCCTTTCATACGCACCAGCGCTTTTGGTCTTTGACGCTGTACTCAAAGCTTTCTTATATGATTAGCCTGGTACTTACTTTGCAGGGAGGTGTACTGCTGCTACAGACGTAGAGGGAAGACTTGGGTGCACCATCATCACTACTCTGCTCTGTCTGCCCCTTCCCCCGTCTTCTCAACCCTGTTGCTCACGGTAGTCAATTCTTATGGTGAGGATCACTAGCAGTCACACGGGATGAAATTCCATGGAAGGTGGCCGCCGTTGCATATGGGTGAGGCACTCCGTAATGCTCGGGCTTTGCTTTGCGTAGTTGTCTGCTATTAAGCTCCACCCTAGAAGTAAACTGAACCTTTTGAAGAACTATACCCTAGAAATAAAACTATGCATTGAAAATAGCTTTACTCCAGACTTACCGCTTTTTGTCGCGGTCTCTTCAGGTCAGGAGAGCAGAACCCTTGCCCAGTAGCGCTCACTTCTGGCGCTTTGTGGCTGTATTGGGGAAATAAGGCGAAATATGTACCATTTAACTATATTGTTCCAGATAAAATCGAGTCAATACAATAGAAGGAAAAAAATGGCTGTTTGCACGCTTCTCAGTAAAACATCTCCCCTACAGGGTTTAAAAATGATTCAGAATCCCGCGCTCGAAATAATTGAAAGTCATCGCTGACGTGCTTCGCGTTCTTTACCTTTCATATAAAGTTCAAAGAAGCCGTGGTATCTGCTTAGTTCGGTCCGCAGAACACGTGCAGATGCCCTCGACCCCACCCTGCAGCTCGTCGTCCAGGAGACCCCGTGCTCTAACATCATGGCAAATGCCTCCCAGACCTCTGCCCCAGAGCCAAGTCGGCGTGCAGTGCGAAACGCTTAACTCTTTATAAATATATATTTAATGAGAAAAAGCAACAAAACGGAGGCCACTAGGGGAAGAAGAAACGGAGCGCTTTGTTGCCTGCGGCCCCAGATGAACTGGCCCCCTCCCTAGCAAAGGCGGAGTACGGTTGCATCTAGATGCAGCAACTACCAGAGCACCCATTTAAGGGTCCACAGTGCTCATGGAGCTCATCTAAACGTGGCGTTCCCCCGTCCTTCCACTGACTTCGATGTTACCTGTGCCTACAGTTAGCTAGTCGTGAAAAAGGGCCTAGAATTAAGACGTCACTTCTCGCATCTCACGGTTCAATACACACATAGCGCAAGTGACTCAGAATAACGCGGCAGAGGAGATCCGCAGATGCAGACCGCCATGAGGAAGGACCCTCTCCTCTCGAGGTCTAATGCCCACGGGGACTTGAGGTCTCCTGTCATGAACTAACAACATAGCAGGACGTGCCTTGTTCTTGGGGAAACAACGAAAACTGCTAAGATCATAGGGCCCTCTTTACTATACAGATGTACACAGAGGAGGCCCCTACCAGGGGCCCCCTGCAATCTGTCTGCCCTAAATATAGATTAGGAGGCAGCGGTTCACGGATCTCAGCTTTCGAACAGACCGGAGATGCCCCCATATTTAGCAGCACCCATAGGGCGACAGGGATAGGCACCTCCTTTCTTGGGCTCCAAGGGTCAGTGGAGCCCCAGCGACACCGCGGCAGCTCAAGGGCAGCAGGAAATAGAGGGACAGCCAGGAAAGGCATTTTTAGCAGCGGCCGCGTGTTCTGCCCTGAGCCTATTATGTGTAGGGAATCAAGATCTATTCGGAGAGCACCCGAAGGCTTGAGGCCGCCAATCCTAGGTTCCGTCTCGCGTCCTAGAAGCAGCAGCAACAGTGGAGGAGTGTCTGAAAAAAGATGGCGCCAGAGTAGCCACAAGAAGGTGGCTGCTGATGCCAGTACAGCCAGCAGCTACACGGAGCATGCAGTCTATGGTCTGTCGTGTAATAATTCGTTCTCTTGTAGCACCAGCTGCTGCGGCGGCAAAAGCAGGGCTGTGAAACAGCAGCAGGCTGACGTCCCATCGCACGAACCACGGCTGCGCCACGAGCAGGATTTCTCTGGGGCCTCCCTCATTCATCACAGAGAGCAGCAACCTACTAGCAGTAATCAGGCTCTGCTTCCAAATGAGGATAACACATCGCACGGTGGCAGCATAAGCTCGCCCGTTGAAGAAAGAAGAGCACGGAGGTCTCTCCGCTTGGGGACGCCCCTCAGGGAGCAAACTCTACAACACAGCGCTCATATGGTGGAAGCAGGCACCTGCTGGACAGCAAAAGGAAACAGGAGCGACAGAGCCACAAAAAGGGCTGGCAGCACTGCTGCAACACGAGCACACAAGGACCAAAACAAAGAGTGGCCACAGGTAAGGCCACACAAAGAGAAACTCCTGAGAGATGACAGGGCCCTCTCCTCGTCCAAATTACAGTGCCGTGCGGGCACCACTGCTGCAAGCCCAGCAACAGCAGCATCACCAACAGCTACAAGAAACTGCCAGCATAAACAAAAGCAGCGCCCGAAGGAGCAAGTGCTACACCAACAGCGGGGCACGATCGCCTCCTCTCGTCCTTCAGCCTCCACTGAGGGGCCAAAACCTGATCATAGGTTGCCCATGGGGAGTGACGGGGCCGAACACCCCTCAGAACGGCATCATGCTGCTCGCAGAGGCCTTTGCGACACTTCTGGGGGCACAGCAAGTAGCTGTTCGCCTAGAGCGGGAACAGAAACGGCAGCTACAGTTGCTGCTGCTGAAGATGCCCCTCTGTGGCCACCTAGTTACACAGCTAGCGGAGGCACCATACCCCGCGGAACGGTTGTTGAGGGATCCCCAGACGTGAGTAAGCCTGCAGAGCCTTGTAAGCCCTCTTCATCCCATGTTTCTGAGCAGCAAAATCAGTATCTTGCTGTTCTTACACGGCACCGACAGCAGCACCCGCCAGAACGACCAGGTAGCGCTACTCCACAGCTCGACGGAAAAGCCCCTTCTAAAAAGTCTCTTCAATGTGGCGAAGTACACGCAAAAAGAGATCATGCTACCCCAGCGATGCAGACCCAGAAAAACGAGTGCGCGCAAGAGCACGAGGAGTCCCAGGAGCTTGTCCTTATGATGAAACGGGCTGTTTTGGCCTGCAGCTGCACAGCTGAGGAACGGCAGCAGCTACAGCACCTGTTGCAGCGCCTAGAGAAGCTTCATGGGCATTCACAGAATCAACAAGAAGGGCACTCTGAGAATATGGCTGGAAGTGGGCCTTCTCCTATGCCTTCAATAATCCCTGCTGTGCGCTACAAAGGGGAACCCAAGACACAAGGTCCCTGTACGCTCCAAGGAACACATGGGGAAACAGCGGCCCCCCATTCGCCTTCTCAAGAAAAGCATTTGATTAGCGTGGCGATTCACGGAGCTCCTCAGACGCAGGACGGGCCACCAAGAGGGCAGAGCCACCCTGCAGCGATTGCGCAGCAGCACGGACTCCCTAGCGAAGAGTGGGCATCAAAAGAGCCAGTTGGCTCACACCTGACGCCTGTGAGCAGTCCTGCTGCATCAGGGCCTGCTGGTTGCCAATGTCTCTCTCAAACTCCTGCAGCTCGAGCATGGGTATCCGCTAGAGTATCAAACCTGAATGCGGCCTCAGCCCCTTTTCAAAGCGGGGCATCGCATGCCCCGCCTCTGAGGCACGCTGCAACAGTAGCCAACTGTTCGTGGCACCAGTGGCCCCACACATTTCCTGCCGTCTGTCCTTCAAACTCGTGTTGCTGCCTTGATAGTAATGATGCTACTGCTGCTCCGCTGACGGAGGCCCCTGTAGGAGTTGCTGCCTTCTCACGTTGCGACGTGTGTTGCTGCAGTAGCTGTAGCGGCCCTTTATGTCCGTTTTGGGGGGCCCATAGAGACTCTGCATACGATGGCATAATCCCCGTGCACCTCTGCCATCAGAGCAACTGGGGGGAGCAGCCACAGTGTCACAGTCGGTTCTCTGGGGGCCAGTGCCGTGTGCGTTGCGGTGTTATAAGAAGCCCGCCTTCCTCAAGCCTCCGCAAATGCAGGGGCCAGCAAATGCACAAACTGGTGCTGCAGCACCCCCACAGCTGGCAGCAGAGAAGCCACAGCCATTGTAGCAGTAGCAACAGAGACAGCAGCGACAGCAGCGAAAGAAGTCCGCCTGCAGCGAGAGTGGGGGCTGCACGGATTACCCCACCCTGCACGTGTTTTGGAGACGCGAACAGCTCATTCGCGAGCAGCGCGATCGGGACACTTTGTGGAGGAGATGAGGGGTCGAAAGGACTCCCTGAAAATCACCGGAGAGCCAGCGGTGATTTTCAGCGCGTTGGCTGCCGGTGGTCTCCTAGCCCAGTAGTGCAGCAGAAGCAGGAGGAGCAGCGACAGCGACGGGAACTCCTGCGTCGACGTGCTAGCACAAATGACTTGCCACGCCTGGCATGCCCACCCTCCACGGCAGCAAACCCACCGCACTACTACAGCACTAGCGGCGGTAGTAAGACGCATGTGGTTGGGTCCTTGGGGCAACGGATTGCGGCAATTGCTGCACCTGTGAAGGAAATGCTTAATCGTAGGCGCCTTGCTACGATCCCCCCTAGCGCCTGCCTCATATATGCTTGATTTTGGTCCAGTGTGAACAGCAAGGCTCATTCATGTGGCCCCGCTAACGCGGCAACAACAACTGCAGCACGCAGTATGAGACTCTGACGTCGTCCTTACCGCACCCTGTTAGAGGCTGCCAAAAAATAGATGTTGCTGTCTCTGCAGGCGAAGCCCGCGTCAGAGCTGGAGATGCTGCAGCAGTGGGAGCTGCTGCCAGGGCAGGAAGTGGCTGCAGGCCTGCCAGAAGGGCCAGCAGCAGCAGTAAACGCAGCAACAGTAGCCGCAGTACTGGTGACAGCGCCAGGTTCGGGGACCACTTCAATCGCAACCTCAGCGGCGGAGCTTCCCTCGTGCCACCGTCACTGATAACATCTAGCCCACCAAGTAAGAATTTGAGCTCTACACCCAGAAATCTCAGATCCTCTACTCTACATCCGAGTATGACAAAGACACCGAGGTGATGTGCCGGTGGCTTTGCTGATCTTCAGAGCAGCAGCGGCAACGAGAGTCAGTTCCTATTTGCTCTCCATGGGAGCCCTCTGCGTGCGAACAACGGCCTCTTAGAGTGCCGGCTCTCCCCTTGAAGCAGCTCGACCCAGCGGCCTCCTAAGCACTTACAGCATCGGTGTGGCCAGTTGCTGCTGTGCCGAAGTCTGAACGTAAAAAAAGCCTCCATGTGCTATTTTAAACGGGCTTAGCCCTTCCCAGCAACCCTATTACATCAACTGTTGCATCATGTGGAGCAGAAGCTTCTGCCGCCTCCGCATGGCGCTCTTCGCAGGCACACGCGAAGCTAGCACCAAATTCCGCTTTGTGTATGCCTCAGTAAACAGAGGCATACAGACAGACAGTACCAGCAGCCACTATAGCCAGCAGCAGCTATCCTTTTACGGCAACTAAATGCAGGTAAGGGTAGCTCTTGAGCTTCTGCTGTGCTGATTCAAGGGATCGACGCTGCAACGACAGCAACGGGTTGCCACGTTGCTGGCGCAACAGCGACTCCTGCGTTCCCCCCACGAAGGCACGGAGGTCCTGGAGCAGCAAAATCCTCAGCCCCGTGCCCCGCAGCTGTTGCAGCAGCCGTTCCGCGTGCTGCTGCTGCTGTGAGCGCAGTAGCAGCATCTGCTGCTGCGCATGCAGTGCACTACCACCTCTGCCTGCTTGCTGCTCCTGCTGCAGCTCGTGCAACGCAATGCTAGGATACGCAGAGCCCATAAGCTCTTCTTGTTTGTCCATAAGCAGCAGCATACCGCCGTGGCGCAGCAAGCGAGACACAGCCCTAAAGAAAAGGGGTCGGGATAGGGATGTTGAGAGAACTTCCACAGACACCGCAACATCGAACTGGTTTGACTGTGCTGAGTGGGGAGGCTCTCCAGCTACTGCTGGCGGAGAAGCGCGGCCTGCAGCCCCCCCTGCAGCATTTTGCCGGTGTTGGCGCATGTGGTGAAGCTGTTGTTGCAGCCGAGGCAGCATGCTGCTGTCACACAGGTCCCCCTGCAGAACTGCTGCCCGACCAGCTGCAACTTGCTGCTGACATCGGCGGTTCGCAGCTGCTACTGCTGCTCCACTAAGGTCCACGCCTACTGCTGCCGCCGCTCCCAGCTGCTCAAGAAGCATCTGCACGCCACAGCCTTCGTAGCAGCCGCAGTCTAGCACACGCTGGCCCCGCACCAGAGATCCCCACATCGCAGCACAAGCCGTCGGCGTTGTGGCTAAGCCTCCTGCCGCTGCCGCTGGCGGAGAAGTGCCAACGCTGCAGAGATATGCGTATAAGCGCTCACTTGGGCCTAGCTGCCAGGGAAAAGGCAACTCAAACGGAGAGGGAATGTCGGTCAAAGCAGCAGCTCCTGCCGACCCTGCTGCAGGCAAGCTACCAGCAGTGTGCGCACTTGTTTGTGCTGTCGGCTGTGTGCCTGAGGGTGGCTGAGAAGCACTGCCTTGCCTCCGATTTTGCTGCTTTTGCAATAGTCGCTGTTGTTGCCGCCTTGCCCTCCTGTCGCCATCCTGCCGCTGCTCTTGGGGTTGGAGCTGCTGCTGCAAGGTGTGGGGCAGCAGCTCCAGCGTAGAACTCGTGGGGTCGTAGTGTGGGTGCAGTAGCAGCACTCTTGGTACTATCTGCTGTAGAGGGACGCTCTGGGGTAGTTGCTGCTGCCGTGCAGCAGCAGAGGGAGAATAGCGTATCCCGGAGTTACACCAACCCCGCACAGCACCGCTGCTGCTGCTGCTGCTTAGGAAAGAGCGAACTCGGACAGCAGAAGAGAACACTATACGCTGCACGACATGCTGCAGTGTCTGTTGTAGAGTCTGCTGCTGCTGTACCTCACGCTCCTGCTGTTGTACCTCACACTCCTGCTGCTGTTTCTGTGGTTCAGGCTGCTGAGTGCCTGCCACTGTCGAAGGTGCCCTACTGGCCATATGCCGTAGACTGTGTTTCACCAGCCGCTGCTGCTGCAGCACCTTCACGGGGAACAGCCGCCGCAGCATGTTGCCGCTTGCTGTTACTGCTGCAGGGAGCAATAGCTTCGGCTGCAGCGAGCCATTGTCCTACCAACCCCAAACGCTATATTCAGAGCTACACATCCTGTTAAATGGAAGCTATCAGGCAGCAAATGTTGAACTGCAGCAGCCACCTGGGGTGTCCATGGAGGGGCCCAAGGGGCCCCTCCATGGACGGGGGGCCCTTTGGCTGGATGGAGATCTCGCTCATATAACATCCACAAACCGTAGATCTCTCTGTGTTTGCCCCTTTCCTATTCATCGCAAAGCTGCAACATATCAATGACGGCAGCACTGGAAGCTCATACGCTGTGTTCCTCGGAACCTGCCTTGACTGGTGTGTAGGAGAGGTACCCTACGGCGGTCTCTCGATGCCACCGAGGAGAAGTTCCCTCCCTCACTCTAACAAGGCTGCAAAATTTTGAGCAGAAGGGTCAACAGGGCATGGAGGGCCCCCAACAACCCGCAAGGGCCCCACCTGCCCAGCACTCAGGGGCCCTCGACGTAAAAGTACAGTCGTTTCTCTCATCTCTGTGGCCACGCTGGCTCGATTCCCGCACAGTTCAGCTGCAACACTTAGGGGGAGAAGCGGCAGACCAGCAGCAGCAGAATCACATAAGCGCCTTGACTGCTCGGCGTCTACTGCTGGATGACGTTGCGTGCAGCCCTGTATGCTGCTGCTGTGGGTACGTACACCCTAGCAAGCACCCAAGTCAGCATCAGGATCAAGATTCTGTTGTAGAGGACCTGCTTCTACTGCCCGTGGGGTCAGGGGACAGTCCTCCCCTGGCTGAAATCGCAACCCTACTTCACCAGCAGCAAGAACAACTACAGCAAAACTCAAAGCCAGATACAACTCTCCAGTTGCCCCTAGGCATGGAGAGGGCAAAGGTGTGTCTAGCCATTGTGCAAAAGCAACAAGAGCAAGAGGAAGGCACATGGGAAGAGAGACAACCGGTGCTTCTGCTGCAATGTTCTCTGCCAAACTGGGAGGCCTTAAAGAATCCGATACCTTGGCGCAGCCACAGAGCCCAAGCCGCACACCATAAATCCTAAGGCTCCCGGCTATCTGCATGTCTTCAGCGTGGGGTGACTCGTGTTTGCTGCAACAGCTACAGCACTAGCTGCAAAGAGAGCATCCCAAAACTGCTCCTGGACTCCGGATTCTCAACTCAAGGAGCGAAAAATGGATGCCAGAGCCCTAATGCTGTACGCCTGCGCAGCGCACTTTGAATATTGCTGCTATGACTCCTGCATCAAGGCTTTCCTTGATCGTGCAGCAAGCCGCATATAGCAGCTCTGCAGCTAATGCACTTTGTGCTGATGCTGCAGATGCTGAATGCCGGACAGTATATTCTACTTTTCCCCTTGTTTTACACGCCTGACACCGAGACCTCCCTTGCGGCCAGTGGTGTGTGTCAGGAGCTCGCCACGTGACTGCAGCATATTGACAGCCCTCGAGGCTGCATTGCTGCCAGGGCTGCTACTGCTGCTGCTGGGAACTACCTCGATGTGATGTTGCTGCTCTTCCAGATGTTTCTGTTTGGATCTCTTCGCCTGGCGTTGCCTTTGTTGTTTGTTGCGGTTACCACGCTCCGTTTGTTGCTGGTGCTCCATTTCATAGTTGTCGACACCCTTTCGCTTCCCTCGTTGCCGCAGTTGCTGGTGCTGTTCTTGCTGTTGCTGGGGATTACGATTTATCCGTCCGGCTATCTCTTTAGGGGTCTCCCTAATACAGAATGAGGTCGCTAGAGGCCCCAGTGGGAGTTTTGAGGAGTCAAATATGGCCCTTAGCTCTTTGCCATGAGTTTTGTAAGCCCTGCAAAAAGCACGCCCACAGAAGAGCAAGCTGAGCGCGGCTTGCTGAAACACCGCCAAAGGCGCGTCAGAGTACGGCATCGTGGGGGTCAGTGCTAGCGGATAGAAACACAGAGTTTGTGCTCTAAGGCTTGCGTGTTGGCTTAGTTTTGGCTATTTTATAGCGCATTACCTGACAGAGGAAAGGAAAGCCCTTCTGGCGGCCTCAATAAGGCGCTTTCTAGGGGCCACAAACTCGCAAAACTGGCGAACCAAAAACCTCAACGAGGCTTCCTGTTGAGGACTAGAGCTGGTGTTGCTCCGACTGATACTACTGCGCTTCCCCTCGCTTAAACCTAGGCTTGGGGGGGCCCTCTTCAGCAAAGATTCAAAGAGTCGAGGTGTCGACAGTTCCTGCAGCGTCAGGCCTCGAGACGACAAGTAACTGGTGTACTCTGAGGCAGCACAACAAAGCTCACCCTATGTTCAATACATGGAAAAACGTGGCCCCCACAGGAACAACTGCCTGTAAAATTAGCCCTAGTGGCACATGCCGGATAGCAAAACAGCGACCCTCCCAGAAAGCAGTGACTTCTAGTTGGGGCGAGGCCTAAGGGTGTATAACTTGCGTGCCTCTTTCAGAGTCAAGCAGAAATAGCAAGGCCCTCCCCTGTTTGCCCAACCGGGCTGTGCGGCCAATGCGGTGAACATATTCCTCCAGCTGCTGCGGGGGCTCCAATTGGATGATCCAGTCCACCTGTTCATACACCCCAAACCCTTAACCTCATTGCTTTGGCCCCACTGCTTTGCAGCGCATCCGATAAAGAATCCTTTCGGCTAGCGGCAGAGCAGATCGCCACTCTAAGGGGGAGGCTTCCTGCCTCTTAGCTTAGCACTGGGGTCTTACCTCTGGGAGATTGAGGCCTCTGGCAGCGACGTCCGTGGCAAGCAGCACTGCCCCCTCTCCACTGAGCTTTGTGAAATCCGTCATACAGCCGATACTGTATCAGAAGAACCACACGTGACAAATCCTCGATTTCTGGCATTAGAGTGTTTCTTAGGCAACAGAAAGAACGAAGGACAGCCCACACCACCTATACGGTTCCAGAAGAGGCTCAAGAGCCTTCGTGTGGTACTCGCATTTTGTATGGCCCACCCCCGCCTTCACTCTCTGCAACTTTCTTTGAAGCCTGTACTCGGACTCCCCCTCAAGTAAACGCCGCTCCTTTCTAAGATGCCTCCTTCCTTCTGTAACTATTGAGGCCCTATTTCTAGCCCATAGAACCCCTAATTGCTGCCCCCCCTCCATCCCGCTCTCCTACCGATCATCTCTCTCCATTTTCCCATGGAGTTTAAAGACATTCAGTGACTGCAAAACGAACTGGCCCCAGAGACCAGGCGCTTCCAAACCAACGTCGTCGTCTGCCAACTCATCTGGCTCGCTTTCTTCATCCTCTTCTGCTGCTACGGCTGCTGCTGCTGTCTCCGCTGCCGCTGACACTGGCTTACCGCATTTTTTCTTCTGCTGCTTGATTCCTGCTGCAATTTTGTGCAGCCGCTGCTGCTGCTCGTGCTGCTGAAGCTGCAACTTGCGCATGAGCTGCTGCTGCTGCAGTAGGCGTTGGCGTTGCTGTCTGTCATGCTGCAGCGTCAAAGGCCAGCGCAGTCGAAGCAGTAGCTGATAAAGGTATTCCACAAAATCGCACGAGGATACGAATACGACGATCTTCTTGTTATTTTCCTCAGCATTTAGCAAAAATGAAAGTAGTGGTAGAAGACGCAAACGAGGCTCCACCACCAAAAAAAACTGCTGAAGCTGAGGAGGCACTGCAAACTTTGGAGGGTCCTCCTTCCCGCTCCTGTCACTAGCAGCAGCTGCTGCGGTAGCAGCCCGCGGCATGCTGCAGGAACAGAGTCGCTCTAAGATTGTAGCTTCCAGTTCTTCGCTTAACGGTTCATCGTGCTGCAGCTGGTCTTGCTGAGGTGCCGCCGCTGCCTCTCCTTCCTGCTGTTGCGGCTGCCTCTCGCTCTGTTCTCTCTGCAGAAGCTGCTGTACCTCTTCCATACGAGTCTCCGCAGCGTCTGCGAGCGCGAGAGACAGCCACTGAGGATCTCGGCGAAGACAGAACGCTGCAAGGCGCTGCACGGAGGGAGTCAGAGTTGCTGAAGCGACAGCCACCTGGAAAGGGGGCTCAGTTCCACTGCCATTGGAGCTGCAATTACTGCTGCCATTGTTGTTGTAGTGAAGCTCCTGCTGGTGGATCTCTTTGAGCTGTTGCTGCTCATTATCGGCGTCGCTCTCATCCGATCCCCTATTTCCATCGTCTTGCCGCCCAGAGGGCTGCTGCTGCAGCTTCCACTCCTCCCTGGCTTGCTTCTGCAGCTCAAAAATCGCCTTTTCCTCAGCGATCTTTTGCAGGCAAGAGGTGTAGATACCCCTGACTTTAGCCTCGAACCCCAGGTCCAACAGCCGATCCGCCTCGTCAATCAAGAGAAATTGCAGCGGCAACAAACGGAATGAAGCGGTGCTGCTGAGGTGATCGACAAGACGCCCTGGAGTAGCGAGCACTACACCCGTCCCCCCCCGTAAGCGGCACTTCTCCTTCTTCCTGCTTTCGCCCCCTTCGAATTGCACACAATGCCGCACCACAATTTCCTAACACCTGAGCTCCCAAGCCACAAAGGCAGGAAGGGAGGGGAGGGGAGAGCGCGCTGCCTAGGACAGATGGCGGTCTGCTGCCGTCACCCAACAGCAGAGCACCCCAGGAGATCGCTCCAAAAGGGGCGACATTCCAACAGCAGCAGCAGCAGCTACCGCAAGAAGGGTCAAAGGGGAGGACTGGGGGGAAGGCGGGGAGAGGGAGGGAGCAGCAACCATCAGCTCGTCATCCGGAACCCTAACCCCAACAGCAATGGCAGCAAACGATTCCTAGGCGTCCATGATGCACCTAGCAGCAGCAATGGGAGCAACACGCGCAGCCTACCGGTCAAAGCAGATACTGTGAGCCAAGGAAAAAGCTGAGCCAGCTTTGATACAGTTTCCGTTGCCTGCAGAGCAAGTTCCCTCGTTGGTAGCAAAAACAGTCCCCTCGTGCCCTCGCCCCTGTGGAGCCGTCGCTGCTGAGACAACTGCAGTACTCGCTGTAGCAACGGCAGTGCTAAGCATAGCGTCTTGCCTAAGCCTATAACGCACAGCCAAAGCACAAACGCCGAGCAGTATTGTTGTGCAACTATGCATGCATGCACTTTCTGTCGGGCTTAGGTTGCACCTGGCCTCGGCGTCTGCCCTCGAGTCCTACTGCTGAGAATCGATGGGAGGTGGTGTTAGATAGAGCAGCAGCAACACCCCTAAAGCCATGAGGTTAGCACATTGGCATTCAGAGTCAGCAACACACCTGTGGGGCATTGGATAAGCGCGTCATGCCCGTGGAGGAGTGCAGGGACCGCTACCAGCTGAATCTTCGTTGGGCTTGAATATCCGTGATGCAGCAAGGAACGCCGCAGTCGGACGTGCAGGAAGCGCCATCTTGCATATGGAACTGCAGAGAATAAGTTTTTTTCTTCTGTGGAGCTTAATCCTCCCGCTGCATCTTCTGAGGTGGCCAGCACGGACGAGGGCTCGACGGCTGCGACTACGGGCGATCCTTCATCCTTTGACATCGACGACATGCCCAGCGCCGTTGCCGAGTTCGTGACAGCCTCCGAGTCAGACGGGGAAGCGGAAGGCGGGGATTCGACATCTTTGGCATCGTATGCAGCCTGCTGCTGGTGCTGCGTGAGCTTCCGCTTGTTGCGCTCCAGCTGCTGCGGCAGGTGCTTCGCGTTTTTAGGCTTCTTCCGTTGACCATGCAGAGCGCGGCCTGACCGCGAGTCTCCTGAGCCTCTCATCTTTGCCAAGTTTAAAGGCTTCAGCCGTGAAGTCGCACGAACTAACTGCCCAACGCCCTGCGCGACCAGATGCGGCCCTTCTCCCTCCTCTCCAGCGACCTAAACAGCCTGGAAACAAATTAAATGCAGAAACTAGGGGATAAAAACTGGGATTTCGGATTCAGAGACAGAGATTTATGAGGCCTTGACGCTTGCCTGTGGGCCCCCTACGCCGAAGCCGCCGCACGAAGGCCTAAGGCCTATGGGCGTGATACTCCCGTTATCCTGCCTTCCTGGTGCACCAAAAGCTAGCGTTTGGACTTTTAGCTGGAGGGCTTAGCGCTTTGGATTGCTCATAAACAGCAGCGATGCATGCAATACCAGAAGGCCTCAGGGCCCCACCTCCCATACCGTTTGCCATCCCGGGTCTGGCGTTTCCAGTGCATTTCCTCCCGCCTTCTCTTCATTTTTGAGTCTCAAAAGCAAAAGGCAGGGGGAAGCATATCGGGAAGGACAAGGGTGCGCTGGGGTCCAACACTGGTGACGCTGCCTCGTGTGCAGTGTTTAGTGGTTTCTACCGCTGCCTGCATGCCTGCATCATGGCTTCTCTCCAGGGGGCCAAAGGCGCTGCCTAGGGGTTTTTCTGCATACTTCGCAGATGGCGTACGACTTGAAACTCGAATGGGAGGGCCCTCACCAGTTTGAGGCCCTCGCCTCCCGCGCAGCCGCCCTTGGCTTCTCAGTCGTTGCCAGCAATACGTACGTACACCTCCCTCCCCAACGAGGCCAGGCTGCACCAACAGCAGCGGCAGCGGCTCTGGCGAAGGCCGTCAAGGAGGGACTGCCCTTTCAGCACCCCCTCCGTCTCCCTTCGCCCTTGGTGCCGCGGCCGCTTACCCTCACCAAAGCAGCAACAGCGAAGACGGAAGCAACTACTGCAGCAGAAGCTCCTGGAGGACAGACTCAGCAGCAGCACCTTGTAGAGTGGCTGCCGGCGAGCACGCCAGCGCTGCACTCGCACGCATTGCTTCATTACCACCAGCATCAGCAGCTCCCCGCGTCTGGCTGCGGGCCTCTCAGCGACAAGCAGTGGGAAGATATCTTTCCATACGCTTCCGCAGCGAGAGACATTGCCCAGCGTCGCTTAGCAAAATCAGCAGCAGCTAAGGCACCCAATGCTACACTGTGTGAGCTGCTACAGCTACGTCGCGTGACGGTAGTTCTGGGCTCAACGTCTGCAGCTGCAAGCTTCAGCACACTATTTCCCAGAAACCCCCCATTCTACTCAGCGGCGGACGGAAGCCCAACAACGCAGTCGGAACGGAGTAGTGCGTGCATCGAGCTGCTAGCAGTGCAACCGACAGACGAGGCCACTTGGCAGTTCGCCTGCAGCAGTTGCGAGTGCGACCTTATCGCCGTCGATTTCGAGGGCGATCCTGCAACCAGTGTGGCAGCAAAGCTGCCCTTCACGATTAGGCGAAAACACGTATTGCAGGCCGTCCGCCGAGGCGTCTCCTTCGAGGTATCACTCTCCGCCTTCTTGAAGAAGCAGCAGCAGCGGCAGCACCTGCCAGGACCAGGAGCAGCAGGTGTAGGCGACAGAAATGAGGCTCTCGCAAACCTGCAGCGCTTGCTGCGGTTCGTGCCTCCCCGCCAGCTGGTGCTCTCTTCAGGAGCTTCAGAACCCCAGCAGCTTCTGGGCCCTGCGGCTGCACTTGCTGTTGCTGCTGCGCTTGGCATCTGCAGCAGCAGGACGCATGCAATGTACGGCAGCGCAGCGGCAGTGCTGGGCAGAGGAGCTGCTTCGCACGCGAACGGTGGCGCAGTTACGCAGGGGTGGCCAACAGCAGCAGCAGATGGAGGTCTTGTTGCTGCTGCTGCCAGAGCAAACATGCCCCCCGCAGTTCTTGAGCAACTTCAGGCAGTGAGGCACCTGCTGCAAATGCAACAGCAGTAATAAGATGTGCCTCACCGTCCGAAGAAAGCTCCTGTTTGCGACAGCAGCGACATTAGCTGCCCATTAAACTGTTCGAATCACAAATTCAGTAGCAGAATGGTAACTTTCTAGTAGTTGCTGCACTGCAGCTTTTAAGGCTTGTTTTTAGCTGCCGTTGTTGCTACTGCGCATCCAGCGGCCATAAGAACAGCAACAACAGCAGCAGTTGCGAACGCAACAGGGGGTTGTTTTTGCTGCGGATGCAGTCGCGAAGGCATCCACCCTAAGTGCGGAAGTGACACTATGACGCACGCGTGTAGAGGGAGGACTCGAGCAGTCGTGGCTACAGTGGCAGTCTCGGCAGCAACCTGCGTGGTGCCTGCTTCAGCAGTCTAAGAAGTGTGCTGCTTTTTTGCTGCATCGCTCTTGTTAAGCACATGGAGCAACAGCAAACCCCCAAGGGGTATGGCAGCGGTAATGAGGGGAGGAGACCAAATGCAGCAGCAGAGTGACGCTAGGACGTGTAGCAGTAGCAGCAAACAGACGCTGGGCACCACCATGCTGCAACAGTACACACACATACACACAGTCACAGCAGCATATGGCCACGCATGAACTTGAGGCCTCGCGTGCGGTATAAGGTTTTTGTTGTCGGGTAGGGCCGAAGTCGTTACTTAATATCGGTGATGAGATAAAAGACATCGCCTGAGGGCAGTGGCTTTCTCTGCATGCAAGACACACAAATATACTTCGTATTCCGATTGACCGCCTCGTATTTTAATCCCCTTTCACACCTTCATCCATCGCTCTGTCTACCCGTCTCCCTGCATCTCTGGCCCGCTGCCTCCTGTGTCTTGGCCTCTAAAATTCCCTTCCACCCGCCTGCACACAGCCCCCTGCTGCACCTTGCATAGGCTGAGGCTAATGTCTACCACTCCGATGTCACCCCAGAAGGGTAGCAGCCATAGCAGAAAGAGGCACACAGCCCACGACCTCCTCTACTCACGATGCTGCCATCCGGTGCTGGCGCATTCGACGAGATCGCATCCGCAGCAGTAGTGCCAGCTGATGGAGCAGCAGCATCAGCAGAGAGCTTCTCCTCTAGAAAGGCAGTGCTGATGCGGGTAACTGTATAGCCAGGAAGGCTTTCGAGAGCATTGAAAGCTTGCCCATCAGGCACAGTGACGATCACTAGTTGCCTGCAAGAACAGACGCATCCCAACGCCTGAGCCTTAAACGCTTCATACCATTGCCATGAATACCCGAAACTCGCGGGTATGAGTGCAAATTTGACCAACTGCCCTGCTAAAAAGGTCGTCCAGCGAAGCATGAGAATTGTATCACGTGCGTCTGACCCTATGTGCAGATGGATGTGAAACGGGGGCACCAGCAGGCGCAGCAGCAGCAGTCACGTGCGGCTCACGCGTCTTCGTCGTGCTTCAACACCTGTACATCGAAAGGAAGGGCTAGGTCTTTGAATTTCTCAAGGCCATCAGCAGGTACGGGGTAAACAGAAGCCTGGATCAGCTCCATCTTTCTAATGCTGCTGCCGGTGCCGTTGCTGAAACAGCCGCTGTTGATGCTGGCTGGTGCAGATAGAGTGCACTGAGGAGGGTCACAGCGAAGGGAGTTTTCACACACACAAGACAAGACAGCTAAAGCATCCGCAGCAGCGGTTGCGGTAGCCACTGTCGCCGCTCTTGCAGCTGAGGCTGACAAAACACTAGACCAAGCAAAACAGGCAGCCACGGAACGCAGCCAGGAAGGCGCTACAAGAAACGCTGGTTGTAGGCTTACCTGCGCCAACCCTAACCCTAGCCGCGGGACAAAAACCGCGCGAAGAACAGAATATGGGAGCCCCTGCAGTGTATATCCATGAAGCAATGGAAAAAGAAAAGAAGTATGACGGAAAGGAATAACACAGCGCAAAAGCCTACCCCAGCGTGTTGGCTGCGCTGTCACGCAGGGCACAGCGGCTTGGGTGTGCAGGGCCCCTTTCTCTCCCTCTTTTCCCTCTTGTGCCTCTTCAACCAATTTTATAGATTGTAAAGCGTCTATACAGACCCGTAATGTAGAGATTAAGGGCTGTGCTGACCTCGTTTCTCACATGCGTCTACTGACTCTGTGCCCTCTCGTGTACACTGTTAAACAGCCCTTCTCCTTATTCAGCCCACAAGAGGTGCCCAGTCTGCCTGGACTCTTCCTATTTCTTTCCCTTCCTCTATCTGCATGCCCTTAGACTATAGTGCTGACTCCACCGGGGTGTGCCTGCAACTTTACACTACTACAGTGCTATATACCTCAGGTGGGACATCAAACAAAAGTGGCGGGTACCCTACTGCAGAGGACAGTCTGTAGGAGCCACCTGATGATTGTCGAGAGCTGCGGCCTAAGTGTGCCTTCGGCAGACCCTCAAAAGCAGCGGCAGTGTACGCAGGAAGAGGCGCGCAAAGCGAAAGCGCTAACTGGCACGGAGAAGACTGGCAGATAACAAACTATCGCGGGATAAGTTGCACTTAAACACTTTCAAACACACTAAGTATCTGTCATACAGAGTACGCTTTACGAGAGACTTCTCGGTTTGTAATACACCGTATTTATTGCAGGGGACAGCCAGCTTCCCGCATGAAGCAATGGGCTGTGTGTCTTTGCGCGCGCGAAGTCAATGTGCAGCTAGCCATAAATGCTCGGAATGCTTACTTGATGCAAATACGCGTACCCTTGCTTCCCCTCTGCTCTTTATGCTGGGAACTTCGAGGGGTGGGAAAGGGGAAGGAGGGAGCTCATTAAAAATAGTCGACAACTTTCCATAAAGTCAGAAGACAGGTGTTATCAGGGTACGGAGATCTTAGAGAAATCGGTGCAGCTGGTAGAACCGCATGGTTGGATACAGATGTTCCTCACTTTTCCACTGGCTATGGATCCAGAGCGACGTCTGGTCCGTACAACACTTCCCTCGCATCGTTTCATCTGTCTCCATAGGTTTGCAACACCTGACTCTCCTCAACAGTAAAGTTATTGGATGCTTTACCAAAAGTGCATTTGCCTTGTCCTGTCATTATCCCTCAGAGTTTCCAACATAAGGGAAGAGGGACAGCTAGGGGTCACGTAGCTGCACCCTTTAGGCACACGAGCACCCGAAGCTAGTTGCGCAAAGTGCCTTCCCCATACGTACACAAAACTGCTTCGCCTCACATCGCCCCAAACACTTCTCTGTAGTAAATGGATATCCGAACAAGCAGACCAAGTGGTCAACTTTTAAATAATATTTTCCTGTCGATAAGTAGTGCAGTACAAGTGCCACGCCCCATAAAACAATCTCTCCATACATAGCCGGGACATGCAATGCAGTCGATTTCAAAACCCCCAAATGAGGCATTTGCAGAAGAACTGTAGAGCCCAAATACCTCAGAGGACTCGCGCATAAATCTGAGTGTATTAAACACTTCAAAACAGCAAATTTTCAGGCAATACTCATAGACTGAGCTGTTTATTTTAGGCAGAGCATGCTCTAGGAAAGGAAAATTACCAACGAAAACGAGCAATTCTGTCTAAGGCGATTAGTGTTCTTAACCAGGGCCGCATGTTATTCCGCAGGCACCGAAGCTCACAACTCTTCTTCCTCCTACCAGAGTTAAGCGCTTTCCAACCCTATTTCACTAGAATATGCAGTGCTGTATCTCCTTATCACTGAGAGCCTCAAATCCACCACTTTAAGGGCTCCCTGGAAAGCTTCCGCCTCCACTAGATTCACTTACCAACGCGGCAAAGTCCTCGAACAACTTGGCGAGTTTTGGAAACACTTGACGACAATATTGGTAGTACCATCGCACCCAAACTCAAAAAAATCGAAAGGAAAGACCAAACCATTTTTTGTGAGAAAATCGCGAGTAGAACTCGCCGTCTGGTTGCAAACTTCGTCTAGTAAGTGTCGGGCGCACCTCGTTAAGCCTACCGAGCCATTAGGACCAAATCCTCATGCCCGGAATTCCCCCCCCTCCACACCCGACTGACACTGATCTTCATCCGTGTTTGCCCATCTGGAGCCTTTAGCATACATTCGCATGCATTGGCCTGCTGTCCCCCCAAGCAATTTGCTGTCAAGGGTGGCTGCTGCCCACGGATAACTGAGTCCAGGCCCGTATCGTAGAGGGTTACCCGAGGGTAGACCAGTGATGAGGAAAAGCAGCGGGCCGACGAGTGTACAGGTGTATTATATCTCCCGTAGCGCAAGGAAGAAAATTTAAAGCCAACGATTTGTCTAGGTACAGATTCGTTGGTATTGCAGAAGAGTGGGATTTGCACGCTAGGTCCGTCCATCTGGGCCAGGGTGGTGCTCAGCGGTCATGTTATGGTCAGTGAGTAGGCGATTTCAAAGTATGCCAAAACACACCCGAACATCCAACTGTTCGAAGTACCGACTGACTTTTCCTTGCTTGTCAAATATGCAGGAGTGGCCTGTATTTGTTTTGGAAACCTCCCGTACCCCGTACTTCGTAAATGCCCCATCGGCCGTCTGCTTAATTGCCGACTTACTGCCAATCCTGCAACCACCTTAGTGGCACTTCAGGTGGGCCCAAAAAGCCAGTGGTAAAACAGCTGTCCATCTACAGTGCCTAAGGGGTCGTATTTCTCAAGGCACGGATGTATATGTAGAATCCTTTGATACTGCCGTCTTTAAAAATTTCACAAACCTTCCTATAGAGCTTATTTGCGGAAGCCAACCTATCAGGGCTTCTGTGAAAACTTGAGTTGTGCTCATCCGTTGGCGGATGATTAACTGTGCATGAAGTGGGCTACCATTGAAGTACTGCTCACTTAATGAAATTTCTGCTACAGGGCACTTGGATTTTCAATTAATGGAGGTAGAAAACGAATTGTGTCTCCAACAGGATGGTAGTCTTCGAGTATTTTTGCATGATTATGGCTGTCACACGTTTTGGTCGGCGTAGCATCATCAACGCGCCCGTAAAGGCATTGTCGGCTGAAACCGCATGCCTATCCACCATATGTAGAGCTACTGCGCTTACATCAGCTTGCAAGGTGGTCTCTGCAGGCCAAACAAGCGTTAAACTAAAGCGTTCCACCGCAGGGAAGCTTTTTCCTCAGCCTTTTGACAAAATACGCCGAAATTTTCGAGTGCCAAATAACTTTATTGAAAGAAAACAAGTGCTGTATGAAAACCTGAAACATCCTCGTACTTAGAGCTTGCAGAGGACCGGAGAACAGCTGCACCAAATCACGCGATTCTACCAAGCGCAACGCCCAATCTAAGGTCTCCGCAGGGACTTAAATCCAGAGTCGATACACGCTTAATGGAATGTTGCTTAATGATCCCAAAAGATATCATTCATTTGTTTGCTCACAACCCTGAAAGCTCTCGAAATGAGGGCAGACGGGCATCAAGGGTGCGCGTAGCTGCACCCTCTAAGCACTTCAAGCACACAGGGCTAGCTGCACAGAGCATTCAGCGCGCACGCACACAACAATGCATCCTTCTATATCGAGCTATAGATACTCTGCAATGAACGAAATATACGGACAGGGAAACTATGTAATTTATCTTTAACTAGTTCTTAGTTAAATATTCAAGTGTAGTAGAAAGTCTTCAAGGGTCCAGGGGACCCCAGTCAGAAGAGAGAGCCCTTGTAAGGAAACAGCCAGCAACATTTTGTTACGTCCTAGTTGAACTGTGTTTTGCAGAGACTTTAGATGAAGCGCTGCGATCTCTATTTGGCGAATAAAATGAGTCGCTTCATTTGGTGGTTTTGGCAGGCTTTTGGCAGCACCTACTTTGCTTGAGTAACCTATCTCGCTGTCTTTGACCCAGAGTCTTGTGCTCTGATCCCCACTTTGGCGACGAATGCTGACGCCCACCGTTGCGTTGTCCGCTCTAGTTCACGTTTTATGAGTTGCATTGTAACATACACTTTCCACTACACTGCTTATGCTTGATAAAAATAAGCAAAGATTTGGCTTCAGAATTTGTTTGTTCCTACATCACTTTGCGTCCATAGGTGCGTCACCTCGATTCAAGGAGACACAGTGTTGCTTGCGTGTGCGCTATACCCTACTTTCAATCAGCTGTGAATACTCGAGTGCTTAGAGACTGCAGCTACGCACACCTTGGTTGTCTCTCTTCCCTAGTCAGGAAATCTACGGGGCACGGGCAAGGGACGGTAAGAGCTCTTTTGACGAACACTCAATAACGTTCTCTCAGGCTTGTATCGAGTCTGAAGTTCGTGTCTCCCCACGGCGGCCTCCGATGGGCGTGCAATCAACTGGATGGAGGGAGGCTTTAGGTGGAGGGAGGCTTTAGGACTAAAAGATACCTGGAGCCTATAAGCCCTCACCCATTAGGGCTACTGGCTGTGGGTCAAGTCTTAAACCTATGGGATCCTGGCTCAGGTTTTGTTTTTGTTGCTGGTGGTCTCTGTTAAGTCTTCGGAAAGCCTAGGGTCAGTAGGAGAGCTGCTGAAGTACCTGGGTCTAGTTGCTCGGCTTTGCAATTTTCCCTTTCACGCGTCCTCTAGTATATCAGACAACACCCTAGTGATTAACGAAAAACTCTAGTGTTTAGCATACGAACAGTTATGGGGGCCCCAAAGCAGTCCAGGGGCCCTTTAAGAACACCAAGCGTGCCGCTGCCGCCGCCGCAGTACAAGAACTGCGCCTGGCTCTTGCTGAAATGTTCAAGGAAGGGGAAACTAAGGAGAAGGGGGGCCAAATAAGGGGAAATAGGCTTCTACATGATCTAGTCACTGAGCCATTATTAGAGGTCTATGGTCTGGGGTCCCTTTATGCAGCATTCGCTATGGTGTAGCTGCTGCTGCGCTACTGCAGCTGCGAGGACCCCATATGCATTGCCGCCCTGTTTTTCTCTGGCGGTCCGCTGGAGGTGCTTCTAAAGAGTCAGACTCCTTCTGCCTTCCCCTGTGCCGATCTGTGACTCTCGCGTGCTGCTGCTGTTACTGTTGCTCGTACAGCAGCAGGGGTCCGCGGCGAGACTCAAGCCCACCGAGCGCCCGTCGTTACTCCTTGTGAGCTTCCTACCGACAGCAGCCTCTTTTTTCACACTCTTTCATGCTTTTCCATCCTCTCCATGCTGAGCAGCGAGAGGGGGCATTGTGCTGCAGCAGCGGTTACACCAGGGCTGAGGCTTGCAGTTTTACGGGGTCCCCGCTTACTCCTCAAGGATGCCTGCTCGACCAGGGAGGGCACATCTCTCATTTTCCTCGTGTCTGAAGCTCGCGGACCTCTTTGCTTTCGCAACAACTAGGGAGCTCATTTGTCTTCCGTGACCACTGGTCTGTGCCCTCCTTGGCCGCCTTCTTCTGCTTCTCAGGCTGCACATTTCCGCCACTTTCTCCCCCTCCTCAGTGCGTGTTCTGCCTTGTATTGGCGCATCAACTCATCGTCGTGACTGATTCCGCTCCCAGATCAGTGGGGCCTAGATGATGGAGGGGTCTCCCCGTCCCCCTTCTGATCGCGAACGGGATGTTGCACTGGTACCCGCAGTGTTGCGCCGCGGTCAATCGGGGAGGAGCAGGCTGCTAGTTGACGAGGAACTGGCGCTCTTTGGCTCTACTTCTCCCGCAGACAAACGCAGAGAGGGGCGTACTGTGCTGCCCGTCAACCGGGAGCTGCTGGCTGGCGTTGATGCAAAGGGCAATGAAGTTCCGGTGGATCCGAAGGGTGTGGAGGACAGCTTAGACATATATTCTGTGCTCATAGAATAGTGAGTCTGTGTTAATTGTGGTTTCTCCTTGCCGCACTCACATATTCCGAAGTGTATCCTGCTACGAGGCAGACGCACATGTGTATATGCCTCTCCAAACCCTTCTTCCTTTCTCGCCTTCTCTCCAACAATCTGCTTCGATGAACATGAGGGAAACTTGAAAGGCCTTCTTTTGTCATGCTGAATTCGTGATAGACAAGCCTACACCGGAGGTTCTTTCAATGCTTTGCTGTTTACGCGTCCGTGCCGGATAACTGTAGCAGAAATTCATCATGGCTACTTTACTTTTCATCTACTTAGTAAGTGTGCCTGAGGCTTTTTGTTTGTAGCGCGAAGATGCCCGGGTTTGTTCCAGAGGGCGTTTATTGCATGCCAACGTGGAACGACATCCGAAGTATGGGCAACGGCACGCCATTTGGCAGAGCCAAATCTGGATACAGTAGAGTAGCTGCAGTATATATATATTCATATATCCTTGGAAGCATGCAGTACACTGTCTACGTTTTCCTGCCTGACCTAACGAAAGGGTGCATGGGAAGATTTCCATGGCCTTTCTCACCCCCTTTTCCATTTCATCAGTCATGCATACCCTTACCACTGCTGGTGGTTCTTCCCAACAAACACGGCAAGTAGCGCCATATGAATGCATTGTGTCAAAAACCAGAGGACACCCTGTCCTGTGTGCTCTCTTCTCCTTGTGACTTTCGCTCAGCGTGGGACGGGGTGGTGTTCCCTAGCCACGGAGTGTACAGGGGAGGAATCTTTAAATTCAGAATTGCCATTCCTAAGGATTATCCGAGCGTGGCGCCGCGCGTCACATTTCTCTCCAAAGTCTTCCATCCGCTTGTTGACCCTAAAACTGGAGAAGTCTGCATTCAGGTATGCACCTAGATCGAACTGTTGACGGTGTGGACGCGTGGTATGTATGCATTTCCACCCACTAACATGGGAGAAGCGCTACAATCTTTGTTGTCGAGGCTGGCCCGATCATCTTGTTAAAGGCGGTTAAGCAGGATATCATTAAAATAGGGTTAGCAGAAATCTGTGGTACCAAAGAGCGTTGAAGCACGCACTTGACTAGAAATCTGGGGTCAGAAAGATGCACTGAAGCAATAGAACGTGTAGGATCTCACTCATTCGCCGCGAGGGCTACTGCTGTGTGCGTCAAAAATCGCTCCTTATCCCATGCACCACCTAATTCCTCTCAGCTCGTGTCAGGTGCTCCTCGTATTGGCATCCGTTCCTACTTTAGTAGTTTCGGGATTTTTCTTGTGCTGTCTTGAAAGGTGAACAGTCAGTTGTCCTCTGTCATAGTACTTTCAAAGATTCACTTTGGTCTAGTGGTTACTTTCAGCAGAACCTTCGGAAGCTTGAAGCTTGGGCTCCTGCATTCCTGCTTTGCCTCTCTTGATACGACATTCTGTTGGAGATTGGGCCATCACTAATCTGGATACCGCATTACTTGTGAAGGAAATGAGATTTGAACGAGAGCTGTACTTGTTGCCGCCCGGCTTTCTTTTGTTTCCTTTTCGCAGGCGTACTTTAAGGAATGGAACAGCGAGCGACATTATATTCCAATGGTGCTGCTGTACTTGAAAAGCATATTTTTCTCCAAAGACTTTCTCAGGGGCACTGCTGACAAAATGAACTGGCGAAATGAACGCGCCGCGCAGCTGTACGTGAACCCAACGTCGAGGCTGAAAATATCAGGAAATAAATTATAATGTTCGTTTTTTGCTTTGGTAGTCTAATATACCTACGCTGCTTTTCTAGTTGCATGGGTAGACCACGTCCCTGTTTTGTTTGATCTTATAAAGCCAGCTTCCTGAAAAACAAACAAGTGACGTGAACCGCTTTTTATATGTAGACCAAGCATTTTGCTAATACAAGTTTTGGGGTGTATCGTAAGTTTTCGAATAGCACAGCATACGGCCTGAGGGTGGGCATTCGATCTTTACGTGCGCGAATAGTGCCGTCGTATGTTGCTGGTGGCATGAGAGTACGGCTCTCGAGTATCTCCACTTGGCAGAGTTGTCGTTATTATATGTGCTATATTACTGGCCCTGCTATACTATTCTCTGTGCTTTTTCTTTCTTCAGTTTCCGAGACGACAAGGCCACGCTGTTGGGCGAAATACGTCAGTGCGTTAGGGATTCCCAGGAGCAGTGTTTTGAGGCAGTGCCAAGAGACAACGCGATTGCAGCAGCTGCGGCTCCTGATGAACGAGAACCCCTGGCTGCGGCATCCGACGACTTGAAGGGTTCTCAGACACATTACCCGGGAATAGGGAAAGGAGAAAAAACCGATGATGAGACAGGCTTTGTATTCAATTTTCAACCTTTCCACCGCCATCAGAAGCCCTTGCTGCATGCAATTTCGCTATTGGTCGTGGATGACGCATGTGCGGACCGTACTCAGGCGTTCGTTGAATGGTTCATCGACGACTGGTGCAAAGCCGAGTTTGAAAAGGAAGAAAAACGAGAAGAACAACAACAAGTGTAATACGACTGTTGTGTATTCCTTCTTGTTTTATTTAAATTATACCACCCTGGTTACTAGCATTGCAAGAGAATACAGCCAGTCTCGCACTTATTGCTTACATTAAAACCACTTATGCACAATCAAGTATACAGGTCTCCCTCGCGCCTACAGGACACTACTTTGTGCCAGCAGAAACAGCTCAACGGCTAGTAAGGCCAGCAATGCGGACACTATTGACGCCACCTAGCCCGTCTTAGTTAATCGTTACCACAGTACGCTGCTCGCATCTACCCTATCATCGAAACATCTCAGGGCTAAGGGGGTTAAGTTTGGTGGCAACGCTACGAGGACCATGCTTTTGTGCTGAACTGAACTACCTGGCCTGGCATGGCTCGCCTGTTCACTTGAGTAATCCCCGCAACAAGTGGGCATATGATAAACAATGCGGGAACCCCAGAAAAAAGGGGGGACTGCTGGGTTGAGTATAGGTGTTGGAACTGGAATCTGCTCCCCGTGTCATCGGGGGTGGGTGGGATTGAGGGCAACAGGAGAGCCACTCATTAGCAAATGCTGCTCTTGTTTAGCGGCAAACACTGCTGTCCAGACAGCTGGTGCCGCCCATCGTCTATAAACGCATACTTTTAGGGTAGCATCCTACCCTACCCGCCTGTTGCCTCCTCCCCCACACCTACGAGGTGGGAGCAGCTCCGAGAAGGATGAGTATTCAGTGCTGCTGCGCAGCATCTTAAAGAGTTTTCTATACTTGCTTTCGCTTTTCAATGAGTGTGGAACGGCTTCAGAGTACCCCTCGGTACAGACAGCGGGTTTCCGTGGTTAAGAATAAGCTTGTGCCCCTGAGCCTTGAGCGCCTCGAAGCAGTTCTTCTTGCACTCTAGATCCAGCCATCTGCATTCTTTGCATCGCTCCTTGGGAGAAATGAAAAACAGACGGCCATGCCAAGTGAAGTCCTTCTTGCGACCATCCAAGCCCACGAAATCAGCATTCGAAGGAACGGGTGGCTTAACCGCGCCGTGCGCGTGGCCCTTATAGGCGAGGTACAGTGCCACCCCGAAGAAGAAGTAGGCATGCAGCCCGACGAACATGATCATCTTACGCTCATACTCAGTAATTAGGGGAGTGGCTAGTCGGCTGTACGGATCCAGGTCCAAGATCCACGCCTGCCGAGAATTCCAGCGGGTAAGAAAGCCGGTGACGTCGAGCCAGCGGTACACAAAGTTGCCCGTGCGTTCCCACATCCCTGGCTGGTGACGCACGAGAGCATGCAGCAACTGCTGTTGCACAGCCCCATAACGCATCGTAGCAGCTGAGTCAGAACTCTGCAACAACAAGGGAGAGGTCCGCAGCAACAGCCGCCTGCTCCCTGATGCCGCTGATGCAGCGGCACCGACCGGCGCGCTCATCATCCTGAGAGGAGGTGGAGGGAAAGAGAAACAGAGAAGAAAGTCGTGTTGTGACGCCAGTTGCCGCGCTAATAGGCACGCGGCCGCTGGTGATGGACGCTCTCAGCGCTGCTACAGCCGCCGCCTCTCTGGCAGGACGAACGATCCGCAGCAACGCGTTTATTGCGGTTTTGCTCAAAATTGATCGAATCTTCTGGCACTCGGAAATCGAACCAGTGGGAGGGCTGCTGCTGCAGCAGCGTCAGAGATTCCCTGCATGTGTATGCATTAGGCCCCGTCGCACTCCGTGGAGGCGGCAGCAGCAGCAACAGCGTCCGTGAGGCCTTGCCAGGCAGCAGCAGCTGCACCAACTGAAGCAGCACTGAACTGCCTATCGTCATATGCTTCCTGTTTCCGCTAATCGGTTGAATCAGCAGCCCGCTACCGCTTTCAGTGCCTCTCTCTTTTGCTGCAGCCGCCGTTGCTTCACGGGATAAGCCCCCCCTCTCCCCGCAGCCACGGCCGTTTGTCGCTGCAGGTAACTCTTTTCTTTCCCTCTCGCGGCACTTTCTTATGTGATACCCAGTGGAGAACGGCAGCCGCACAAATAGGCACGCAGGTACGGGAACTGTCGCCGAAAGCGGAAAGCCCCTGCAGCCGCGGAGAGCACCAGCAGACGGCTGGTGCTCTCTGAGACACCTCATTTTGAAGGACCTCCTGCGCATTAAAAGCAGCCAAGAATTTTATCAGAGGGAGACGAGGCGCCGGCGCTCCTCGGGGCAGTAAGGGCGACACGACGGACTGCGGGTCGTATGCATATACATATATGTATGTATATATAGTGCAGGATTTGCGCGCACAAAGTAGCAGCAGCACGATGAATCGATACGGGCGGCCTCCACCCAAGAACGATGACGAACTTCTCAGGCACGGAAAAGTATCACAGGCTGCATCTGACTCCTACGGACCTGTGAGTGCCAGTGCGCATCGAGTCTCCTCGTGGAATAGCCCAGCAGGATACAGCGGCAGCAACACTAGCAGCCACACGCAGCAGCATGAACTCCCGTGGTGGAAGCAGCAGCGCCCGCCTAGGGAGCCACGCCCCCCTCCCTCTGTACAGGGTTGTAGCCGCAGCAACGCATACCCTAGCCATCAACAGGAGCAGAAGCTGCAGCACGAGCCGCAGCAGAAGCTGCAGCACGAGCCGCAGCAGAAGCTGCAGCATGAGCCGCAACAGAAGCTGCAGCATGAGCCGCAGCAGGTGCTGCAGAGGTATCAGGCCTCCCCGAAATTTGGTAACAGCAGCAGATATGAGCGTCACACATTCAACAGCAACAACACTATGGGGTCTGTTTCCCGCCGTAGCCGCAGCTCCCCGAGGCTGACAGCAACAACACCCTACAGCTATAGCAACGGGAACAGCAGCAACAGGGCAGCAAGCGACAAACGCACAATTATCTGGTCCAACAGCGCTTATCCACGCCAACCCCAGCAGTACCAGCAGCACCACAATCAGCAGCAGCAGCACCACAATCAGCAGCAGCAGCACCACAATCAGCAGCAGCACCACCACCCTCCACAGCAGCAGCACCACCACCCTCCACAGCAGGAGCACCACCACCCTCCACAGCAGCAGCACCACCACCCTCCACAGCAGCAGCAGCTGCTGCTGCAGCAGCAGCAGTACCACTCTCCACAGTACCAGCAGCACAACCTGCAGCAGCATCACCAGCCGCCTTCAGGGAGGCACCGGTGCTGCAGCCGTAGCCGCAGCTACAGCCGAGAGCGGCAGATCTTCACGAAGGAGGGGACGCAATATGAATCTGTATATGACGCTGAAAGAGACAGACGCAGAGGGGGGAGGGCCTTTTCTCCTCTGGATCAGTCTGCTGCTCCTTTTTCGAAGCCGCATGGATTCAGTGGACGGCTAGTGCCTCATGCCGATGGGCGCGCGCAGTCTGCATGCCGCTGTCGCCATGGTCTCGTGTGCAGGATCTGTCAGGATAGGCTTCCTCCTCCGTCATCTGCTGCTGCATCTGCAGCTGCTGCGCCTCGCCTCCGGTGCAGCAGCGGCACAGAGACTTCCGACGGGGGGGGGGGCAGTCCTCGAGGAAGAGCAGGTGTTTCTTGGCTTCCCATGACGGGCAGTTCTCAGTCAGCTTTACCACCAAGTCACCTCCGCATCGACGCTGCTGCTGCTGCTGCTCCTCCTCCTGCTCCGGGCACTGCTGCATATGCGTGGCAAGAAGCTGAGGCAGATGCAGCTGCCGCTACTGCCAGGAGTCATGCAAGACGATCCCCCCCACGTAGCAACACGTGGCACCAGCAGCAGCCGCCTCCGTACCGCTCGCGTCCGCAGCAGCAGCAGCAACAGCAGCAGCAGCAACAGCAGCAGCCGCCCCCCCCTCCTCAGAGACAGCATCCGCAAGATCAGCAAGGGCAGCAGCAGCAAGCGCACCAACAGCAGGTGCAGCAAGAAGAGCATCCAGACCGCTGTGTGCCTTGCATGTGGTATTTCTGCCATCCCTTTGGCTGCAACAAGGGGGCTTCATGCCGCCGCTGTCATCACGAGAGCCATCGCGATCCTTCTTCGCTCCTCCACCCCTTCTCCCTGCTGCACATTAGGGGCCGCTGCATGCCGTGCAGACGCATAGCAGCCGAAGGCCTCTGCATGCATACCGGCTGCGTTTTCTGCCATCATCCTGACCATCACGTTCCGCTCAGTACCACGGGAGAAAAGCAACAGCAGCAGCAGCAGCAGCGCCGGCTACAGGAGCAGAGACTTGCACCGATACAGCGTCTGTCATACGATCAGGGAGCCCATGTGCGAGGAGTTTGCCGACCATGCGCGGCTTTCTTCTGCTCCCCTGAGGGCTGTAGGGGGGGCACAGCCTGCAAGCGCTGCCATGATGCTTCGCATGCTAACCCGTACTTGCCCTCTCATCCCTCTGTGCTGCTGCATCTCAAGAGATGCTGCGAGCCATGTGCAGCGTTCCTGCGGGGAGAGTGCTCGAAGGCCCCCTCGCTGTGTTTTTCTTGCCATCACCCAAGCCATCAGCAGCACCAGCCGCCGAGTGAGGAGCCGCGAGAAACAGAAAAACTGGAGCCGCAAGAGGAGGCGCAGAAGCAGCTGCAGGAAGAGATGCTGTTGCTCCAGCATCAAGAGCACGAAGAATTGCAAGCGGACGACGATGAACACTGGGATCTCGTCAGCGAGGGATGCGCCGTGTACAGCGCAGGCTCACCTGGGGAAGACGGGCAGCAGCAACAGCAGCAACAGCAACAGCAGCAACAGCAGCAGCAACAGCAGCAACAGCAACAACAGCAGCAGCAGCAGCAGCAACAGCAGCAGGCTGCAGATGTCCATTTACCCGAAGGCGAGCAATGCGAAAGCGGCAGTAACGAAGGGCCTCGGGGTAAGGAATATGAACAGCAGCAGCAACAGCATGCGGAGTATGACTACCAGCAGCAGGAAGATGAGGACGAGGCAATAGAGCAGCGGCAACAGGAAGGTCAGGCTCTGGAGGAGCAGCCTTCTGGGTAGGGGGCCGTTTGCCTCGTCGCAGCTGCGATCGGTCCGTCTCTTTAGCCATCCGCCTCTGATGTTTCCATTGGAGCATGCATGCATGTAGTAGCGACAGCGGTACCTGTTGCAAATGTATGATGTGTTGGGAGCGCTGCAATCAGGGAATCGTGTGTGGCACAATGCAGCCACTCCACTGCTGGACTCAACTCCACCTTAACGCTGCATGAACTCGAAGCACGCATTGTGATTTAAGAGCAGCGAAAATTTGTCACCCCCTCCATTGTTGGTGTGGCGCGCAGCGAACTGCAGGGGGACTGAGGGGGGTCCTCTGGAGGCGGCTCTTTGGAGGAGTCGCCCAGTAGGATGGTCCCCCGTGTTGGTGTAAGGAGAGAGGGAGGGGGCCCCACCGCGGGGAATGTGTGTAGAGACTTTACCGGCACCGAGTGGCCACACAGTGAAGAAGAATGGGCTACGAGATACGTTTAGACATAGAGCAGTATTGGTAGGTCTTGTGAATCGACCAGCCTTTTTATAAGTGCAGAATGACGTTGCTGAGAGGAGGTGCTCCTGTTGCCGCTTACTGGCGTTACCGCAACTGCTACGACTCATCGGTCAGTGGTGCGGAGGTGCTGGGAGCAAGGGGAAGACAAGGGGCAGGAATGAATGGCGAACTTTTATAAAAACGATCGGGGTTTTGAATCTAAATAAAAGACGAAATTTCAAGAGCAGTTCAACTCGGGCGGAGCACGCGCGGATCGCAAAATGTGCCATGCGCCGGAGTGCTAAGAAGATAACCCCGACAGCAGCAGCAGACTGCTGCTGTTGTTGCAGGTTTGGCTCTGCACTGGAGCTGCTGTTGTGTCGTAGTCCCTTCTTGTTTCAAGGAGATTCATTCTAGCACGAAGGTCGCCCAAGCTGTGCATCGCGCAAAGGGAGCACAACAGCCTACGAACGTTACACCATCACGTGGTATGTACGCCTGTCACGAGTCTCAGGGGGGTTTAGCAGCCCCTAGCTCCCGCAGAAGAGCACCTCACGCATCGGCCGCTAACTTTTATCCCGCTCTACCTGGTCTGTAAGTCGTTTCTCTTGGATTCCTCGTGAAGAACAGGATGCGGAGATTCGCAGCTCCGGCGCATGCAGAGGGCCCCCACGGCAACGGACCTGAACGCGTGCGTACATGCATATTTCTAGACGAGGAGCCATGCAGAGTTTGTGTGGTGCTTCGAGAAAAAAGAGCCCGGTTGATGATGCATACTCTTGCGCCCAGCTGAAGCCTTTGGGAGAAATTTTTGGGGCTTTAAGGGCATGCAAACGGACCCTCCACAAGGGTCTGAAGTTGTTGTTGCACTGCTTGCAAGAAGGCGGAGGCTGACACAAGACCACGCGCCCAGCCGAGGCCTCTGCAAAAGGAATGCCCTGCAGCAGCAGTTCCTCCACAAGCGCGCGCACATGCATGCATGCCAAATCGAGCAAACCCCACCAGCCAACACACCCCAACCCGAAGCCAGACTAATCACACATACACACACAAAAGTGAGCCAGGCACTTCGTTCCACACCCCAAGTAGAAGGCACTCGATCTGCAGACCAGCGGCGTCAGACAGATGAACCCCCCATGCAGAGAAGAGGAAGAGGCAACGTCGACTCCAAAGCGAATCAACTGAAGGAACAAGGCACTGCAGCTAAGCCACCCAATACACGAAATAAATAACAAATACGCATGCAGACGGCGTGCCATGATGATTCGCACAGAGAGCAGGAATGCACTCACTCACATGTGTGTACATACACACACAAACGCGCACTCAGATACATGCCCAAACTCAGATCGAGGCAAAACGGAAGCGTTCAAACAAACATGCAAAGGGCCCACAACTAGTGTCAGATACTCGAAACCTTCACACAGTACCACGACGACACAGAGTGCGCTACAAAATGAGCAAAAGAAGAAATGCACGAAACCACGGCGATGCAAGAGTAGCTTCAGGTGTCTATACAGAGAGCCCCTGGCGGAGCTGGAGACCCCAGGAAGCACAAAGAGCTTCGAACAACACACAGCGGCGAGGCTGACTGGCGAGAAGGTTTTTTCGGACGGCATAAAAAGGTTCTCAATTGCACAGATTCAGCAGCAGCGCGAAGTTAACTCTGCCGAAACTTACCTCCAGCCGTGACAAAGCCTACGAGGGGCCTACATGCATCAAAGGAGGACGTCTTGGGGGAAAGGGCACCCTCTAGGAGCTCAGAGCGCTCCGCTGTTGAGACAGTCTTGCGACGCGCTTTCCCCTTGTGTGAGGCCGCTTCCAGTTTCCGCCGCAGGCAGCCTCGCCGCTGCGTGCGGTGAAGAGGCTCTTCCAAGTGTACAGCCAAGCCGACACTGCTGCCACTGCCGCCGCTCGTGTCGCTGCTGCTGAGCTGCAGGGGACAAAAGGCGGGTTTTAGGTGCGGTACAGACGCAGATCCCCTTTGGCTGCCTTTCGCAAACGGCGTGGGGGGGTACGCTGCGGCGCACGTCACACCGCACCCCGCAAATCCTTTTGCGAGCCACTGTGTCTGATTTCAGGAGCTCACCGACTTACAACGACGAAGCAGAGGCGTCTTGAATACACGGGCGCTCTTCGGCTCGTACCTTCGAAGAAAAGCTTGAAGTCTCCAGCGGTCAGCGCGTAGATGTGACACAGCTCCAGAGGGACGCCTCTCTCGTGGATCTCCAGCTGCACAGGGAGGAGGGCTCCCCTGTCTGCCAAATAGGCTGTAGCAGCCGCGACGGCAGCGTCTGCTCTGTTGGAGCTCTTCGATGCTCGCCGTGAGGGGTGCAGCAGCTGCTGGAGTGCCCAAAGGAACACCAGAGGCAGCTCGTCTAGGGGGCTCCAACTCTTGTCTCTACGGGCAGCCTGCAGAACGCCTTCCAGCACCTGCAGCTGCTCTTCCTCCCGCTGCTGCAGCTGCTGAAGGAGCAGCGTGAGCCGCAGCCACTGCGCTGGGAACATACGGACTGCTGGGGGGGGCACGAGGAGAGGCGGCAGCAGCTGCAGCAGGTTCGCGGGGGGAACTGGGAGTGGCGGGAGCAGAGGATCCTGCTTCTTTAGAGGTTGGCGCTTCATCTCGCGCTTGTTGGACTGCAGCGGGGGCAGTAGCAGAGGGAGCAGCCGATGCGGCAGGAAGCAGGAAGGGCCATACAGCCGCCGCATTTGCTGCTGCTTCTGCTGCTGTTGCTGCTGCTTGCTGGCTGCAACCAGCACTGCCTGCTGCACCAGCAGAGACTCTTCCGGCGTCGCGCTCGAGCCACGCTGCGGCAGCATCAGCGACTGCTGCTGCAGCGGCTGGTGCTGCAGCAGTCGCCAAAGGGGCAGGAAGGGGCAACGCGATGCAACTGCTGCGAAGTTGCAGCGCCGCTCTGGCGGCTTGCGTCGGTGCAACAGTTCCTGCTGCCAAGCACAACACAGCGCTGCATGGACCCCTGCGGCAGTATCTGGGAAGCCGAAGGGGAAGTCGCTGCTGCCGCTGCCGCTGCTTTCCAGAAGCAGCTTCCGCCGATCTCTGTAGCCTACAGGACAGACGCCGTAGCGACACAGGAGAGTGAACAGCCTCGCAGCGCCAGCACCTGCTGGAAGCAGCAAGTCAAAGCCGCTGGCGCCTCGACTGCTGCCGCTGTTGCAGTTCCCACTGGTACTTCCGGTGTAGCAATGCGACCCCTCCAAGGAAGCCTTTGAGACGCCGCCTCTAAAGGAAGGCAAACCTCGAGAAAGAAAGCCACCACGCGCAATCAGCAGCACAGGAACGCGAGTGCCGTTCGCTGGAAACGCTGGTGACTGGAAGCCTGCAGAAGCGGCAGCCGAGAGAGACGCTGCGCCGCCAGGTAAATCTGCAGCAGCAACAGCAGCAGCTGCTGCCGCAGGATCGGCACCAACTGCAGCAGCGGCGATGGCAGCAGCAGCAGCAGCTGCTGCTGCCGCTGCTGCCGCAGCTGCCGCAGCTCCCGGCTCCGTATTGGTCATCACGATAGGAGAGAGAGGAAGGCCTAAGTCTTCTTCATCTGCGAGAGCTGCAGCAGAAGCAGCAGCAGCAGCTGCTGCTGCTGTTTCTGCTGCCGCTGTAGCTGGTGTCGCCGCTCCCGCCGGTCGGTGGGTGTTTGCTGTCACGGGTAAACGGCCCACGGCAGTAGGCTGTTTCTGCTGCTGTTTCTGCTGCTGCTCTTTCTGCTGCTGCTCTTTCTGCTGCTGCCTCTCTTTCGGCTTGCGTTCCTGTTGGCTCTGCAGCTGCAATTGCAGATGCCGTTGCTGCAGCCGCTGCAGCAGCGCACGGAGCTCAGGCCTCCTTCTGCTGCGTGTGGCGACTCTCCAAGGAACTGCAGCAGCAGCAGCCGCGCGATCTGCATCGGAAAACAGACGCGAGGTCGCTGGGGGAGGCAGAGCTCTTCCTGCTGCAACAGCAGCGGCGAGAGCCGCCGTAGGCGCTGCTCCTCCTGCTGCTGCTCCTCCTGCTCCTCCTGCTGCTGCAGCAGCAGCTGCTGCTGCACGCCGCAGCAGCCGCCGCGATCGAGGGGGAAACGGCCCTAGCAGAGGAGGCAACGCAGCCTCTAGAGGGAGGACGACTCCCCCGGGGAGTCGAGGCGCACTGCCATGCAGCAGTTCGTGCTGCACAAGCGCCTTCCACAACAGATAGCAGGCGTGCGCACCTGCTAGCGAGGCTGCTGCTGCTCCTGCAGGCGCAACAGCTGCTGGACGCTGCACCTTCAGCGCGAGGCTCAAGGCTCGCAGTGCCTTAGGCCCCCGCAGTTCGAACCGCGCTAAGTTGTGAATCTGCTGAAGAGCGACCCCGACTCCGCATGCACAGTCTCCCGCTGTTTTCACCGACGTTGCGTTGGCTGTTGCCGCCCCTCTGACGCCCACGTCGGGTGGAGTCGAGGCGCAGGAGCAGCCTGCAGGCCGAACTGCATCTGTCGCTGCAGCAAGCACGGCGCCTGCTGCAGCGGCTGCTGCGGGGTGTACAGTCACCCAGAGAATCCTGGCAGCTTCGCCTGCGCATGCAGCGCCGAAAAGGAAGTCGCAGGGAGCCACGACTGCGGGCTGAGCTGGAGGAGGCTGCTGCTGCAGCAGCAGCATCTGGCCTTGCTGAGCTCCCGCCCGAATCGCCTTGCTGGCGAGGAGAGCAGCGTCTGCTCCGCAGCGGCGTAACAGCAGGAGAAGCAGCACGATAGGCCCCCGCAGCTCGAAGGTTGCGAGGTAAGAGGCGTCATGCGCCGTGGCTAGCTGGCTAGCCATGCGCAGCAGCTTCCGCTGCATGCGCTGCGTGGGATGCACAGGGAGGCTGAAGCCCCACAGCGGCTGTTGTCGGAAGCGCCGCGCAAAGAACATGTGCGTCTGCAGCCATCGCACCTTCGGCGACGGCGGCGAGCTGCCGCGAGCTACCGCTGCTCGCTGGAGAAGCAGCAGTGCTGGCTTCCGCTGCTGTCGGCGCGTGCGACGGGAGGAGGGCTGCAGTAGCGGGAGAACACACGAGGTGAGCGTCTGAAAAAACGCGCTGCGCGGCAGCCTGCCGCAAGGACGGAGGAGAGCTCGCTAGAACAGGGGATAAAAAGGGATCTGATTACCTTTGGAGGTGTCTTCGCCATTTCGCTGAGGATCGGTCCTCGCCGTCTGCGGGGAACTCTGTAGGGAGTATAAGACATGCAGCGACGTCGCATGCTGATCGGCAGCTTCTGGAAGGAACGGCGGCAGGGGCCAGTTCTTGTGGTGGGTGCAGCTCCTGCATCTGCCGTTGCTGCTGCATCGAATCCTCCCCCCGCCGCTGAAACTGATGCGCCCCCTGCGTTGGCTGACCCCGCTTGCAGAGCTTGTTTCTTCCTCCTTTGCTGCTGCTGCTGCAGCTGCTGCCGATGTCGCCGCTGATGCTGCTGCTGCTGCTGGCGCTGCTCCTGGTAGCGATTCGGTAGCTGCTGCAGTTGTTGCAGCAAGGCCCCCACTTCGGCCTCCCTGGCACGCAGAAATGCAGGAACGGAGAGCACTTGGGGCAGAGGAGGCACGGGCAGCTGAGCGCCTGCAACTGCCAAAAGTCGCGCCTGCTGCTGCTGCTGCTGCTGCGAGGAGCGCAGCGTAATGGGGGGAAGGCACAAGTTCACTGGGTACGGACCCTCAGCAGCAGCAGCTGCTGCTGCTGCCAAGGAGCCGTGGCTGCTGGAAGCACCAGCGACGGGATCCTCCTCCCCCCGAAGGCGCTGCCTTTTGGTCTGCATTCTTGCGACCGCTACCCCCAAACTTCGTAACTCTTAATTCGAAGACTTTGCCATAGGCGTACTTGCTGGGCAGCTCGGCGGAGGTTCGAAAAGCATCAAGCAGAAGCAGGGGCCCCCACCTTGACATTTAACTCCCCCGCCTCCAATCAGCAAGAAGATCGACTGCAGGGTCCTGGCAGCATTCAGCGCGGGCTAGCGCGCTTGCCAACGCAAAGCCAGCGAAAGCGCATCCTCAACTCTACAGCGCACTTTAAAAGCCCCTTTTTAATGGAAAACGATACTTATGTGCCACCAACAAACCGTCAAAAAGGACAAAAACACGTGCGGGAAGGGGGGCCCCCTTTGCCGAGAGGCCCCCACCCACACGGGGCCCCCTGTGCTGCTGCAGGGCCCCTAAGAGGGGAACCTGCCTCAGGCGTAGGAAGGAAGCAGCTGCAATACACAGGGATATCCTTTCTATTTCCTTAGCACACGTAATTGCATCATCATCAGAGGCAGTCTAATCTTTCTGACCTGGAATCTTCCGCCTTGCTAGTGCCTGGCTCCTAGCCATGGGTCTCGCCACGATCCATCCTGATCTTCCCCAAAGCTCGTGATTCACTTCTCCTCTGACTTCCTTGGTCCGAATTGCTTCTTTGCCCCCTCCCTTTTGCGCCCCTTCCTCTTGAAGTGCGGTTCGTTACCAGCTTTCACCAGCAGTCGATGTGTGTGTGAATGCGCTCAACCGGAGGAGCTTTGGCACCGGAAGTCCGCAATGCGTAGCCGCGTGTATGCAACTGCCCACTGTATCGTAGCCAAATGCAGCAGAGAAACACACTTTCCAGCTTTACCAGCACCCAGCTGAAGTGCGTCGATCCTGGCGTATGTATATTCTAGCGTTACATCTAAGGTCTGTAGGGAGACGCTGCACTCCAGATTCAATGCAAACTTGATAGAAAGCCATTTTGTGGTTCTTCAGCGAAGCCTATTTCCTTCCCTTGCCCATATCCCGCATATTTCCGTGACATGCGCACGAGAAGGACACCTAGGATGCACGTTGCTGCACCTGAAGCAGTGCGAGCATTCACAGATAGTTGCACACAGCATCTCGCGCACACGCGCACGATCTTTTGTCTTGTTTATTGATTGAAAGCTACTCGAAAATGAATAAGGTATTCCAATAGCCGGAGCAATAAGTCAGTTCCTCCCTAATCCTCAATTAATACGCTGGTATAGTAGAAAGTGCTTATGTGGAGCTTGGACCGCTGCACCTTGGTCGCCCATTTCGAAACACGCCATCTCATGTCGAGGACTTCACCTTGGAGATTAACAATCTGCAGGGTAGCGGAAGGGGTCCTGCACTATCGCAACCCCAAATAGCCAGTCAAAAGCGCGAACACTGTACAAAAGAGAAATACCGACATGTGCATGAACGACATGAGCGAAATAAACGAAGAGGAAACACAAGCACACTACTCAATAGCGAGCGGGAGGCCAAGCCAATATGACGCGGTGGGGCCATGGCTCGCTGCCGTCCGAGCGCTGAAATGTGTGGGCATCCTGATAAGCTTTTCAGGGATCGGAAGGCTTTGAAAAGTTTAGAATTCAGGAAAATTGCACGGCTTCATCTGCTGAAAATTTGGGCATGATAATGCATACTTATCTGCAGCATGACGCATCCTAAGGCACTAAAAAGTATGGGGGGGGTTTTTACTGCAGAATGAATTTCCCTATGGCCCCTCAAATCATAGGATTGTACTTTGCGCATGGAAGCACTGCCAAGCGAAGTCGGACTCTGCAAGGGACGGAGTTCCCGGTTTGCCTTGAGCCACACATGCGTCCTCAACGCGGTAGTGCCTATCTCTTTTGCCACTCTTCATCTTGGAAAAATCTTTATGTGTCAGAAGCAGACGCACGCGTATTCGATGGAAATCGTGGGTCAGAGGCGTCGCGAGAGCAAGTTGGCAACCGCGTTGATGCTGTTTGCATAGTTCATTGTATATTCGTACTGCAGGATGCACCCATAGCAACAAACAACTTTGGGACCCTAACAGTCCTTGGAAACTCTTCTTTAGGTAGATAAAAGCTGCTGGCTGGGTTGGGCAGTAATGTGTCACCAATAAACGTAGTGTTGGCATTTTTCTCGCCCCATCACACTACATGGAGTTCTTGGTGCCGCAAAAAAGATGGCTACTTGGTTTCGATGAAGCGAATAAAGCCAAAATTAAAAGTGTGATTTTAAGCCAGTAGCCTTTTAGGAAAGCAATCAACTCTTTGTCACTAGCATGGGCTGTTCGGAAGAGATGGGACCTACAATCATTGATAGCGAGTACTGCTGCAGGGGACGGTGGGCAACGAGAGTTCTTGCTGCGGAGTCAGCCTGCTCTGCTCGGGCCACAGACCGTGTTTCTTCAACTACATCAATCAAATGAGAAGCGATCCTAGAAAGCTCAGAAACAAAATTACAGCTTAAAGAAGCAAAAAAATGTATTGCAGATTTTGAAGTTTATGGGATTGCATGACGGTAAATGCCGCTCCTTGATTGGATCAATTTTTTCGCTGGATGTGGCTTGGTTCCTATGGGAAAAGTCGATTTCCTAATAGGCAATTGGTTTAATGAAAAAGAGCACCTTTTATGTTTTTACTTATCACTTCTTGTCCCTCAACAGCTGCAGTGGACGCCGTAGGTGCCGAAGATGCTTTCAAATGTTTTGGCCGCAGTGGAAAAAACCGTCCATGGAAACATTTATCCGCCCTCCTCGGTATGTTCATAAAATGTATGCTGACGTATCGTTGTAGTTCAACTGGGATTAAATGCCAATGGCATACCTGTATACTCTAGTTTGACGATGCAAGTGTGGAGCACCTAGGTGATGCCCGTCATCTGGGTAAATGAGGATTTGAAAAAGAGTCCACAGACTCAGATACCGAGTAAACTGTTAGACTGTGCATTATTTCCTATAGTCCTCCTGTTCAAGAGCCTAAAGCTAGCGCAAACTTGCCATCTTATGTCCGTTTTCAGCTTACACACCCGCTTCTGTCCCAAATCATTGGCCGATTCCTACACTGAGCCATTTTCAAGAAAGCATCCGATTGTTGCTCGACCTCTGCTCCATGCTGTTGGTGCTTCCGATGACGTTCTACTTATTATAAGACTGACTGGAGGTCCACTTATTAATGCGATGCGTTGGACGGCTGAAAGATGCGAGTCTGCTGAAAGCCCGTCGTTTTTTAGCATATTCGCGAAAGTCTCCTTGACAGTGGGCATTATTGCTGGACTTTGGATAGAAGGCCAATCGAATTATCTACTAAAAACCAGTTGCCGAGTAAGTAAGGGAGGATGCGTGCTTTGACGATTATCCAACTGCGCTGCTTTGCTGTCCGCACAAAGACTCTGCCTTACCTTGGTGAAGCACCGGCTCTACCGCGCTCACCACAGATGAGATGCGCATTCTTGGGGGGACCAGAAGTTGTTTTTTCCTGGCGTTTTGTTACACAGTAATTCCCGTAGGGCGCAGCTGTGGCCACACAGGCATCTTTTATTGAGTCATTCATGGCATGTCTTGCATTACGTCATGGTGTACGGGTCCAACAAAGAAGTTCCTGAGCGCGCTGACAAAACCCAACTCGCGCTTGAGAGAGCATTTAACCGGCACTGCCTTGCCAATCCTTGCGTTCGGTCGCCCGCCAACAAACCGAAGTCTTAGGCACTGCGATCACGAGTAAACTTCGAGGGTGCATTTATGCGCATTCTCCTCGGAAAACAGACGCACGTCACATCCAGTGTCATTTACAGCCACCAGTTCTTGGCCGGCAACGTGACATTTGCATCCGCATACAACAGACCCGTGGTGGGTCCCCAACTGCGGCTCGAACTTCTGCGTTCCCCTTCATTGCACCGCCTCGTGGGTGAGGGCACTTCTGCTTTTCTGGTGTGCCTTTTATGCTTGCCAAGAAGCCTCCTTCCACTCAGCCCAGTGCCGTTGTCAACTTCTTTGGATTTCTGCCTGCACTTCCATCCTTGAATTATGTGGCTCAATCTCCCGTTATTGAAGCATGTGTGTCTTTGAGGGGATGCCCGGAGCTGCTTATAAGACTAGGTTCCGTCTAGCTTTCTCTAATCGTCCGCCAAAAGCTGCAGGCATAGGGCAGCTGACGCGGCCTTGGCATCCAGGTGTCCAAAGACCCCAATGTAACTACTCTTTCTTAGCGAGAGGCAAGAGTTGAGCATGTTTGCTCCTTAAAACTCAAATAATGCACCATTTGTAAAAGCTCTATTGGTAGGGGTTTGTTTTGAAATCACACCATTGTTGCCTACATTGCGAGCACCCGACGTGACAATTCGGGCAGGCGCGAGGTGATCCACTGATAAACTAGCTGCTCGTCTACGTTGTGGCCCTTGAGAAAGAAAGTATTATATACCTCAAGATTTTGATCTATTGATGGGTTCCCCCTCTGCAGCTTTCTCGTTTTTCGCAAAGCTTGCTGTTGACCTGATCTTGGCAGAAACCAATGTGTGAGGGCTTGTATGAAAGTTTGAATTGCAGTGATCATGCAAGCACACCAAATTCTTTGTGAGTGTATGCAAATTGGCTTGACAGCAAGCTTTGGAGGAAACGAGGAAGCTACAGTCAGAGAATCTATCAATAGATCGACATCTGGAGGCATATGAATGTTGGCACCATTATAGTTCTTCGTCCAATATATGTGCCACAAGGAGCACTTGTTTCTATTTGTCTGGGAGCTAGAAATCCAATGAGCTCTCCAACTGTCTCTTAAATTCTTCGCAACTTGCCTTTTTCTACGACTGTCTTACTTTTCTGACCGGCCTAAGCTCATGGATGCGTTCATCAGCGTTTTATCGGCTAATAAATCATGCTTTTCTACCAGCTATAAAGCTACTGCATACACATCGGACTGCAGGTCGGCCTCGGCCACTCAAACAGCGGGTGAACGAGAGTCCCCTTCCACTGCCCGATAACTTTCTTCCTGAGCCTGTTGCCGAAGAACATTAGATTGGTGAAGCAGCAACCAACGTGACTGAAACCAGACACATGTCATAGCGAGACCTGACAACCCGCTTCATTTACGGCCACCGAATGGAAGTTGACAGCTACGCCAACCTCACACTGCTAGCAAAGGTAACTCTTTATGATGTTGTACGTAAGGAGGCACCATATCCCACACTTGATACAAAATTTAACTGTAATTGCTGGGTAACTCATAAAAGAGCATCCTGCTTCCCCCAATCACCTTTCTTAGGGCTCTCAACATACAGGTGATAGGTTTAGGTCGGCTGGGCACAGCTGTACCCTCTAGGCACTCCAAGCATTCACAAGTAGTTGTACCATAGCATCTAACACACAAGTACATAACATTGCTTCATCTTGTAGTGTCCTGACAGAAATGTGCAAGAGATAAGATGCAAATAAACGAAATAGGTAATGGCTTGCTAGTTTGTAGGTGGCGATAACTACTTTAGTTGAACGTGTTGAAGTGTAGCTTTGCCCGTTAAAAGAATGCTTTTTGGTGCGCATAAGCTCCAGAGGCAGCCACAAATACTGACACTGTTGAGGCTCTGCACGTCCACACAATCTTGTTGAGCAGCAACGAGACTATCGTATAGAATGTACACCAGCACGCAAGCGGCCCGATATGCCTGAACGATACCGGAAGGGCAGCCTGAACGAGAAAGCTCTACCAAACTCCCCACTGGAGGCCTACTCTGTACAGCACACACACCGAGGGGCCATAATGATAAGTCATACACACGGGATTCCCCTCGTGTGTGTGTTCTGGCAGTACTCTCATCGTGGGGGCCCCCTTGGGGGCCCCCACGGGCCCCGTTGGACATCATGAGGGTTCGGAGTAGCAGTAAGAAGTCCGCCAATAGCCTTTTTCACTATGGTGCAAAGTGATACACCACATGAGATGTAGCACTTGCGGCTACTGCAACTTCCTATACTTTGCTTCCGCTTTTGTGGAAGCAGCCTCCCTCTGCGTAGGGGGCTGCCGCTGCAGGATCGGCTGCGCGCTCTTCCAGCAGCAGCTGCTGCAGCAGGCAGCATCCCTTCGCAGGCGAGCAGTGCTTTCGAGTTAATTGTTTAGGGTTTACGGTTTTAAATCCTTTCAAGCTCAGTAGAAAGGGCGAGATTGTGGCGTACAGCGGCAATAGCAGCGGCAGTCCACGCTGCTGCTGCGGCGGCACCCCAGCAGCGCGCAACAGCAGCAGCGGAGGGCATACACTGCAGAAGGGTGCTGCTGTCCCTTTCTCCGTAGCATTGTTTGGCCCCAATAAGCATATTATTCACCTGTGGGCCCTGTGCTTCTCGCTGCCGCCTTGTCCACCGCACGATACGCGGCCGGGTGCAGCAGCAGCAGCAGCAGCAGCAGCAGGAGCATCCGTGGCTGCGTCTGCTGGTGTGCTGTGCTGCGGGCCTCCTTGATCGAGCTCCTCCGTTTCATCTGTGGCAACGCCTGTAGCAACTTCTTGTTGGCGGTGTAGCGTGAAAGGGGCTTCTTGGTGCAAGGGACGGCCGTCGGAGGAGCACCAGCAGCCGCGCTACGGTAAGCCTCAAGCTGCCGCTTTTCTCAAACCGTTTTACACGCCAAGAGGCTTTTGCCTCTTTCTCGACTTCGAGTTGTGCGGCTCCCTGCATCCCCCGCAGGGTTGTCCCCTCCAGATAGAGAAGCCGCGACACCGACCCCCGCGACAGCAGCAGCGCTGACAGCAGCAGCAGTGCAGCAGCAGCAGTGCAGCAGCATCTATTGCACGACAGAGACGAGAGAGAGCCTCCGCTGCACGCGCAGGAGGTCGAGCTGCCGCCGGTGCAGAGCCTTCTTCGCTGCCGCAGGAGCTGCAGCAGCAGCAGCAGCTACTGGCTGTTGCTGCTGCCACCGTCCCGTGAGGGCCAGAGCATGCAGCCCCCTGCGGGACGCTTCGGCCAGCGGGTGGGGCGGCAGAGGGGGCCCCTTGGGGCCCTTTCGGATGGCAGTGGCGACGAGCTATCTGTTGCGGCCCCCCACGCAGCAGCAGCAGCAGCAGCAGCAGCAGCAGCAGCAGCAGCAGCAGCAGCAGCAGCAGCAGCAGGGACAGCAACTGCAGCGGCGGTGGCGGCGGGGGCCCTTCGTGTAGCACGTCCACGTTCTGGAGCGCGAATTTATCCGTATCTTTCGCAGTCGATAGGCCCCCCTTTGGGGGCTCCTGTGGTTGCGGGGGGCCCCCTAGGCCCTGGTGTCTCTGAGGGGCCCCCTGACTCCCAGTACTGCAGCCCTTTGTATCAGTTGGCCTCTCGGCTGTCGCCAGAGGAGCTCAGGGATTTGGTGTTGCTGCAGTGCAAGCTGCAGCAGCAGCCGTCTTCCCAGGGGGCCCCCTCCGCCATTGCAGCTGCGGCAGCTGCTGCCGCAGCAGGGCGGGGCGCAGCAGCAGCAGCAGCAGCGGCAGCGGCAGCAGCAGCGGGCGAGTTGGACTCCCACGGACGGCGCGTGCTGCGTTTGGTGCCGTTCAAGGGGCGAACTCGGTGGAGCGGGGGGGAAGAGGGGGAAGGGACGTCACTAGCAGCCTCCGCAGGCCCCCCCCCCCGCAGCAGCAGAAAGCGAAAGCGCGCAGCAGCGAGGCTAGACCGGTTGCACCTGTTGCGGTGTCTGCAGTGTGGGCAGGTGGAGGCGCGTGGCAGCAAGTTTGGGGACTACATCAGCTGCGGTGCATGCGGAGCTTCCGATTTCGCTGTGGGGGTCGAGTTGGGACCGGATGCCAGTAGGGCTGCTGCTGCCGCCGCCGCTGCCGCTGCTGCGAAGGATGTGGACAGAGACAGCAGCGGGAGCGAGTAGCAGAGCGTGCCCAACGTTCGGCAGTTGCTGGTGACGCGCGCTTGTTCTCGAGAAGTGGCTTTGCAGAGAGTTTCCAGCGGCGCGGAAACAGCGGTTCCTATGGGGCTGAGGAGGCTTGCGAACAGCCTTCCTTCGCAGCTCGCCACGACGCAAGGGTGGGTGTGCAGCAGCAGTCAGTGCAGGGGAGGAGGCGCGTGGCCGCTTCCGAGAACAAGTGCAGCAGCAGTATGAACAGCACGCCTGCAGCAGCGGATACTGGCTTTACCGGCCTCTCCACCACCTCGCACAGAAGGGGCGGTGCCGCTGATGGGAAGTTGCTTCAGTAGTACACGAAGGGCAGCAATAGCACCAACAGGTTGGGGGCCGCTCCCTTCGTGGGAGGCTCTCTTTCTCCCCCCGTTTCCTTCCTCGCCTTTGCATGTGCGTTTGACCGCTTTTCTGTTCTGCCTGAGCGGCGGCGGCTGCTCGTGTTGTGTGTGTGCTGCTCCAGCAGCATCGCAGTCTTAGCCGGGTGAGGGTGCCCTGTGGCGCTCCAGTCGTAAACTGGGGTGGCTTGCAAGAGCAGCTGCAGCAGCAGCTGCTGGGGTAGCTGCTTTCCCTCAGTTCCCCTGGGCCTGTTGCAATGTTATGAGGCCCCCTGTTGGGCCCTGGGGTTCACGTTCATGCTGTTGGCTTAGCAGAACGGCGTGGCAGGGGAGGAAAGGCAGACAAAAACAGCGGATAGACGTGCAGAGCAATAGAGAGCTGATGGTTAAGGTCGATGGAGACGTGAGTGTATGCAAAGTCAGAGCCATAGGAAGAGAAGGGCAGTCTGCGGAGGTAGAGCGACGGAGCGGTGCATGCGAATCAGAGCGCCTCAGAGGCGTGAAGGGGGGTCTAGCTAAGCGAGGTGGAGGGGTCAATGCGAGAGGCCAAAAGACTGAGGCTCTTCGAATAGGGTGGAGGCAAGCAGGCTAGGGAGAGACTAGGCTAAGACGCTCACGGGCAACAACGTGACACATACATGAAATTGCGGTGGGGTTGCAGGTAGGGGGCCAGGGGGGAGGTGGCAATCTGCTGAGACGGCGGTAGCGAGAGGGGATGGAACTGAAGGGGGAGAAGGGAAGGGAGGTAGGTGGGGGCGAAGCAGAGGTAGCGAGCGAGAACCAGGACGGTGGAGGCCCTTGCATGCACACGGTTCAGTCACGCAGGTGCTGGGGTTGGTTTGAATGGAATTGCGACGCGTTGTTTCCTCTCGACGAGGTTGCCTTGGGGTACCCCTCCTCCGCTCTGCTGCAATCCAAGTGGCCACTGGTGTCGCGGCAGAGGCCGCCGGCGCGCTAAGGGCACAGGGGACTGGAGCATGCAGAGGGAGGCGACGGTCTAGGCTTGAAATAGGCGCAGCTGGCAGTCAGTCAGCCATTGCCATTGTTGACTTCGCCCATCTAAGCGGTCGTGAAGCTGGGATGCCGGAGGCAGTCTAACGTTTTGACGCGTGAGAGATGAGGTGGGCCACAAGCAGGCGGCTCTCTACTGCTACCATACCCTCTCCACCTATGAATTTTTGAAAGCAACAGGAAGGCGAGGGCAAGATGGGCGTATCTAACTCTGCTTCGTGAAGGAAGCCCTAGAGCCTACGCACGCCAGTAGCACGCGGGAAACGCGCGAAAAAAAGACGAACTCTACTTATTTAACCCCTCGTAGCCTCTTTCCGCTGGGGGCCTGAGAGTGCCAGCTGCTACAGAAGGAGCGCTGGCGGTGTGCACCGTGTACAAACAGAAAAACAGGGTTAGCTCGTGAACGACTGCCGCTGCCGTTGCACGCATGCGGGAGAGCTTGAGGCGGCAGCGACAGGTGTGTCTTAGTGTTTGGCCTTGGCCTTAAGGAAGTCAAAGGGCAGTTCATGAGGCTGGCAAGGCAATGGACTGTCTTTGAACCACTTGTGCTGTAGGGCGTCAGAAGCCGAAATACGCTTGTTCGGATCCAGCTGCAGCAGCTGCTGCAACAGATGGATGCTGCTGCTGCTGCTGAACGGCAGCAACTGCTTCAGACCCTTCGGGGGCACTGCCGAGAAGGCGAAGTAAGAAGGCAGCGAGTCGACATTCGGCCAGAGGGGCAGAGAGGTAGCTGGGGGGGTTGTTGCTGGAGTCGTCGGTGCTGGTGTTGCTGCTGAGGCTCCCGAGTTTTTCCCGCCGTTGTTGCTGTTGCTGCCGCCACTACTCCCCTGCAACGGCTGCTGCGCTGGCGAGGGGGGGGGTGCAGCCTGGGGGGTTCCCAGGAGGGAAAAAATACGGCATAGTTGATCGACATCGTTTGCACCTGGAAAGAGAGCTCGGCCTGCAGCGGCAACAGCCGCCGCATTCACAAAAGCAATGGCACACAGATACAGGAGACAAGTCAGTTTCAGTCCGTCTCAGAACTGCAGTCTTTGCGACAGCCGCCTCCCCTTCACGAGCATCCGTTTCATCTACGGAGCATCAACAACAAACCTGTAAGGAGTTCATACAGAATGCATCCTACACTCCATGTGTCTGCCTTATCTCCGTATCGGTCTGCACCCCACAGCAACTCAGGAGCCCTATACCACAGCGTGACAACTTTCGCCGTCATCAGTTCTCGCTTGCTTCCAATGATCTGTTGTTGCTGCTGCTGTTGCTGTTGTTGCTGCTGCTGCTGCTGTTGCTGCTGCTGCTGCTGCTTGCGTTCGCGTTGCCGCTGCTGCGCCCTTGCGAGGGCAGCAGCGGCGGCAGGTGTAGCGACGGCACCGAAGGCTCTCGAGAGGCCAAAGTCTGCCAGCTTGCAGATCCCCCCCTCTGCTACAAAAATGTTAGCGGGCGATATATCGCGGTGCAGCAGGTAGTGCTTGTGCAGCCTGTGAAGGGCCTGCAGCAGCTGCAAGACGATACACTTGATGTGCGCCTCCGACAGGCGTGTCTTGCTATCCAGAATCCGCCGCAAGTCACCTCGCATCTCTTCCATGACAAGGCAAATGCAGCCGTGCTCGGTAAACACGTCCAACAAGCCCATCAAGTGCTGCTGCTCCTCCTCCTCTTGCTGCGGATAAAGATGGCCTTTAGGGGGCTGCAGCTCGCGCATAACTTTCAGTTCACGAATAGTTGTGAAATGGAGGCCTACCTGCCCCACGCACTGCCGCAAAAGCTGTTTGTTGTTGCTGCTGCTGCCGGCGCTGCTGTTGATGACAGCCGAATTCACGCGCTTGATAGCCACATGCTGCTTCAGCACCACGTCCCACGCCCTTTCAACTCTTCCGTATGTGCCTTCTCCTAGAAACGTGTCTGCCAGCAAGTAACGACCTCCCCCGGCGGTCCTACCGTTTGGCTGTTGTGGAGGCTCCTGCTGCTCCTGATCACAAGGGGCGACGGCAACATCACCTGCTTCAGTCTTGCAGCGCTTCGCCGGTGCTGGAGCTTGTTGGGGTAGATCCGCTGTCGCGAAAGCCGTCGCTCCAGATGCTGGTGCTGCTGCTGCTCTCAGGGCCTGTGCGGCAGACCCCGCAGAGACGCTTGTTGAAGTTGCTGGGGTGGAGGCGCTGAGCGAAACTGCTGTGGAATCCGCAGCAGTTTCAGACGTAGCTGAGCCCCCTCGGATAAAGGCAGTTTCAGCTGAAGCTGCTGCTGTCACAGCAGCTGAATCTGGCTCCTCTTTGGTCATCACGCCACTGGATCGCTTGCCCGTGCTCGCGTGCTCGTTGTTGCTGCTGCAGGCACGCGGCTCCTGGAGTTGCAGTGTATGTCCACACCGCGCAGCACTGCCTGTTTCGGACCTCCTCATCATCTAGAAACGATAGGAACACACACTACACGCTGCAGAGGAGCACATGCGTTGGAGGATTCGGCTCTGGATACAGTGGGGCTATGCTTTCCATAGTAGCCTTCGGCCCTATTGTACCAGCCCACAGTCTTTGCTGTCCGTGACCTCTATACAGGATTTTCGTTTTCGCATGCATATAAACAGAATTCACATTCAACTATCCTAGGAAGCCCCTTTGGGGGTCAGAGTGGGGGGCTGCAGCGCCACGACCATGGCAGCTCAGCCGCAGCTGCTCCTATTCAGTGCAAGTGTATAGCCTGCTGCCCAGCTTCTTTTGTTAAGCTGTGCCGAGAAGGCACCAAAGGTGATAATGGCAGTTCGTGCCGCTGCTGCTGCTGCGGGGCCTCTGTAGTACTTTGAAACCCTGTCGGCTGCGCCTAGCGGCTGCATCCCTTAAAGCAGCGCATGCGCCATCGTAGCAGTACAAGTACACACTGACCGATAGGCCCAAGGGCCCCTAGGGGCCAAGCAGCAAGGGCGGCAGGAGTATACAGCAAAAAACTCCAGGAGCAAGGGCAGGCGGCTTTTCCCCGCCATGCCGCTCCGAGCACTTCGTGCACGCCTTTGGGCAACACCTATGCGGCTGCATCAGATGGCGGAGAGGCATTTGAGGGGTACAAAGGCAGCACCTTTAACCCGACAGGGGTCTGAGGCCGCTAGGCGAGGGGCCCCCCCTCTTCCCTTGCCTGGGGAGCCAGCAGTTCATCCCCCCCTAGCGGCAACGTCAGACACGAGAGTGCAGCCCATGCACACGCGGCCGCTGTCTACCACGTGCTGCGCACTGAGGGGCCTTTTTCGCATGTCGGGCTTGTTGCTGGGAGGGAGTATAAACTCGCGCTCATTGTTGCAGCAGTTTTACAGCCGCTTGCCAGTCAGGCGCCGATTCGCAAAGGCCTTAAAGAAGGGTACACTTATCTGGTCCAAGGGGCAGGTGCGGCTTCCTCCAATCGCTATGCAGGGATACGCCCTCCCTAGCAAACTGCTTCCGCCTCACCAACAGCAGCAACAGCAGCAAAGCAGTCGCCTGCCACAGGCGCACCAGCAGCATAGCAAATGTAAAGTCTACAAAGGCAGCATCAAGCAGCTGAAGGCTGAAAGAATCTGGTTCCAAGACTAAAGTGCTGCGGCTTCTGGCACTGCAGGGGCTGCCGTTACACCAAGAGCCCATATGCAGAAACGCTGTTGAGGCCTCTCCGTTACGGCCTCTGCTGCTGCATGCGGCTTCGACAAGCGCGGCTTAAATTCATAGCTTACGGCTCAAGCGCCTCTGGGAACCACAGGCTCCATTGTATCCATGGCATTAGGACCTGCACGGGGAAAATGCAGCAAACGGCAGCAGCTGCAGTGGCAGAAAGCACTACGCTGCCAAAGGCATGAAGATAACTGGAGCAACATGCGCTTTTGCGGGTTCCTCTTTCTGTATCACATTCTTCCCCCAGCAACAGCAATAGCAGGAGCAGGAGCATCACAACAGCAACAGCGACAGCAAGAGCATCACAACAGCAACACCAACAGCAAAAGCATCAGCAACAGCAACCACAACGGCGGCATAAGACTCAGCAGACCGTTTCTGGCCTTGAGTGCAAAGTGTCGTCTAAGGGGTCGACAGATGTCGGTTAGGGTTTGCCAAGCCTCTTCCGAAGGAATTCCACAGAGGAAGGGCCCTCTCCTTGCGGTAACTCCGCATCGTGCCGCTGTACAATCGCACATGCCAATGCTCTCCCCAGATTTTATGGCATTCGCTGCCAATAGATGCAGGTGCTGCTTCACGGTCAGACGCTCGGGGGGAGATGGTTGGATGGGAGCTTCGGCGCTTCTTGGGATGCAGCTTCAAGTTTTCGGAAGGCTCCCAGAACGTAGGCGGTATATATATGTATATATGTACATGTGTGTGTTCTTATTTACCTTCCTTTACGAGTGTTGCAAGAATTGCAGCCTGGTCCCACACCTGAGGCAGCAGCGGTTCCACCGCTTCTACCTGTTGCTGCAGCACCATCTCGTCTGATGCCTCTTCCTCCTGCTGCTGCTGCTCGCTGCTGAGGTAGGCGGCCCACGCCAGCATCGTGGTGAGGCCGTACGCGCCATAGTTCGCAGTTGTCGCGACTGGTCAGCAGACAAAAAATTTGCAATGGGGTTGGGGGCTGGCTTTTGTTCATTTTATGAAAAAGGCAGGCCCTTGGACAAGGCAGAAAAATTTTCAGAGCTATTTAGGAACAAAGGGTTTTGCATTTACTGATGGTGTAGTCAGCGGGCGCATCATTGGCGAGCCACTCGCCGTCCTCAACATTCTCCTTCACGGCCTCCTTTATGCGCCCCATTCCGAGTTCGTTCCCTGAGTGCACGCGCCCTTTGAGTACATGGGGGTATGCGTCAATTTATGTAGCTAGGAATGCGCTGCATTAATTTTATAGCTAGGAATGCGCTGCATTAGTTTTATAGCTAGGAAGGCGCTGCATTAGTTATATAGCTGGGGGTGTGCTGCACTAATTTTACAGCCAGGGGGTGTGCTGCATTGATTTTATAGCTGGGGCTCAAGTGCTTAGGCTGTGGAGGTCTGCCTCTGCAAGAGAGACAGTATCGGCAAGTCGCCGTTTCTTTGGACGGCAGTTCGAGCTTTGGGGTGAGATTGGGAGTACCCAAGCATCCGATGGTGGTGGTTGTAGTCTTTTGGGCGACATTTGGCTCAGCTGCCCACTCGAAGAGCAGAGAGAAGTCTGCCTGCCACAGCGTGGTGCTCGTCAAGCTAGGACTCCAGTACTCGCCCTCCTTGCCGCGACCAGGCCTGCAGATCCTCAAACCCGCGAATCCTTAAGTCCTAAAGAGCAGGTGCAGGGGTGTGCTTGCTTGGGATGCCCGAGGGGTGTAAGAAACGCGCCACTAGGAGGGTAGGCGAATGGCGAGAGGAACCTCTGTGCCGAGCGAGGCGATTTTTTGAGCTACGGCGTAGATCGAAGGCAGGCAAAGAAGGCACTACAGTGAGCACTAACTGGCCTCCCTACAAGAGGAAATCCTTCGTCAGAGGCGCGCGCGGCAGGTCGCCCTACCTGCCGACGTTAATGATGTGGTCAGCCTCCGTGAAGAGAGCTCTCATCTCTCGGCTGTTCGAGTCGCCTGCGTGGGCCTTCACCGAGAAGGTTCTGATATCCAGGCGATGCTAAGAGCACTCCACGACGCCGCAAATAAGAGAAAAGCGAGTTTGAAGGAGAGAAGCAAAGGCGCATGCAGCGGGAGAGTCAGAGAGAGATGTGGAGGGCCAAGCGCATACAAGAGGAACGAAGAGCCTAATGGGAGAAGAGTAGAGAGGGCGAGAAGATCTCTGAAAATGCCAGGCAAACGAGGTGTGCGTCCTAGGTACATGGATATACGCATATATACATATATACCCATATGTATGCATACCCATCTCTGGCGCCCTATCGACATCCAGAAGGGGGTCAAGCAGGATCAAAGGGAAAGACGAGTGGCCGTACAGGTGGCTCAGGGAGAGCGCGTGGGACGAGCAGAAAGATGGGCATAACAAACACGGTGGGGACAGGGGAGGAGTCACATGTTGCAAGACAGATACAGAGAAGGAAAAAGAGGGAATGAGAATAACGGATGGGTGTAAATGCATGCGCATGTGTATACACATATTATTTGGGGGCAGAAGCGGGTGGAAAGAGGTAAGGAGGCACACCTCAATCCAGAAGGACGGCTTACTTTATCGCATTCCTCCGTTGCCTGCCGATGAAGAGCCCACACAAGGCTAGCCTCTACTGCTGGCACCACTTGGGGTGCGTTTACTTCGTCTGCGACCAAATATTGGGCTTGAAGTTGAAAGGCGCTATCCTCTTTAGTGTGAACTCGCGTTGCAAAGTTTCCTCGACGCTTTTCACGTCTTTCTACTAGGGGACTGAGGGCTCCTCGGTTGAGATTAGCGGGCTATGGAACAAGGGCTCACAGTCAAGGGCATAAGGCCCGAGGGCATAGGGTTTGTGTGGCCAGTGGTAGTGTACCTGTTACGATAATTACGCGTTTGTGCAGCCTCCAAAGGGCTGCTGCGAGAGCACACGCCCCCCCTGGCCCATCAGTGTCAGTGGGAGGCCACATGTTCGTATTTGTGCAGCTTCCGACGAGAATAGCAATCGTTTTGCACTGGGGTTTGAGGAGCTCTGCTGCTGCTCTCCCGAGGTCACCTTGGATCTCAGGTGTGTGCAGAGACCGCAGGTTCTTAAGTCTCGCATGTGTCTGCCTCTCTACCAGACACAAACGCTCCAGTTCTTCCCCCTGAGCAGACCATAAGGAAGGATCTGGGGAATCCGGGAGTTTCCATGGCCACTGGCCAAGGGGACTAGGCCCTGTTGCTGCTGCCGCAGCTTCTGCTTCTGCCGCGTTGGTCATGGTGTCTGCACACTTCAGCAGGGTAGAGAGTTGGAATCTGGTAAACGCGACTGGAATCATAAAAGATGAAGATTTGTGGGTGGTGGTAGGACATTGAATCTTTGCAGATTGACGCTACCTGAGCTATTGCTGCGGCACCGGCAGCGCCTCACCCACCTGACTTGCAGCAGATGACGTCTAGTAAGCTCGGCATTCAACCACTTCTTAGGCTTGACACACGATTATTATGTTAACTTCAAATTATGAAGTGATTTTGGTCAAACATTTCATCCAAAATGCATACTACAACCTCTAACAACATCACGGGGGGCGGTGGTTGGTGACGGGTCCGACAGACGCATGGGTCCTATTTATTGCCTAATTGCGCTAATTCCAAAGAATCACTCATGCTATTTATGCCTCATCTGACCACGAAACTGCACCATGCACCAGGGACCAATAAGATGTGGAATGAATGTTGTTGCAGTGGCACATTTCGGTGTAACGGTCTGCAGTACAGCTGTTTCGTCTCTCCCCGGGTCTCCACATGGAAAATCCACAGACCACAGATGAATTACACACTTATACGCACGCTACCTTTTGTATATATTCAAGAGCCAAACCCTCGTTCACGATCCCTACCACTTTGCTTCTAGGCATTGCGGCCTATGGGTACAGCGTGCTAAGAAAGGCGCGGTGTGCAGCTAATTGCACCCTCAGAACGATGCAAAAAAAAGTGCCAACCCCATTTCATGTTTAGAAATAGAAATTGTCTGCGAGAAACGGTTAACTATGAGAAAAAAATTTTAAATCCAGTAACACGCAAGCCGTTCAACCACGAATAGATGCCGTCATAGCACAATTTACAAGTGCGCTCATAGAACGTTCATGAATTTTATCACTACCTAAACGCTGGTAAAAGCAGGGCGTCCCATTCCAGGAATCACAAAAAAGGAAGATCCTGAAACCCTTGCCTAAAAGCCGCAGACCGCCAGCGATATGCAATCGCTCGGTTCTCTATGTAGGGCTGCAGTACATTTTATGCCACTTGCTAAGTGCACCTGGGGCTAGATGATGATGATGATGACCAAAGAACTGCCTCGAGGGGAAGTTATATGGGGCTGAAGCCGCCCGTACACCCAATCGGCGAGGAAGCTGCGTGGATGGACGTAAGACAGATCCTGTAAATGACAGTTCACTATTCACACCAGGCGTCCATCTCATGGGTGGGAAAATAAAACATCTAGTACTCACGAAGGCGACACAACGCTGGATGAAACGCTGCAGATGCTGCCAATACCCGTGGAAGGTGCGTGGGTTCACAAGACAAACAAAACCCCCGTACTCTCACTAGCCTCATTTTGCGCCTACAGCCTAGAGCTAAAGTTTGAAGGCGTTGGCAACAGCGACAGTGAATGAGGCGGGAGAAAAAAGGGACTGCAGGACCGTCCCCCGGAGACTCTAAAACACAATAGGATCAATGCATCTACGAGAAAACCAAAAACACTGTAGAAATAAAGAGGAAAAGCCTTCACATGATGGGGACAGAGTCACCATATGACAAGTTCAGAGCCTTGAAAGCCTTTTGTACTTCACCCCCTCCCTCTCTTCGCTCTTCTCTTCGTCCCAGTCAGTGACTGCCAGTAGCACCAAAGCCCCCTTCCTGGTAAGGAGCCAGCCTTCTCCCGTGCTGTCCACTCAGGCCTCTGAAACGAGTCTACTAGAGCTCCTCTGTTGTGAAGGAGATGGAATCTCCAGCCTCAGCGGCTCCCACTGGGCTTCCTTGCCCTCGACTGCCGCCCTGTGGCGGCGCTCGCCTCTTTGAATAAAAGCTTAGAGGCCACGTATTCAGCTTCCTTCTGCCACTTGTGGCAATAGCTTTTGTGTCATCGGAATTCTCCGTGACCTCTAGACGTACAGACACCTCATACACTGCGCCGTTGGGGGTGATCTCGAGGGCCTTGGGTGAGTTTGCCACGTATCTCGAGATACCAGTGTCGATAGCGAGGAGTTTACCCTCACAGTACGTTTCTACACGGAGGCTCTCCTGCACCGTGTGCCCCACCACCATGATGTCGGCTCCCAGATGCTTCAAAGCCTTGTTCAATTGCGGGCAGGCAATGTGCGGAGGGGACATGGTATATAGACGGGTCCAGAGGGGCCCCTCTCCCCCAGAGGCAAAAAGGCTGTTTCCCCCAGATGTGAACTCTCGCATCTGCTTCCTGTGATGAACTGCACAGCCGTCCCGCAATTCTTCACCCAGCAGCTGGTGCACTCCCGAAAGCCCGAGAGCAGCAAAAGCAGGAGAAATTCCCGCATGGGTAAAGACGAGACCGTTGACATTCACACCAGCGGGCAAAGAACGCAGCAGGGTTCCGTATTTTCCTTCATCAGAAAAAGCTGCGCGCCGGCCGGAAAGACCGCCAAACTGTGCTGTCTCGTTTGGATGTACATACCTGAACGGCGCGCCAGAAAACAGCAACGCGGCAAACGGTATCACTGGGAAAACACGAGGCACTAGAGCAGACAGACTCCGCCAATCACAGCAAGTAAAAGGAGGACTGCAAAGGCTGTGCACGAAATGCCCGGCCGGTCCCCTTAACAATGCTCTGAAGCTTAGCGAGTATTTCTCACCGGAAGTCTCCACAAACGTTCATGGCGTCGTGGTTTCCAATGAGCTGCAGGACCTTTCCACCAGCCTCTCTGGCTTGCACCTGCCACTCCATGAACAAATCATAGAGGATTTTTCCGTCGGGGCCTCGATCTACGATGTCGCCAGTCTGGATAAGCAGAGTGTTTCCTCCCTTCCACTTGCGCGTCTCTCTATCGATAACACCCAGTGCTTCCAGTAGCAAAAGGGTGTTGAGAACATCGCCGTGCAAATCAGCCAAAGCTACTATTCGCCCTTCCCACTTCATTTCAAGCTCGGGCATCGCAGGGTCAGAGAGGGCAGAAGAGCCAGAGCCCTCATGAGCCAGTTCGTCGGCAGCAGGATACGGAAACACGGGCACTGTAAGACATGCAAACACCGCTCCAACAGCAGCTGCTGCTGCCGCTGTCATCCTCCAGGTACTTCTACGAGAACAGCAGACCATTTTAGAAATAATAAAAAAGTGAGGGGCCCAAACAACGCGGAGCAGGAGGGAGCCAGCCTGCTGCCCCCGTGCGGCGAAGAGGCCCGAGCGAGTACGACGCTCCTATAATCAAACAGAAAGACTAACGAAGCACACGCGAAAAGAAACCGCCTACGTCTTCTGAGGAACAGACAACCGGGTGGAGGAAGCCCTCGGCGAGTGGCAAGTCACTGGCAGAGATGTACTGCAGGGTTGTTCGCAAAGATCCCGCACCAAGAAGTGGAACAGAGAGACACAAACGAAGCAAAGAAAATGGGCTACGTGCTTATTGGTTTGCAGCAAAAACAGGGTGGCCCCTTGCTGGGGCTCCAGTTCATAGTGCTGCTAATTCAGGGGGTATGAAGAGAGCATAAAAGGCGGCATATACGAAACAAAATGAGAAAAGCGCCCCCTTGATGATCGTGCTGTATTCATTCGAGTCGATAAGATATAAAAGGAAGGACACATCGGATACTTCTTGTCGTCTCTTGGGGCTGCTTCATCCATGTGACGAAGAGGCGTAGATAGCGCGGTATGCTGAGCAAAAAAATCTATTGGTTTCGCTTTTAAAATTCTGAGAGATTACGCATACCTTCGATCGCTTCCGTTGTTATCGGGTTGGGAATCTGCGGTACACGAAAATAAGCAATAAGTATGCGAAACCAATAGAAAGTGGGCACACGGCCTGGTACGGTGGTGTGGACACGTATTGCTGGTCGTACCATTCCGTGTAGAGGTTCAAAAGCAGCAAAGACTAGGTCCCTGCATGGAAGCAAACAGTAAAAGTGACCATTGCAACAAGTAATGGCTAAACGGGAGAAAAATGGATGCCACAAACCTAATTCTGTTCTTGTGTAGATTGAGCATTCGCTGCTTCTCAGCAGCATAGTCTTCTTCATCCATCCGTCGCTCCGCCTCCTCAAGTTTCAGGAGGGAGTCTAGACATTAAATTGCGGAAATAAGCAAATGGAAGTTAGCAGAAAGACACGAAATGTAGAAATTATGAAGATGTGCTTCCCAATCGTCTTCTTACCCAGGGACGCAAGAGTGTCCTTAGTGTCTTCTACTGGAGCCTGATGGTGCCAATCCCTACATGATAAACCCGAGAAGGAAGCTGAGGCAGTGCGAGAACTCACATGGATACGAATTTGGAAGTCTGGGGAACCAGTAAGCGCAGCATTCAGACTCGTGGTTGCTCCCTGGTGGAAAGTAAGCATTAGAGGGAGCAGTGAAACAGCATTGACCGTCAACGAAGTATGATTTTATGTAGCATTATGATTCTCCTTACGGGCCCAATTGGCAGAAATCGCGCCTGCTGCGCCGTCCTGTCGGCAACCGCAAAGGAGGCGTGAACAATGAGCACCAGGCCGAATTTCATGAACAAACGAACTGTAGTGTCTTGCATCGTTATGTGGGTCGATGAAGGAATATTCCAGCAAAATGTTCAAAAGAAAACAACAAGCGGAAACGGTTGTCCGCAGTTGCATGTAAAATAGTCATGTGCTGTATCAGCTGGACATACACTCGAAGGTGCATTATGAAGCTGGCAGAGGAATGCGGTACACACCCGATATCCGATGATAAAAAAACATTCAATCTCCAGGCAATGCCTTTTAATCATTTTGCTTTGTTCATCCTCTCCAGCAACAAACTCTAGGGACTGATTAAGAAGCTAGCGACCAAGTGCCCCCTATCTGTTTGCTTGCGGATGCCTGACCTTCACAAGCACCAAGCAACAGCTTATTGGCTTAACTTTTACTCTGACGATGGACACTGTACGTCGTCCTGCATGCCCCCTTCTTTAGATTCTCACTACTTGCTATCCCATGTGACCTGCAAACCTGAAGCGTGAACATGCGCCCCTGCTACAGGAAGCAGCCAGCAGTACATAGGCTGACTACTTCCCCGTGTCTGACTTCATAAGCGGAGGGGGTTTAGGCCCCTTGGCCCCATGTGAGAGGCCCCGAGAGAGCCCACGCTGCACTCCCCCAACACCAGAACCCGCAACGCCAACACGTGCAGCAGCATCGCTCTTGTCTCCATCAGTGGGCCGAATGGGATTCGAGTTTGTCCTCAATGGGTTTTCCACACGATCCTTTTCCATGGTCTTTCCTGTAACGGCAGATAGTTTGCTGGAGCCGAGTTTTGCTCCAGGTGCGCCTTGAGAACTCCCTTCGTGAAGTAGGCTGGTTTTTAAGCTGCTGGGGGTGGTCTTGCCTTCCTTGCCTGTTGATCCGATCCTCTGAAGGCTTTTTTCACGCGCCAGCTTCTCTGCACTGGTGCGGCTCTGTAGCGCGGTGGGGTGAGCCGAAGCAGATCCTGCCTTAGGGGCATTCTCCAGTAAGACTTTCTGGCCCTCTGCTGCTTGTGCATTATCCATCCCAGCTTGCTCCTCTGTGTCAGCTGCAAAGGGCCCCTCTTCCTGGGAGGCCTGCTTGCTTGCTTCTGCGGCGGCTTTTTGTGAGACTTCCGGCTTTGCCTTCAACTCGTGTGTCAGAACCTCCTTGGAGGCTCGCCTTTTAGGGTCGCCTTCTTGCGCCGTTGCATCGTGCGAACATTCAGCCTCAGCACTTGATTCAAATACGACTTTCTCGGAAGGTCCCCTTGAAGGTGTTTTCACATATTTCTCGGGTTTTCCAGCAGTCTGTGGGGAAGTTTCACTATGGTGTTGGTCGTCTACTTCTTCCTCCACTGCTTGCCCTGGTGCTCCTGCTGTCGTTGCTGCTGCTGCTGCATTTTTCCGTTGTTGTTCCGACTCTTCTCTTGTGTCTCTCTTAGCTTCTAGCCCTTCCCTTGCCTGTTGCTCTGAGCACTCCTCTCCCCTTTGCTCCGCTGTTGTCGAACGTGCAGCTGGAGGTGTTGTCAAAGGGGTCTCCACCTCTGAAGATTCCTGAGAAAAAAAGTTTCCAGAGAGAAGCTGCTTTATCCCCGTAAAGCCCATGGTCATATAGGTCTCCAGGGTGCCTACATCCTCTTCTGGTGAACTCTGGTCCTCTTCTTCGCGCATCTTCTCCTGCTCCTTCTGCTGCCGCATCTTCTCCTGCTCCTTCTGCTGCCGCATCTTCTCCTGCTCCTTCTGCTGCTGCATCTTCTCCTGCTCCTTCTGCTGCCGCATCTTCTCCTGCTCCTTCTGCTGTTGCACCTTCTCCTGCTCCTTCTGCTGCTGCATCTTCTCCTGCTCCTTCTGCTGCTGCTCATTCTTCTCTTCCTGCTGCTCATTCTTTGATTGCTCGCTCGCCTGCTCAGGTTGCTCGCTCTCCTTTTCCTCTTGCTCACTCTCCTCTTCCTGTTGCTCGGACTCCTGCACCTGTGGCGCCTGCTGCCCTTCTTTCCCTTGCTGCTGCTCTTCTGCGCTAAACATATCGGCCACAGCAGACAGCGACAAGTAAGAAGAGAGTGTATTTCCAGCCACTGCTGCTGCATGAGCAGCCTCAATGGACTCCTCCTTTAGCAGCTGTGCTGCAGCAGCCGCCGCAGCAGCAACTCCTGCTGCCGCAGATTCTAGTTTAGAGCTTGCGGTTTCCGTCTCGTCTGCCTCTCCTGAAACACGTGGCATCGCTGTGGAATCCTTTGCCTCCCCTGCGTCCTTCCCGGGAGGCTCCCCGCCATCTGTTGTGGATGCAGAGCCCACTGAAATCCCAGGAAACGCCTTCGCCGGGGCCCCTTCGCCTGTGGCTGTCGCTGGGATAAATTCCCCCCCACCTGCAGCAGCGCGTACACACACCGTTCTACTTACAGGAAGATGCACTCGGCCTTACCATAGGATCACTGTCTACGGGTAGGTAATGGGCAGCAACTCACTGGCATGTGCCTCTGCCGTTGTCTCCACGGCAGGAGGAACCTCCACGGTGCTCTCTGCCAGTCCCATCTTGTCCGTAACGTCTCTTGTATCGGCACTGTTACGTTGAGTGACGCGCTTGCTGCTGCGAGCCTGCAACCCATGCATCAAGCTGCACATGCCATAGAAAAATGTCGCGTAGTGGTGGAGTTCCTCGGGTACTGCTTCTCTCAGCGTCTACGAACCACTGCATAAATAGCTAACAGTGTCTCTAGCACCAGCTGCTGCTCCTTATCAGGTTGATCTGAGGGTTCTTGTTTGGTAAGAACCACCACCTACTGGATGGACTGCAGAGTCGCGGCTATGGCTGCTCCTGGGAGACCTCCTCAAGAACACAACTTGCGGAAGGAGGCTGTTGAGGCATATGTACAGCCCAAACTCTGGTTAGGATCCACAACAAGAAAACAAAAAAACAAAAAAAGCAAGTGTGCGGCACAGGCTACCGTTACAAGTGTCCACTGGTCTCCCACAGCGGCAGTCGCTGATGCCCCCACCTGCTCGTTGGTGCGCCCGTATTTGCTCTGTCACTAGCCAGCAACTCTGCTGGAAGAAGTGGCCCCTATGCCTTCCTAGTTAGAAGCAGCGGCAACAGCAGCAGCAGGCCTTCTTGAGTGTGTGGCTTCAAGTGGCTTCTTAAAAAGGCTTGCCCGTAAAAGCTCCTGCAGAAGAGAGAAGAAAAACGATGTCTGCAGTCCTACGGGAAAAGTAGAATTAAAATGCATATGCTTCCATGAATACACTAAGCGAAGCCAACAACTCCAACATGAACAGCAGTAGCCACTTTGTGTGCGCCCGCCACAGCTGGCAGTGCTGATTCTGCAACTTGGGCATCCCACCTAACTCCTATGGGGCCCTTGATCGTATATCACGCATTAAACTATTAAGTATCAATACACTACCACCAAGATCTCTTACCCTCTTAGGGATGTACGTACATGGGAGATGGGGGACCCCCCCGGCATATGTTGAACGGGGCCCTCTGCGGGCACATCTGTAAGCTTCTGTGGTACACTGGAATAAAAGCGCCCTCTAGAGGGTATTCAAAGTACTTCAGTGCCCACATTCTATAGGCTCCCGCAGGAAACACCCCAGATGCAGCCGCCGAATCGCCCTTAAAGTGTAGTTTTCATTGTTATCCCTTCAAGACTTGCGATTTGGGGGCATTGACTTCAGGGTTCACTTTCTCTGGCACAAAGGAACTGCATAAGGTTTATTGCCTAGTCATATGTGGCGGTGATGCACTGGCAAAAAGCCTCCAAGGCCAATGGAGGCCCCTGGTGTACAGCGTGGTGTAGGATTTGCCGTGGCCACCGGCATCGAAAATGGTCCATCAATAACCGCATGCGAAAGTGTTTTCCCTGATACGGTAGCAGCAGCGGCGATGGTAGCAACGGGAGAGGAGGAGCCACTGCCCGGTCAACAAGTAGTGGGTGTTCGTATGCTGTGCGAAGGCGTAACAGAGTTGCACCCAGCGCGCCCTGCTGTACAGATACCTGGTGCTGTAGCTGCGGATCCAGCAGAGGCAGCAGAAGGAGCAGTCATTGCTCCTGTCACTCCTGCGGACTTTCCGAACGTTAAGTGTCTCCAACTTAGCAACCAGAACCTGATTCAACTTAGCAATCTGGAAACTTTCACAAGTAAATCTGAGGCTCTCGAACCTACATTATACACCCTTAAGCCTAAGCCCTGACCTTAGATGCATTGTAAAAGTTACCAGGACTGCTTTTCACGGGAAGGGGAAAACAGAGAAGCACAGCGGGAATCGAGAAGGCAAAGGGACACTTCGCGAGAGGCAGTGGCTCTCCTTCTCAGGCTGTCTATGACGGGCAGTCCAGCTGTAACAGACACAAAAAGAAGGGCGCATACGCACAAAAGCAAGTTAGGCGGAGCGCCAATAGTGGAAAGCACGAGGCACGCAAACACAAGGGGCACGAGAGAGTCTGGGCCAGAGCACATCAAAAGGCAGAGTGACTGAGGGGGAGGGGCGGATGCATTCGAAGAGACCGATATATATAAGCATAAACATCCAGAAGTAGTTTAAAAAACCTAAATAGGCAGGGCCGCATGCACAGGCTCAAGGAAAACGAGGCTACGGAGAGCCTAATTCATGCGTTGCTTTGGGGACATATCAAGGGTTGTCTGCCTTTTCGATACCCGTCTGAAGCATTACCGAGCTGGATGCACATCCAAGTACTTTCCCTTTCTTGTCTGTTTCTGTGTCTTGCTTCCGTTCTCGGTGTTTTTCTCTTGGACTACCTGGCTGTCTACACGAAACCTCTGTCTCCCTGACTGTCAGGGCTGGAATCCCTGCGAGTGGACAACAATTTGCTCCGACGGATTGGAGGATCCTTGAGCTGCTTGTCCTCCTTGCTTTGGTTGGACCTTTCATTTAACAGGATTGAGGTGATAGAGGGTCTGGAGGCCTTACCCAACCTCCGTGACCTCTCACTTAGTTACAATCGCATATCCTCTCTGGATGGGCTGCGAGGTTGCAAAATGCTCAGTGTTTTATGCATTACCAACAATCAAATAAGCCAGTATAAGGAACTGGGGTGGCTGCGAGGCTTGCCTCGCCTCCGGTGTCTCTGCATCAAGGGCAACCCTTTCTGCTTTACAGAGAACAGCAGGAGACGCATTCTCTCTCTCCTTCCGTCCTTAGAGTATTTGGACTTTAGACTTCTTTCGCCTTCCGAGAAAGCTGCAGCAGCAGAAGGGCTTCTTCCCGACCATTACCAACAGCAGGTCGAGTTGATCCGCGCACAACAGCAGCATGAGCAGGAGCAGCAACACCAGCAACACCACGAGCAAGAGCAGGAGCAGCACCAGCAACGTGTGGAAAGATGGTTTGAGCTGCCACAGGAGCTTGTTACTAATATCTTTGGGGAGGAGCTACCTCCAGAGGTTCAGTGCCTCAACTGCTTGCAGTCTCACAGAGATAACTTCTTCCAAACAGTTGGGGCGCTCGTCGCTGCAACGCGGTAAAACTGCACGCTATAGCCCCTGTTGCATTTCATGATGCTGCTGCTGATTCTAAACGTTGCTGCTGCTGATCTTTCTGTTGGGTCTCCACAAGCATCGTAAGTTTCCTGCTTTTGCTGCTATTGGCATGGTGACTGGTGCTCTTACCGTTGCTATAAAACGTGTACCGGGTTGGCCTGTTCCCGGCGACGCTGGTGGCGTTCGCATCCGCATTTGCAGCGTCACTTCACACAAATGCGCTTAGTTGGGTGACGAGCTTCATGCCAGCCGTGTCTACAAAGGCTCAGCCTTTTGAGCACTCATCTCTAGAGCGTTGGTGCAGGAAGGCACTAGAGCAAAACGGATCGACGCTGCAGCAACGGATGCGATCGTTTAGAGCTGCCTCAGCAGACCTTGAAGCGAAAGCGGAGAAGCATGCACTCTATGAGGTCTTTTACCTCAAACCCCATGGTCTAGGCCCTATACCTGAGCAATGTGCTCGCACTGTGGATGATCTTAGATAGTTTTCCGGAGGTTCCAAATAGAGAAGGATGCCTTCGTTTCCTTGGCCCCCTGCTTACCTGTTCTCTAGCACATGCGATGCCGTGTGTTGGATCTGGACTCAGCTTCGCCAGGCGGAAACTCGGAGAAAGGCAGTGCTAGGGCAACTGCAGGAGCTTAGCAAAGAAGTTATTGCTGTCATTGCAGAGCGCATGGAAGAAGAAAGCCAAACGGACGACGCAGGCAAGTCAACAGGCGTAGTTAGGGTTCAGAGCAGGGAATTCGGTGTTTATTGGCTTAATCAATGACGATTTTGGAGTGGGGCGTAAAACCTTGCCCCCAAACCACGCTCTGAGAGGCATAAAAGAAGACACGAGGACAGATATTGTTAAGCCTAGGCTGTATGTACGTTGGGGGTTCAGAGGTGGGATTTGAGGCTTGGGATGCTCCATGTAGACTCGGATTTGGGGTAACACTTTAGAGCCTCCCAACGAACTAACTGCTCCAAGAGCCTCATGCACGGATAGACGCCAAACCATAAACCACACGGTATGAAGAGAAGCAGTTAGTCTACCTAGAGTCACTGTACTGAAAGGCATCCAGCTTTGCCGGACCGTGGACTGGCCTTTTGCACCGCAGCATCTAATTCTTCTCGCATTAGCGGCGAATCATTGTCGCTTTCCAGCTTGGCTGCCATGGAAGACCGTTGCGCCTCCCTGGAGAAAAGCTGGGAAGAGGAGCAGCAGGCTTTATCGCATGCGCTGCTGGAGCATGAACACAATCTCGCTGAGGCCCTGGCCACAGCAACTGTTGCTATGGAGTCGGAGGCGGAGGCTGCCACGAAGCTGGCGTTAGAGCGGGTAGGGGACCTCTTCAGACAGATAGAGACTCATATCAAGGCATTCTCATCCCAACTAGCCACAGCAGCTAGCCATGAAATCACCACGTTCCTCTCCACAGAAGCAGTAGAGGAAAAGGACCCAAGGGCCCAGTTCTTCATGAAAAGGCAAGCCGTGCACTTAAGTCCGTGATATCTGGACCTTAAAGGCGAGCATCTTTACCGCATTGAGCCCTTTGTTCAGCCCTGTACCAGGCACCATTAGTTTTCGGGCATGAATGCGTGAGTTCAGGGAGGACTTGCTGGGATCTGTGAGCGCATTGGGAGAGCAGCAGCAGCAAGCAGTAGTAGTGTTGGAGGACCTACTGCAGCAGAGACTTCAGCAGCAGCAGAAAGAGTGGTTTGCTGCTGAGAGGCGACGGCAGCATGTGCGCCACCGGCTCCGCATCCAAGAATTCCATTCGGTAACAGCAGCAAATCAGCAACAGGTTGCTGCCGCTGCTGCAAGAATCAGAGCAGCCCTCTCTAATAAAGATTTAATGACCTGATTCACCCTACATACGCTAGATCATTTCAACTTTGTTCGGGATCGATCCATCTCTGTACAAAAAGCAGTTTCTCGTTGATCCCCCCTTTCCCCCTTTCTCTGTTTGTTTATGGGCCTCATGCCTTTGATCACCCCTCATCATGCTCCCTGCGTCTGCTAAGCTTTCTTCCGCCCTCCCTCGCCTCGATATATCTGTTTTGTGCTCCTCCCCCCTTTTCTACCCTCTCCTATGCATTCCCCCCATCGTGGCGCACTTCCCCCCTGGCCCCTTTCTGTGACTGCTCCTCTCCCCCGTCTCTCTACCTCCACTCTAGTGTGTAAGTTCGCCAGCATGGGGTTCTGAAAACAAACTCCCCCCAGGAAGACCTCGAGTGTCGCAAAACAGGCTCCGGGGAAGAGACTTCCTAAAGACTTCGCTACAACACAGAGAACTGACGCGCACTGCCGCCGCAGCCACAGCTGACGATACGGCGGCGCGAGGCTCCTCTGCATCTCTGCATTTGCAGCTGCTGCAATATCTGTTTTGCACGATGTCTCAAGTGCCAGCTTCTGCCGCCAAAGCGGCTGCTGCACACGAGTTCAGCGCTTCCTGGAGGATGCGCAGGCAGAAAAGCAACAGCAGCACCTACAGCAGCTTGTGGAGAAGCCGAAGGGCCTAAGAAAGGCTGGTCCAGCCGAGTTCGCCGAGGAGTGCTCTCAGTGTTGATCTCAGAGAAGGAAAAGTACAGCTGCTGAAGCAGCTCCTCTAAGCGCTGCTGCGTATTCACAAACTGCCTCCACCGCTCTGCTGCAGGTTCTGCGCCATCTCACTGGATGCACGGGCTACTATGGCATGCGCCTCATACCTGCAGCAGGAACAGCGTTGTATACCACACTGGCAAGAATACAAGGAACCAATTAACGCGCAAAAAAACTCTCTTTACTCCCGCATGAAGGGCCCTGTCTGACAAGAGAATCTGTTCTTTCCCCCCAATTTCATTCATACCAACAGAGGCATCGCCGAAAATTATACAACGCCCGCAGTACCTATGCATATATATATACATGTACATATATGCCCATACCCGTGCTTACATTCTATCCATGCACTTGGCGAGGCAGACCTGATCCGATTTACTCAGCTCATCAGAAAACTTGCTTCCTGCGACGCACTTCTCGAAGCAGGTTTTCTGCACTTGCTGCAATAAAACACAAGCGCAAGGCTTTAAGCGCCAGGCTTCAAGGCGCGGCCGACAAGCTGGCAAGCAGGGGCAGGCTGCACAAGACGAGCAACAGGTCGCCTCTTGAATCTTAACTCGTGAAGCATGCAGTACATCCCCTACTTAGACATCCAGACGCACCTCATTGAGGACGCTGAGAACCATGAGGCTCAACAGTTGCTGTGCATCCTGCAGCGTGGCCCCCTTATCTCCATTGCTGCCGCTACTGCTGCTGCCACTACTGCTACTGCTGCTTCCAAACATCTTGGAGGGTTGTACTACTGCTATTATGAAGGGAACTCGTACTAAGGCCCTTGCGGCTAGTACTGCGGTTCGCAGGCACCTCACCGTTCCGTGATCTGGCTGCCACTGCTGCCAAAGAACGGCGCTGCGCGCTGATATTTATGGGCCGAAACAGTCTGGGGAAACCAAAAAGGGAAGAGCGCCTTCAGCTGCTCCTGCTGCAGCTGCTGCTGTTGCTCCCACTGCGAATGTGGCGAAACGAGACTCCGGCTTGTAACGCACAGGCTGGCGTTGGAGGTTCACGGCTTAATTTTGTAGACGTTCAACTTTATCCCGAGATTGAAGAGCGCACGTTTTATGCGGCTGTGCTGTTGCCCAATAGGGGTGTGGGGCTGCAGCAGCAGCCGCTGGCGCAGCGTGCATGCGCAAAAATAGCAAGGTGCCTGTTTGCGTGTTTGTTGATTCTGCGCCAGCGAAGGCCTTACCAGCGCTTTGAGTGACCCCCTATGTAGGCGCAAGGCTGTAGTACTACGGATCAGGGGCGTTTGGGGTGGTTCGTGCAACTTGGAGCGACTGCGCCATGTTGGCGAGAAAAGACTTTCCAGCCGCTGAATGCCAGCTCTTCCAGTGTTAGCAGGATCAGATATTCCAATCAGAGTAGACGTCAGAAGAGCGGGAGCAGCAATAGCAGCGACGCAGCAGCGGCTGTTGCTGCCCGTGCAACTATGGAGTTTCCTGCATGTCGCACTCCTGAGTGGCTGCGGGCTGCCTTTGACGGCCCTTTGGAGCAAAAATTACCGGCGGCAGAGCAGCAGCAACAGCAGCACTCGCAAGCAGCAGCAGCAGCAGGAGCATCCGGGTTGCTGAGGTGCCCCTCGTTCGTGTTTAAGGAGCTTGATACAACTCCGCGTCTGCTTCTGGCCACTCCCACAAGCACGACAGTCACGCCAGCCCGTCGGCGTCGCAGCAGTAGATACAGCAGCAGCGAGAGCAGCACCAGCAGAGGCAGTAGCGACAGCATCAGCTTGTATGAGCAGCGCGCTGCAGCAGTGAGCAACAGCATTCGGGAAGCGTTGTTCAGGCAGGCGCTTTTCCAGATACAAAATGTGGAGGTGCAGACACTCGGCAGCTGTAGAGCCCCCCGTATCCTTACTTCTGCCGCTGTCGTTTATGACATGCAGCAGCACCGTTGGCAGCGCGAAGCTGCAGCAGCCGCAGAGAAGAGGCCGAGCTTTGTCAGCACGCTGAAAGAGAGAGTCGACGCCCTACTGCATCGGAGAAGCAGTCCAATCTTGGGGGAGCTGCTGAGGAGGGAGGAGTGGCAGGTGGATCGCTGTGGGAGCATGCGCGCATACGAAGTGTCAGTACACCGCGACGACCTGGACTTTTACACACTAACCCTAAACCCTAGAAGCTTTGCGGACAGATTGAGGAAGTGGTGGTTCAAGTGGGCAGATACGAATGATGAGTAGTGCCTGCCTGCTGCTGCGGCTCCTCCTCGCACCGTGTACTTATGAGTTAGACTTTCTATTGCCACTATATTGGCGGCTGCATCATCAGCCCCTGCAGCAACACGTCTGCGTGCGGTACTAGGGCCCACGGGACGAAAGCTTGAACAGGTGCAGCAACTGCTGCACCTGCTGATATGCATCTAAGTCTGTGGCTGTAAAGGGCTGCTGGGCTTAGTTTGCCTTAAAATGCTCAAAAGTGAGCTGCTACCGCTGCTTCACGGCAGCAGAGGCTGGCAAGGGTCACCTGCTGCGTCAGCACTGTACACTAAGAGCAGCGGAAGCAGTAACTGCTGCTTCTACCGGCCTCTACACGCAAAAGTTTTTTATCGAGTTCACACAGTAGTGCCCCCTCTGGAGCGAGCAGCGGCGGCGCTTGCTGTCGCAGCGCCTAGTCGTGTTGTTGCCTCCGCATGACTTACTTGGCGTCTGGCTGTTGAACGGTGGTGTACTGGCCTTTGATTCCCCCTACGTCTGCTTGCAGTTTGGCGACGCTGCCCCTGAGAAGTGAGGAGAGGTAAAACTCGCCCGCTCTGTAGCTGCTTCTTGTCAGGGGCCCTGAGGCGACGTATCGAAATCCGAGGTCCAGCGCGAGCTGTCTGTACACCTCAAACTGTTGGGGCGAGATAAAGGCAACAACGCCGAGCTGCTGCTTGCTTGGGCGGAGGTACTGCCCGAGGGTGACGGCGTCAACGCCAGCATCTCGTATGGCCTTAAGGGCCTCCCCCACTTCTGCCTCCGTCTCTCCCAGCCCAAGCATGATGGAGGTTTTTGTGAAAAGACCAGGCTTCTCTTCCTTTGCCATCCGCAGCACAGACAGAGACTGCGAAAAGGAGGCACGCCGGTCCCTCACAAACGGCGCAAGACGCGGCACAGTTTCCACGTTGTGTGCATACACGTCAAGCCCAGAGTTGACCAGCAGCGACACCGACTGAGGCAGCAAAAGCGCAAAGCCAAACGAAAGGGTGACCCCGTGAGCGGATGGATCAGACGAACGGGCGAGGGGAAGTGGAAAGTTGGGGGGCGGAGGCATCCGCGCTGTCGCACATGCATTCTGCATGCGTTCTGCATCGGTCATGGTGCTAACCATGTTGCATGCATGCCTGGACAGCATAAACACGCGGGTCGCTGCAGCAGCGTGTGCGGCGCCTTTCGCGTGCAGGGTAAGACAATAGATTGGGGCTGAAAGACGAGTTCAGGTTTTATTTTACCGATCGCATGCCCTGGAAGTCAGAAACAAGGCACTCGACGAGCATATCTGGCTTCTTCTCCTTAATGTGTCTAACTGTCTCCGCGAAGTGGGCCGCACCGCCGTCCGGCATGTCATCTCTGAGCCGAAAAAAGCGAAAGCCGCCTACAAGCGCTCGAGAAGGTCAAGGGAGAATGCTGCTGCTTGCACCTCTGGGCACCCCTGCACGGCAAGCCTCGAGCCTCTCGACGCGGTAGTTAGCGATCAAGGGGGGAAATTGCAAAAAAAAATACTTTACCGGTCGACGCTGGTGAGCACAATGTAATCGATATCCCACTGCGCAACGGCATCGGCGACTTTCTTCGGCTCTAGAGGATCTGGGGGCGGGGGCTTCGCAGATGTTTTAATTGCACAAAATCTGCAAGAAGAACGCATCAAACTAAAATTCCCAAGTGTCATCTCACCCGATAGGACGGAATTCCCACCTGCCATCTACTGCAGTATTCATTGCAGTATTTACTGCAGTATTCATTGCAGTATTCACTGCAGTATTCATTGCAGTATTCAGACTAGCACACACTGTACTCCACACAGCAGGTCTGTACACTTGAGAGGAGGGGTCGAAGCAGCATGCGTGTAGTGAAAATGTACCTGCAGCCTCGCGTACAAGTATCCCCCAGGAGCATCAGCGTAGCTGTGCCTCCCTCCCAGCACTCTCCGATGTTAGGGCATTTGGCCTCTTCACACACCTGCGCGCGCGCATACACCCGGCACTCACAGTCTTGCAGTCACAGTCCTGCACTCACAGTCTTGCACCCCCTTCGCCAGCCGCCAAACGTAGCATCGGAAGCCTTGATGACCCCTTCAAGCTCCTCTCTTTCCCTCCCTCCGCTTGGAGAAAACAAGAGCTGTGTCTCCAGCGCATCACGAAAGGCTTGACGGGCGTGCTCAGGGATCGTGGCTCCTCCTGTGATGTACTGTATGGAGCTTGAGCCCTCGGATTTGCTCTGTGAGCAGTGCAAATCGAGAGCCAGCACCCTTGGGAGCTGGCACATGAAACCAGTCAGGACGGGGTCCTGCAGTAGAAGGACCAACGCGGGGAATTTTGGGTTTGTCTGCTGAATTCTGTCCGTCAAGCACGCCTTCCTGCGAGGGAGGGGAGCATCCAGTGCTGCTAGAGCTGTTGCTGTTGCTGCTACTGTTGCTGACAGCGGATGCAGGCATCGCCCCTCCAGAGAAGCAGCAATTTCCGAAAAGAGGGGTGCAGCTGCGTGCTGCCGCCGTTGCTGCGCCTCCAGTTGCTGTCGCTGGCTCTCGCTGATGCCGCTGCAGCGGCTGCCGGCGCTGGTTCTTCCAGCTCCCGCTGCGTTCGATGCCGTGAGCCACAGCAAACGCGAGCGCAGCAGGAGACTCGGCAGCCGTGGCAGTAGGCCTTGTGCGGGCTCCCGTTACGAGCTGTTCATGGGAAAGTGCGTGCAGAGAGCCTCTGACTGCCTTCTCGTGCAAAGCCTTTGCAGAGACTTCGGCGTGCAGCAAGAGCAGCAGCACCAGCAGGCCCCCCCCCCCCTCCAGACTCCCCCGTGCCCCCATAGCGGCTGCCACTTTCCCTGCAGCAGAGGTGAGGCAGCAGCAGCGTGGCTGCTGCTGCACGGCGCATTTGCCCGTGCAGAGCTGCGCCTGCTGCTGCTGCCGCAGCGGCAGTACACTTGGGAGGCCATACCCGAGAGGCCGCTGCTGCTGCAGCAGTTGCCGCGCTCCGCAGCAGCCACGGCTTTGCTGGACTGTGTGTTGCCGGCTATCGTGCTTCTCTGTTGTCGGGGTTAGATGCAAACAAAGAAGGGAAACAGGAGAGCATTCCATCGAAAAAGGCCTTAGCCGCGCAAGGCGGGAGCAGTCGATGCCTCGGAGATGAGTCCTAGCCAACGGCTGCCACAACGCAACTCCCCTACACTTTACTGTGTGGCGCGAGCCTACGCTTTTCCATTATTTGAATTACTAACGCAAGTTGACAGGTAAATTGCTTATATGCATTAAAACAGGATCAGCGGAGGCACTCCCCCCCCCGAACGCTCATCTCCAACGGCCGCCAAAGTGACACGACACGACACGACAGCCGCTCCCGCCCCTTCGGCCAGTCACCGCGCCAGCATTAGTCTTCTTTTCGAAGTCTCCGCAGGTTTTAGCAGCGATTCTGGCTCTCCTCTTGGAAGCGAGGGAATTTTAGGTTGGTTGTGGCAATAGCACCCATTTCCTTCGGTTATGCGGCAGCTACGCTCTGAACCGCCGTCCTAGCTCCCCGAGGCGCTGCAGCAGCCCTCCAAACGCTGCATCCGTTGTCGCAGCACCTTGAGGAATGCTTGTGGAAGGGCAGAGCGGCTGAAGGCGGCGAGCCTGGCTCGTGCTGCTCGATAGCAGCCGTCGGAGTGGCAGCAGCAGCGCCAACGCGTGCTGCAGCAGCAAGATGCACGGCGGGGTATCTGCGCGCCTTTGGGGGAGGCGCCGACTGTCTCTGCCGGTGTTCAGCCTTCTGCTGCTGCAGCAGCTGCTGCGCGTGTCGGCGGCAGAGGAGGGGCAGGATTCTTGGCTAACGAGCGAGGATCGCGTCGAACAAAGCATTCCTTTTCTCGTAGAAGGGTGGGAAGACACGGTTCCACAGCTCCCCGATACGTGGAAGCTGCCTCTGACCCCGCGAGGTTGGGCAGCTCCTCCAAGCGGCAAACTCTCTGCTGCTTCTACATTTCCACCGTCCCCTGCAGATGCCGACGAAAACGGCGCACTAGATATCCGTGAGGACCACCGAAGCGACCGCAAGGCTAGAAAGCGGGGGGAGAGGGCGCGCACATCTACTTGGGAACCACACAGCCTGAGCCAAGCACCCCTTAGTGCGCTGAAGCTGTTTAAGGGGGACACACTAGTTTCGAAAAAGGAGATCAAGCAGGCACAGAGGGATCGACAGGAGAAAAAGCGGAACCGAGAGAACATTGCGCTCAAGAAAAAGAAGGAGGAAATCGAGACAGCGTTCAACGCAGAAGTGGATATTGCAGAACGGGGTGTAGAGCCGTACAAGGCCAGTACGCTGAAGCGCTGGCTGAAGCTTGCGGTCTATTTCCTTAATAATGGCGGCAAGCTGCCTGAATATGGTTTTTTAAATGACATCTAGCTACCTAGCGGCATCAGCCGAGGCAGCGTTTGTTCCAGGTGTTTCCGTGAAAGCTCGAAGGGGGAGCGCGTCTCTAGCTCTCCGTGCAGACTAGGAACGCGCCACCATGTTTAGGAGCCGCTAGTGCTCGGCGTCGAATGAGGCCATGCAGTAGGCTCAAGGGGACGTAAGCGATCAGTCTGATGCATTCAACGGCAAAGCTCGCGGCTCCCTCTGCTGTAGCCAGCAGCAGTTACAGAGGCTCCAGACACTACCCGTATATGCAGACGGTGTACACTCACGAGCGCGACGATAAATGTCGTTGCGAAGCGCGATAGCTGTTGATGCAGCAGCACCAGTAATAGGCATCGTGCGGCTGCCTCTCAGAGACCCCCTGGTGTGTGTGTGTGCGTCTTTCGATGGCGTGGCATGCAGCCGAAAGCCTGCCGAGCCGACTTTTCATATCCTCTAGACTAGCCCCCTATCGCCAAATCTAAAGGCCCTAGGACTGAAACTTATGCAGGAGAGATGGAGGGGAGGGGAGGGGAAGGGAGGCGGGAAGACTCCAGGCTTGGGGGTGGAAATCGCAAGGGGGCACCAAGCCAAGCTCTCACAACGCCATGCAGCAAACGTGGCTGTTAGGTTAGAGTGGCCCTTTAGGGCTGCTGCGGAGTTGTGCCGCCGTAGGAGCAGCCAGCTAGCTATAAAATAAGCCTAGGAATGCCGGCAGCTGTAGCAGCGCAGCTGAAGCTGCTGCGCCTTGAGATTGCAGCGGAGGGCGAGTAGGTACTGAAACTGCGGGGTGTGCATACACCCGAGAACGTTCGGAGCAGCTGCTGCTGCTGCTGGCGCTTCCTCCGGCGCTCAGCGGCAACGGCAGAGGTGTTCCTGCGCGAGCTCCCCGCCGTCAGCGCATGCAAACGCAGCCGCTGCTGCGGCGAATTGCAGTGTACGTACACCTCGAGAAGCTGCGAGAGATACGCGAGGCGAAGACCGTAGAGCCCCGCAGACGGTAACTCGCGGGCACAGTGGCCGCTGCAGGCACCCGCCATACGAAAAAGCGCCACCAACACGTCGACATGCAGCAGCAGACAAGAACGAGGGCGACAGCTTCAGTGTTAGAGCAACATCCGCTTGCTTGCTTACGTGAAGAATCCCTCAATAGTAAACAAGAGGACGATGCCAATCGCGTCTGCTGCAAAGTCCCTTTGCTCTTGCTTCTGCAGCTCTTGCAGTTGCTTCTGCAGTTGCAGCAAGCGCTTGCTGCTCTCCCCTCTGAGAAGCTGGATCTCCCTGCTCGCTGCTGTTGCAGCAGCAGCAGCTGTTGCTGCTGCCACAACAGTGGGCGCACCAGCCGACCCCTCAGGCACTTGCGCTGCAGGCTCTTCAACGCCACATGCGTCCTGCTGGGCGCGCTCCTGAGGCTGTGGTTGCTCTTCCCGTGCGTCGTCTTCGGAGGCATCTGGTGATGGCATCAACACCGTCATTCGCAACTGCATCTCCCACTGAGGACTGGCTTGTAAAACCTGCAAAGCAACCACAGCGCGGACGAACGCAAGACTGCCGCCTTCAAGAAAGGCCACTCGACGGAGGACTGCCTGCTTGACGCTATGCGAGACAGAAGCATCCGCAGTCGCTCTAACACCCCGTCAGACGAGCACTCACCCCTCCTGCCAAACAAGAAAGGCCCCTCCGAGAGCGCAAAAGCAGCGCGAGGGTGTCGGCAAAGTGCTGTTGTTGCTGCTGCTGTTGCCGTTGTATGACGGCCCCAAGACAGTCCAATACGGTGTAGGTACACTGAACGCGCATGCTGCCTTCGCTGCTGCCAGCGCCACTGCTGTTGCGGTTGTTGGCGTTGCTGCTGCTGCCCTCTACTAGCTCCGGGGTGAGAGAGAAGACAATGAGGAAGCTGCAGAAATTCACACCTCGCGCGCGCACTCTTTGTAAATTCAGGCTTCAATGCGCAAAGCTCGAGCGTTTTTGCGGAGTTCAAGGCTTGCAGACTTAGACGGCTTACGCTGCGCCCTCGCCGTATACTGGCAAAAGCAAGGTAGCTGCCTGGTGTTGGCGCTCCCGCTGCATGCGATTGACGAGTCGCTGAAGGTGACTTTCCTGCAACGCAAGTACCAGCAGTAAAGGGCCGAGTAGTAGCGTGCCTGCCTGCAACAGTGCCCCTTCAGTTTGGTTGCATCCAAACATGCGTTCACCACAGCAGTTCAGAGACATGCCATGCTTCTACACGGAGTCAACTCACAATATCGCGCGCCTTTAGTAGCAAATCACTCTGGCTGTTGCGCAGCCGCTGCAAATCGCTGCAGCTCATTGGCAGCGCCTCTAGAGCATACACCAGAGGAACCTAGAGACCAGACTCAACATAACAGCGAACGCAACACCCGCACATAGCAGACGCACAAGACGCAGGAGGCACAACTCTGCAAGACTCTGGCAGCAGCAGCAAATGCAGCAGTAAATGCAGCAGCAGCAAATGCAGTAGTAAAAGCAGCAGCAGCAAATGCAGCAGCAGCAAATGCAGTAGTAAAAGCAGCAGCAGCAAATGCAGTAGTAAAAGCAGTAGCAGCAAATGCAGTAGTAAATGCAGCAGGAAGAGAAGCCGCAACAGCAGAGGTGCCCGTGTATGGGGGCGCTTAGCGTACTGCTTGTGCTTCCGCTGTCGGTGTCGCGACAGCAGGTGCAACAGGCTGCTGCAGATCGATGGCATTGAATGTCGCAATAAGGAAGTTGACTGCCTGCAGCACCACGAACGACAGAAAGGGCGAAGGCGCATATAAACAGCCGGCTCTGCCACATGCCCAAGCAACAGACAAGCGAGCGAGCACTTTTCAGCAGCAGTAACGGCTTAACACGCTCACCCCGAGAGTTGGTGTCTCGCCGGGTAGGAGAGACAGCAGAGCACGCAACAGCTCAGGATACATCTCAAGACCACGAAGATTAAAAGCTTCTGTTGCTGCTGTTGCTGTTGCTGCTGTTGCTGCTGTTGCTGTTGCTGTTGCTGCTGTTGCTGTTGCTGTTGCTGTTGCTGCTGTTGCTGCTGCTGTTGCTGTTGCTGCTGCTGCACTGCTTGTGGCAACAGCTGGCAGCAGTGCAGCCACCGCCTCATCAGAAATTCCAAGGATCCCGTCCCACTGCAAACTCTGCTGCACTGTCGCAACCCCACTGTTCACCGCTGCTGCCGCTGCTGCTGCTGCTGCTGCTGCTGCTGCTGCTGCTGCTGCTGCTTCGCCACTTTCAGCCGCCACGGCAAAACCGTCCGCGACTGCTGTTTCTGCCAACGCTGCTGCCCTTGGATCTGAGGCTGGCAGAGCCTGAGAACAGATTCCACTCTCGCTCTCCGCCTTGTTATTGCCGCTGCCACTGTTGGCGTTGCTGCTGTTGCTGCAGCCGCCGCTGCTGCTGCTGCACCCTGTGCTGCTTGTGCTAGGGCTGCTGCATGCGCTGCCTCGACGCTGCGCATGTCCCCTTGCATCCCTCTCGTGCTGCTGCGGCTCAGGCGTGGTATTTTTGCTTGCAGCCACTGCCTCGGTTTCTGCCACTGCCGATCCGGCTGCTGCAGCCTCTGCCGTTGCTCTAGCCTGCTGCAGCAACAGTCGCAAAGACTCTTCCACTGCATCCTGCTGCTGCTCCACTTGCTGCAGCAGCAACACCAAGTCAGCACCGCAGTCCTGCTGCAGCAGCAGTGCCTGTAGCTGCTGCTGCTGCTGCTTTTCCTCCATGGCGTCTGGGGAGGAGACATCCTGCAGCAGCAGCAGCTGATTGGCTGCCGAAGCCGCGGCTGCGACGGCTGAATCTTCCTGCAGCAGCAGCTTCGCATGCAGAGACAGAAAGCGCCCCCCCAGATGAGTAGTCAAATGGTAAGGCTGGAGCTCCTTCCCCTGATCCTGCTGTTGCTGTTGCTGCTGCAGTTGCTGCTGCTGTTGCTGTGGCTGTGGCTGCTGTTGCTGTGGCTGCTGCTGCAGTTGCTGCTGCTGCTGTGGCTGTGGCTGCTGTTGTGGCTGCTGTTGCAGCTGTTGTTGCTGCATCCGCCGGTGATGTTGCTGGAGAAGCAGCAACTCGCGCTCATCTGCGAAGGCAGCGGCCAGACGCTGCAGAGAGTGCTGCGCGCGAAGCAGCGAGAAGCCCTGGTGTCTGCAGCGATGAAAACGCTGCAGTTGCTGCAGCGAAGCTTGCAGCTTCCCCTGTGTGGCATCTTCGCTGCACATGGAGATATCCTGTTGCTCTGCGGGTGCTTCGACTAATGTTGGCGGCTGCTGCTTCCACGGAACGTCTTCCAGCGCGACGCTGCTGCCTTGCTCTACCATCCAGTGCCGCTGCTGCTGCCGCTGCTGCTGCTGCTGCTGCTGCTGCTGCTCCCGAAGAAGAGCATCCAAAGGAACCGTCCTGGCAAGCTTCCGCTTGGGAGGCGCTGGAATCTCTAAAAAGCGCTTGAGCGAGCAGACCGACGGTGTGCGAGAGGCAGAGCACCCGCTTTGCGCTTCTCGCTGCGCTTCTCGCTGCGCTTCTCGCTGCTGCTCTTGCTGCTGCTCCTCTCTGTCAACCCCCTCTGCTACAGCTGCTTTTATATTAGGTCGGAGAAAATTCCTCGCAAGATGCATTCCCTTGACTAGCAGAGACTGTCCTACAGCAGAGGCGCGAGTCAGCAGTCCACCGCTACCAGGCTGCTCCTCTCCTTCCTGATCCTGCTGCTGATGCTGATCCTGCTGCTGATGCTGTTGCTGCTGATGCTGTTGCTGCTGCTGCTGTTGCTGCTGCTGCCTTTGCTCCTGCGCCTCGTGTCGAGAGGGAAACATCGCCTGGTCCAAGTCTCTCATGTACAGCTGCTGCTGCTGCACCCGCCGCTCTTGACGCCTCCAGTAAGCGGCATCCGCTGAGGGTTGTAGTCGCTGCACTTGCTGCGCCTGCTGCTCCTCCTCTTCGTGCAGCCTCCATCGAGCAGAAGCTGCTGCAGAGCCAGCTCCCTCTGCCGTTGAGCGGCAGCTGTTGCTGTGGCTGCGTCGGCAGTATCCAGCGTGCTGCAGCAGCAGCTGCTGCTCGGAAGCCACGCGCAGCGAGAAGTCAGCAGGTGTCTGTGCAGCAGCAGCAGCAGCAGCAGCAGCAGCCGCTCCAGGCAGGTGCTTGCTTAGCAGCGGCTGCGAGGCGCCTTGTTGCTGGCTCTGCAGTTGCTGCTGCAGCAGCGCATGCAAAGAGGGGGCAACGCATGCGACATCCGATGCAGAAGTTGCACTGGTAAGCAGCCGAGTCACTGGGCAGCAGACATCCTGCCGTACAGCAGCCTGCTGCTGCTGCTGCTGCTGCTGCAGTTGATATCCCCCCCCCTTCTTGCCTGCGCTGGCAGGGAGGGTGCCACAGCGCATGTGCGGCTGCAGCCGTCCTCTGGCGCTGCCTTCTGAAGAGCTCACTTGCTGCTGCTGCTGCACACGGAAAGCAGTATCTGACGGACTCGTCGCATGCAGGGCGGCAGCGACAGCATCAGAATTTCGAGTGGTGCTGCTACTCCACGGCAACTGGAGTGGCGGCGTGGCTCTGCCCACGAATGCCGACGTCGAGAGCACACCACGAGCGCTGCACGTGCTGCTGCTGCTGCTCTTGTTTCGCTTGCTGCTCTGCAATCGAGGCTGTAGGGAAAGTGTTGCACCCGACGGCTGTGGTGTCAGGGCAGCAAGTACTGCTTCCCCGGCTGATTCTGAGTTCACATGTGAAGGCTTGTGCACCAAGCCCTCTGGAAGCTGCTGTAGCGGCTGCGGCTTGTGCTGCATGGGTGCGAACATCCCCATGGGGGAGGATCGCTGCTGCCACAGCGTTCTGCGTGGCAAATCTTCGTCCATGGTGATTGCGTTTTGATTGCTTTCGCTTCGCTGCTTCTCCGCTCCTGCTACCGCCGCAGCAGCTGATGCCCCTGCATGCGCTTCAGCAGCTGCTTCTTCAGGTGTAGTAACACCTCACGCCGAAGCGGCTTTCTCCCGGCTCTGCATTCCCGTGGAGGGAGGCGTGTGCGTTGCACGACCCCAGCCAACGCTGCATGAGTTGCTGCCACTACTATGGCCGCAGCAGCCGTCAGAGGGCAGTGCATGCACTTTTGCTGCTGCGACTGCTGTTGTTGTTGCTCCTACTGTTGCTGTTGCTGCGGTTGCTGCTGCGGGGCCAGAGCAGCATGACGGAGGCAGCAGCTCGTCTGCTGCTGCTACTCCTGCTGCAGCAGAAAGCTGGAAACAATGAGTAGGTTTTGCATTGACGAGAGGATTTGGGGGGCGCAATGCAGAGGGAATGGCTCCTGCTGCTTGTGCATGCAGCGGCAGCCACAGCGGCAACTGCCAGCAAGTCGCCGTAGACGCTGCTGCTTCTACTCTAAAAGGGTTAAATACCCTGTTGTATAGTACTTATTGTTGAGAATCCAAAGAGAATTTCCTTGTTGCTGGAGGCATAATGAGGGATTTGGAGGGGGCATTCCCGCCCATCCACCTGCGGCCGTGGAACAGCAACCCCACCCAACCTTACATACAGTTGCCAGAGCATGGGCATGCCGTATGCATTCTAAGTTGAACTGGGCGAGCTAGCTAGGGCTATGTGCTCTTCTCAAAGTTGCGTATTCTGCTAACAGCAGCAAGCACAAGCGGTAACGACACCTGGGGCAACTTCCTTTTGGTATGACATGCTCCCTCACATACGCAGCAGTGGCCATTCATGCAACCAAAACAGACTAGAAAAAAAGAAAGTGTCGATCTACGCAGAATCATGCAAACTCAGGGGCGTGCGCCATGTTGTGATGAACACAGGGCACACGGGGTACTACTTACTCTTTCAAGGGGTTCACGAGAGGTTTATAGTGCGAAAACCGTGTCCAAACTACACAGAAATTCATCAAATGTTTCTCCAAATCACATTACCCTTCTTCTTGCCCTCACCCCACAGGATTATTGCTTGAAGGGAGGAAGGATGGCTGGCGTGTAAGTAGCTGCACCTTGTATTAACACCTGGCCTTCACACGCATTCGCATCTTTGGGCTTTATTCAAAAGCACCCAACATACGTCTAGGTGCCATGTGATTAGCTCAACGCTGGACCTGAGTTCTCGGTAGGGAGGTATTTTCCTGCAGACTCAATGAAACCATACTAGACAGTTACTGTTAGTGATTTAGTGTTGAAGAAGAGCTCCTCTTTCCCCCTCCCCGCACGTTCGAGAGCTTCCCCACAGCAGGGGAAAGTGACAATTTGAGAGAGCGTTGCTGCACCCCCTAAGCAACCTGAGCATTCACAGCTAGGTGCACTTAGCAAGTAGTGCGCATATATATATATATATATATATATATATATATATATATATATATATATATATATGTATATATAGATGAACACATATATGCACAACATTGCATCCTGTTGTATACAGCTCGTGGAACTGAAGATTTACGAACAGACAAAACAAGTAGTCAATAGCCACAAGCTCTGTCTAGGCAGGTTCTCTCTTTGTGCTGCATTCCAGGAGACTCCTTTATGGGTTTGAGAGTACTGCAGTCATACGGATAGTACATACCACTGAATACGTAGCCTGAGAAAACAGTGCCTATGGAAGAGGAGACCGTGATAAAAGTGGAACTGCTCGATTTCGCTGTACGGGGAAACGCCCACTAGACCTAAGGGGGGTGCTAGCAGGGGGAGATTACAGCCCCATAGAAACTGCCATTCATAAAAAGCATCTGCCTGGAGAACTTGCATTACAGCAAACCGCAGCTCATGGCTGTTTGCTAGTGACTCCCGCGAAAGTATTACAGCGATCTCCGGCGAGATTTCTGCCCTGGAGACTCGAAGGCATGGACTTTCCTCATGCCTCTGAATGTAATCATGTAGCGTCCATGCTCCAATTCACAGCCCCAGAAGTTCGCTCCCCCACCAACCTGTTCTCATAGTTACACGCATGTGCATATTCGCACACTCCTTCTTTATGTCCTGGCTCCAGGGGAATTCTGAATATGTAACAGCTACTGGGGTGAGTCTATTGAGCAAGAATGCACATAGAAGCAAAGCACAAGCTCGTTCTACAACGGAGCTAAAGGTAAGCCGCCGAAGGAAATCGTGGAAACCGCTGTGCATGTTCTTCCTTTTCCCACGATGAGGAGTCCGCGTGTGCCAGTCCCTTTTATCGGAAACTTACAGGCACACCGGCGAGCTTTCACTTATACAGGCTAAAGAAGCAGAGGAGATCACTATCAAGGAAGTGTGTCCCCAGCTTGTCTCCATGTGATCAGGTAGCAAGAACCAAGCCGCTGCTTTGGCTGGGAGGCTCTCTTGAAAAATCAACCAAGCGAGGTAGCCTTGAATGTTGCGCTCATGCCGCTTAGCGCTTTCCCCTGTAAAGTACTGGAAAATAAGACAACAGCTCCCTAATCTACCTTTGCGCGGCTGCCCTGCGTACCAACTAGCCTATTTTACGTTACTACTGTGAGCGCGAACTGTTGGCTCAAGTAAAAGCATCGCCACTGATGCATCGGGTGAAAGGTCAGAAGCGAAGTGCAGAACGCCGTTCGCTTTGAGGCAGCCGATAGCTGCTTCCCTGTTGCAGTACAACTTGCTGCAGAAGAGGGGAGAATAAAACTGCGCACCATTTCGCTAGCTATTTAGTTAGTTTGCTAGCGAGTTGCAACTGATTAGTCCAGCAATTCCTCAAGCCCTTCCGCGTCTGCGAAGGCACTGCCAGGTATTGCGCGTCGCTGCAGCTGTTTCTTGAGGGAACTTAATTTAGTGTCCACGTCACCTCGACCCTTCCTCTTCTTTCTGTTACTCCTGTTCTCCTCCTCCTCGCTGCTCCCATTGTCGTCCCTTGATGCAGAAAGTGTGTCCATGAACTCGGCCTCATCTTCTTCATCAGTCTGCCCTCCTTCCATTTCCTCTGTCTCCTCTGCATCAGACCATTCATCGCCAAGAGCACCCTCAGCGGCATCGGTCTCTCCATCGCTGCTCTCTCTATCTGATTCTGGCTCATCCTCGTCTTCGCTGGCGCCTCCCCCAAGCTGCTCAGCCTGCTTCGCCAAGAAAGCGTCCACCTGCAAACACACTCCCCGACGCAGGCAGCAGCAACAAATGCAGTCCAAACAAAAACGGCTGCGGCATTATGAGCTGCAACAGCTGCCAAAGAGCAGCACAAGGAACAACATGTACATGCATATATTATGCGTCATCAATGCACTGCGCGCTGCTTCGGGGGAAGCAACAGCTGTATAGCAGAGTCCTACTTCTTCATCGCTGAAGGCGTCGTCCCCCTCGAAGTCTTCTTCATCTGAACCTTCGGCATCACTGCCTCTCTCAGCATCTCTGCCCGCAGGAGCAGCTCTGCCTGCTTTCTGCTGTATCTGCCCAGCAGCAACGACTTGGTCCTTAACATAAAGCAGCAGCACAAGGCATGCAGCCAGAATTCACTACAAGTTGAGCGGTGGCGTGGATAGCGCTGTAACCTCTCTAATCGCAGCAGCAGTGAACATTGCAGCAATCTCTCACAAGGAAGTACTGGCGAATGAATTGCCTCTCCGGCTCGGCATCGTGCTTCTGCCAATATCGGGTAGAGTTAAGAGACACGCTTTGCTGGACCGGTTGCTGATGCTGTTGCTGGTTTTGTTGTTTTTGCATTTGCTGCTGCTTTTGTGGAGCCTTGTAGGCTAAGTCATCAAAGAGGCGGCTACTCGTTACACCACGCAATGTCTCCACCACGGCAGCCTCATCGATTGCAGCGGGGCCAGGCGATGTACTGCTGTTGTTGTTGCTACTGCGCTTGTTGCTGCAGTATGCAGCAACTAAACTGGCTGCAGCTGAGGCAATACGGGGGTGATAACTGGCGGAGCAGGCTGCGAGTTCCCACAACCGTGTCTCGGCAGCCTGCAGCGCATGCTCAATACAAACAGTCCACTCCTCAGGACGATTGTGACAACTTGCGGTGCTAACACTGTACTCACAGCTTGCATGTAGCACGATTTAGCAGGCAGCAATCCAAATGATTCCCGCAGAAAAAAAAGCACAGAGGACAGAGGTGGACCGGAGGCGAAGGGCATATACACAGAAGGAGCAGACGAAGCTAAGAAGCGTATATACATATATATACGCATCTCAACGCAAATGTACGCAGAGTTGCACACTGATGCGCAAATCCGCGTATTTTCATGAATACACTCGAAGTACATATCAGTTTTTCCTCGCATGAGGTTACAGCTACATGTATGTATATACACATACGGAGGTACACGGCTCGAAGCTATACACATACATTTATAAAGAGATAAAAGCAGATGAACACATGCATACAGTAGACAAAGGTATACCGCGGCCCCCGGTTCATATATATATATACATTGTCTAAGTACAAGTACATAAAACCACGTATAGGAAAATACATGTTCACATATGTAAGCACCTCGTGTTGTATATACACGCATCATCTATAGGGACAAGCTCGAGCACATTCTATTTTGCGTGCTCATCCAGAAAAGGATCATCGTTTGAAAGGTATGCGAATAGAAGCTGCACTTAAATGCCACAGAGGACTGCGAAAAGAAGCGCACGACGGTTGATTGGGGACAGCACAAAAACGCACCCTCGTGTAGCGGGGGTCCCTTTTCTCCGGTGTATATACGCAGAAAGAAGCGGTAGCATCAGAAGTGCTTGCAACTCGTGTTGCCTTTTGCGCTTGTTCTTCGGTGGCTTCCAGCGGCTCCTCATCTTCGGGAGCGTCCTGGTAGCAAACGCATGTGCACAGCACCTCCACGACATTTAACAGTTTAACATAAGCATCTGCCAGCGTTCATGGCCAGAAGGCAAGGCAAGCAAGGCGAGGTTCACGATTGCAAAGGGTGAAGACAGTTTTGCTCATGTTGACGCTTGTAAAAAGGTGCTCTTCTCACCGCCACGGTCTCATCCGTCTGCTGCAGATCCTGTTCCCTCTCGGATAAAAGCAGGCGCAGCTGTGGCTGCTGTGACAAGACTCCCTCTAGGATTTGTAGGGCAGCTGCTGCCACTCCGGGGGAGGAATGAACGAGACTCGTCTGCACACCAGCAGCACCAAAGTTACCTCCGCAAGTGCGCTCTCCAGACTCTTCCCTACCTCTTGCTGCTAAAATTTCTGCGGCTACCATGGCTACTGTGGTTCGAACAAAGGACTGCACTCTGCAGCAACGACTGCCTCTTCCTGTACTTCCAAGAGCCGCCTACCTGCAGAAGCCGCTTGATGAGCGCAGCCTTCCTAGAGTCATGACTGTCTTGCAGCAACAGTCGGAGCAACAGCACAAGCAAGCCACCGCGGCTTCCAGCGTACAAACTCGTGTGCTGCTGCTGCAGCTGCTCATACACTACGCGGGATAGCCTGTCTGGGCTATGGCTGCAAAGCAAAGCAAGGGCACCCAACACACATTACCGCTGCACCGACTACCACGCTTCCTGCAGTGACCTGCTGGCAGCAATGACAGCAGCCACAATGATAACTGTAGTGCTGCGGCAACATGAGCAGCAGCAACACGAGCAGCAGCAACACGAGCAGCTCAACCGCGGAAAGAGGCAACAGTGACGCACTGATAGAGGATCGTGAGGCAATGAAGAATGCGCATCGCTAGAACACGCGACGCAACGCAGGATAGAGTGTGCGCCAGAGAGAACAGCACCTCAGGTAGCTGATCTAAAGTGTCCTTCTGCTTCTGCTGCTGCTGCTGCTGCTGCTTCTGCTGCTGCACTGGGGCTTGCAGCAGTAGTGTGGCTGCCGCCTCAGGAGCCACGTAGGGTAGAGCTCTCAAAAGGCCAGCGAGCATCACACGCACCAAACGGTTGCAGCACGACGCGAGGTACAGGGGCGGCAGCAGTGCCACCTCCCTCTTGCTGTTTGCAGCTGCAGCCCTTTGAGGGCATACCGCTTGCTGCACATCAGAGTGCAGAGATGCTCCAAACTCCGCGAATCGACGGAAAACAGTCAGGTAGGTGCCAATAAGCCGAGCAACAGCAGGCCCGTCCTCTCTGCGCGTGAACAAAATTCGCAAATATCTCCGGATCGTCCCGAAGCAGCAGCAGAACGCCAAGTACTGCAGCTCCGTTTCCTCGCGCCACACCCGTTTGCAGCGGCAGCAGCGACAGCCACAGCACAGCCAGCACCGACACCAGTACCACACCTCAAGCAAAATGTTTGAGCGAACAAGGACTGAGAAAACTAATGAGCACTGTTAGCGTTAAGCGCGATAACACGCACTCCCTGAAGATAAGCTCGGAAAGGAATAGGAGACCCCGGTAAACGGCCTGCAGCCCAGTAGCAAACTTCGGAGGAAGTAACAACTCGTAGACTCGAGCTGTGGCTTCGCATCTCTGCTTTTTCTCGGCGTCGCTTCTCTCTCGCCTTTTGTGCAGCAGCATTTGCCGCAGCTCGCGGGCCCGTGCCGCACTTCGCGAGCACAGCGCCAGGCGGGGTTGGTGAGCAGAGTTGTTGCCTTGCTGTTGTTGTTGCTGCTGTTGCAGCAACTCGTTGCGCCTGAATCGAAAGCGAGCGGGGAGCCGTGTGCCTGCATGGCGAAGGGTTGCCATAAGGTTGCGACAGGTCTCAATGGCTTGGAACCTCCCTTGTTGCAGCACTACAGCGAGCCGCTGCAGCACGAAGTCTGACGTGTATGCAACTACTACTGGAAGCATTGGTCGATGTCTGCGCAGGAGCATCGCCAACTGCAGTGAGGCACAGGACGCCACCTGAGCACAGCAGCAGCAACAGCAGCGGCAACAGCAGCAACGACGAAAAGTCAGCCAGCATGAAATACAAGGGCGGACGCAGAAGCTGCACCTAGCTGCACCCAGAGTGCACCCCACACGCAAAAAGCACCCTGCAGCAGGAAAGCTGACCTTTCCCTCCGGAGCGCCAAGTCTATTGACAAGAAGGGACAACAATTGCCGTTCCTGCTCCGTCTTCTTGATGAGAAGCTGTGCAGAGAATTTCAAGGCGCGACATGCCAAGGCTGAGATGGCGTCCTCGGAAAGAACTTGCAACAGCTGCAAAAACGACAAGCCCACACACCCAAGGCACTCCTGCGCATGCATCTCCGCCGAGCACCAAGCGACCTGCAGCTGTTTGCAGCAGCGCCCAGGCAGTTTGAAACGCTGCCAAAGAAAGCGCAGCAAACGTAGCAGCCATCCCGGTGTATGCGACTACAACAGCATCCGTCCAATGTGCCTGATCGCGGTGCTGCTACTGGCGTGCTTATGTGGCAAAGGCGCTGCAACAGCCCCAGCTGAGGCAAGCGGCGGTATGGGCTGCGCGTGCAAGGCGTGCAGCAGGAGCTCGAAAATAAAAGCAGCAGCATCAGCAGCAAGAAGAAGAAGAGGGCGAAAAAAATGACGTACTGTCACGAATGAACTGTACCGCTGCGAGAGGGCCTCTTCGAACCGCCATAGGAGCAACAGCTGTAGAACGGTTACTGCAGCAGTTCGTGCCTTGTCTTGCTTGCCTGTCGGTTGCAGCTGCTGCTTGTGCTTCTGCTTTTGCTCATGCGTAGGCTTCTCGCCGTGCCGTTGCAGCTGACTTTGCACCAGCGGCAGTAAGGCCAAGACTCTTTCCAAGAGCCACTGAGGCTGTTGCAGCATGCCTCGCAACTTCCTGAATGAAGGCAGCAGCAAGGGCCCCACAAAAAGCTCGAAGAGCTGCGCTGCTGCCGTGTGCGCCGCGGATCTGTTCTTGCATGTAGTAAGCCGCAACAGCAGTAGCAAGCATTTGTTGCTGCAGATTGGAGCTTGCTGCGTCAGTAGCACCAAAGAAGACACTTCATCTGCCCGCGTAGGGCCCTTGTGCTGCTCGCCTTCCGCTGCTGCATTCTTCTGCCATGCTTTCCGCTGCTGCTGCCGCTTCTGCTCCGCTTGCTGCCGTTGTTCATGCTGCAGCAAGCCTGCGTTTCTCAGTAGCCACCGCTGCTCGGAGTCTGTTTGTAACAGTTCAAGATACCTCTGAGTGACATGCTGCAGCGCTCTGTCCCCCACAGCAGCCCAAATCGACCAATCCACATCGTTAGTGTTGCCACTGCTACTGTTGCTGCTACTGTTGCTGTTGCTGTTGCTGTTGCTGCTACTGCTGCTGTTGCTGCTACTGCTACTGTTGCCGTTTTTGTCACTCTTCTTCTTGCCGTCATTTTTGCTGTGCGAGATTCGGAGCTCAAGTACTGCACTCTCTACGGATTTTAAGGCAGCATGCCAAGGGCCTTTGCCCCAGGTGTCTAGCCACTGAAGCACATCTTCCTGCTGCAGCAGCGCCTCCGCTGCGTCTGCTGCTGCACGCGCTGTCTCTGAGGAGGACGCCAGAAGATAGGGGGCGTTCGCTGCAGCATCAGGAGCATGGCTGCCGCTACTCCCTTCCCATACGCCCTCCGCATCCCCTTGCTTCTGCTGCTTCTGCTGCTTCTGCTGCTTCTGCTGTTGCCACTTATCCCACCGCCTTGCTGAGGCTTCCTTGCTGTGGTGGTGTTGGAGAGCAGCCTTCACCTGCTCTTGTAGCCTCTCCCTCTCCTGCTGCATTGCCTGAAGGTCGGTGGGCTGCTGCTGCTGTTTCCGCCGACGCTGCAGAGGCTGCTCGCTTTTTCCCGCATGCCCCTGCCACCGCCGACGATCCCTCTGAGGCTCACCGCTTTGAGTGGTGGCAGAGGTGGTACACTCTCGGATTTTACTGCCACGCGGACGAGGGTAGCCCCCTCGTGCAGGAGGAGAGCGCCTTGCTCCCCCACCTCTAATTCTGCCTCGAGCTGAGAAAGCAGCATTGCTCCCTCGGTAGCTCTCCGTGCTGCCTCTCTGTGCATTGGCGTGTCGCTTGAGAATCCTGGGGGCCCCTGAACCTCTGCCCCGGGCTAGAGGCCCTCCCCGGGGGGCCCCGCCCCTGCGGTGTATGGACATCCCGCTGCCTGTGCTGCTGCTGCTGCAGAAGCTGAAACTCCGGGCTTCTGCCCTTCTCGCTGCTGCAGCAGCCGCTTCTACAGCGGATGCTGCTCGCCTCTCCCAGGATCGATGCTACCGCGACGGTTCCCCACAGCTGAACGCTGAGGGTCGGATATTCCACGCCTCGACGGCAAGCTCTCGCCTTCAATACACGACACTCTTGCCTACTGCTGCTGAAGTTGCCTCAAGAAAGAAACAAGGCCAATGGAAAACTTGGCACCCCTGCAACAGCCCCGTTGCTGCTGCCGCTGCCGACTCCGCAGGCTGACCAACAGGTGTAGCAGCGAAGGCGGCACACGCCTCTCGCTTAAAGCTCCGGCAGGCATTGCAAATGCTCTTTTTGCAACGCTGTGGGAAATAGCGGACCTGAATTAGGGGAAAGGGGCGTGGCAAGGGGGGGCAGGGGGTCCTCGATGCTGCAAGATGGCCACTACCTGCAGTGGCAGCGCACGCAGCCGCAGGAAGCGCCGCAAACGAACGCGCGACGAATCTTCTAGTTGCCGCCGCAGCAAATACATGACGAAGAAGCTGCAGCTGCCCTTTTCTTCTTTGCAGCATCGACGAAGCAACACGACTTCGAAGCGACGGGTTTGGCTCTAGGGGAAATGCCGCGGCAGCGGAAACTTAAGTTTCCTCCTCCTTTCATTGGTTATTTAGAACCCTTTCCTCGAGGACGCAGCTCTCACTGCTAGTGGTGCTGTTACCAGTTCAACTGTAGCCGCTGCTGCTGCGCCTACCTTTGCCGCCTCTCAAGGGGGTGCCCCCTGCACTGCCTCGAAGGTCGCTCTGTTTTTGCTGTTGCTGCCACTCTTGCACGTCCTGCTGCTAAGGCAGCAAAAATCACGAGAATGCTTAAAGAAGCCACACCTGAAACGGCGTCGGCGGGCTTGCGTAGGGCCGCATAATTGTATGCACAGTAATGAATTTCCACCAAGTTGTCAGGGGTGTCGTGGATTTCTGGAGGTCACACACAATAGGTTCCCGTAGTTTCTGTCCGCTAGTTAGACTGGCAAATCTGCAACAGCCTCTTGCTACGTGTGGGCATTGAGGAGCTTCCCTTCGCCCTGACAAGAGGATGTGTGTCTGCACTCTACTGCGTCAGGTTGAGGTTTGTTGCATTTCTCTTGCTTCCAGCCCCTAATTCGCCTGCCATGCCATACACTGGGCCTCATGCGATGCCACTATCCTTACCCGCTTCTGACACACAAGCCTTTTCAGTCGCATGAATTCAAGCTTGCTTGCTAGAGGCGTACGCGAGTGACCGGAGGGGGCGGCTAGTAAACAGGCGCCTTTTACAGTAGCAGGATGAGAACGCATCTTCCGAGCGACACCGAGAACCACTAGACACTAAAACAGGCTCTATGGCATGCCTGCACAATGATATCGATATTATTATGCGAGGATGCGAAAGGCTGGAGGCCTCTCCCCGCTTGCTGCGCAGGTGTGCAGGTCTTACTCGATATTTGTCGTCATTCTGTCCTCGCATAAAGTGCTCGTGAGCACCATCCACAATAGCAATGTGCCCTAGGCCTCATCACACCCTATTCATGCCATTCTGATGAGCTAAGAGGCGTAGATCCAGTGGTTCCCGCTGATGGTTGTTCACACACTCTTCGAGACTATTACTGCCCCCTACAGAAGTGTCTCACAGAGCCGTGTTGTGCAACGGCGTCCCTGGTATACAAGCCTCATAATACTGCCTCAAACCCTGATAAATACTCGTAATAAGGAACCTCAGAGGACACATTGCGCTAAACTTCAGCTAGACACTTCCTTCTGCCTGGACATATTTACATAAAGGCGTAGAGAATCTAGTTGGTTTGACTGCTCGGATTACTTGACTACTGCAGAGTAGCGCCAACCACTTCAATAAAACGCAATGTTGTGCGTGCGTGAGCAAGATGACAGGGTCAACTAGCTGTACTACTCGGAGTGCTCACAGGGTGTAACCATGGGCCCCCAAGCTGCCCCTGACTGACCCCTCATGTCGAACGTCTAAAGATTTCTGGCAGAAGAAGGGAGGCGTTGTTTTGGGAGGCACTTGATAACTTTGCATTACGCGCAGCCTGGAGTTGAGTGCCCCTACGGGGACCTTTGATGGATTGTTACAGTCCATGAGGGGCACCGTCTAATGTGCGCAGTAAGCTTGCTTCTACTGACTCCTAAAGGGGTAGCTCTTAACTGACTATTTTGTTCCAAGAAGGGCCCCTTGAGTTGCTCCCTTGGCCGCCCAGTGAGGGATCTTTTCTGAAGACTGCCCTCAAACTGCATCTTGTTCCTGCTTGCTTCCCACTAGGCGTTCAATGATTTCCCTAAGAAATACATATATGTATATATATTAGGGTTGCTCTTTGAACCAATTTCGTTGGTCTGTTTCACTCCCGATTGTCGTCTTCCCGCTCTGCCTACATGAGTTGCCAGCTAAAGCTCTTTCTTGACACCCACTCGCAGTTTTTACGACTGGCTCTCCGATGTGCATCCACGAGCCACTGGCTAAATTCAACTCACCTCTACAGTATTCACAAACGTATTTATCCGGAAGCGTCCAATTACTCCAGGATTCAGCAGCTCCTGCTGCTGAATCTTTTGTGCTTTCGCCAGCGGCGAACGGGCAAAATAAGTGCAGAGGAGGCAACTGTTCCTTTACTTAGGGCCCCCTGCTGCAAAAGCATGGCAGTACTAGAGGCTGCAGCTGCTCCTGTCTCGCAACCTCCTGAGTAGTGCGTGCTGCAGAAGCTGCAAATACGAAGGCTTCCCTGTCTGTCTCCACTTCGCAGCAAAGATAAGCGGGAGGAGGCCAGGCAAGGAAAGAGGGCCTCCGCACGAAGAAGGGAGAAGAAAAGACTGCCAACCCTTCTCGAGCATCAGATAGCTGCCGGTGTTGCACCTGTTACGCCTGCTCCCGCTGCTGCTCCTGCTGCTGCTCCCGCTGCTGCTCCCGCTGCTGCTCCCGCTGCTGCTCCCGCTGCTGCTGCTGGGATTCAGGTGCTGGCGTGGCGGCTGCTTCAGCCTCGCTTGCTTCTGCTGTTGCCGCTGAAGCAGGAGCTCTTGCCGAGGACCCACCTGCTGCCCCGTGCTGAGACTCCTGAACTGCTTGCTCCCCGCTAAGCTGGCTTTCAGCCTGCTGCTCCTGGTGTCTCGGTGACGTTTTCACGGGTTCCATGGCCTTTGCTGCCCTGTCAATGCTCTTCAAGTAGCGCTGCGCAACCTGGCCAAACCGAGCATACACTGGAAGGCCCTGCAGCACCAGCAACGACACCCCCGAGCAAAACGTAGTCACAAGACACCCCCAGCGCCAGCAGCTGAACAGCGACGGAACTGCCTGCTTTCGATCTTTTGGAAACTGCGAGCTCCTGAACGACCAGCAGCACACGGAGCCTCCGCGAAAGCCAACGCAGAGAGAGCAGCAGCCGCAGCGGCCCCCCTTGAAGCATGCATCAGGGCATGCACGCCAGCAGCAACAGCTCCAGCAGGAGAATGCCGTACCTCGAAAGTTGACGCTCTCGGCGATTCTCCCGTTCGCCCTGTGCGAAGCACGCCACGCGCAGACGAAAGATCGAGTGCCTTCCGGCAGCAGCAGCGTCGGCGCAAGCATCGCGTAGGCGCAGCAACACCAGCAGGCAGTCTCTTCTTACCAGGACTGCGCGCGGAGGAGAGTCTCCGGTCTGGAGTCTCCGGCTCTGCTTGCGGCTCTGTTCCTGCTTGTGCAGTCTTCAGCGTGTCTTCAGGGGAGGCAGGCCCCTCCTGCGCATCCTGATATTCCCCTGGACTCTCCTCGGCGTCATCTCCTCCGTCATCCTGACTCAGCGAGACACCTTCAGAGGAGTCTTTCGACGCGGAGTCGCCAGCAGCGCGAACGGGGGAGCTGTTGGAGGGACTGCCGCAGCGTCCAGTGAGCTGCAGCCACTCCTCCTGAGAGGTTCCCGTGAGAGACTGCAGCTGGAGGGGAGCTCCCTCGTCTCCCAGATCGTAAATGCTGCAGGTGGGGTGCCGAGGAAACGAGGCACCCCTGGATGCACCTCTCGAGGGAGCCTCCTCGATCGAGTCTTCCCGGTCCAAATAGTAATACTCCACGCGGGATGCATCGGGTAGACTCTGGAGGGGACAGCGCCACAAGCACAGCCAGTTGCAACAGCCGATGCACCGAAAGAAGCAACAAAAAGGCGTCCTTCGATTCTACGCAACGCTGCAAAGGCGTCTCTAGCCGCGCGCAAACACAACGCAAGCAGCTGCAGTACCCAGCAGCAGAAGAAGAAGGGCTCACGTGGGGGTGCCCGCTGGACTTGCTTCGCAAGGCTTCGTTCCCTGCACGAACATACGCAGCACGCGCGCGGTGTGTGAACAGACACTGGGCACAAAGAGCGCTCTGCGTCCTCGTAGGAGAAGGGAAAAGATGCTGCGACTTCCAGCAGCGCTGAACACCCCAGCGGTAGACCTGTAAGTACACTCCTCGGAGACGCATGGTCTTGCTGGTTCCGCCGCTGCTGCCGGCTGTCGCTAGGAGAGGCGACTTCTAACGGAGGCGGCTCGTCAACAGGCCCCTTTAGAGGCTGCTGCTGCTGGGGTGTGTCGAGGTGATGCGCCTCTAGCCGTGCCCTTTGCTGCAGCAAAGCGACTTGGCGCTGCAGCTCCTGTTGCTGCCGCTCCTGCTGCTGGATCACAAGCTCCTGCTGCTGCACCTTCTGCAGAAGAAACTGCACCGTGAGGCTTTGCTGCGCTTCTGGTCCGTTAGCGACTGGCCACTCAGCAACTGGCAGGGGTAGCGGGTGCTGCAACTTTTTCCGCTGCTGCTGCTGCGCTGGAAGCTCCTTGTGAAGAGCAACTCGCGAAGGAGCAAAGCCACATAAGCAAATGTCGACATCCGAGAGGGTCCTGCTGCTACACTGCTGAGAAAAGGCAGCATAAGCATCGGGGCACGTCGAGAAACTTTTATGCTTCTGCTGCTGCAGTTGCTCCTGCTGCAGTTGCAGTTGCGTTTGCTGCTGCTGCTGATGTTGCTGCTGCAGTTGCTCCTGCTGCAGTTGCAGTTGCGTTTGCTGCTGCTGCTGCTGTTGCTGCTGCTGTTGCTGCTGCTGCAGGTGCAGTTGCGTTTGCGTCTGCTGCTGCTGTTGCTGCTGCAGTTGCTCCTGCTGCAGGTGCAGTTGCGTTTGCTGCTGCTTCTGCTGGGCCCATGCGTGGAAGCCATCTGAATATCTGTGACGGTGCAGAGGATCTTGTTGTTGCAGACTCTGCAGCCTCTGCATTTGCTGGTATTGCTGCTGCTGGTGCACTAGCCACTGCTGCTGCACATACCGTTTCTGCTGATCCGTCTCTTGCTGGTACTGCAGCTGCAGCATCTGCTGCTGCTGCGGGAGCGACCCCAGGGGGGAGAAGAAAGTACTTTCCGCCGGGAGCCAAGTCACGCAGTTTCCCTGCTGCTGCACCCGTAAATGCATGCACTCTTGCGCCTGCTGCTGCAAGCCTGTCGGATCGATGTTCTCTGCGGAGCGCCGACGAACTGGCACCATGTAGCAGCGCTCCCTTGCACAAGGGCCCCCCGACATTCGCCGCTCCTTCTGCAGATGCTGCCTCTGAAACTGCTGCATCTCTGGCATCGGGGGAGAAGCAGACGAGCTACTGCGAGAGTTTCGAATAAGCTCTGCAGGGAAGCTCCAGGGACTGTCCACAACACACGGCTTTCTGATGCCAGTCGGTACATATCTGCAGCGGCAACAGCCACACAACAAGACAAAAAAACAGCAAATACAGCGCAGCAGCACTTAGCAGCAGCACTTAGCAGCAGCGCCTTTCAATGAGACGCCTGACGCTGCCCATAATACAGGGGAAAGGACACTGTCAGGCAGCGGTGCGCTTGCCCTCGCTCGCACTGCGTCGCAGCAGCATGCATGCATGCATGCATGCATGCATCGGGTCGAATCTGAATTCTGAATTTCGAAAGGGAGACGAAAAAAGGCTCGCGCGAATAGTACACTCGTGTCGTGCCTGCACTGGCCGCGTCGAATACTGCTGCAGCAGTGCGCATCGACGATGATAGAGAGATCTCACTCGAGAGAATACGCATAGACGGTGCCTTGCTGCTTTCCGCGAACCTGGCGAGCACCCTGCAGTGTCAGTACATAAACAGAGACACGCGAGGGGCAGAATACGTGCAGCAGCAGCCCCCATAGCACCCCCTCCGCCGCATCACTTTCTGCCTCCCTTCCCCAGCCTCCCGCTGCCTCCTCGCTGCAACTTGCTCTTTCCGGTGTCAACTGCAATCCCTGTGTGTGTGGATCGATGGTCTCGTGAGGGGGCAGCTTGCGGAGGCAACAACAGGAAAACTGCAGCACGCAGCTGAAGCGGCACCTCCAGTAGTTAGCTTTGCAGCGCAGGAGCAGCTTCAAAGCGTTGCAACAACCAGTTTCGCAGTCATGAGCAAATACAGCAAGCCCTAGAGAGGGAAGAAAAATCGAAGAAAGCAGCAGCAGCAGCAGCAGCAGCTGAGGTCCCCCCACCAGCACCACCATAAGCACCTTGAGGCGCCAATAAGGAGAGAAGCCGGAGACTTCTGCCACTTTGCACTGACTGAGAGACACCCGTATCGACTCCAAAGCGTGTTGCTCCATGCTCGCTGTCGTCGGCCTCGTTGATGCTGCTTATGTAATCAGCCAAGTCTTCAGACGGCGATCGCCATGCCTTCTCAACTTCCGGGGTGCATAGCATGCAAGAATTGGGCAGCAGCAAGTGCAGGTATCATCGAAGCTGCCGCTTTGAAGTTCCGTGTTGCGATGATCTCCTGCTGCTGGCGTTGCGGGCAGCACGTGACTTGCTAACACAGTGGTGGCACCTAACACCTCGTTGAAGGAAGACGTAAGTGGGGAGAAGGAGGATAGAAGGCGAGGGAATTCGGCCGCACACAGCATGCAGCAGCTGGCCGCCTGGTCTTGCTGCTTTGCTTCAGGTTGCTGCAGCGAATAGTTTATGGGAAGCGGCTCTAGATGGCGCGAACCCTGCACACGAGGCCCTCTTAGTGATGAAATTCGGCTGCCTCGCACGCCTCTGTTGGCTAGGCGGCAGCTGACAGGCGCAGCGACCGCCCTTTTAGCGCTGCACAATTCCAGTCGCCCGGCTGTACATACAGGTGGCAAGCCGGATGCGGTTACTGTGTGCTGAGGCCCCTAGGTCTTCTTCAAAGGGCTCCTCTGAAATAACAATTTGCGTAACAAGGGTGGGCAAGGTAGTTTTACCCGTGATACTCTGTTGCTGGTGTGGCAGCAGGGGCTGCACAACAGTGGTGCTCGCTGTTGAGTCGGCAGATGGCAGCAGCACTCTCACAGCCAGCGCGGCAGGCAAATGGTAATTCAACTGGCACTCAATTGCCAAATTTAAATCCCTCCTGCTTTGCCTATTTCAAGGTGTTAGAGGCTAATCCGCGGCCCTAACTTCCTTATTTCCTGCATTCCTGGTGGCTGCACGAAGCTAGGAGTAAGCCCATGGGTAAGCAGCAGCAGCAGCAGCAGCAGCAGACGATGACAAGACTCGGGGCCTCCTCTCCGTGGGCGCCACGACCCCTTGACCGTTGCGCTAAGGTGCACCGAATTTAAGAAGCAACAGCTCGCATAACACCGTTAAAAACGTAGTAGTAGACGCATGCGGACACCCGATTACCCAGCGATTGTTGCCACTGTCACTGCGGTCTCTGCAGCAGCGGTCGCCTTCGAGGGCCCCTAGAGGCCCCCCCCCCTCCCCCCTAAACCTCCGCTTTGCGTCTGCTGCCGCAGGAGCAGAACCTCCCAGCAATAACACCGTTGGGCAGGGTACAAGGCAGCAACAGCAGCACGCCTGAACTGCAGCAGGGGCCTTGTTGCTGTAGCTGCCGCCGCAGGCGCTGTAGCACTTGCAGATGCTGGCCTCTCCTCCCTTGACGCGCAGCTGAAGCACTTCCCGCTGCTGTCTTCGGCTGCACGGAAGGCAGCGCATGCTTTGCGCAGAGCAGCAACTTCTGCAGCAGCAGCAGCGGCACCTGCAACTGTGGGCATTGACTGCACGGCAGCACCACCAGCCACTGAAGCGTTCGAAAGCTTCATGACAATGGAGGAACCTTACTTTATGGAGTGTCATGAGGACTGCCGGTCCCTCAAGTTTCAGCATGGTGGGGTGCTCATGAGCATGATTATGCTCATGATTATGCTCATGATTATGCTCATGCTCATGCTCATGATGATGCTCATGATCATGCTCATGATCATGCTCATGATTATGCTCATGATCATGCTCATGCTCATGATTATGCTCATGCTCATGATTATGCTCATGATTATGCTCATGCTCATGATTATGCTCATGATCATGATTATGCTTGTGATTATGATTATGCTCATCATCATGCTTATGCTCGTGATTATGCTCATGCTCATGATCATCCTGCAGGTGTTTGCGGCTGCCCGCTACTGAAACTGTAGCACGTATGATAGTGATGCGGGAAGCTGGAATTTCAGGATGTCTCTCTCATCGTGCTTCTCGCGTATGTCTCTCTCATCGTGCTTCTCGCGCTATTGTTGGCTGCCCTTGTCACTGTCTCTGTCTCTTGCTTTTTTTGTGCAGCCTACAGACTGCCCCTGGACAAGGATGGGAGCTTCAGCAGCACCAGCGCGAACAATATTTGTGTGTTGCATTGTTGCGGCTTGTTGGTCCTTGGATGGGGGGAGCGCCTTCTGCCTTATTGCGCTGTATCCGCAGCTAGGGGGTTTCTTAAGCTTCGCCAGCAAGCCATTGAAGTAAGTGCAGCTGCTCTCGCGACTTTGGCTGTTGTGGTCCTGCTGCGGAATGCCATCGTTGCGCAGTGTATGGCCAGCCTCCGAGTGTTATGCGTGCTGCTGTCGCTGCTCTCCTCTACGCCGCTGAAGGCGTAGTGACTTCTTGCTGCTACTGCGTTGTGTGTGTGTGTGTGTGTGTATGTGCTGCCTTTTGGCTTAGCTGGAGGCTCCTGTATCTGAGTTGCTGCTGAGCAACTGCTGCCGCCTCCTGGCAGTAGCAGCTGGCAGGAGAGCTGTCGTGCTGCCTGTTGGGGACTGTTTGAAGGGCTGTGCTTTAGCAGCCAACACAGCACCCCTTTCTGAAAAGGCTGCAACGTCAGCAAGCTGTCTTGCTCCTGGATTTCGACAAGTCGAAGCTGCAGTTCTTCCAGAGGCTGTTACTGCGATTGCGTGGACGGGTGTGTGGCTCCTAGGGTGCAGCTGCGGTAGCTGCTCTGTCCTCACATTCGAGAGCAGGGCATGCTCTTGCTGTTTTCTCTCAGCATTTTGGGGGCTCTTTGCGAATTCTGAGAGAAAGCAGTGCAGACACTGCGACTGCGCTGCTGCTGCTGCTGCTGTCCGTAGTGCCTGCCGCGCTGCTTTCTTCGCACGCGATGCTGTTGTTGCTGTTGCTGGTTGGCTGTTTTTGCTGCAGGCGACAACCGTTTGCTGCTGAACACCTATAGCAGTGGGCTTTTCATTGCGGATGGAAAGGGGGGAGTCTTGGTCGCTGTGGAGCCTTCGCTGAGGATCTCTGGTGAGCTCACTCGGGTAGAGCGCCGCGCAGTTCGCAGCAGGCAAGACGCATGCGAACCACAGTATACACTTCCTCAGATGTTCATAAGCAGCAAGGGGCCTGCTTAGGCGCGTGCGTTTACACGGTGTACTAGCAGTGCAATGCGGGGGACGGTGGTGTTGCAGCAATTGCTGGAGTCGCCAGACGTGGCTGTGCGGGAGGGCTTCCGAGAGAGACAGTTGCAGTGCTCGCCTCCCGCGATCCCCTCGCCCTTTGGATTCTGAATTCGGAAGAAAGCGCTGAAAGCAACAGCAGCTGCAAGAGCAGCAACGGCGTCTCCTTGCTCCCCATTAGCCTGGCCAGCCTTGAGGGCTCTTTGGATATGGAAGCAGCAGCACTTGCAAAGGGGTGAGGGTGCCTCCTGCATTGCCTTGGCTTGTGCATCGCTAGCGCTCCCTCTAGTGCTGTTGGTTTGGGGTGTACTTTCAGTGCTGTGCCTGCTCTCAACGACGCCGTGACACGTTGCGATGCAGAAGAGTGCTTGATGCTGCTGCAGCTGCCGCCCTTGCGCCTTGACACCCAACCAGTGTTGTGTGTGTCTTCTCTCCATCTCTCTATTTCTCTATGCCTGTGTGTGCCTATGTTGTATGTGTGTGAGTGCGTGTTGTCTGTGTATATATCTCTATATGTATATCTACGTGTGTATATCTATATGTAGGTGTATATCTATGTATGTTTGTGTGTTGTCTGTGTGCATTTCGATACGTGTGCTGCAGCAAGGGCCGATGCTTGGGCATTTCGGTAGTTTCTCCTGCGGCAGCATCAAAAGATCCCAAAAGCACCGCTGAGCTGCCCTTTATCGCTGCTCTCTTTGCGATTGGGGATGAAGAGCTTGAGGGTGGCTCTCATGATGCGAAGCAGGAAAAGCGGCCCCGTACGGCCTTCTCTAGTGCTGCTGAGGAGGACGCCTATTTAGCTGAAGCAAACCTGCAAATGTCTTCGCTCCTCCTCTTCGCGCACATTCAAGACGCAAGGGGGGGGCAACAGCCGCAGCCAGGACTGCATCTGCAGCCGTTTGCTGCCGCAGTGAACGAGGCACGTGTCTCTTCTTTTAAGAATCCTAGTCGTTTTTTGTTGGCAAGGGCAGCTGCATCTGCTGCAGCCGTCCGCACGGTTTGCCATGTTTTGTTTTTCCGGCCGGTTCTGCACTCGACCACTCCTGTGGCTAACCGCTCCAAGAGGCCGCTGCAGATGCACTGTCTGGAGAGGAAGTTGCTCAGCTATTGTTTTTTGTGTGCATTCGTTCTGCTGCTTGTCTGCAGATTTACTTGAGCTCGCTGAGAGCAGTAACAAGGGCCACGTTGTTGGCGCTCCCGGAATGGGGGGCGATCTGCGTGAGGTGTACAGACACGACACAGGTCTCCTTCTTCGCTTGCAATCAACTTGTCGAGCAGCTCCCAGACTGTAGCACACGCCTCGGTTGGGGAGACACCAACGCAGCGGATGAAGGTGAGTGCAAAGCGCCAGAGCCTAGTGATCTCGCGCTCCTCGTAGGCAGTCCGGGGGGAGGGAAGGAAAAGGGGAAGGGGAAGCGGCAGTTGCTGTTGCCGCCACGAAAGCGACTACCCCCGCACACCAACAAGAAGAAGAATAGATGTTCTCGGCGCTGCCGCCTTTTCGATTTTATTGCTGCGCTAGAGGCCTCTACGTGGAGCTGTTACGTCATGCCGGAGGGCAGGGCGTTAGAGACAGCAGACGAAGATGCACGTCCAATGGGTTTGGCGGTTTTTACGGCTTTTTCGGATCGAGTTATACGCGACATGGTTCGATGGCATCTCTAAATCGTAACGTGCAGGCGCCTAATTTCTTACTCACAAGGCAGGGGGCTGCTAGGCTGCATGCAGGTAAAGCCTCTTGGGGTCTGGCTAGTGGGGTGTATCGCAGAGAGTTTCGGTGGTTTTCGCTGATGGTGCGTTCTGCCGCAGGCAGATGCCGATACGCCGCTCTTGAGCTCTCCAGCTGTCTTCTTCATCGCTGAGTCTGCAGGTGAGGGCAGACGTCGAGAAACGCGGAGTTGGGTAATTTCTGCTGGATTTGCTACGGGGGGGAAGGAGGGGGCAGGGGAGGGTGTCGTACAGCCTCTGGAGGCTCACGGTTCAAAATTTGCTAGACAGCGCAGCTGTGGGGGGGTTTTATGCTGAAGCGTCGCGTAGGCATGTGGCCATGTAGGCGTTTGTGCATGCGATGTTCCCTCTATCCTTACATTACCAGTCAGTCCGCGTGTGTAGCTGATTTTTACCCCTCTCTCTCTCTGCGTGCGGCGGCTTGCTGCGCCTGCACCACACGTGGATTTTTGCGGATTTGTCTGGGTGTGTGTTGTGTGTGAGGTTCCCGCAGGGGAAGTAACCGTCCACTTCGCCGATCGCTGCAGAACGCTTGTTAGGAATACGGGAACCGAAGAAATCCCACTGCTCCCGCCTCTCCATTTCCAAAAGCAGCAGCACGACTCTCAGGATGAAGCGTTGATTTGGGCTTGGCTATCGGAGGAGCCGCCGCAGAAGCTCACAACTGCCGATGCTGATGTCGACGAAGAGAGCAGCAGGAGAAGGAACAACACCAGCTGCGGGAGTGAAAGCCGCAGCAGCAGCAGCAGCAGCAGCAGTGCGACGCGGAGGGAGGACCACAGCAAAGCAACAGGTGTCAGACGTCATGGGGGCTTTACAACTGGGCAGGAGAAGCAGCTAAAGAGCGGCAGCAGCCAGTCAGCCATGCCTAGCCTCAGGAAAGATCGGCGCGGTAAGGCGAAGCAGAGCACTTCCCACAGTAGCTACCGTGAAGCTGCGGGATCAAACGTCTGGAGTTGCAGTGGCAAAGCAGCGCGAGAGGCAGCTCTTGCTGCAGCAGAAAAGGCACTGCATGCTGCAATACCAAGGGGCAATAGCAGTGCTATTCGCAGATGGCAGGAGCGCTTGCAGCTTTCCCCAGAGCACCTCGAAGTGGAAACACTGCTCAAGAAGGCAAGTCTTCGATCGTATCCTGCTGGTGCTGCTGCAGCTGGATATGAAGGCCTATATATACATATATATGTAGGAACTGCTGCAACAGGATCTGTGTTGTTTTTGCATTGTTTGCTGCCGTGACATAGCTGTTGCCGCCAGCCGCGACGTTTGCTGCTTGGTGCTGCTGCCAGGATTTGGATTGGAGTGCAGTATTTCCAGTTCCAGCATTCCAGCTTCAGCAGCGATCTTTTTCTGGCCGAACTGTTGCTGCGGTTGCATTGCAGGCTGATGGAGAAGAAGGCCTCTTTGGAGCTGAAAGCTACCTCCCGGATGCTGTGGCTGCCCCCCTTCTTGCAGCGTTGCGTGTGTTTGAGTGGCGTCTCGCTACTTCTGAGATCTCATGCAGTGCAGCACGCGATGCTCTAAGGCAGCAGCTACAACAGGAGCAGCAGAAAATTGACGAATCGCTACAGCGGTCCTCACCAGAGCAGCAACAGCAGCAGCAGCATTCCACGCTTGGCACGCAGGCTGCGCAGTTGCGCGGGGCTGTACAGACACTGCAACAACAGCAGCAGCTGTTGCTGCAGCGCGTCATGGGACTTAGAGAGAAAGAAGAGACACATGCTGAGAGGACAAGTAGAGTGCAGAGGATTCTCAACAGGTTGTTTGCACAGCAGCAGCTGCTGCAGCAAGAGCTGCAAGATAACGACTCTCTTCTTTCATTGGTAGCCGCCGAGCAGCAGCACCTTGAGAGTATAGCTCTGCTGTCTACTGTGGCTGCTAAAACAACGCCTAAAGAACGGCTCCAACAACGAAAGGCTGTCAGGGAGCGAGCTCAACAACTGCGGCAGTTGCTGCTTCGCATGCAGCAGCAACAGCAAGTACAACAAGAGGTGTATGAGGAGCAGCTGGCGCTGACAATGGGCGTCTTTAATTCGCTGGAGGCTGCCGAAACGCTGCCGCAAGGGTTGAAGCGGTACGTGGGTGTCTTGGCGCCTTCGGTTATGAGCTGCTTCGCTGTACAGCTGCACTTGCTGCTCCATCGATTTTGCTGCTGCACTTGCTGCTCCATCGATTTTGCTGCTGCACTTGCTGCTCCATCGATTTTGGCGCTGCACGTGCCCCTGGATGTGCAGCAGGGAGTTTCACAGCGGCGAAGCTTGCGTTGCCGCGCCGTGCATCTGTCGTTAGGACTGTTTGTGTGATGCTTTTTACAGCCTCGGAGCAGCTGTGGCTCAACAGACGCGGCGTGTCATTTTGCTGCTGGGTCGAGCAGATGCACTGGCATTGGAAAAGATAGGGGAGGTGCTGCCGGAAGCTAGACCGTCACAGCAACAGTCACAGCAACAGAAGCAAATTGTAGCCGCAGTTACAGCCGCAGCAGCACCCTCTTGCACAGGCAAAAGCAGCGCCAGCCGAAGGCAACCGTGCAGGCCAGGTGCACACTTTGCTCTGCCCTCAGAAGTCTGGGAAGAAGGATTTGAGGATGACACGTTGCAGCAGCAGGATCAGGTTCAAGTGTCAGATGGAGCACCTGCGAAAGCAGTGCAGGAAGAGCTGGTTGCCGCATTGTTTCCTTCACAGCCACTGCAAGCCGTGGGATGCCGTTTGCAGCAATCATTGTTCATCGAAACTAGTGAAAAGGATCGTGAAAATCCAGAAGTAGCAGCAGCCGGTGCTGCTGATGCAGCTTCTGGTTCCGGAGAAGAGATGGCAGCTCCCAGCTTGCAGCAGCGACAGCAGGAGGAGGAACGGCAGCAGAACCTTGGAGGGGTATCGGAGCTCCTGCAGAGAGCAAAGTAAGAAGGAAGTTATGAGAAGATTTTTTGCTGCCCTCGAAGCGCTGCTCTCGCTGTCTAGGCTTCGCAGCAGCAGGTTCGGGGAGCGCTTCGTGGTGTGCTGGGGTGTGCCTTCTGTTGCAGGGTGCTGCAAGACGAAGCCTCCAATCTGGAAAAGTCTCTCTCTGCTGTTGAGCAGCAGACGCCGTCGTGTCTCCCGCTTTCGAAGGGACTACTGGCTGAGAAGGAAAGCGAGTTTCACGAGTTTCTGCACTTCCTGGAGGAGCAGCCGCAGCATGAGCTGCGGGAGCAGCTCATACTGCGGGAGCAGCAGCAGGGCCTTAACGTTCCTCTTTCGGAGGCGAAAAAGCCTCGCCTGCCGCTGATGCAGCAGCTGCTGGATGCCGAGGTGACTCGCCGCGCGAGGGAAGCTGCTGGACGTCGAGCGCTGCTGCAGCAGCTGCAGCTGGGTGGCAGAGTGGAGGACTGTGCAGCAGGCACAGCACAGGGGCTTGTCGCAGTCGAAGCGGATCTGTTGCTGCGAACGCAAACGACGTTAGATGCCTTCGAGGCAGAGGAAGGAGAGCATGACTTCGAATGGGAGACGCTGGAGAGCAGTCTGGAGGGTTGGAGCGATGATGGAGCCCGCAGAATCAGCAGCAGCAGCAGCAGCAGGAGCAGGAGCAGCAGCGGCGGCGGATCAAGTGACAGTGGCAGCCTTGAACACAGGAGGTACAGCAGCAATCGCACGACTCGCCGAGGAGTCGACGCTTCGGGCAGCGAAAGCGAAGAGCTTGAAGGAGCTACCCTCTCAGAGGCAGACACGGAATGTCGCGAGGTGTCAAGGAAGCCTGTTTCTGCGTCTAAGGGCACACATAATCAGCCCCTTGCGTTCGCGAATTCGGAGACTTCGCCTTCCGCGCTATTTCCTGATCCTGCCAAAGCCGTAGTGCCCTCGTCTCATCCCAACACGCGGCTTCCTCTCAGCGCCTCGGGAGTCTCCCTGCCTCCGGATCGTACGAAGGCCTCTTTTCCGCCAACTCCTCAGAAGGCGGTAGCAGTTCTCCCACCAGATCCTACTAAGAAGGCGGTGGCAGTTCTCCCACCAGATCCTACTCAGAAGGCGGTAGCAGTTCTCCCACCAGATCCTACTCAGAAGGCGGTGGCAGTTCTCCCGCCAGATCCTACTAAGAAGGCGGTAGCAGTTCTCCCACCAGATCCTACTCAGAAGGCGGTGGCAGTTCTCCCACCAGATCCTACTAAGAAGGCGGTAGCAGTTCTCCCACCAGATCCTACTAAGAAGGCGGTAGCAGTCCTCCCACCAGATCCTACTAAGAAGGCGGTAGCAGTCCTCCCACCAGATCCTACTAAGAAGGCGGTAGCAATTCTCCCACCAGATCCTACTAAGAAGGCAGCAGCAGTCCTACCACCAGATCCTACTAAGAAGGCAGCAGCAGTCCTCCCACCAGATCCTACTGAAGTAGATTCTGCTAGAGCTTTGTCTCCCCCGGATTCTACAAAGGACGTGACGCTATCTGGTGCCACAAATGTCTCCTTGCCGCCAGACACGTCTTCACAAGCCTCACCCCCCTCAAAGTCTACCATGAAGCTTCCAGAAGCCACTTCCTTTGGGGCATCAAAGGCATTCAGCGAAACGCAAGAGAAGACAGACTCCCAGGCAGCGGCTTTGGCAGGGGGAGAAAGCAGTTCCTTCAAGGGGCTTTTTCTTGGCAGCGCTGCCGGATCGACAAAACAGTCTGAAGACACAACTAGCAGCAGCAGCGGCACTGGGGGCCTCTTCGGGAACAAAAGCGTCGGCATCTTTGGTAGCACTGGCAGCAGATCAGGGGGTGAAGGGCTCTTCGGTAGCAGCAGCAGCAGCGGAGGAAGCAGCCTGTTTGGAGGCAGCAGCAGCAGCAGCGGCAGCAGCAGCACCCCCATTAGCAGCGGCGGGGGAGGAGGTCTCTTTGGAGACACCAGCAAAAAGCCCACAGACGCTTCCACCGCTTCGCCCTTTAGCAGTGGAGGCTTTGGCAGCAGCAGTAGCAGTAGCAGCACGCTAGACATCAAGAGCATCGGTAATAGCCTCGCAGCCTCGCCCGTGTCGCAAGCCTCTGGATTTCAAGGCTCAGCGTTTGCCACTGGCCCCTTCGGATCTACCGGTACATTCGGGGGGGGGGGCACTCAGAAGTCTTCCTCTGGGAGTGGACTTGTGAGTATTTTAGGGCAGAGTCTCTTCGGGAGCGGGAGCGGCGGAGAGACTGCTGCAGGGGGGGGGGGGCGGCTGCTCCTCTGCTGCGGACAGCACCTAGTCACCAACGAAGTGTTATGCCAGTTGGCGGCAGCAGCTCTTTCTCTCCCCAGCCGCAGGTGCTGCAGCAGCAGCAACAGCAGCAGCCAGTTATTTCGTTCGGCGATGTAAACGTCGGCGACATCGGTCTGCAGCAGCGGCAGACGTACAACTTTGGACTGGTGAGTCTCTCCTGTCGTTTCTGGCGCCGCTGAGGCTTCAGCAGCGACTGCAGCCGCCCCTGCACCCACTGACAGTACTAAACTCCCCGCTGTACCTGTTGGTGTCAATCCGGTCGGGTGTTTGCTGTTGCTTCGTGAGCTCCTGCCGCAGTCCAACAATAGCAGTGGTCTCGGCGATCTGCATCTCGACGGTGGTCTTGCCGTGCGGGAGAATTCGCAGGCTGCGATCGGCTCTCAGCAGCAGGGTAGGGCAGTCAATCTTGTTGTATGTGGGGATATTGGGAGCGGCTTCCTCGGGTGCACTGCCAAATCGTGCCATGACTCTTTCATTCGCTGCTTCCTGAGTCACGCAGTCCTTGTGCTCCCCCCTCATGGGCTGCATTTGTATGCCTGGCTGCTGTTTCCATTCCCCTCCTTTTGCGTGTCCCTTCTGTTTGTCTGCCTTCTACCTCTTGCATGCTTTGCTCGCTGCTTTGAATGAAAAATTCGCCGTTGGTTCATGGGTGGTGGTGGTGTTGTTGTTGCTCTGGCCTCTGGATGCCCCGTGGTTGTAATCTCTTTGGATGGCCGTCAACGTCGCACGTAGATGGAGATCCTAGAGTTGCTACACTTGCTGCTTGCTCGCGTGCCAGAGTGCTGCATGGTCTTCGCAGGTGGCTTCTCTGCATTCGCTTCGCACGGCACAGGCTTTGCCTCGCTAGCCCAGCAGCAGCTGCCCTCTGGCGGCTTTTTCGCTGCGGCAGCGCAGCAGCAGCAGCAGCAACAACAGGGCTTTGGTTGGGGTATTAACACACAATCAGCATCAACGTCCCCATTTGGTAGCAGTTCCTCGGGATTTCCTGCCGCTGCGGGTCCACTATCTTCTGCGCCTTCCGGTGCAACGACGAGTTCTTCCACCTCCGTCGCTCTCGGCGATAAGAGCATCTGGACGCGGGCACGATCATCAAATCCGCTCAACTGAAGACTGTGGACTGCCAAGGTATAGCGCCACTGAGCTGGTCAGCTAGTATTGGTATGGCGGCTGCTTTTCGCTTGCTTGCACGCATTGTAGTGACGGGAGAACGTTCATTCTGGAGCGGTTGCAGTGGATGGTGTGTTTTGCTTCCGTCGCTTAGATGAGTCAAGGCAGCTAGCTGTACTAACTATGGATTACTTCGCTGCCCTTGGCCAGCGGGCTTTCGCGAGTTCTGCACGGAGGCATTTTCAAGACTGTTCGTCAACTCAACCGAGCAGATCTCTGCGGGTGAGCTAACGGCCGGCAGTCTCGGTAACCTTGAACCTTGAGAAATTTATCTTGCCAACAGAACAGACAGCGTGTAGCAACCCCGCAGTTCGGGCTGCACCTTCCAGCAACAGCCGTGACGGTCGTGTCTGGCTAGCCACATTAGGCGGCCAGTATGTGACCTATGCCTACTTGCCCCGCGGCTATCGTCTGTGACGCAGTGCCCCTGGAAGATACTTCGCTAGTCACGTAGTCTGTATTGAACTTCTGGGGCACTGTAAACACGAAATTCAGAATAGCACGCTAGCTATAAAAGTTACCCAAGACAAAAAGCACCACAGGTTCCACCAGTCACCGTAATACTGGTTTAACGCCCACGAACGGAGGGCTGGTGACAACTTCCGTGACTAAATAGATGACGAAAGGGGCTGCAAAACGCAGCCCCTTTCGTCAACTTCCTCATCGCCATGAGAAATCCTGCTGCTGCAGCACACACCGCCAAGGCCAGCGCCACTAACAGGTCATGGTCTGTTCATGTGAAGTGTCCGCATCACCACCTACTCGGGGGGCACGAACAGCGCCTGCGTGATTGAAGGATCTGTTGCGTTGCCGCGGAGCAGGAGAATGTGGCCTATTGCAAACCATATTCTTGGGCGGCCGCTGCTGATACTGCAAGTGTCACAACCGCCGCTGTTGCTGCTGTTTCACGAGTCGCTTTTCTGCGGTGTCTGCATCTGCCAGGACGAAGGTACTGCCCAGCTGGATGTACACCTCGCGTCCTGGAGGAAGTGTGCGCACTTCGTGGAGTGCTACCGCACCTTCACTCTTGTAATCTTCCTTCACAGCCACAGCTGGTGACTCTGAAGTCTCCTCCGCTCCTTGACGCTTGCTTCCTAGGGCTCTTGACGGGGGGCCTCCCGCTTCAGGAACCCGCAGCATGTCGCCTCTTGTAAGGAATACCGGGTTCATGAGAAAACAAAAAGCTCGAAAAGCTATAAAGCGGGCAGACAGCTAGAAACATATGCTACGAATACCGTGTAGGTAGGGGAATAGCTGTAAAGGGGAACGGCGGACCATACAACCGCTTCAAGGCGCTCTGCGGCATCGACTCTGCAGGCCAGGAATTTTCGCCGTAACAGCATAGCAGAAGCAATTGTAGAGCTTTTTCTTCCGTCCATTTCAAGATGATAAAACGGGGAATGCCAACTCTCGCGGAAGCATACGACCTCCTCGTTATCTTGTGGAATGTGATGCTCCGCACCTAGGGGGCCCCTGCACTGAGAGGGCCCCCTGGGGGCCTCTTGACGATAGTTGCAGCACAGTAAGAGATCCAGAGACTTCAGTCTTCAAATTACAATATTATGCTTACATTGATATCGTAGCGCGATAGGCGTGAAAGAAAACGGCATCTGTAGGCTGTTTCACTGAAGCGAGTTGTCGGTGACGCTCCTTCAGTAGATTGGTTTCCTGCGAAAAGGCTGTATATCTTGCTCCCTCTATCTAGTATGCGTTCTGTACCTGTTCATCATGCACAGAGAACGTTTGCCTGGTATATTTAGCGAGTAACAAGCTCTAACTACATGCGCCTAGCACTTCGGATACTATTCCAGATCGGCATAGATATCCGCGCATATACATAAGTACCACATCTACACCTCATATGTAACATATCCTGCTCTCTTTCATCGTGCTGTTCTACGCGACTTTTCCGCTGTTAACCATCGCAGGCGTCGTACGGTTAAGGGTCTGCTTTTGTCAACTCACACCAAAGCCTCTCGGGGGCCACAATGTTTTAGATAATGAAATGAGCTATATCGAACAATGAACGCTAAAACATGTAGCCTTTTCTTTCCTGATCCTCTTTGATCAAGCCGTTTTTCGTACAGAGGAGTAACAAAAGGTTTATATGTTTGTTTTGCTTACTATTGCCTTCCTGCTGAACGTGGACACAAAAGCCCACTGATATTCAGCACCACAAAATAGGGATTCACATCAGAAGATGGCTGTAAGGGCTCTTGTCACAGTGCTTGCAAGAAGTAATGAGTGATGATCCGTGCAGCGGGTCTTGTTACACTTCACTTTCTGCCACGCTAATTGCATTCAATTGAGATAGTCAAGAATCGACTGATTGTTTGTCCATTTCAGCAGCTTATTTATCGCAGAGTACGGCAAGCTTGATACAAGAAGGTGCGGTGTTGTGTGAGTGTGTGTTAAATGCTATGTGCAACAAGCTATGAGTGCCCATGACTGTAGTAAGGGTTCAGCTACGCCCAAAATAATTGTCTCTCTCCCCTCATGCTGGGGGCTGGGGGGGCTGAAAAAGAAAGAAATGATCTTTTAAGAAAAACTCAAGGGCTTTTTATTTAGCTTGTATCGATCCGCGAATCAAGTGTCTTACTACAGAGACCATATGTGAACGGATACGATTGGTGGTATCCCAAGATTCTGTCTGGCTGTTCCACCTCATACACTGGCTGTGGATGTAGTGGGATGCCACATTTGGCAGCCATTTGTCTATTCCGATCAAATTATTGATGATTCAATGGCTTGATTTTTGTTGGCCGCAATGTGAGGGGAAAAGTCTTCTGGCGATGGACGTTTCCGGTGGAACCCCACCAATCGGGGCAACAGGGGCCAGCCAGCAAGGCTGATGAAAACCCAGTTGCTCCACAACTGGTAAAAGGGCATGATTGGTCAGCTGACAAAAGCTTTCTGCATGCATTGACGAAGATACAGCTACCAGAATAGTATTGCGGTGGGAGGGAGTGGCGAGCAAATTTTATCAGCTAGCTGGAGATGTACCTAGCTTTGTGCACCCCAATGGAGAGAAACAAGCACTGCTTATAGTATTTATATCAAAGCAATTAGTACTTCTCTGCAAAGCACTTTGATAATCAACTGTAGTCTTGCTGCACGCACACGGCCTCCTTCTCACTGACAGATTCAAGCCTTCATACGAGCTCTGCCTCATCGTTTGTGGATCCTGATAAGTCAAACAATGAGCTTTGAGAATTTTTGAATAGCTGTGTATGCTGAAAAATATGGAACTCTGGCTTGCAACAGCTTCAGCGTAGCAAAAAAGCTGCTCTCTCAGTGGTTTCCTCAGATCTACCCAACGTGCTACGTCCGGTAATCGCAGGATGTGCAGTGAGACAGCGCGTTAACAGCCGACCGATGGAACCTCCGCACAGCATTGACTACTTGAGGTTTTAGGAGCAAATGAGAGCGACCACTGCACCTTTGGCTAAGAAAGAAGGGTCATCGGCATATGGAGCCTATGGGTATCGGTGATGTGCTAACCAGCTCTAGAATGCAGCCTAAGCAGTCTCGCATCAACGCGAAAAGAAAACCAGAAAAGCATTTGTGCTGCTAGGCCACCCCAGACAACCCCCAACAACGCACCTGCTTCCATCTTTGAAGATCGGTAGTACAATCCGGAACTGCAAGCTCACGTGAAAAGCCAGCGAGTTCGAGCAAGGAGAGTTTGTACGGCACACGTGGACAGCTTGCCAAGCAACGAAGGCGCATTAGGGAAACGGGAGGCCTCCGACGTAAGTTGCGGCGCAGTGAAGGGGAGCCACAAAGTATAGAGCCACAATTTGAGATCCACCACAAGTCAATTGTGTTCTGCTTCAAGTTCATATGAATGAAGTTGCTGGTGCTAGTAAAGACTGAATCTAAGAGGTTTTTACCATTTGAGGAGATGGCGCAAAAATGCAATCAGCCGATTTACTCGTGAGCTCATTCTCTAGGACTCCGGTTTGCTGCTGGTCACCAAAGCGCAAGTTTGGCAAGGCTATTGTAGTAAAATGCTACTTCGAGTTGGGATTGAGTTCTATCGGCACAATAAGTGGATTGTATGTTGAACTTGTGCACCATAACGAAGTCCTGGGTATGCCATGGCTCACCCAATTGAAGAAGCTCAGGGGGCCACAGCTGGGCGCTGTACAAGTGAGTGTGCCGACAAGCTGTAGAAACGAGCAACTCCTGGCCCTTTCAGCAACGTTCACTTTATCTTGGTGAGCGGCGTACAGTCTGCATTTCAACAAGGTGAGGCAAAGTCTTCCTGCGGGCAAATCAGCAGCTTAGCAGGAGACGATGAGTCTGAGCATTCAACTTGTCGGGTTGGCTTTACCCCCACTTTTGTACTAGATAATTCGATTGCGCTGTCATCTAAGCGGCAGAAACGAGTAAAGCTAAAGGATGAGCTCGCGAATGTGTTATATAATGGCGTGCTGCCAGCGGGCTGGCCACCAACTGGTCGTGAAGTTCTCCGGCATCGGAAGGCTTCACAGCATGAATAGAGGAGTGAGCGACAGGCTGATAATCCATTAGAAAATGGTTAAATGTAGGAATGGACCAGACCTTTAAAACATTACCCGGTGTTGGTGCCAAAAGAGTACGGAAGGTAGCCTATCTGCTTACCTTCAAGCCCCGAAACAAGGTTATTGTGAAGCAATAGTTCTCTTTGCCTCATATTAGTAAATCGCTTGACGACTATACGTGTCAACATCCTACTCGCAGTTGGTGTCGTAAACGCTCTTTACAATTCCGTATTAACCCCGATGTTATGCTCAAGAAGACATTTCACCCTCCCACTCGCAAACTCTACCGTGCCCGTATGCCGTTTGACTTGTTGCTGCCTCACCTGAGCTAAAATGGCCAGCCCAGGACAAATTTAAATGTCTCGAGGCACTCTATATCACGGCATACGCAGACGCTGCCTTAGTTACCCGCCA